ATCCTCATAAGTTCGTAACATAAATACTTTTCTAATCATTAAAGAAATTAAAGAAACTAAACAAGAAAATAAAAAAAGAGAAGAAGCATCATTAGAAGTATAACTCTCTTTATTTATACTAATACTACTACTTTCTCCTCTATTTATACTAGCAACTACATCTCCTCTTCCATTTATACTAGCAACTACATTACCATCCTTAATACCTACAATATCTACAACATATACTAAAAACGGTACAAAAACTCTCTCAACGTAATTAGTTAATTTATATTAAACTATTACGAATTTAAATATAAATACTTCATATCTATGTAAAAATGGAACTGAATTTATTATAGGATTTTGACTAAAATAATATTATTTCACAGCTTAAATGTGCTAAGACTGTTTGGAGGTTTTTGATTGTTTGAGCGTTATTTCTCCCACCCACTGAAAGAGAGTAGATATAGGTAAAATAGCCTTGGCACGAGAGCCAGCCTCATACCCACGGGTAGCTACGTACCTTCCACTTCTTCATGTTACGTAGTGTGTTGGACCACTAATAAGTCTGTGCATCTCCACTTTTCGTCGTTGACGGGTTGCCCCCACTGGAAAGTGTCCCGGCCCCCCGCAAACTCCTGTCAATCTTCTACTCCGACAAGTCAACCACTTTACGCGGTGCAAAGGCGACACGAACGCCACTTCGGCAAACTTCTCGGGTTTCGAAAAATTATTTTTAATAGAGCGCCGCGTGTGTGCGACTGAACGGACAACAGCCTACTGCTGTAGAAATCTTCCTTGGCTGGTCACTGCCAACTCCCGATCCTGATCATGGCTATCACAAAGGTCGCCGGACCTGTTGGCTACCACGACAGCGACGATGACGACTACGAGGTGGTGCACCATCCGCAGCCCCAACAAGCACCAGAGATAATTGCGCCGCAGCCGGTTCCGGTTCCCGTGAACCAGTCGACCATCTCCAGTGTCTCGACTGCCGCCGTTGATATCGAAGCCTGGACCGTCGCTGCCCTCGAGTCCTTGCGGATCGCCAACAATGCGCGCAGTACTGGGAATCCGCTCGTGATTCCCTTGGACGGCGAACCGGCAGCGGCAGCAGGGCCAACCGATCCCGCGTCGAAGTTGCGCAATGTGGTGTTCGACGATGGTGACGATACATATGCCGCAAATGTCACGCCGCCGCGCCGACCTCCTTCGCGCCGAGACAGCATGAAGAGGCGCGAGGCTCTAATGAAGGGCAAGGAAGGTAGCAGGCAGCGACGGCGTTGGGAGAATGGTAATTACTCTCCCCCCTTTGTCATTCGGATGTTGTCATCGAGACTGAAGTCCAATTCCCACTCGTCACAATCCGTGTTGCATGCTTTGGGAACAAGCTAATCAGCCAATGATTCGGTCCCCTGCCTTGCCGCGGGGACCGGTTTTTTGAATTATTAGACCGTCTTGTTGGTGTTCCCAACGTACAACCGCCGCTGCCTTCAGACTGGAAGTTGGGCCGACGTATCCCATCCACGACAATATGCCGTACCACCTCGCGCAGTACTGGGACAGGGGGCTCCGCGAGCGCGTCGAGGAGCGCAAGGCCGCCTTCGCCGTACATCGCAAGAAAACCGTTACGGCCACCAGCCACCAGTTGGGTGGAGGCACCACGGCTGTCTCCTTGGTGGTCTCGTCATCTGTTGCCAAGACCCGCGCAGATGTGGGGAAGGTCCCCAAGGATTTGCGTGCCACGGCCAAGAAGACACCTGCCGTCAAGGCATGGCTGCGTGTGTTGGAGGAGCCGGTGAGGGAGTTCGTTGTTCAGCAGCAACGCGGACAGAATGCGGCGGCCAAGAGGGAGCAGCAGCAACAAAAGTCTCGGGACAGTGGAAGCCAGGGTGATGAGCTCGGGTCAGATGAGGAGGAAATCCTCTTCACTGGGCGGAAGACAGCTGCAACTGCGGCTGCCGGTGGTAAACCCCCGGCCAAGAATGCATCCTCAGAAAGGGGCACAGAGAAGGGAATCCAACTGCTGCCCGACACGAGGATGATGCTTGATACTCTGGGGGACGACGAACACGGAGCCTCGTTCAAGTATGTTCACCTAATATCCAGATTTCTCGTGCCGTGTAAGAACGGTGTAACTGACAATGGTATCATCAGGCGATGGCTCACGCATTCCATCTCGGACTACTATGGGCTAGACTCCAAGTCGGTCTTCTTGGGAAATCCAGCGAGGAAGGTGGTGTACATTGGTCTGAAGCAGGTCGGCAACGGTCCTAAGAGGCGGGCTGCACCTGCAAGACAGATGCTGATACCGCCGCCGCTGTGGGAGATGTTCTGATCGGACTCTGCAGTGATGTGATAGCGGCAGTGTACCGGGCTTTGGATATGGGACCAGCGGACACAGCGGGATTACAAGGTGAGAAGGAATTCTTGCATTTAGACTGATCGCCACATCTAGTCACGGACATGCAAGACCAGTTCAAGCGGAAGTTCACTTTTGTTGCAACATGGCCGCTTTGGACTGAAGTGAAGCCGAAATGCAGCTGAGTTGTCAACCTTCCGTGATTGTTATAGCCCTATTGTGGCTTTCGACACTGAATCCGCGTGACCGGTAGGTGAAGTTTGAAACTCCTTGATGTAAGAGTCATAACCTGCTCCGTTGACCCCTGACGAGGAATGTAAACATTGCTCCAATCGCTGTCACGGCAACACATGTTACGAACAGCGCCATGGACGAAGGCATAGGTAAGCTGAAAGCCACCTGATTGGTCCTTTGGCCAAACCTTTGCTTCATGAACCCACTGAAACTGCCAGCTAGCCAGACGAGCTGTAGGTGCTCCGCATCACACCTTTCTTCCAACCTCTGGCGGTGGGATCATCTTACCCAGTTGGCTTTGTATTCATCATCTACTTTTTATACTATCTTTTTCCGACTCATTACTCATGCGGGACGTGACTAGAATGTGATCTAGTCCCCCCTAACCATCGCGTTACAAGTCTTATTGGTATTCATGCCACTCATTCGCTCTCTTTCGTCTGTTGTGAAACCACTCACAACGGGAGGCGTGCCTGGATAAGGGTATCACAGCATATCAGCCATCGAAAACCATGCGCCTTCTCAATATTGAGACACTTCAACTTGAGCTGTTTGACGGTGGTCCGAAATGTGCATACGCCATTCTTTCTCACACCTGGGGTCAGGAGGAAGTGTCCTTCCAGGACATGCAGGACCTAGCAAGGACACTAGGAACGACATCAACATTTGTCGATAACGGCTATTACACAGCATCGTCATCAAGAACCAATACCGGAACGAGTGGACCTGTCGACTTCGGACACCACGGAGCGACAAACTACCACCCCGTCACTTCAAAGAAGGGCTACTCCAAGATCCTGGGATGCTGCGCGAAAGCTCGCACTGAAGGCTATCGTTACGTCTGGATAGATACCTGCTGCATCGACAAGTCCTCCAGCGCAGAGCTATCCGAAGCCATCAACTCCATGTTCAAGTGGTATCACGATGCCGAGGTCTGTTACGCCTACCTCAGCGACATAAGTCTTCCGGAAGTAATACCACAGCACCAATCACCGTATCTGGACCATCCGATGTCAGACGGTGGTGGTAGTGGCGGCGGCGGCGGTGCGATGTCCACCACGGATGAGATAGAAGAGCTCCTTCACGGAAGCAAGTGGTTCGCGCGTGGCTGGACGCTCCAAGAACTGATAGCTCCGTCTGACGTCGTCTTTTGCGATCACTCGTGGCGAGAGATTGGCACGCGCGAGTCACTCAGCGACGACATTGCCGCTATCACGGGCATCGATGCTGGGCTGTTACGGATGGAGAGGAAGCTAGGCGAGTTTAGTGTCGCGCAGCGGATGTCGTGGGCAGCGGCAAGACGGACTACTAGGGTCGAGGACGAGGCGTATTGCCTGATGGGACTGTTTGATGTCAACATGCCGCTGCTGTATGGAGAAGGACAAAAGGCCTTCAAGAGGCTCCAGCTGGAGATCATGAGGCAGTGTTACGATCCTAGCATACTCGCTTGGGCTAGCTCGGACTCGTATGCAGTTATCGAAGGGGTGCTGGCTCAGTCGCCGAGTATGTTCGAGAGTTGTGGGGGGATTACTTGGAACGCTGCTGATGGGATTGCGGGTGATGACTATAACGCTGGTGGTGCTCACCAGCCCAACAACTTCTACCACGAGATAATTGGGTCCTTTCTTCTGAAGATGCGTGTTCCGATATCAGATTTCAACGCCCGACATACCGAGGAACATATAGTCTATAGATCCTACTGGGACGTCTTCGGCTCTCTTGACGACTCCATAGTTCACGTCAAACCTCCCACTCTAGGAGAATTATCCGACGACATTGAGGGTACCACTGCCGGTCTAATATACTTCCCTCGCCGCATCGAAGAGTTCGAATCTTCCTACCTCCACGACAGCCGGTTCCGCTCCTTCAACTACTCTTTCCTCAAACACAAAGTCAAAGACATCATGCTCGTTCCTCTCTTCGGCTGCACAGTCTTCTCACCAGCTTCCACCACGAATGTGCGATACACAGTAGGCATAACCTTCTGCACCGACTCAGCCGGCCACTTCAAGCGGGTTCACTTCCCTTCACGCTTCCTCATTCCTCCATCGGACCTGCAGCACTTCTTTACACCCCCCGAACCACCTCCATTGGAATACATCCAACATGGACATGAAAACGGCAGCCGTGGTCGGAACAGCTACCTCACCCTCCACCTCTCCCTAACAGGCACCGAGATCCTTCTCCGCCCTCCCGTCCCCAAATGGGCCCGCTGTCTAGTCCGCATCCCTCCTTCCCTCCTCCCCCAAACATCAGAAACTACTACTTCCCTATCACACCCTCCCATATCAATCTCAACCATCCAAGCTCACAACCCATCCACTTCTACCCCCTTCTCCATCTCCCTCGCCTCCACGCCGAACCTCATCCCTTCCTCTTCCTCTTCTTACTTCTCCTCCGCCTCCTCCGGTTTTTTCACCCCCACAATAGCAACATCCGGCCACAACCCTAGTCACAACCTCGAGGCAACAACCCACCACACGCTCCCCTGGTCCCTAACCCACACCATACCGCCCCAAGCCGACGACGGTTCCGGCTGCTGGTACCTCGACCGCTGGTCCGAAGTCACCGACCGCGCTGACTTCAGCCAGCAGCCGTGTTTTAGCCTGCACAAGGCAGGGGTGCCGCGGGCGTTGGCGTTTCGACACGGTATCGATCCGGGGTTGGGGTTCTTGTTGGTTTTTTGGGTTGTGAGATCAAGTGGGAAGGGGGCGGATGAACAGTGGCTTGAGGTTACCGTACTAAAAAAATGAGGGGATGGGTGTGATGTGGGCGAAGACAGAGAGGGATTTGGTTAAGGTTTTGGGGGCGAAGGGTTTGCTTGTGATGGGGGAAACGGGAGCAGGTATGGGTGCTGGTGTTGGTGCTGGTGACAAAAGGGGAAGAAGGAAAAAGGGGGAGTGGGAGTTTGAAGTTGGGGAGGGAATGGTGCTGAGGGTCAAGATTAGGAAGAATCTGAATTATGATATAGCTGTTTTGGATTTTAGGGAGATGGGGTAGCTACCTCTGCCTGTCGATAGAACAATGCATAACGAAATACGTTTGAATTCCAAAAATGACAATTCCCTCCGTGTGTTCTTGTGTTATGGAAGCTTGAAAATACGATACAAGATATCCACACGGGCCTCATCTTCCATCCCAGCGGCAGGACCTTGACTGCCCGGTGACCATATAAGCACCAAAAATCCCTTCTTCTATCACACCCCATAGCGTACCCAGTAATGCGTTGGGTCTAGAAAATGCTTGGTATTTTCGTAGGTCTTAAGTCTGGTCGATTGAATTCTCTTCGTGAATTCGACTTCCGATTTGATCGGACTGGTTTTTTGCTCGTTTTTTCTTCTTCTTTTTTTCTTCGCCTTTCATTTCCAACTTTGATCATCGTCGATTGGGCGTTAATCTCTTTTACTCACCTTTTTGGCTTGGACGGGGATGCAACATCGATTTTTGACCTTCCCACAAAGTCCAGGCCATCAAATTGTTCTACAATCACTTTCACAAATTGGACCCTTCTGTGTTACTGCCCAACTCGGGTTTGATTCAGAATTTTATACAAGTATAGAACAACTGCCAACAAACCAACACATTTGGACAAGTTAAAACATCCCGACAGGCCCCAGAAAAGATGGCTACCACGCTACCTTCAGTTAGACACCAAGAGCAGCATTGAACAAAAACGCAGCCTGCTGTCCCTTCGCAGCGCCCGCAGCGGCGCTCGCCTGCTTGCAAGTAGCCACCGTGTCCGCGCTCGCCTTGCAGGCATCCTGGAGTCTCTGGCAGACAAAGTCGCTTACGACCTTGATGTTCAGGGCACTGCCATGGTTGAAATCCTGCCTGTTAACAGCCTGGAAGCTCTCCTCCTTGCGACCGTCCAGACCCGCAGTGAACTGGATCTGGGGGGTGCCGCAGCTGCCAAAGTCCAGCCCGGGCGTACCGTGTCTGCGGCCGAGCTTTCTGGCCTCGCGGCGGAACTTGTTGATAATGGTCGTGGCGGCGGCGCTCTTGCACTCGTTGGTCTGCTGCGCACACTGGGCGGTGCCGCCGGTGATCTGGCCCGAGTTGGCCGCGTTGAAGCAGGCGTTGTTCTGGATGTCGCACGAGCGGGAGAGCGCGGCGGAGGATTGCAGGAAGGTGTTGCCGTTGACGGAGAAGGGACGGTCGGCGCCGGCGGTGAAGAGCACGGGCGGGTGCGGCGCCGCCGAGGGAGCCGGTGAAGGATTGGACGTTGACGGTACCGCCGGTGTTGTTGTCACCACCAGTGTTGTTGTCACCACCAGTGTTGTTGTCACCGCCAGTGTTGTTATCACCACCAGTGTTGTCATCGCCAGTACCATCGTCCTCACCGGTACCGTCATCCTCGCAGGTGTCGTCCTCACTGGTATCATCACCATTACCATCGTCAACGATATCATCGTTGCCAGTATCATCGGTAGTACCGTCATCCTCGCAAGTGTCATCTTCTTTACATAAGAGTTAGCATTCATGACAAACTTGTTAAACATTGACTCGTTGCTCGGGTACTTACCAGTAGTACCATCATCACCACCAACAGCAGCCAGGATCTCCTCCTCAGTGGCAGCAGGAGTAAGAAGGTTCAACGTAAAGATGCAGCCCTTAGCATCGTTCTCATCATCGCAGGTGTTGCCCTTGGCAGTGGCATCATTGAGCTATGTCACAGTTTCTCGTTAGTAAACCGGCCATTGCTAACAAATAATATCAAGAAAAGACATACATCACCAGGAGGGAAAGTAGCACTCTCAAGCGCCAACAACGGATCAGCACCCAATCCCTTCAACACCTTCGCAACCGCCAGCTCAATGTCCTTGTTCCCGGCCTTGCCCTCCTCACTGGCAGGATCCTGATGTTGGGTAACAGCCGCGATCTCCGGATTCGTCGCCGTCTCGTTGCAGATAACGCTAGCCAAGCCGATCTTGCCAGTGTTACGCTCAATGGCACGGAACAGAACAGCGTTGACCTGGCCGTCGAGGTCACCGGCGGCCTTGGCGTTAGTAAAAGCCTGGTCGGCAACAATCTGCTGCAGACAGTCCAGGTTGGTGACCTGGCCCGCACCCGCGGAGGCGGCGGCGTTGCCGAGAAGGGCGAAGACGGCGTCCTGGATGTTGAGAGGGTTGTTAAGCTTGAGAGCGGTGTTGGTAGCGCGCAGGATGGCCTCGTGCGAGTGCTCTTGGGGTACTTCGCGTTTGTAGAAGCTTGACTGGTAGGGGAGCTCGCGGGCGGAGGTGACGGTGGCGACGGCCAGGGCTAGGAGGGTGGCGTTGTACTTCATTTTGTCTGTCGTTTGGGTGGTGATAAGTTCTGTGATATGTTGTTTATGAACAGTAATGGTTGTTGTTGTATATGCAGGTTAATGGGATCGACCTGTCAAAGGGGAACCCGTGTAAAAACAAAAAAGAGTGTTGAGAATGTTAAAAGGAAAGCAAAGTTCACAGAACTGCTATCTAAAGAACGAAAGAGACGACTAAGACGAAGGTTGAAAGAACGGAGTGGGTGGTTAGCTAGGTTGTCTTTTCCATCTGTGTTCCGTGAAGAGGGCGACCATGGCTTATATATGTCCATGGTCGTAAGATCCAACAACCCCCTTGTCGAGAGAAGCATCCACCATGCGTTCCTTGATCTCCTGCTATAACACAAGCCCTGTACATACCTACCCTCCGGGTGGGCCACTTCCATCATTGCATAGTAGCATTGAATAGCGCCCTCATCCTGAACCGCTGCCATGGAAAGCCATGAAGCCAGGGCGTCGGCTCCGCTCGAAGCCGGAGCAAGAGAGCCAAGGAAGGAATTGTTTCATTGGATGACGACGTTGTTCGACAGGGGGAATGCGCTGGTCGGAGTCGGAAAGGCCTCGACTCCATGTCTGTTCCATGTAGCAAGCCAAGGAAGCTTACATGTTTTGAGGTATAAGCGATGAGGGCAAGCGTATAAGTTGCTACCCCTCGAACTACCTAGTACCGTAGTACCGGGCGGCTTTTGTCTGGGCCACCCTTCCCTGGTCAACAACGACATGTCGTTGAGATAGGGGAGGTACGAGGATGTAACCACTTCAAAATGAGTGATGGAAGATTGACCGCTGGGAAAACAGACAAACAGCAAGATAATGGAGAAGGGGAAAAATGAGAAATGGCCGCTTGGCCACGGAGTTCCTGCCCGTGGAGCCGGTATGCGTGAACAAGCAAGTGATGATGCTTGAATCTTCTGATCTTGTTCAAATTTTCCCACTTGGGATATGAAGATATGCTCAACGTAGATGATTCGAAATATGTATGTGCCACCTTAATCCCAGCAAAACCCTACCTTTACTGGTGTAACTCCTTGACATTTCCTCCCCTTCGGCCTTCAGTCGACACTTCAAGGTTGGTTTGGCGACGGCACGGTCCGGACAAGATCGTAACAGAAAGCATTGTCGAAGGTAGCTAGCTGTAGTCCCAGTGACAACCAGAGCTTGCTTGCCAATCCAAGTGAAGGAAAGGAAACATTCGACTTCGTGATCCGTTCATAAGATGAGACTTCATAATAAGCGCTTTGATTGACTGTGACGTTGTTCACCCTGTTCACCCCCGTTCGTCGTTTTCACAACCTCACTTCTCACTTTTGGAATGGCCTCGGCACGCCTGGTCGATATCGATAGGCGGTGGGCGGTGGCTGTCAATGACCTTGTCGCCTGCCATGTTGTATGTGTTTTGAGATTGAACCAATGTCCTGCCGTCATGGGTTGTTAGTGGCCGGTTCGGGTGCCTTGGATAGTTAGGTTGGTAAGTCGGATCAGACGAACAATGGAACTTCGCTTGTTACACAACCCTAGGAAGCCCCTTTGAGCCGCAAGGGTGAGGGGTTTCAAGATTCTTGGTGGGAAGAAGTGAAAAGAGGTTAGAAAGCCGCGTCAACACGCGCCCGGGAAGGGGAAGTTCAAAAGATGAGGTTGTTTTGTTTGTGGGGAAAAGAAGCTAGAAGGCAGAAGCAAGGGGTGCGCATGGGGGTACCCGACCCCTGCGATGGAACCGAAACCCACCGAGCGTTGGCAAGGGGCTAGGAGATAGTGCACTAATGGTATGTGACCTGGAATAGGTGGACAATTGTTAACATGGACATCCGGTGTAATGATGTTCGGAGAATTCCTCAGACGTTAACAAAACAACCAGGGTAAGCTAACGGTTCGGGGGCGCCTCCTTCTGGGCGGGTATCAGACGATTCTAAAGGACAAAGCTGTGCTTGATCCGTAGGGGGGTGAGCTCGGAGAAGCTTCAAGCTGAGGCCATGGAGATCTCGAGATCCGGCCAAGCTGATTTCTAACAATCTGGATACAGTATTAGTCTGTCCCGCGTAGTCAGTTGTTTACACCAATGCCGGGTCCTATGACTACCATAGATGCGTTAGCATTAAAAATATTCTGAGGTGACCTATCTTTCTTCCAGAAAGCTAGTCACCACAACAATTGCTGTTATGAGTCAACTGCCACGTTCTCACGACAGACATGCTCCAGCGAGCCCTTCTTAAACCATAATAATTTTCTACGAAGCCGGTCTAAACGAGAAAATGATGCCAAACATAGGGAAAACAAAAGTGCTAGAACCCAGCAGCCACTTAGCCCCATGCTCAGCACCACTGTCAGGTATGTGGGAGTACGTAGGTGAAGAACGCAGTTTCGAGTATATAGGAGTTTCCGTATGATCGGTCGTGACACTGTAGGTCGGTGTATATGCGTATGTGTGTCTTCTTCTTCTGTCTATAGGAAGGTCGTACGAAAATCGCGAAAAAGGAACCATGGAAAACAGAAAAGAATCCCGTTTTATGGACTATGACACGCTTCCATCCAAGCCCTCTTTGTCGCATTATTCCCGTACTAATACATTCTTTCCCCTTTGTGAACGTCTCTCAGACAAGCAAGGAGCGGGGGAAAAAAAAAGTGGATAGGGGGAATATCGAAGAGGATTCCCCCAGTGTAGGTTTGGTTATAAAAATATTGTCTTGTTTGTTCTTCGGTATCGGAAAAGTTTTGTCTCTTTTTGCAGCTGCTCGCTTAACCAATGACAAGCTTGCCATCCTCGGGGAACTCGTAGTTGGGGATCTCGAGGTTCAGAGGGGCAGGTCCTTTCCTGATACGGCCAGAGATATCGTAGTGAGAACCGTGGCAAGGGCAGAACCAGCCACCGAAGTCACCGGCCTCGCCGATGGGAACGCAACCCAAATGGGTGCAGACGCCTGTTTTTGTTCAAACACCAATTGTCAGTCTCCCCATAACGTTGTCGCGTATCCGAAATCCGAGCATCCAAATGCGCTGTCCTTCGCCTCGTTCGGAAAGGGGGACATGGAGGACGTACCAAGCATGACGAGCCACTCGGGCTTCTTGACACGGTCGGCATCGGCCTGGGGGTCACGGAGGTTGGAAACGTTGACCTGGTTGGCCTCATCGATCTCGGCGGCGGTACGGTGACGGATGAAGACGGGCTTGCCACGCCACTTGATGATGACCTATAAAGTAGGGAAGAGACCGGGGGTCAGCGTTCCATCCTGGCTTGTTCGTCGTCGGCAGGAATCGGTTGTGCCCAGCCCAGCCCAGTTCGTCGCTAAGGTGGTTTCGTGGTGGGAATCCTTACGTTCTTGCCCTCGGGAATGGAGGCGAGGTCAACCTCGACCTTGGCCATGGCCAAGACATCAGCGGAAGCCGACATGTTCTTGAGGAACTCTGTATATCACGAACGCCTCGTCAGCTGTCTTGAGTTCTTGGGTGTTCGTGTATATATGTGTGTTTGGGCAGGACGGTCTCCCCCCATCCTTGCTCCAACATCGCTCCAACACCCAACCATATCCGCCCCCGTATCGAAATGTTGTCATGGTCGTCGCATGTCGATTATCGATGAGTCGGAGTCGTAGATAGCTTCGCCCCACCATAACAGAGCCCCCTTGTCGAATTTCCATTGACCCGAACCCATATGTCACATCCCATCTCTTTGTTGGTATTCGCCCCACTGCAACATGTGAAGCTTCCTCCCAGGATCCCTCAAGTCAAGACTCACCCTGGATGGTGGACTTGGCGCCGGCGGCGGTGATGGCGCCCATGGTGCCGACCATGAAGTAGGAGAAGAGCATGTTGGTGCTGCCGGAGCCCTTGCTCATGTATTTGCCGAAGTCGGGGATCTTGGAGGCCTTGCTCTCGCCCTTGAAGGGGCTCTCGAAGGTGGAGGACGAGGAACCCTGGAGGGCAGTCGAGGTGCTGAGGGCGCGAACGGCCCGGGCGGGGGCAGCGGCGCGCATGGCGGCGCGGGCAGCGATCGAGACGGGAGCCATTGTGTCGGTCGATGGACTGTCTGAAAAGAGGATGGAGCGGAGAGAGGGGAGGGGCTGCGAGGGCAGGCGAAAGAACGAGCGAGGTTCTTCTCTTTTCGGAGTCGCGGAGACGGTGGACGTGGGCGGTGTTCCGGAGACGGAATTGACGGCTGCGTAATGCGGTCGAGACGACGAGGCCAAAATCACGGACTGAGGTTTTTCTGGGCCGAGCTTGGTTCCCACCTTTCCCGGCATGGAAACCGCCATAGCTACGGCTTGTGGCCTGAGGCACTAACCAACCACAGCGTCCGCCCAGCATGCTAGAGAGCTACTTAATGCGTGGGTCCTGATTGGATGAAACCGCCCGTTCGTCCACTCTCCGGTTTCTTCCGTCGCCTGGTTCTCCCTGTTAGTGGTGGGGCATCACCATACTGGCACCACAGCCCCCGAACAGCTGTCAGCGTACCAAGCGTGCCAAGACAGTGATGTCAATTGATAGTATTTGATGCATTTCCATTCGTTCCCTGGATGATGCTATTCCCAAACCCTATTTGCACTACATGCTGGCCTGCTGTGAGCACTCAATGACAAGACATGCAATTGTCAAAAACTCCCGAATCCAGATTGATGACTTGTAAACATTATCGAAGCAAATTTCTCGATCGTTTACTCAATGCACTCCGCCGTAGCTCCTCGACCATATTGCGCATCTGCTCAACACTCGGCCCGAGACCCTCGCAGATCTCCTTCTGCGTCGTCTCATCCACATCCAAAAACCTCTCCAACAACTCCCCATCCAAGAACCTGACCGGCCCAGTCGTTCCATCTGTCTCGGGTCCCCTCTCCGCATTACGGAATGCCCTGTAGGAGTTGAAATCGAGCTCACCGACCGTCTTGATCACCGCCGCCAGTTTGTCCTGGAACCGAAGCAAGAGGTCCTGCTCACGCGCGATTGTGCCAAACAAGTAGATACCGCCTTCGGCCTATTTCAGGATGTCAAGTTGTTAGCCTTCCTCCTATTATATAATCCCCTTGAAAGAAGAAACTCACCGTAGCCAAGAACGCTCGAGGGATGATAATAGTGTTCGGACTGGTCTCGACCTTGATCGGGCGTATCTTGTTCACCTGTTCTCCCAGATTGAGCTCGCTCGTTATCCTTAGTTGACGCTGGTCCTCCGCCGTCACACCCTCAACATTACGTTGAAGCACCACCAAGTTGCCATTGGCATCGGCTTCAAGCCAAGACTCGCCCTCGACATGGGCCACAGCCGTCGCCCAGGCTGAATGCCTGTGTCTTGCGCACTCCACCAACTTTGCAGGTTCATATTTCTCCTCTTCGGTTTTAGCCTGGACGTACTCGACCAAGGTAGCCGACTTCATCATGTCAGCGACAGCGATGATGTTGCCATGCACCGCAATGTCGATTGGATAAGTAGTGCATCGATAGGAGGCAAGCTTAACGAGACGAGCCTCGGTGCTCGACGTCTCCTCATACTGGCTGATAACCACTGTCTTGTGGAGTGCAGCTACGATTTTGCTTCCCATGACGGCCAGAGCGCGGCAGGCTCCTCTCAGTTCGTGCTTGAGTACCAAGTACGGATCCCGGTTGCTGTCAATCCCAAACACCAAGATCCTACCGCGCTTGTCCGTACCTGCGCCACGGTCGGGATCCTCCAGGAAGCTCGTACCAACGATGAACCTCTCCAAAAGATTTCCGTAGGAGTCAGGCAGCTCTGCCCTGATGACGTCCTCTACTAGTTCGGAATAGGATGATGTTCCGAGCCTGAACTCCCTGCCAGCCCTCGCAAACAGGATCTCATCGACCAGCTTGAATGAGCTTTGGATGATCTCCTCGCCGTTGACCATCTCTCTTCTGATACACCCAAGTCCGAAACCCTTTTCACTAGGCGAGTAGGCAATTCTACGCACCATCTCTCCCAATTCCAAAGATCGCACATGCGTCCGTCTGGCCGTGTCAATCTCGGAAATCTTGATCTCAGTCTCAGTAGACAGGACGACAGCTCCCGGGAAAGCCTCAGAGTCAAAGGGACAGACACAGGTAGCGTCTTCAGCCGTCACAGCTGAGTAGATGATCCGCCCTTCTGATCCGTATATCAGACTAGGGTGCTCAGTCGTCGCAAAGATGCTGTAGATGCCATCTTGCTGTGGCAGCAAATGGAAGCGGGCCTCCCTGGTGCCAAGGATGACACTCTTTCGTCCGGAGAAGGTCAGATCCTCGCCAATGTTGAACGTGACCACGTTTCCATCTTCCATGGCGATGAACAGGGTCATTCCGGGCGTATTAGGCAGCACCTTGGCCAAGACGATATCGCGAGGGATGGAAGCATCATCTGCACTGCGACGGAGAGATTCGCCGTGTATGGGCTCCAGGGTGCTCATATCGATGATGGACACGGTTCCAGACGTCCAAAATCCTACCACACCCACATCCGATAACTGGGGCGCCACGTGGATGCAGGCTATCTGATCCTGTTCACTGACGTCCTTCTCTTGCACAACCGTCAAGTCGTTATCAATGTTGATGGAGACCAGGGTAGTGCCTTGAACGGACAAGAGCAGCCAGTGTTTGTTGGCTGAAGCATTGATGATCTGCCTGTCGCCTTCAGGAGCCCACGATGCTATCGTGACTCCGCTTTCCGCGTCAAGGAGAGTAGCGGCAGCTGTGGTTACCTGGAGCAGTTGCCCATTGTCGAGATTCGTCGTCAGTAGTGTCTGATGCTGCAGGTCCATCCCGCAGTAGTCCGCGACTTCCTCAATCTCTCCGTGAGGGTCGAACCTGAATATTCGTGTGTCAGTCAAGAAGGACGCGACTAGCGTATCCGCGCGCGAGGAGTTGTAAGATTGGAGGGAGAAGAGCGCCCGAGTGTGCTGCAGCTCACCCAGGATCGCAATATCCTGTAAACCGACACCGCTCCGTACACTTCGCAAGGTTCCATCCTTGAAGATACCACTTGCTGTGACAATACGGGCTTGGCCAGAAGAGTACTCGTTGCCCAGCTGACTGTCGTTTTCTCGATTCCCCATATCCATAATGGTAAAATCCGTAATAGGACCGATATTCTCTAGCACCTGGACCAGTTGCAGGATTTCATTGAGATCCTCGTTGAGGAGGTTGAGCCGGTAAAGCTGTGAGTTGCCGTAGTGTGAACCGACAAACAGCATGTCGTCACCCAGGTACGTCAAGACGTGGGCGCGGGCCGTCCTGCCAATGTTGGAAACATCCATTCCTGTGACCACTGCGCCCTCGGTCAGAATGGTGAGTAAGTGTAGGTTTCCATAGTCGTCAGCCAGGAAATAGTGTGTGGGGTCATACTCGGCCCAAGCGACGAATATCGAGGGCTCCTTGAGGGCAGACTCGACCTGCGTCTTGGTCACTTCGTCGATGTATAACAGCCGCGTTTCACCGATCACTATTAGACCACCGACATGTGGCTTTGCTTGTTCCGTGTTACGGAAATGATGTCTCTTAACCTCCTCCTCGACCTTTTTGACCGGAATAAGTATGCCCGCACCTGGGTCTTCCACATCTGCGTCGATCTCCCGGTCCCTAGTGGGATCGAACTTGGAAATCTCTGTGTGCGGTCGTCCGATGTGAGGCGGTACGTCGCCAGCTTGGTTTCATTGGAATTGGCCTGATTTCTGTAGAGGAAGGCAACCTTGGGGATGCCTGTCTCGGTGTACAGGAAGGTGCTGCCCTTGATGAAGAGCTCGGACAGGCGCACTTGTACCAATATGTCGAGTGTCGTCGCCGTGCTCTTCCGATTGCCCAGCCGCCAGACCGACAGGACGCCCTCCCATAGGTGCATGGCCATGAACCTCCCGCTGGGATCGACGATGCATTTGTCCTGGCTCTGCGAGTCGCGCATGTGGCGCTCGCCCGGATCGCTAAATCGGTTCAAGGTTTTTAGTTGTTGGGTTTCGTGGTCCCATTCTGCCGTGAAATATTCGAACTGATCGGTGCCGACGAAAAGAAGGTCGGTCGGGTGGTCTTTGGGCTGAAGCTTTTGGAGAATCGTGATGGTCCCGTTGATGACCTTGGAATGGATCATGGATAGATGACCGTCGGCGAGCTTCCATATTTCTATGCGATTCGTCTTCCTAATGTTTTTGAATCAGCAACCAAGACACAACACCCAGAGCTTATGAACTCAAAGGGGTAAGGAGGTCCATACGCAATAATCAAGCTCTCCTCCTCAGGCGACAAAAGGTTGATGCGCAGAGCATGCCGCACGCTGCTCGGCCGGTGAATCGGGGCGACGTAGGCCATGGTGTATGATGCGGCGGGCGACAGAGGCTCGAGGTTTGAGATATTCACATTCGAGGATTTGTGAGATACATAGAAGTAATGCCTTCGTATTGGGGTGTCGTCACGGCGTCGGTTCTTTGTGGTTAGGGGAATGAATGCAAGCGTTGAATGATTTCCAACAGTGGTGATGCAACCGCCTGCGGAGTTTAGAGCAGTTCATCCGTTCGTTGCTGGGGCGAGCGGGGGCTGCAAGCTCTCTAACTTTCACTGTACTTGAACGCTACCCCGCGATCGCGACGCGTCAAGCTCTTGAATCTACCTCTAATAGCTGAACCATCACCAAACAAAGCCAATGCGACGAGAAAGAAAGTTTGGCCAAGGGCTGCTAACCGTGCAACTTTCTCTAAAGGTGCAACTGGGAGTAAACAAGTCATTCAATTCTCATTTGGCTTCCGTTCTCTCATTTCTGTTCTACAATTCTCAAGTGCCCATGTTTTTGTATTAGTGACTACGGTGGGGCCACGTTAGTGCCACTTGCGAGTAGTGACTGCCCATTTGTTTGCCAACCATTTTGTCCAATGGGTCTTCGATTTGTTCCACTCCTTCAATATCATCTTCCTCCACGCCTGAATCGTCCGCGTAGAATCCTCGTTTCCAGCACTTAGCTGTGATAGTTAACCTACAATCTAACCCTGGTTTGTTTGTTAGTCTGGCACAACAAACGCCCATTTCTACCCTCTAGCCACTGGGAGAGGAAAGGCATTCGGGGTTCGATCGGACGAATGCTATAGGGACCGCCGTCTTATATCTTCCAGCCTTTGAAGGCCTGGAGATCAGGACGCAGAGAGGTATCAAGAGGCTTCTGTGGCGTTTTCAACCTTTGTAAGTGTCTTATGAAGCTTCAAACGGAGGTGGAAGGTGCGCTCGTGCGCACAAACCACCGTGCAACAGAATTTAGGTAGAGCTCGCGGTTTCAAACCATTAGTTGAGGGTTAGACCAATTATAATCTTTATTTAGTACCTAAAAGAACTATTTATTATGATTGCAAACTGCATTTCATTAGCGATCCAGCCAAGGAGGTATTTATATTATTAATTGAGGAAGACACACTATATATATAATTTTTCTACTATTACAACCGCGATCAGATATATATAATACAATGAAACGACGGAAATGAAATTATAAACACTAGAGAATATGGTAATAAACCTTCCTAAAACGCACGAGTTACGTTACTGCAATTATTTAGTTATTAAAATAATTAATTACTATTAATACTTAAGATCCAATTTCCTGCAGAATAAAGTTCAGGACTAATGAAATATATGATTATGATAATATTTCCTTAACTAATAATAATAGTAAGTACAACTACAAAGTAAAAGTTTATTTGCAATTAAAACTGTGACGAACGGCAGTCTGATCTGCCTAAATGAGATAGCTGAAGGTAGTAACTATCAGAGTCGTTCGGTGAAGCTAAAGGGTTCACAACAAGTATGCTCGTAATACTGGTCTCGGTGATAATGATCTATTGACTACTGTTGAACTATCTGACAATCTAAGTTCTCCCGTAGTCCCTTTATGTCATGGGGCTGGCGCCTAGGGGTGTTTGCCTGGCTTGAACTCTATGAAAGCCAGGCCTGCCTTCTGACTGGGTGCACTCCTGAGGTATGCCGCACGAACCACATTTTCGACCTTGGCGTTTCTAGCACCTTCGATATACGCACCTCTCTTGTGTATTTAGCTGTAAGCTCCATGCCATACTGGCACAGACTTCCCTTTTCCTCTTTGTCGAATATTATCACTTTCACCAAGGCCTACCTGTGTGTATACCTCGTAGAACCCTTACACTTTATACCTGCTCGCCCTCTGCGAGATATCTGTTTCCGGATGTCCACGTAGACGTGAACCCCATAGCGTGTGGTTTACAAGCTGGCTCGATTCGTGAGTCTGGCTTGACTGGTGAGCCTGGCTTGACTCCGTTACACTGCCTAGCTTACGCATGGCTGTTGGGTACCGGTGGCTTGGTTGGCCCGTGCCCGTCATTATCAGCTCGTAACAGTTCTCCAGTCGTCCCTTTATACCTCCTCGTCCTCTGCGAGATATTTTTTTCTGATGCTCTTCTGAGCCCATAAGTCTATCTGATGGTGGTGGCTCACTGATGGTATTGGCTTACCTTGTGGCCCTGGCTCACGCGTGAGCCTGGCTCAAGGTGTGAGCCCTCATGGGGTGTGAGCCCTTTTGGTTCTGCATCCTACTGGCTCTTATGGTTGCACTGTTCTGTGGTTGTTGTATCTTAGTGACTTAGTTGGCCCGTGTAACTCGCTTAAGTTCGTAACATTTATACATATTAGCAATATTTAGGAAATTTGTAATACTTTATAATAAGTGCTTAAAAGAAAGAAGGTTACTATAGTAATTATAATACTAATAAACTAATACAAAATATAGAAAATACTTGTATTAATACTACTAACGGTTGAGAAGTATAGTAACAAGTAAATAAACATTTCAAATAGTTCAAATCGCTACAAAAGTGGCCAATTTTCAATATTATGCAATTCGTAATTATGAAATTACATATGTGAAAATGTGGCCAGCTGTGGAGGGTGGCCAGATGTGGGGTGTTACGAACTTAAGCAAGTACACGGACCAACCAGGCTGTCGGGATGTGGCAGCCCCCGCTCACGATTAGGACCATGTAATCTAAGACAAGGATTGGACCAGAGAGCGCATGCAGAGTGCTCACTGAAGGGCGGCGCTCACGAGTGAGCAGGACATCACCAGTGAGCGGACACACAACATCCAGTAGATAGAACTATGGGGCTCAATAGAGCAGCCGGAGACAGATATCTCGCAAAGGGCGAGGAGGTATAAAGAGACGACTGGAGAACTCAGATTGTCAGATAGTTCGACAGTAGTCAATAGATCATCATCACCGAGACCAGTATTACGAACATACTTATTGTGAACCCTTTGGCTTCACCGAACAGCACTGATAGTTATTACCTTCAGCTATCCCACTTAGGCAGATCAGACTGCCGTTCGTCATATGGGGTCATGACTGGTAGTATTTAGGTAGAGTTCGCGGTTCTAAACCGTTAGTTGGGAGTTAGACTAATTACAACCTTCGTTTAGTACTCAAAAGAACCATTTGTCACTGTTGCAAACCGCATTTCAGAGGCCAAATTTTCTCTTTGAAGGCCAATGAGAGCTCCAAAACTCCCTGCTCAACCCATGGCCGGAGAACCAAACTAACAAACAAACCAGTATTGAATTGTACACAAACGATGTAGATCATTATGCATCTCTTGCAAAGCTTGCCATGACCTCTGCCGCCAGATGTCCAAGGCTTCACGAGGCACCGTGAAGATCAACCAGAAGCAGCCAAATTCATCAGCTGTCAAGACGTTGCTGAGGTGATTGCCACTCCGTTTCTGAACATCATATTGAGAAGATCAAGCTTTCTTGTCCTGTTTCTCTTCAAGTACATCAAAGAAAGGTCGTTGAGCCTGAAGTGGGAGTCTTGACATTGGGGAATGGATATGGATATTGCGTGCGTGTGTACGGATGAACTCGAACTCCGATATTCCCCTTTTATGTGCATAAGCCGATTCTCGGAAACTCCGTAATGGGATGGATGCTTCAACAAGTCAGACTTGGAATTAAGTCAAGACCGTAAGGACTGTTTGGCCTCCACGGATTGCCCAATATGGTAATCCCTCCAAGCTATGTGAGCAACCTCTGGAACGAAAGCTTTAGTAGGTTTCCACGTAAGGAAAAGATGACAAGAACAAAACATTTCTTCCTCGCATCCCGAGCACGAAGCCCAGGATTGCAATGAAAATGACCTGAAGAAAGGAAACATACTGTACCTATGTCCCCCCGGTTGCCTGGCTGACTTGGTCTGTGCAAGTGCAAGTCTGGACTGGGCCCACTTATTGTCTGGGGAAGTGGAAACGGAAGGAGCGTTTGTGACGGAAACTTTCCGCGCTTACCAAATTTGTGCGGGATGTATCACGTGCAGCCCGAACGACGACAACGACATATGGAAAGAGCCATATTGAGGGGTGTACTGAAGTTCGACATCAAGCCACCTAACCACGATCATACCTGCCCGAGATAAATTCCTGCAGCAGCACATCTTGTCCCCGGTGAAACCCTGGAACGTAGGACTAGAGCATTGCCCACTGTTCTTCCATTTTCCTATGATGCTGTCCCAAGGGCCACTTCTTGCCTCTGGGGTTGGGCCAGCAGGCGACGTTGAGTGTGTATAGTATAGAAAACGAAGCTCAAGGCACCTCAAACAGTTGATCACTTCAGAAGAGGCTGATTATTCAAAACGGGTATTGATGTGTTCAGCAATGGCACGTTTATCGCAGTATGTACACATGCGAGACACTCGCATGTTTTCCCTCTTGGATAGGCCCGATCGAAATAGATTCAGGATCTTTGTGCTAACAGACTCCCTTAGGTTGTGGAAAGCCGGTATAACTTCTTTGATGGTGGCTGTGTCTAACGTGAAGTTCAAGTTAGCGAGGCTCATGTCCAAGCCGACAGCGCCTGGCGTCGCGAGAGTGGAGATGCCAGGCATTGGAATCCCAGGACTTCTCGTGCATCTGTGCTAAGGACCCAAGATGTTGCCGGTCTAATATCCCGATTTCCACGTTCAAAAGACGAGCCGCAACTCCCACGATCTGATGCCAGTGGCTCGTTCATGCATGAGAACAAGTGTGGTCACAAGATATGGAGTTAAAGGGCTGTGCCTCAAGAGAGAAGATGACTGCCCTCTTTTCATTGTCCATTGTTCCGGGCTTCAGACAAGCAGATGTGATGTTGGCATGGGAATCCGCTAGGCCTCGATGTCAAAGGCGCCAAAGTTGCGTTGACAATAAAGTTCGACATGAAGGATAATATGTGCCGAAATTGCTGGTTTCAACATGGACAAACTTGAGATGGCAAGGCTAAACTCTATGAGAACGAAGTGGGCAAAAGGAAGAGAGAATTCTGGTTCACTTCTCCCTCATGGGTTCCTTTACAACAGACGGCGAGACTTACGTGGCTCACCAATTCCACAAGCAAGTCACCATTCATGGCATTCGGCAGTTCACTTCGACCGGGTCCGACTCAGCTTTAGAGAAACTAAGGTGCAGGATGCCCAACTTCTCCATATGCGTATACCGAAGATCCAATGTTTATCAATCTGTCGCCGTCACCGGGACCACACTTTCTGTGCACCCCTTCACGGTCAGCCCAACAACTTCTTCTGCTGGAATACTTTTGGCACCCGACGACGAAGTGATTGGAGGAAATTAGCAGGACTATCAACAATCTCGAACTGCGAGTCAGTTTACTTTGAAGGCCAAAGAACGAAAGGTTTTTTTTTTTTGACTGAGACTCGCAGGACCGTCGGCCGCCGAGGTCGCAACCTTCACCGACGCGGACATCGGGCATTCACTTGTTGCCCCAAGCGCCGTGCGTATTTATTGTACGGGCAAAAATAATCTTTCACCCTGCATCGCTTGACCTTTTATTCCCTTCCACACCTCCCGCCAGGTCCATCTTGGTGTTTTCTCCCAACACACAACTTGCGACCATCGACCAAATCCCCGCAACCTATTGAACCGCACCACAACAACGTGTCACCGCATTCAAAGCTGCCGACTATCGGTGGCTTTTACTGCAAAATGAACGACGCAAATCACAATCAGCTTGACCAAAATCCAGCGCATCCAGAATACGTTCAGAGCGTCTTCACCTTTCAAATGGACCCGCCCATCGACCCTTCCTTGACTGATGGCCAGTCCAACAGCCCTCTGCAACCGACCACACAACCTTCCCCTCCCCGTTCTTTCCCACCCAACATGGGGCAAATCCAGAACCAGAACTCCCATCCCACTTTTCCGCCTTCTAACGGTCCTTACTATTCCAGCATCATGGCAGCCCAGAACAATCCTAACATGAGCGTCCTGGGAAATGGGAACGGCATCGCACCTGCCCCCCAAGGACAGCAGGCCTTCAACGTGCAGTCGTCTCCTATGTTTTCTCAAAATCCCCCACAGTCGTCCGCTCGTCAGCCTATCGCAGCAACCCAAGCCAATTTGCACGATAACATGGCCAATATGGCGGCTCAGCAGGCTACCCAACAGCACCAGTCACCGTTGAACGGCTTTGTGAGCCACAACCTAGGCGGATACACCTTTATGGGGCTTGCGCCACAGACACACGCCCCGACGTCCATGCAGTATGGGCATCACCAACAACCCGCCGACGGAACGACGAACCAGCTCCTGGGCCAGATCCCATCGTCGTTCGATTTCTCGCTCGTACGTGGTGCCGCCAGCCATTATAATAACGGCAGCTTTCACAACAACAACGCTTCGTTCCGACCCGACAGCATGCCTACATTGCCGTCGCACGCTCCTCAACTTCCGGTTACCTCTTTTCCCATCGATTCTCTCTCCCGTGCTGCTGAGAATCTGCACAGCCAGCTTGTTGCTGAGACTGCGAAAAAGGGGACCTCAAATCGCGCCACGAGCCAGACACCTGTCAACCCCCAAGAAGCAAACCCTGCCCAGCCTCCAAAAGCCAAGAGGAAGTATACAAAGAAGCCAAAGGGCGAGGCAACAGCCGATCCTACGGCTCCTCAAGAGCCACCCAAGAAGCGTCAGCGGGCACAGAAGAAGAACCTACAGACCACCGCACCTGTCCCTGTAGCAGCAGTGGCCAATGCACCTGTTATGTCGACAGCGACATCTACACCAACCTTTACTCCATCTCTCCTGTCCTCGGCAAACAGTTATGATATTTCTCCAGCTACCCAGCCTATGGAGCAGGCTTCAGGAACAACCGCTCCAACACCATCTTCTGGCCACACCAGTGTTACACCTACGCCTGTTGTTCAGAAAGCCCTTAATGCTATAGGTACATTCCAGCCTGTCCAGAGCTTCACACAAACAACAGGCTCGGCCTCAGTTTCGCCTTCGATCCCTCATAACCAGGTGTCCCGGTCTTTTTCTCAGCCGCCGATCTTCAATATGGCTCCCCCTCCGCCGATCCAGGTCCCTTCGGAGTTTGCTACAGCGGCTAGTTCTACTCCAATCCCAGCCTTGAGCTCTGCGCCGTCAACTCATGCGGTGAAGCAAACTCCCGCGAATTTTGTTCAGAAACAGGCCCCTGTTGTGCCTAACAAGGTCACGCCTGTTCCTGTCCCGAATATCCCAACGGTTGCCAAAGTCCCATCTGTGTTTCCTCGACATACACCTGGTACCACTCCATCTCCTCCTACGGTTCCTACATCCACTCAAGCTATGGCTCCGGGCCAAGCTCGTACTCAGGCGCCAGCTTTTACCCCGGCACCCTCTCCGGCTCCTACTCCTGCTCGGGTTTCTCCTCAGCATGCGCCTCGGCCTCCCACGCAAAGCACAGTTGGACCTACAGCCCAGAGAGCTCCTAATGCGGCTTTCACTCCATCTCCTTCTCCAGCTCCCGCCCGGTCCCCCCCTCAGGCTTTCACCCAAGGACAAAACCTGCCTCCTGCTCAACTTCCGGTTCAACCGTCCAGTCATGTGACGGCCCAACTTACTGGTCAATATCAACCTCAGGCTTCTGTTCAGCAACCCATCCAGCATGCTGTTCAGCAACAGCCTCAGAATGCTCTCCAACAACCACCACATCAGCATGCCGCTCAGAATTCCGTCCAGCAACCCGGTCAGCAACAGGTCCAGTTAGAATCTCCGCAACAAGTTTTACAACAAACCCAGGAACAACAGGCTCTTGAAAAAGAGCAAAGAGAGGCCCAGCGGAGGCGGGAATACAACGAGCGACGGAGGATGCAGCGAGTTCGGCGGAAACAGGCTCAACAGCAACAAGTTCAGCAGCAACAGGCTCAGCAGCAACAGGCTCAGCAGCAACAAGGCCAGCAGCAACAAGGCCAGCAGCAACAAGGCCAGCAGCAACAAGGCCAGCAGCAACAACAAGCTCATCAGCAGCAACCGCAAGCTCAGCAACAACAAGTTCTTCAGCAACAGCAATCCCAGCCGCAACCGGGTCAGCAGCAACAATCTCATCAACAACAAGACAAGCAGCAAGCTCAGCGTACCGCTCAAGAGGCTCAGAATACCGCTCAACAACAGACTCAACATGCTGTTCAGACACCCGCTCAGTATGCTACTCCGCAAAAGGCCCAGCAGTATGCTCAGCAACAAGCTCAGTCTGCCGCCCAACAGCCAATTCAGCCTACTGTCCAGCATGCCGTGCAGAGCCCAGCCCAACGTATTGTTCAGCAATCCGCGCAGAATGCTCCTCAACAGCCAGCTCATTATGATGCTCACCAACAGGCACAACAACAAGCTTCGCAACGGGCCTATCACACTGCTCAGCGAGAAGCTCATCAAAAGGCTCAAAGAGAGGCTCAGCAAAAAGCTCAAGAAGAGGCTCAGCAAAAGGCTCAACTAGAGGCTCAAGAAGCGGCCCAGCTTGCTGCTCAGCAAAAGGCTCAAGAAGAGGCCCGACAACAAGCCGCTTACCAACAGGCCCAGCCCGCTGCTCAGCAAAAAGCTCAAGAAAAGGCTCAGCAAAAGGCTCAGCAAAAGGCTCAACAGGAGGCCCAGCTTGCTGCTCAGCAAAAGGCTCAAGAAGAGGCCCGACAACAAGCCGCTTATCAACAGGCCCAGGTTGCTGCTCAGCAAAAAGCTCAAGAGGCCCAGGTTGCTGCTCAGCAAAGGGCTCAAGAAGAGTCCCAGCTTACTGCGCAGCAAAAGGCTCAAGAACGGGCCCAGAAAGAAGCTCAAGAAAAGGCTCAGGAACAGGCAAAAAATCAAACCCTACAAGAAGCTCAGCGTGCTGCCCAATCAGCACCCGCCCCTCCAATCCCTAACTTCACTCCCTCGCCCCTCTCAGAGGCCGTAACCCCTACTATAATCTCCCTTCAGGCCGACACTGATCTCTACTGCGTCTTCGGCCAGCAAACTCTTCACCACTTCCGCGTGCGTCGCAGCACACTCACTGGTCTGCGCCAGACCGACTCTTTAAAAACCACCTCTCCTTTTCCCAATCTTGTGTACATCAACTTTAACGAGGCGCTCACCACCCCCGGTCCCGGTGCCACCCCCAACGAGCTCTCTAACCTGCCCGGTGAAACCGCCGACAGCCACATGCAAGCCTTGAGTCGTCTGCTCAAGCTGCTCGAAGACCCTGCCGCACAGGGGAAGATAGCGTGTGATGTGGAGACCATCTGGCGCCTGGCCAACCTGCAGCCTGCCCTGGGTCTGGATAAGGAGTTTGTGCGCTGGTTGAGACAGTGCATGGCGTTGTTCATCTCGGATGTTACTACCGTGCCTGACTCCACTGGTGGAAATGGGAGTGCGAATTCGTATTGGATGTCCCAGGCGATGGTGATGTCGGAGGATATGTTCGGCAAACGTGATTTGAAGGGCGCAGACGTGAAGAAGAATAGGTGGGAGAAGGCACTGGAGGCCTGCAGGAAGTGGACGTGGATCGTTGAGTGGAGGGATTTGTGCGCGCGGTTGGCGTACCTGTGTGCTGTGGATAAGGATGCGCAGGGGAGGTTTGTGTTGAAGAAGCCCGGTCGTGATGTTGGGGTCTTGACCAGCTTGAACAGGGTGTTGGTTGGGGAGATGACTATTGGTGAGTTCTTTCTTTCTACGTCTGATGTTTGATGGCAATGAGAAGGGTTCAAAGACTAACAAGACCTTGAAACAGATACCATCGTTAACACCAGAACCCAAGCCTGCCGCTACCTCATCAACGTGGCCGAAACCACATACAAGAGCTGGCAAGGTCGAATCAGGAACGGCCAAATGAACGGCGGCTGTCGGAGCAAACAGTGCATGGATAAGCGTACCGGTGGCCTGGCGCAGGTTGTCAGAGGCATTGGCCTTCATATCCCCAAAGGAACCAAAACCACCGCATCCACATCCACCACCGGAGCATCCGATGGATCCAACAAATCCAGCCTCGAGGCCCATCAAGCCCAGCCCCAACCCGCCGCTGCGCCTATCGAACCCACATTCCACGGCCAAGGCACTAAAATGACCAATGGTCTCCCCATCCACACCGTCTTTGACATAATGAAAGCCATCGAGAACGAGCGGCGTGGCCAGTATACCCTCGTGGACGCCGTCCTCGAGACGTACAGCGGTAAATGTTACGAATGCATGAAGGGCTCGGCGTCGGGTCCGGGCGAGTTGAATCCGACCAACTCCTTGTTCCCTGTCATCGACTTGTTGTATGAGATGTTGTGGGATATGAGGGTCAAGTTCTTGGAGTGGACGGAGTGTCCCTGGGTGGAGAAGCTTGTGCTTAAGGGCATTGAGGATCCTGCTGTTAAGGAGAGGTTGCAGGCTGTTGTGGGCGGTGGTGTTGGGGTTGGTGGCACTGATGGTACTGATCTCACCATGGGCGGTACTTAAAGGACGGGGATGGATCCCTTTATAACAGGATATCTTCCCCTTTGTGTGCGTTGTTGGGCGCTGAGGAAAAGCGTTGGCGTTTGAGGCTATAAACCCGGTTAGCAGTGGCTTTCTTTGTGCCAGTTTGGCTACATGTTTGGCGAAGAAAGGGACGGGCTAAAACACAGGCTAGCATGGCACACGAAGAATTGTTTGCAGTATGATCTCGGCGTCAAAGTATGTCATGGGAGGGAGAGAGCTGGGTGTACATGGTTGTTTTAACTTTTCTTCAGTCGAAAAGTACCCCAGCGTTTATAGCCTAATGATATCATTGCTCTGTTTGTATAATCATGTAGCGATTCATGCATAATTCAAATCTTACAAATTCAGAAATTCGACAAGAACATGTGTGGCAATAAGTGTATTCCAGATAAAGAATTCTTCGTCATCCATTCATCTTTCATTAGCCATAGCAGCTTTCTTGGCCCTCAAAGCCCCCCGCCTCTTAAACCCGTGCAGTAATAATCCTCAAAATGGCCTCACCGACTCCCTTCGCGCTCGCCGGGTTCTGGCCCGTAATCAACCGTCCACCCGCATCAACAACGACCTTCTCTCCCCACGGCGCATCGGCCTTCTCGAACCCACCCTCCGTTCCGATCGCCTCCTTAAGCTTATCCTCCAGCAAAAAGGGCATCGCCTTCGTCAGACCAACCTGCTCCTCCTCCTCGTTCGTGAAACCGGTAACCTTGTGTCCCTGCAGCAACTTGCTCCCATCTTTGAGTTCAACATTCACCAGCGCCGCCGGGCCATGGCACACCGCGGCTACTACCTTGCCCGCATCCCAGAACTCACGCACCAACTGCTGAGACTCCAGGGAAACAGAGAGATCGAACATGGGACCGTGCCCTCCAGGGAAGAAAATGGCAGAATAGGGCGCGATGGCAGAGGGGTTGCCGACGAAGTCGGACAAGGGCCGGGTCGATTCGAAGAGCGGCTTGGTGGCTTCTGACTTCAGAAAGTTGATGGAGATGGCGTCGTCCTTGGCGGCGTCGATGGAGGAAGGGTCGACGGCCGAGCGACCGCCCGAGGGAGAAGCGACGGTTAGGGAGACGGAGGCGGAGTGGAGGACGTCGTAGGGGTGGGGCGAATTCGGACTTTTTGGGTAAGGGGGTGGGGGGTTAGTTTGGACTGGACTGGGAGAGGGAGTGGTGGTGGGAAAGGGGCTAAAAAGAAAGGAAGTTTACCAAGTACCAACCGGTAGGCTTGCCGATATCACCGAGCTTGTCGTGGGAGGTGAGCACGACGAGGACCTTGGGAGCGGACATTTTTGGTGATGTTGTCTTTTGGTGTTTAGAATTGGACTTGTAGATTGTAATTGGTATCGTAATGCTGAAATCTCTATTCGATTTAAATCTTTGGGAACGGTAGTATAAAAATATTTGACAAACAGACAGATAAGAGCAACTATTTATCTCAATCCCAAAACCCTCAATGATGCTGTAGTGATGTTTATAAGCCTCTCCAAAAGACCTAATCTGACATATGAAAAAGTCTCTACGTCACTGCCAAGACCTGACCCCTAGCTATACAACGAGCTGCATACCCCACCAAAAATCGACGATCTTGGGATGTTGATTTATCAGCAACAACTTCTGTTTCGACGACGCTCTTTTGACGACTTATTGTCGATAACATACACTACATGATCAGTGATCATTCAGCCAACAACACCGAGCGCCCTTTTCTTGACTTCTGATCTGATTATATGCTCGATTCATCAGCGACCCCTTTCTCTCGACAATTCGTCTCACATTTTTGCAAAGACATTGTCAAAGAAGTGTCTAGATGGAGGTAGTCAGCAATCAGGTACATACACAGCTTCGGAGAAAAGGCCGGAGACTTTTAATAGGTTCGTGGAGTCCGATTTTTGTTTGGATGCGTTAACGGAATGTTGACTGTCGATCGTCCCTGGCCTCGCCTGATACTCTGATCAAGCTTTTATTTTGAGCCCCAAATGCCATTTTCAGGGCGTGGACACTACGCGGATGATTACAGAAATCTGGAGCCTGTGTATTCATAAGTAAGTAAGTATGTATTCGTTACCTCGTACACTCCTTTTTCGTACAATTCTAATCTGCGGCATTGCTCATTGACGAAGGTGACTCAAAAAGCCAACCATTTCTTAACAACCCCATTCCAACACCAATACATCCATCCAACCGGCCATCTTCATCCCCTCATTAACTACTTCGCCAAAGCCACGCCAGTAAAGTCCGTCCTTTTCTGTGTGTTGCCACTGAATAAACCAAAGGCGTTGTTACCCAAACAAAAAGAATGGTGAGCCGTTGATCTAAGTCTTTCAAAAGCTGACAAAAACTCCTTCGCCATGTCGCCATAAAACTCCCAACAAAACAACGCAAAAATGTTTCCGCCGTGTCGAAGACAGCAGCCTATTACTCAATACTCAATCCTACATCCACATCAAGTTCCGACTCTGCCTGCGATTCTGCTGCCACAGCGGCCTTGACATCCCACTTCCAACATGACTTCCACCACCACCACCACCGGCGGCGTTCCCATCATCTCGGCCCATCTCGCTTGTACTCCCCTTCTCGCCAATCCTACCCAGCGCCGCATTAAAGCTCTGCGAAAAGTCGTCAATCTCCCTCGTCAACGGCACCTGATCCGGCTCAAGCTTGCTCTTTCTTGCAGCAACCCCACCAGCGTACGCAGCCGGAAACTGGCCCGGGTAATGATACCCTTCAGCAGGCGGGTATGAATTTTGTCTCGTATGCCCCGGCGGGGTGGGGGAAACCGCCGGTGCTGCAGCCCCAGCGACGCCAGCAGCGCCTGTGTACGGCGCGTAAGGTGAGGGACCGCCGGCGGTTAGATCGTTTGAAAAACCACCATTTCCATTGTGGGTTATTTGAGCAACATGAGGCAAGTAGCCGGGAGCTGGCCCGGTCTCGTAGGCGTCGGGATCTTGGCTCACGGCTGCGAAGCCACTGTTGGGTCCGGGTGTCGGAGAGCTGATGTATTTGCCGTTGATACCGGGGCGACCGGGGCCGGTGCGCGAGTTGGCGCCGCGCCGGCGTCGGAGGAAGTAGAAAATGAGAGCGCCGATGAGGGCCAGGGCAGCGATACCGCCTAGTGTTCCGCCAACGATTGCGCCGGTACGCGCTTTCGTAGAGGTTTTACCTGGTGGCGCATGAGGTGTGTTGGAAGGGTCTGTCGATGTGGTGGTGGAGGAAGCCGTCGTGGTCGATGTGCCAGTTGTGCTCTCGATAGAAGCTGAGGACTCCGGCGTCGAAGCTGATGATTCCGTCGAGGATGAAGACGCTGATGAGGGTGTCCGGGACGCGCTGGTGCTAGTAATAACCCCGAGTGTCGTCGGCGTGCTAAGTCGACTAGCGCTTCTTGTCAAGGGGACAGATATCTGCGAGTGAGTGATAGCCCCCGGCAGCCCGTTCGCGGTAGTGTAAACACTCGTTGCCTGGTCGACAGCCGTACCACACCCGTACTGCGAAGCTCCCCCCTCAAACAAGTTCTTGTAGCACAACTGGACTCCAGTACACGTGAATACGTAGGGGTTCACCTCTGACTGCGGCCCACTGTTGCCATCCACACACGCGGTAAACACACCGGACGTACATGTGGCGGCCCCATCTGGACAACAACCGATCACCTGGTGCGCGGTGTCCAACACGCAGTGAGATCCTGCGCTACATGTCGCCGGAAGCGCTGACAGCCCGCCGATGTAGCCACAGATGGTGCTTCCAGCTTGCCTTCGCGCGAGGTCAAAGGGGTTTAGGGCGCAGCTGTGGGGAGGAGAAATGGCCACGAAACGACATCGAGAGCGTATTGCGCAACGGTGACGGTTGGTAGTGGCGGAAGGGCGATATGAGCATCTGCTGTGCTGTCGAGAAGGCTGGCGAGAAGAAGAAGAGCCGTTGGTGGCGGTAAGCGATGGAAGAAGTCCGTTCTCATGATTTGTCGCAATGCGCTACTCGGCCCCGTCGCGTTACCGACGTGGACTACGAGTAGGTGAAGTGGAAGCCGCGCGTCTTTGGGCTTTCTTCGGGATTAGTTGATACGTAGTAGCGTATATAGTTTGTGAAGTCGTATGGCTTGGTGTATAATCGGACCAGTGATGTGGATGTTTTCGTCAGTTGTCGGTTCAGCTGTGATTAGACGAAGCCGGGAACCCAAAATCTGGGGTCAGGAGCAGTCCAGAACACCGACCAACGACTTATTCGCAAAACGTCAAGGGCGGGGGAGGGATCGCATATACAATGGGCGCGCGGAATGGGAGGAAGGGCCCCGGACGAGAGGAATTGACCGCGACGCGAAGAGAGTCAAGACAGGACAGGGAAGGGTCGGAGTGAACGTTGTGTTGTTTGAAGAAAGGGAAAGCCGAACAGAGCAAAGAGAAGACGCAAGAACAGACTGAACTGAATGGATGGATGGATAGGTGCAGTAGTTTGTTGCGCAGTTGCCCGGTGGAAAGAAGAAAACTTGGCAAGAATCCCGTTCAGTTCGTTCGTTCGTTCGTTCGTCAGACGTGACCTTCTTCGCCGCTCAGGTACCTCGTTCTCGCCCCCAGGTACGGAAAGCCACGATGATACCTGTCCAGACTGCCCATTGCGACTGTTGGTGAAGACCTGGTAGCTCTGGTCAGATAACAGGCCTGATTCGTTGGCCCATAAGGTAGGCATTCAGGGCAGTCCGATTCAACAATGGGATCCCAATTCGGTCCATGAACGACCAAACTATCCTTCACAATTACTTTCTTTCCTTTCCCTTAGGAGTTGCTCCTGTTTCGAGACATTTGTCCAAAAAGGTACCTGCAGGGATGTCTTCGAACTCTTTTGGGTCGCGGACCTGTGGGGATTCGTGGTCGGTCTGGGCTCTGGACTTTCCGGGCTGTCATAACACATGTTTTAATGTTGATATGAGAATGACAGGTGGGGTGTCTTGACACATTATTCCGAGCTCGCCCTCCCTTCACCGAAAGAATACAAAGACATGAGTGTTTTGTTTATTGCAGTCGTCGAGGAAACTCGAATGCGGTGAGAAAGCGAAGTAACGACACGACGGAGGGGAAGCATGATGCATGCGCTACCTCTACGAAGAAGGTACTGTAGGTACCTGTCGTTTACATCAGGCGGGCCGCGGGGCATCGTCGACCCGGTCCACTCACAGGAAGGGATGCACGTCCAGGCGGTCCGGGGCCTGCAGGGCCTGTATGGCCAGGATTGTCCCACCTTCTTGACAGTGTCCAGGCGTCGGTGCCTGTTCATGGCTGCGATAATTCGGAGCTTTGAAGATGTGCGAACCCGTATCACGAATTCCTGACTGTACTAATGAAGAGATTCATCAAGATCTAAATAAATCTTTTGACAAGTCAAGCGAAGGGGATAAAGGGCCGATACCTCGCGACTACGTATGCCTTCTGAAACTTAACAGCTCCTTAGGGGTTCTTTTGGCGCTGACAGCTTGCTCCACCAAATCCACCATCTCCACGCTTGCTGGCGGTATCTTTACCCCAGATCCACTGCTTGGGCGCGTATTCGATACCGTAGAAGTTCTCGTGCAATCAGCCTCTTCATAATATTAATTCGTAACAACAATTTTTCGCTGTTCTGCTTCCGGATCCTAAACCATGTCCATTGTTTGATCATCTTTGCATGAAGAGTGATGTCAACCGGGTAGTGATGAACCTCTATGAATAATACAGATGTAGAGGTATCCCTGTCCCACCACACTCTGTACTATATGTTTGTAGAACAATATTTTCGTTCCTGTCCGCCATGTTTCTTTTCCTGGACATATCCTTTGTTACACGGCTTACAATGCCTCGGTCTTGTGCTTTTCCTCATCGGAACACGGAAGTGATTCCATGCTGTGGCAGTGCGGTAGGTTGCTTGGCCTGCTTGGGTGCATCTACGACGACATAGCGTTTGCCTCACCGCATCCGCCCAAACGTTGGACTGGCCATCTGGTTGTTGATCGACAATGCGTTGATCAATGGCAACTTTTGACTGTCGCGTGAGAATAAAAGTAAAAATAAAGCGGCGCTAAATCCCACGTCTTAAAATCTTATTAGAACGTCAAGGAAAGTCTGGTGGCCAGTGAGACCTCAACTCACTCAGGGCTTTGTGTGTCAATGTAATGCACGATGCGATGCTGTCAAGAAGTTGGTACTACTATTTATTCTATGAACGGGATATCATGTGTGTGCTTTTCTGATTATTATCTCTAGGGTATTCTATTCATCAAAGTATACGTCGTTTATGGTATGTTCTCCGTAAAGCTAAATCGACTTTCCGTCCGAGAGGAGCGAGATGGGCATGGTGTTCTGTGCTGTAGTACCAATTTCTGTTCTCGGTATCTGCGTCTACTCATTTGTCGTTAAGATCATAAGGTAAAGCCAATATGCTCGCTATAATTGTCCTTCAACGAGCAGTCCATCGCCGTTCAGGACTACTACTAAGACAGCGAAACGTCTCCCAATGTTGTAGACTGCTGCGTCTGCATGGCAATCACGAGTTCCGTCAACCGGTCAATCTTGGCAGCCAGATCTGCGATCCGCACCTCAACATCCGTCGCCCGCTCCGTATAAGTTGCATCCTCCTGAGCTTCCTCGGCCTGCCGCGCCTGGTTGACAGAAATGCGCCGCTCCATCGACGACATGCCGGGCCGGCCCTGCGCCGCCTGGTGATCGCTCTGCAGAGACGTGACCGACCTACGGCCACGCATCTCGCGTCGCGGACCCGCAAGCTTCCTCATCATCGCCGGGCTGGCAATGGGCGCCCCGTGCGGCGGTGCCTTGACGGCGCTGTATGTGGCGCCCTTCAACGAGGTTCCCCTAATCCACTCGTAAATGGCGATGATGAAGACGATGGGCAGGTGAGTCGCCTTGAGAAGGATGATGCGAGCCCGACGGAACTTATCGTCGGAAGGCAAGAAAAGGCGGAGTGGTCGGAAGATGACGAGGGCCAGCAGATTGAAGGGCGGGTAAAAGTGCGTGAGCCGGTTGCTAGTCGACGCTTCGAGCACGTAGATACTGTAAACAAAGAGGTACTCCTCCCGGGCGTGCGTGATGACGCGCGAGAAGCTGTTGGAGAGCATGCCGGTAAGGGAGCCCATCAGCAAGATGGAGCTGAGCATGACGAAGAGGATCATGAGTGGCGGCCCGAAGACAGGATCGATCTTGCGCATGATATCGAATCCTACAAAGGTCGAGCCGAAGAAAATCTTGGTCAGGAACCACGTCATGTCTCTCAGCGGGAACGAGTCGCGCCCGACCAGGGAGAAGGTCGTGAGGAAGCCGAGATAGATGATGACGACCAGAACCATGAACTTGACAAAGTCCTTTGCCATCTCCTTGAGGCAAGGGATTAGAGTGCCCCAGTACGGACTCAAGCTGAGGATGGAGCAGACACGAGGGACCATGAACAGAGCTTCGAGTGCCAGTACGTCGAATGCCAGGTCTATCAGCTCTTCATTTTGCGTTCTAAGGCCAATGATTCCTATGATTTCATGTAGTCAGTATGCCGCGTTCAGGGAGGATATGAGTCCCACTTACGCAGCACCATATACGTGAAGCCAATAGCCATGATTGCCATATCGAAGATGTTCTGGTAGAGTAGTTAGCACAGAGACAATCATCTGAAAGGTTTTGAAGGAAACATAGAGCAGGACACTTACCCAAATATCAGCAGCGTAGAAGATGGAACCGGCATCGATCCATTCGCTCAACTCGTCGTAAGAAAAGGCAGCCAGCCACAGGTAAAGGAAGATTTCGAGAGGCGTGATTCGGGTCGGATGTCGTTCCACGAGGACAGCGTAGTAGAGAAACAGGAAACTGGCAAAGAATACAACCTCAAATGACTTGAGATATTTGGGAACCCGAAGGCGAGAAAACGGGTCGGCTGTATGTGGGTTATAGAACCGTGGTTTCTTTTCTGTGTGAACGGATAAGTTGTCCCAGAATACAATATCGCCGTTCCAAATACCGGTGATGATCTTCTGAACGACATTCTGACTAAGGAATCGTTTCGCATCTGCAATAGCGGCAATCTCCAAGGCGTTCAAGTTGATAAATGGGGCGGTCGGGTCATCCTCTTCCTCGTCATCGCTATCGGCCTCGCCAGCCATACTCATGGTGAGGCGTGTGAGAGACTGGAGCAAGAGGTTCCTCCGGCTGTTACCCGTCGGATTGTTGGGCAACTCATGCTTTCGTCTTGGGTTTGCCATGGACTCGGTCCATGCTCGCGCAATGAGAGGACTATGCTCATTGGCTTGCGATGTCTCCTCCTCATCGTTCTGATGGTTAGTCTCCAGTGCTGGATCTGGGATTTCGTACAGACAATAGTCAACAGCCTCTCGCTCAGAAAGGTGAGTGAGAAGACGCCAAGCAGCAATCTCGCAACCGCTGGCTCTGGCATCATTCAGGCCCTTATCCTCAGTGATAGCGCCATAGTGCCATTTTAGTGCGCTATAAATATCATGTTAGAGAAAAATTGGCAAGGAGATGGTTATAGAGGCATGCATACAGCAAAGCATTCACAATGGCTGGATGGTCGCAGTTGAGGACCAAATGGTCGACAAGATGCCGCAAACAGTCTCCAGCAGCCGTAGTACGGAGTTGCTCGAACGTTGACGGCAACCGAATGTTCTCGGCGATATATCTGAAGAGGATCTTGGTGTCAGTTACTCTTCTGATAGTGCCATTGATAGACATGTTGGCTCACAAGGAAAGCTTCTTGATGACGAGCCGGAAACTGTCGTCGGCCCCAATATCGGGCATGTCTGGGAGCTCTGGTATCATGTTCGACATGGTGAGTGGACTTTTGAACTTGTAAGGCGAGGGAGTCCGAATCCCTTCTTCCCCTCCGGGCGGAGGCAAGCGCTGCGACCTGACGCGGAGAACGGGCATCTACCGCAACCGACAAACGCCTCGACAAGGCGAAGGATATGAGCGAAGATCAAGCCAAGATATTGGAGGGGTATCAAGTAATAGTTAGGATACGAAAGAAAGGATATGCTGAGGATGTATGCGAGCAAAATAGGTGAGGGCTGAGGAGGGGAAGACAAAGGAGGGTTGCGGAGGTGAAGACGGAGAGTTCCACCCATTCATGACGATCTGGCGGGAGATCCAGAACGGCTAGACGGAAGGGAAGTCACTAAGCCGCTACCAAATAGCGGGGTGCAGGCCGGTTGGACCCTGTACGGCGGTAACAGACCCCCTGTAAACTTGATTGTGCTGGCATTGAGTGGGTGCCTGACTGCCTGGACCCCCGCAATGTGAATCCCCCGCCTCGCCCCTTGCATCCCGCTCGCTTCTTGTTTTTTTGTCCTTCCCACCACTACCTCGTGATTCGACTCAAGAACAAATCAACCTCGACCGCCGGACATCGTGGTCAATAACGGAACACACGGCATCGACCGACCTGTCTCGATTGGGTGCACCGTTTCATCATTTTGCGGGAGCCGAATCATATCAAAATGGACGCCTCCTGACTCAAGCAGGACACCAGCTGACTTTTATGGTCGTACAATGTCATCATCACACAAAGACATCGACAAGAGTCGTCTCTGGTGATTCTTGCGAGACATTCAACGCCGCTCAACGACATCGATATTGCCTCCCCATCAGCATCAGATAGTGATCCGAGAGCATGGCAGAAATGCTGGACTGTCGCATGACAAGGACATACTCTGGTTGAACTCGTTCCCAGCAACAGTTCGTCTCTGGATCATCAGTCGATATCGAGCACTGGAAGAAGGACATGATCGGCAATGGGATCATTATAGCCGCTATTTCTACTACTGCCCCTTTATTTGTGTCACACCACCGGCAGCTTTGTTTACTTTCTCCCCAACTCGGATCCGGACATGCCTCCTCCGACCTCAGCAATCCGGACATATCCCCTCCGACCTCAGCGGTCCGGACAATATGGCGACGCTCGTCTTCCACCACTGACATCTGTGAATACCGTTGATAGACAATGCGTTCGAAGATGATACCATGCCACCGCTGAGAAGACAATATAGAGGTTGCAGAAAATGATGGATATAAAAGCCAACACTTGGTCACTGGTGTTCAGGATCTCAAGCCATCCCCTTTGTCCCATGCAGTCACAAAGAGATAACGCTTCAACCAAGTGACTAGAATCAACGCCTCGAGAATCCACGATGAAGTCCTTGTTCACCCTCGCCCTCGGCTTGCTATCATTGGTCTCAGCTGCGCCTCCCACTGTCAATGGCACACGCTTCTCCATCGACGGCAAAACGGGGTACTTTGCCGGTACCAACTCGTACTGGATCGGCTTCCTAACCAAAAACCGAGATGTCGACACCGTCCTTGACCACATCTCCTCCTCCGGACTCAAAATCCTGCGCATCTGGGGCTTCAACGACGTCACCCGCAAGCCAGCCTCCGGCACCGTGTGGTACCAGCTCCTCTCCTCGTCCGGTTCCCAGATCAACACCGGTGCCGATGGCCTGCAGCGCCTGGACTACGTCGTCCAGTCCGCCGAAAAGCGTGGTGTCAAGCTCATCATTAACTTTGTCAACAACTGGAGCGACTACGGCGGCATGCCAGCCTACGTGACTGCATTCGGAGGTTCCCAGGAGAGCTGGTACACCAACAGTCGGGCGCAGGCGCAGTACAAGGCCTACATTGCCGCTGTTGTCAACCGCTATATCAACTCTTCCGCTGTCTTTGCCTGGGAGCTGGCGAACGAGCCCCGCTGCAAGGGATGTAGCACTGATGTTATTTACAAGTGGGCAACTGACATCTCAGCTTACATCCGCAGTTTGGATTGCAACCACATGATCACCCTCGGAGACGAAGGGTTTGGACTTCCCGGGGCGACCAGCTATCCGTATCAAACCAGCGAAGGCGTGGATTTTGTCAAGAATCTGGCCATTAAGAACTTGGATTTTGGCACTTTCCACTTCTATCCGCAAAGCTGTACGTAACATGAAACTCCCATGTCAGGGAATCAACACTGACCGTGACTATTCTTAGGGGGGGTGGGCAATGCTGTTGGTGCAGCTTGGATCAAAGACCATGCCTCGGCTTGCAAGAAGGCCGGGAAGCCTTGTCTATTTGAGGAGTGTAAGTGGATGCTGTGAGCCAGTCTGATTTGCAGGTAGCTAACGAATGCTATTCTTCCAGATGGCACCTCAACCGATCACTGCACCATCGAGCGACCTTGGCAACAAGCCTCCCTCCAAGCTGCCACGGAGGGCATGGCAGCTGACTTGTTTTGGCAATGGGGAGATAATCTGAGCACGGGGCAGACACACAATGACGGGAACACGATCTATTATGGATCAGCCGATGCCACTTGCTTGATTACCGAGCATGTCAGGGCCATCAACTCCCTCTAGGTGTGTCGCCGTGGCTGCGTACTCGGATGTGCAGAATTCTCCGGGATTATGCCGTGGTTGATGACCCACGATGCTCAAATAGACGCGTCTTTAGCTGAAACTGAGCCGTGACTCCCGAGGCTGTTCGCTCGCCTTACTTGGGTAGACCAATCATGGGCGGAGGGTTGATGAATGAGCATTCCTCAGGGGGTAAGACGGCTGCGAGCTGGGAATGTTGTCAAAATTTGACACTCGTTCTGGCCACCCAAATTTTTCTGTGGCTGAATTGTTGATAGCTGTGAACTAATCAGCACTGCACGATGCCCTCATATAAGTGTGCACCTAGAGGTATATAAGCAGTAACTTCATAATGATGAAGGGTCTCCTCAGCTCAGCATCTCGGTCACACATCTTCCGAATCACCCTATCCCACACTCTTTTACCAAAGACTCTAACATGGTGGCGACCATCCAACTTCTCAGCGGCCTTGTAGGCTCGCTAGCCTTCCTTTCTCAAGCTTCGGCTGGGCCCTTGGTCACAGAACAAGTCCGCATCATGGCCCTAGGTGACTCCATTACTGGCAATCCAGTTCGTTTCCTCTTCCTTTCTTCTCCTTACCTCCTTGCCTCCTTGACCTCATACATCACGTCACATACTAACCAAAAACCCACACAGGGCTGCTGGCGTGCCCTCCTTTCCCGCAAGCTCAGCGCAACCAACATCGACCTTCCCCTCCCCTACTCCCAAATCCGCTTCGTCGGCACCCAACAGCGCACCTACTGCGGCTACGGCTCCGCCTACGATTGGCCGCACGAAGGGCACGGCGGCTTTCTCGCAACCGGCATCGCCTCAACCACCGTGCCCATTCTCTCCATTCTCTCCGACCTCCCTCTTCTTACCCAACCCCTCCTCACATCCTGGCTCCTCAACCCCGACGTCTCTCTTCTCGGCCGGCCCGTCGACATCGTCCTCATGCACCTCGGCACCAACGACATCTGGCAAGGCCGCCCCACCGCGGAGATCCTCGGCGCCTACGGCGCCCTGCTCAACCAGATGCGCGCCGTCAACCTGCGCGTGCGCCTCCTGGTGGCCAAGATCTTGCCGATGCAACCAGCCAACTGCCCGTCTTGCGCGGCCAAGGTCCAGGAGCTGAACACGTATATCCCCCTTTGGGCGGCGTACGTGAACGGCCAGAATGTGCTGGGCCAGGTTGGGTAGAATCCTCTGTTCAGGCCGGTGACTGTCGGGGATCAGTATGCTAGGTTTAACGCGACACAGTATACCACGGATGGGGTTCATCCGAATGCGAGGGGGGATGAGGTTATTGCGCAGAAGTGGTTAGGGAGTATGTTGGAGGCTATTGAGGCGGTTGTTGATGAGGGGTTGCTGCCTTGAGGGGGGTGGGTGGTTGATTGATTGACGGTGGTAAGTGAGGCTTGGAAGTTTTGGGGTTGTGGATGAGGGATGAGGGATGAGGATAAGGATGAGGAGGAGAAGAAGGATGGTTAGTTTGAGGAAGATGGGAGGCTCGCCGTAACTACCTCTCGTGTCACGCACTCAGCCAGCAAAATCTCTTTTAAGCTCAAGATTCTTGGAAACTCGCCTTTCGGATGAATGATTTCATACTTGAAACGATCACGGCTATAGTTTATCTGAAGTGTTTACTGGCAATGGTACCTCTAATGGGTGAAGTGATGGAGCACGTGGAAGAAGCAGCAGGGTCATTGTTAGACAAGTCTCTGTTGTTTTGTACGAAGGCCTGTAAGATCTGGAGCTTGGCGACCGGGCACCACAAGTCTGAAAGGGAAGGGCGATAGATAGCCGCCGAGCGGGACGGGATTTGACGTCGCTGGTTGCTGAAAAAATACATGTTATCACGGGCAAAGGGTAGATGGTAAATGTGATTATACGTAATTGTACGAAGGAGGAAAGGTAGCAAATACAACAAATACCCAGAAGGATCACCTTATATAAGCCCAGGTGCAGGATCCATCCGGCAGGTGGATCTATAGTATTCGGGCTACCTGTCACGGCGTAACCAGAGGGCACGTTGTGTACGATTTGATTAACTTGGACTAAGAATAAGAAGCTGAAGAGGGAAGAAATCCCAAAAGGGAAGGCTCGATGCCAGAGCTGGGTTTTATACCCAGACCACAGGCGATAACCAGTGACAGCCAAACCCGTGAATGGGATGACCCGATTGAACAGCACCCATGTGAATGGGAGCCTTGATGGCAAGCATGTGACAGCCCAGATGGTGCCAGCCGTCACATATACCTATAATACACATGTCCGGTATCAGATAGTCAAATATTAGAGACTTAAGACGAAGGCACAAATGCGACAATTCGTTTGCGATTCTCGTCGCTTAGAGTTAATAGTGGAGCTGTCGCGGGCAGGTAAGGCACTATCAATTAGCTCTCACCTAGCATTTAGCTAGCATGCAGGTTTGTTACGAACTTAAGTGACACAAAGGACGACCAGACCATTGGGACCTGGCTGCCCCATCTCGGACAAACAACACAGCCTATCACAGTGAGCCAACACTCATTAGATAGACCTATGGGGCTCAGCAGAGCATCCGGAAATAGATATCTCGCAGAGGGCGAGCAGGTATAAAGGGACTACGGGAGAACTCAGATTGTTAGATAGTTCGACAGTAGTCAATAGATCATTATCACCGAGACCAGTATTACGAGCATACTTGTTGTGAACCTTTTGGCTTCACCGAACAGCACTGATAGTTACTACCTTCAGCTATCTCATTTGGGTAGATCAGACTGCCGTTCGTCACATGTAATAAAAAGTATTTACCTTCTTTCGTTAGTTAAGTATTGATAAAGTTAGTTAGCTACTACTTTATTATTTNGATCAGACTGCCGTTCGTCACAAGGTTAAACTTGAAACGTGGCACGTGCGCTTTTAACTACTTTGACCAGCCGAGTAGATTGTTTATTAAAACTCTAATGATGAAAATATCTTTATTTACTGTAATGAACGGCAGTCTGATCTACCTAAATGAGATAGCTGAAGGTAGTAACTATCAGTGCTGTTCGGTGAAGCCAAAAGGTTCACAACAAGTATGCTCGTAATACTGGTCTTGGTGATAATGATCTATTGACTACTGTTGAACTATCTAACAATCTGAGTTCTCCCGTAGTCCCTTTATACCTGCTCGCCCTCCTGCGAGATATCTGTTTCCAGATGTCCACGTAGACGTGAACCCCATAGCGTGTGGTTTATAAGCTGGCTCGATTCGTGAGTCTGGCTCGACTCCCCAGAGCCCTTGCCTGCCCAGAGCTCTTTTCCTGCCTCTGGTTACACTGCCTAGCTTACGCGTGGCTGTTGTGTGCTGGTGGCTTAGTTGGCCCGTGCCCGTCATTATCAGCTCGTAACACTTACTCATTTAATATAAGTATCTGACTGTTGAAGTTATTTTAAAGTTAAATTGATTGTTCTTACTAGTCTCTTATAATAGGCGTTTATCTAACCTCCACTTTTCCTTCTTTGGATCCGCTCCGGTTCCGAACGTCACAATAGAGTATGTGGCGCCCGAGCGTGGCTTAGAACCTACATGTCTAACGGCGGCGCTAACCTCCCAAGAAAAAGGCAGTTCTGAGAGAATAAGACTAGATCGATCTTACTTGCTGCAAACTATCACTTCTACCTACCTTTTTACATCTTTTTTCTTAACATATAACGCCTCAGCAAAAATCCTCCTTTCGATTTTCTCAATCACTTCCTCAACATTATTTCTTTCTTACACTCATATACGTGCGCGTATATCTAGGCGCCTGATTAACCTCTTTAAACTATCATCATTCGAGCTTTCTCAAAGCTGATAGGTATTAAAGGGCGCAATTGCTCGTTTACTTTCACCGCTAGGGCTAATACTTGCCCGAGAGATCGAATACTACGATATACCGTAGTAAGAGATGGTCCTACGCCACGATCGAGAGCATACAATAACCTAACTAGGAAGGCAGCCCGGGTTATATACTCACAAACGCTATGGCTGGGCATTTGCAACCTCCAATCTTTCAATTACCAGACACGGATACGTCTCATATTCCGACTCTCAAGGGAACCGGGCTAGGGAACGCCCCTACTAGTGGCTTCGCTTTTACTCCGATATCACCTTTAAGAGGACGCGTCACCTCCTCCAATCCAGCTATTTCGGCTGCTACTACGGCTGTCCAAACCAGCGCGGACGAAAGCCAGTCAGACTCGGATTCCAGCTCGGGCACCGACAGTGATAGTGCGCAAAGCAGTGCCGAAGAGGACAGCGGCGAAGAAGATAGTGTCGCCGAGGGTGACGAGGCCCTTGATAGCGAGGCTGATACCAGTGAGATCGAGAGCTATTTACGCGATCTCGACAGCAACAATGTCGAGGGTCGTCATCCTGCCGGTGATAGCGACAACGGCGACGAAGGCGATAGCGATAGTGACGACGATGCCGATAACGACGATACCTCTATAGATGGGGGCTCGCTCATCTTTGAGTCTGACCACGAGCCCAGCCCGGAGTACGATCGAGTGCCAAACCATGGATTCGGCGTCCAGAACGACAGAGAGCTCGAGCCGGCCCAAATCCTCAGTGACATTGTACAAGTTCCCGTAGGGGATCTTGGGGTCATCAATCCCGCGCAGCAGCCCGCCACTATGTCTGCACCTACCAGTATGGCCACAACCATCACTGTTGCTACTGTGCCTACGTCGACAGTGCCAACGAAACGTAAGGCTGGTGGTGAATGGGATGATGCTCGAAGAAAGCGAGTCTCGGAGGCTCTCAAACAACGATGGGCGGACGGCAGAACGGCCCATGTCCACGACATCTTGAGGAAGCACAACGCCGTCAAGGCGAAAGGAGAAGCTCTAGGCACGCCGGCAGGTCATCCATCAGCCTCGGAGGCAAAAGCCCAGGATGGTGCTCTTGACCCATCGGCACGTTATGCGCCGATAGACATAGCTGCTTCAGGTCGTGCCTATCGCGAATGGGAGGTGGGTGGCGTGCCGCATACAACGCATGGAGCCATCCTACCGGATGGGTACCAAGTCGGAGATGGGTTCTTCCCTTGGAAATGTCCTGTCCAAAAATGTGTCAAGTCTAGTGAAACTTTGCACAACCTGGGCCAACATTTCAAGGTTAGTAACATGCTTAGCCATTTTGGGCCGCCAGATCCAGATACTAACGTTGAACAGTCCGCACACCATGGCCATATGTTCCACGACAACCAAGATGGGACTTTAACAGACCTTGGGCCTTGGACAGAAGAGCTGCTTCAAAATAACATGCCCAGAGGAAGGGGAGCCATTGTCGTCTCCATGGAGAAGACATCCGCATCACTGGATGATTCCATGCAAGTGGATGAGACCATTGAGAAGCCATCCGCGTCAGTCGATAATTCCATGCAATTGGATAAGTACATGGCATTGGATAAAGTACCCCTCGTTACTTCATCCTCCGAGCCGGTAGGAGACAGAGCCAGCATGTGGGCATACGTGGAGCCACTCTTGGTCAAGCATAGGGGGCAGGCGATGCCTCGCGGTGGTTATGTCTACGAGCTGAGCATCCTTCCTCGAGTGAGGGAGCTGAGCATCAACTTTGAGTGGCAGCGAGGGCATCCCTTTATGGATTCACAGCCCAGGGACATCGCCGCCGTCATCATTCAGCTTACGGGAGAACCCGCTGCGACACCTTGCGACAAGTGTAAGCTGGGCAGGGGTCCTTGGAAAGGTTGTATTATGATATCTTCCAAAGCAGAAGATGGTCCCCTGGCGAACATCTACTCCTGCGCCGCTTGCTTCTACCACTTTGGGCAGACCTATTGCAGCCACAAATCCTGGGGCGCAGAGAGGTCGCGGCGTATTTTGAGATCGAGGGGCAAGAACGTTGAGAGTATCCAAGCGCTGACGCGTTCGAACATCCAGTCAAGGCCAAGGTCCTTGACAGAACACAAGGAAGATAACCCGCAATTCGACAATCAACCCCTACCTCCAAACAACGGCCAAAGGAGCGACGAACTCACCAAGTCTACCTCTACTGTTCATTTAACCGAGGATCAAAAAAGGCTCTGGGACTACATTAAGCCTCACCTCGCCTTCACCAAAGAGGTCCCGGAAGTCGGCTACATCAAGGAACTCCTCTCTCTCCCACGTGTTCGTGACCTCGTACTCCCTTTAAGCGAGCCCTTCGCCGAGAAGCACACCCGCGACATCGCCGCCCTGATCATCCAAGTCACAGGAGACGGGCTGGATGGGATACCGTGCACGCGCTGCCGTCGGGAGCAAGGGCCGTTGTTTAAGGGTGGCTGCGTTGCCATTAAGACTACCGCCCACCCGGAAGCCAGAAGGGTGTACCAGGCCTGCGCCAATTGCACCTATGACAGCAAGGGGGGTGCGTGCTCACGCGGCAAGGGGATTCCTGTGCGACCTCAACCGCCTTTCCCGCGAAAGGCCCCCGAAACCAATAAGGGTACGGATGGTGTTTGGTTGAAAAGAGGAGGAGCGGGAGGGGGAGGAGCAGCATGGGCGCTAGCACTTGCAGCTCCGCGGCCTCCAAGGCAGGCGGCTCCGGCTAAGGCCACGACCTCGCTTGTCTCGGCTGGCGAGGTCCAGTCGGCGTATATGTTTGATATGGAGGAGTGGGAGGTGGCTCCTGGTCGGATCCTCAAGTCGAACAGTGATAAACCTATTGGTGAGTATTTTCTCCTAGCCCCCTACCATTTCCCTATCAATCACTAACATCTTCCTTAGGCTTCGCCTACTCAAAGGCCTTCCTCTCAACAAGCCACACGGTCCCAGTCTGCAATGACGTGCAGTTCCAGGTCAAGACCATCCACACCGGCCAGACCATCACCATGGACCCCGAAGACGGCCAGACCCGACTTGTCTCGGTCGCAACCGGCAAGTTGCGGGTGAAGGTCGGGGATGAGCCGGAGGTCATGATCGGCCAACATGGCATGTTCAGGATCGAGCCAGGCCAGGCGTGCACGATTGAGAACCGCGTCTATGTGGATGCTACTTTGCATGTTACGCATCTTTCGGGGTATTTCTGAGGGAGACCTGGGCATAATGGATCAGGCATATGGAAAACGGGCTGCTGAGGACGTGATAATGGATATTTCGGAGGGCTATAAGCCTTCAACAGTTCGTTGTCTCGTTCAAGGTTGCATGGCCGTCGTTTGATGCTATCGGTAGTTAGGGATTTGGGAAACACAGTGATCTGACGCCATCGAGGGCACAATCACTGAGCCAGAGGCCTAGTACATGCGGAGGTGCATTATTATTGGGAAATAGGGATTAGGTTGAGAGGCCAAACGTCGTCAGTCTTTGTTGTTTTGTTGGTTCAATTCAAAGTGATTCATGACGATGCAACACTTTCACTGGCATCGTTGACGATTCCTGGTAATCCTGGATGTAATAGATAGATCCATACATAGGGGGCTCATCGTCAGCTGTATCATGCCGTTTAGAAAGATTTTCGTCAAGAATATCACCCGGAGAAAAGGGTCCTGAATACGCCAATCTTCGTAGTTAACTGAGGTTCCGCTGCGTCATTCAGGAGCTGACGGGGGAAGTCGCAAGTTTTTACCAGAGGAAAGTAAACAAAACTCCAAAACCAAGTCCATCCACGATCATCACCGACACGATCTCGTGATCAGTATCAGATATTCCCAATCAAGACAATCCCAAGCTTTATGATGTTTGGTGGACCGGACCAAATTGGCCAGAAGTTCACCTCGCTCAGGGGTAAAGTGGGGCCCCGCAGGCGTGCGCAGTGCTGATTGACCCACCTGCGCTCTGTTGGTCAACTCACATCATGACATCATCAAGAATCATCACTTTGTCACCAACCCATTGAAACGGATGGAGTTACCTCCAAAGATGTCGTCACGCATTTGGGGAAGGGTCTAACGGGACAATGACCTGTGTATTAATATGGAATGGCTGCTGCCCGTTTGAAGGGGGAAAACTTCCAGCATTCAGCAACTGAATACAATCACAATCTCACAACAAGAACAACACTTGTTTAACACCTAAACAATAACGAACCTCAACAACAACAACACGCAGCATCAAAATGTCTTCCCAGCAGGCTTCCAACTCTCACGTCGGTCCCAAGACCACCGGCGGCAAGGCCGGTGCCATCCCCACCCCCGCCAACGCCCACCTCGGCACTGAGAAGTCCGAGACCAAGCCCAAGGCTTTTGACTCTGATGGCGCCATTGGCAAGCAGTTCACTGGTATGTTTTCCATCAACCATCCCAAGCCCTTTTTGCTTCCCTCTTCAAACTGCAATCAAATTCTAACCTTGTGGTGGTTAAACAGAGACCGGCGCCATCGGCCAAATCGGCGAGGCTGTTGGCGGCCCTCTCTCCTCGGACGGTGTGATTGGCAAGCAGTTCACGGATAAGGGCGCCGTCGGCGGCACCATCCAGAACACTCTTGGTGGTGAGAAGCAGACGGGCAGTGGGTTGTCCGGCGTCCTCCCCAAGTCGAACTAAATCGCAGACTTTTGTCTAGGGAGATGAGGAAGGAATGGAAGGAAGAGGATGCCATAAAGGCATTGTAACATTATCATGACGACCTTTGATGACGAAATGAATCAATCAATGACTCAATTAATCAAACATGAGAGAGTTTCGATGTGTGTGAATGTAGTGTTAGTAGACATGACTATTAAGTAAGGACGTGACAAATGGAAATAGTTAGGGAAATAATTGCGAACTGTGCAAAGATATGGCTAATTTCGTTTTGCTGTATTTCGGATATATTAATGATATCAAACCCACATGAAGCTTGGGCGCCGAATCCACCCCGGCCTTCACAGACATTCTAGAACGAATATATACGTATTATATACTGTATAACTGGCGATATGTTGACCGGAGCCGACTACCTGTACCGACCCCCCACCGGCACGGCAGTCGGCGGTCCCGTCCCACTTTGTGGGGCCGGAAACGACCCCACAGCGCCGGGTCACAGCGGGTATCAGATCAATCTGATAAGAAGTCTCGGCTAACCAGGGGAAAGAGGGGCACGGGGCCACGGGCTGGCATTTTCGTCGCATTTCGGCTGACGTTAGCCAGTCCGATCTCGGGGCCTCAACCATGCTCTTGCAACCTTGAGGGCCCTGAACAGACCGTCGGACCCTTGACAAGTGCGGAGCTTGTTGCAGAGAATTTGGAGATTTCGGTGTCGAACCAGTCGAACCACAAACCATCAGACGGGCCCGTGGCCTCGGGGGACAGGCACTGGACAGGCCTAGACGGGGCAAGACAGGCTGACAGGGTCGACAAAGGCGGGAAGAAGGACGGACTGTGGAAGAGCTCCGATGCGGCCGGCCGCCGCCCGAGAGAGAATCAAACGATGGGGAAAGTGTGACTGACTACCTGCTCGACCGATTTCTTCTTCTTCTACCTGCTATGTACATAGCTTACTCGGTAGAATACACCGATATCCAAGACCCGGTGCTGGGTTCTTTTTCCTTTCTTCTTGATACCCCGTCCCGTCTTTTGTCTGTTTTCTTTCGGAAGCTGAAGAAGTTATCGGAACGACAGAAACCGCGGTGAAGTGGTTCTGAGTCCACAACAGCCAGCCATAACATCAATCTGAGGCCCTCTTCTGTCCCTTCCCATTAGTCACCGTTTCCTTCCTTTTGAAGTGAACAATTCCGATCCGGGTCTTGTTTTCCCACCTTTCGCTCTTCAAGTTCGAGTCACGCAGTTCCGTCCTCCAGATACCTTGTCTATCTTCTGCCATTGTGCTCTTCATTGCGATCACAAACGCCGTTACAGCAAGTCCAATTCGTCACTGACGTCCACAGAAGTTCGAGTCAATCCGTACCGTCGTCATCCCGCACACTCAACACTTCGCTCCCAGTCAATCATCAATCACCGAGGTCAAAAAAAAAAAAAAACCGATTCCAATTTCTTGGCTTTCCTTTTGCGGGATCCAGTCGCGCATCATCCCCAAATCACCAGGCCCTTCCTCGGCCCTTCTTTCTCCGCATCCGCTGTCATCGGAACCCCCGCCCCCGATCGACCTCCGCATTCTCCCCCACATTCTCAACCCGCGTCGCCGGTGGAGAAAACCCTAGAAGTTACCCCCGGTCCGCCCCCGAACAATGAAAGAAGGCACCCCGGCCCCGGTCCCGGTCCAAGGCCCGGTTTCGGCCGCCGCCTCGCCGTTGGAAACCGCCGGACTCAAGACGACGTCACCACATTCACATCTCGCCGGCCTAGCGACACAAACACAAAAGACTCGCGCCGCACTTCTCGGTGGTGGTGAGATCGTCGAGACAAAACCAACAGCTTCAATCTCAAAAGCTGCCGCCGAAGGAATCACTACTACGAGCACAAAATGGAACACCAAGAACATCGGCCTGCGACTAGGTGCTGACCTCGTCAGCGCTGCTTCAGCAGCTGTGCTCGTTGCGCCTGTTATTTCCATTATCGATCGGTATGTCCCCTCCCAACCCAGTTCCCTTTCCATTATCCCCCTTCCCAAGTTTCCAATAACTAACTAAACACCCAACAGCTCAATAATGGAAAACGCCTCCGGCGCAGCTTCCATCGGCACCTCCCTCCGCCGCTCCCTACGCTCTTTGTTGCTATCCCCCCGCGCAACGATCCTCTCCCGCCCCTTCGGCCTCATCTTCCTCCTATACGGCGGCACCTACCTAACAGCCAACACACTCGACACCGCCGTCGGTACCCTCAACAACAACCCCAACCCGGCGCACGTAACCTCAGGGTCATCCAAATTCTTCGCCTCGAGCGCGGCCAACATCGGTCTCTGCATATACAAAGACCAAGTCTTTGTGCGCCTCTTCGGCCCGCCCGGCGCCACGCCGAGACCAGTCGGATTACCGAGTTATTTGCTTTTCGCGGTGAGGGATTGCATGACGATCTTTGCGTCGTTCAACGTCCCTCCCTTACTGGGGCCAGTTTTGACGGAAAAGATGGGGGAGAGAGCTCAAAAATGGGTGAGTGGACAGACGATGGCGCAGTTTGCGGCGCCGGCGGTTGTGCAGCTTTTTAGTACACCCGTGCATCTGTTGGGGTTGGATATGTATAATCGGCCCTCCGGAGCGATTGGTCAAGGGGAGCAGAAGGGGCCGAGTTGGGGGGAGAGGTGGACGCTGGTGAGGAAGAACTGGGCAGTTAGTGTGGCGGCGAGGATATGTAGGATCGTGCCGGCTTTTGGGGTGGGCGGGGTTGTTAATATGAAGGTTCGGAAGGGTTTGATGGAGCGGTTGAGTTAGATGACGGAGGCGAGGGAGTGCCGTTGGAGATGTGAGGATGGGTAGACGGATTGGATAGACCGTGGGGCTTTTTTTTGTTGTTGTCGGGTTTTGCTGTGCCGAGTATAAAGCTGTGTTAGACCAGTGGCGGTTGTCGGATAGAGGTTAGGCGTTTTTGGAAAGTCCTTTGCTGCTTTGATTTCGTGGGTTTTGGCGTTCGTGTTCAGTGTTTGTGGTATTGCTGCTTTAGAAAGCCAGCTTTGGCTGTGATTTAGATTATAGAGAAGGGGCAACCCCTGGTGTACACAGAAAGATCACAGAGCCTGTGGAATTGTGGTTTCTGCAGTGTCCATTTGTCAATTTTACCAATTCTATTATGAACAGCGAAAATAGTCTAACGTATGAAAGGAGTCGTAAGATTAAAGCAAAGAGCCCGAATCCTAAACGACAACGCAACGAGTACTACTCACATCACAGAAATCCACTCTCCTTCAACGCCTTCATGATCCTCTCATTCTCCTCCTTCGCAGGATCTGGCCTCGTAGCACCTTCTCCTGTATCGATAAAGTTCTCCCAGAACCTCAAACCCTCAATGCCCTCCTCACGACATAGCACGCCACGCTCTTCCGCCATCTCAAGCTCCTCCTCAGCAACACCTATACTCCAACCGAACCTCTCCGCCGCATCCCTCGCCGTGACGCCCCGCCCAAATTCGCGCCAATCCCACGCCACCTCCCGGTCCGGCGGGAAATTGTGCAAATCCTGCATCCAAGCCAGCAGCGACCTGATGGTCGTCTCATCCGTCCGGTCACGGCCCTGAACCACCTTCACACCTGACTTGAACGTGCGCAGACGGACAGGCAGCCCCAGCTTGTCCCACAAGTTAACCGCCTTCTCAAAATCCGCAGGGCTGACCAGCTCCACGGCCCCGCGAAGCCGGTTAAACATGGCCCAGAGGTCGACAAGCGAGATGATCCCGCCCGCTTTCCTGAGCACGCCCCGTGCGTCGTCGGTGAGGAACTCAGCCAAGGTACGGGCGAGTTCGGACAGGTAGAGAGAGTCACCGCCGCCGCCGCCGCTGCCGACAATGTCCTTGGTCGCGATCAGGCCAAGCTGGCTGGCGGACTCAGCGAGCAGCGCGTTTTCGCTGCCCGAGGAGGCGCCGCCCGCGCCCTTGACTTGACGCGCAAAGGTCTCTGCCAGAGCCACGATTTCCTTGGCGGAGGCCATCAGGGCTTCGAGATCCTCGAATGCGTTGCCGATGACGATCTCGTTGTTCTTGTGCATGGACTGGCCACGCTGTTCAAGGCCGGCGATTCCCGCGATCTTGACGCGTTCGAGCTGGCCTCCAGCTGAGCCGCTTCCTCCTCCTCCTCCTCCAGCTCCAGCTCCTCCACCGTGACCAGATCCTGCTCCTGACCCATTTCCGGAGTTTTTGGGAATCGGAGGCGCGCCCTGAAGTAGCCATTTGCGCTGGGTTATCGATCCCTTGAGCCTCTCGTAAAAGATCTTCTCTCCGCCACCGCGGAAGGAGAGCTTCACGCTTTCTAGGGCCTCGCTCTTGGGGGCCACGCTGCTCAACATGGGGCCAGGAGAGTCTGTCCCCCGCCTTTGTTGCGTGAGTTCAGCAGGTAGGTCGTTCGAGATGAGTGGCCCTCCGCACATCTCGCATGACATCAGCGATGGGTGGTTGAGAAAGGTACATCTTGGGCACTGGAAAGATGCGCTGGCGTCGCCTGTCTGGAAGGGCGATGGTGATGCTGGTGCCGGTGACTCGGCGCCTTGCTTTGGTCGGACAGGAAGCGGCGTGTAGAGGGCAGGCCCCCCTCCACCGGGCTGTCGACTCGTCGCATTCGAGATGGCCGCCTTGAGGATATGAGTCAAGGTGGGCTTGATACCACAGGCTAGGCAGGGAGGGAGGGGCGTGTGTTCACTCGCTGTCGTCGGGTCGAAATTGGACGGCACTGGGTTAGAGAAGCTGCAGATGGTGCATACCCATGTTGCTGAGCTTGCTGGAGGCGTATCAACGGGCGGCGCACGAAAGGGGCTGTGTACACGCTGCGCCGGTGAAGCGTTTCCATTGCGCGACAGTTGGAGCGATCCTCGCTTGTTGGCCTTGGGCACCAAGGTGATCTTGGGCGAGGACTTGAGGAAGCCGGCCTATATACATCAAAGCGATTTAGTATTTGATGATCGCTCGGCACGTTTCTTGGGAAGGGCGCAATTACGTAAAACTCGTAGCGCTCAATGTCCTTGAGATCCAAAGCAGCAGAGTATTTTCTGGGCTCCGCCTTATCGACGTAGCATATTCGGTGCGAGGTCAGGTACACCTGGCCATTTTGTTGGTTGGGCAGTTTATATTTGCTGGTAAAGCCATGGCATGTCAGTCAGTCGGGGAATCGTTGAAACATAACCGCCCATTCACAAGCCATAAATTTGAGGTCTCATGCCAAGAGTAAACAAAGAGGCATGTTGAATGATGACAACGACGGGAATGGAGAAGTCGGAATCAAATGCTCACCCCTCGTACAACCCCACATTGTCCTGGACAAAGAGAAGGTCTTCATCGGGCAGGTACGACGGCCGCAAGGCAGTGGTGAGGTCGAGATTCTTTAGAAACATTCGTCATAGTTCGGGGAAAGCTGTTGGGGCCTTCAGGGAGTCGGGTTATTAAAAGAGTGAAAAGAGGTCCGACAACTTGGAACAGAAGTGATGGTTGCTGAATGATGTCGGCGGGGGTTGTTGTCGCCCAGCGACTCAGGACTAGATAGTCTTGGCGGCGATGAGATAGCGTTCAGGTATCGCACTTTCCCATCAACTGTAGCGAGGGCAATGTGAGCCTTGCTTTAGCAGGCCTTCAGCTGCTCATCAGAAGTTGTCCTTCCCGTCTTGCCGTCCTCATGGGGACACCCACGTGGCTGTGATACCGCTGCACTAACACTGACTCCAGATGGCAGACAGCAGGTGGTGATATGTGCACCATGCAGTCCGTGCGGTGGCTAGTGATGGCCGGCTGCGATTCCGAATGGAACCCACGCCCGATCAGCTTTTGGGCCACTGCCACTTCACACACACCCGACCCTTTCTGCGAGGTTCAACAAACACCGTCTTGAAGAGAAGACCGGACTGGAGGTTCCCTTTGATCAACCTTGCACGTTTCTTGTCACCGCCCACTTCATTAATTTCAACCCATCATAACTATCGGCAACCATCCCCTCGCCACCGTTCACGACTACATACGCCCAAGTCCATAGCTAGTTTCGAACCTTGGTTCGCACGAGTTGTACGAGTTGTTGTTCCGCCAGCGAGCTCTGTTTAATTTGTTGGCGTCGTCTTTTCTTGCTCCATCGTTGTTTGTTTCGTCGTGTGCTTCGACTCTTCCTCGACAAACCCCGATCGATCCCAGACGAGAAACATGCAGTGGTCATCCGCTCAACCTCCGCCGCCGGGCACTCAACCGCCGGCGGCCTATCCGTACTCTGGTATGCTTCTGTCGTGTGATTTTTTCATGCCATCTCTCCAACCTGCGACGTACTCCTGCCGCCCTGTCCTGACACTGCCGACGACGGTTGCTGACGTTTGTTCATCTCTCCTCCCCAGCTGCTACCGCATTCACTCCAGTTCAGGTCCGCCAAACCTTCGGTCAACCTTATTCCGCCGCACCACCCGCTTCCTATCCTCCCCCACCCATCTACGGCCCTCTTCCTACACATCCTCCCGCAACACCACTCCACACTAATCCAGCCGCACCCTTGACCGTCGCGTCGCCGTCTACAACACAAGAGCCTGCGAAGAAAAAGATCGACTGGCCAGAATCTGTTCGCAACTACGTCCAGCGTTCTTTCCAGACTTCCAACCTAGACCCATCGGTCACCCGCGCCGAAATGGAAGCCAAGCTCAAGGAAACCATCTCAAATGCGAACGACCAGGGCCACATGTACACCGTCAACTGGGAGAAAATGCCCTTGCCGCAAGAGATGATCAAGGAGGAGCGTGCTAGAGCCAGGGCCGTTCAACAAACACCTCATTTCTCGGCCCTTTCCATTTCCCCTACCAGTTCCAAGAAGCGCAAGTCTACAGATTTCAGCGAGGGCGCCGCACCCCCTTGGCGGAACGGACAGAACCGCCTTGAGGACCGCATTACATTCAATGCTGATAAACGCCCAGCCCCAGTCGAGGAAGCCCAGTCGAAGACCCAAAGTAAGTTCCAGAAGCAGTTGGAGAAACGTCAGAAGCGCTTCGACGGAGGATACAAGTCGACGTATCGTGAGCCGACTCCTCCTCCCAGCGACGGCCCGGTTGTCGGTACATGCGAGACCCTGGAGAAGCGTTATCTCCGTCTGACGGCACCGCCCGTTCCGTCCGTGGTCCGACCAGAGCGGGTTCTGCGCCAGACGCTCGAGTTGCTCAAGAGAAAGTGGAAGAAGGAGCAAAACTACTCTTACATCTGCGATCAGTTCAAATCCATGCGTCAGGACCTGACAGTCCAGCGCATCAAGAATGAGTTTACCGTAGAAGTCTACGAAATCCATGCCCGGATTGCCTTGGAGAAGGGGGACCTCGGTGAGTATAATCAGTGTCAGACCCAGCTCAAGGCTCTCTACAAGATGGGTATCAAGGGAAAGTCGATCGAGTTCAAGGCGTATCGTATCTTGTATTTCATTCATACCGCTAACCGCACGGCGTTGAACGACGTCCTGGCGGATCTAACTGCAGCAGAGAAGGAGGAAGAGGCCATAAAGCACGCGCTTGATGTCCGATCCGCATTGGCACTGGGCAACTACCACCGCTTTTTCCGGCTCTACAACGACACGCCTAACATGGGCGCATATCTTATGGATATGTTCGTCGGCCGTGAACGCCTTGCTGCTCTTTGCAACATCTGTAAGGCGTACGTACCTTCCATTTCCCTCCTATGCAATTAAGTTTTGTTGCTAACTCTGCGTAGGTACAAACCCGATGTGCCACTGCGCTTCGTCACCGAAGAGCTGTACTTTGAGTCGGATGCGGATGCTGCCCAATTTATCCTCGACTACCAGGGCCAGGATCTACTGGAGGATCGCGACGGAACTGTTGTTTTCCTGACCGGAAAAGCTAAAGAGCTATTCGAGGGTCCGAGGAAGGCAGCCTTTTCCAGGGTTGACATCAAAGGTCAAATCTAACAGCACTGAGTCCTCATTTCGTATCGTCGCCTCACCCGCCCACATCATTTCGGAATCTTTAAGACACCAGCACCGACTGTCGACCTGATGTTTCTACTTTTCCTCCGCCTACGTAGTTTCCCACCTCAGTCACCGGGATCTGCACCCTTGCGTCGTCCTGCAGTAGTTTGATATCATTGATAGCACGCCCTTTTCGACCTTCGTCCCTTTCAGCCTCCACGAAACTTGCGACCTTGGCTCGTATCAGCAACACCTTATGGGAATGCGACTGAGCGATCCGTCGACGCAGAATACCAACGCGTAATCTTTCCCCGTTCCTTCGTCGTCAACCAGTCCCGAAGTTGCTCTCTGAAGAGACGTAACGTGGAACGCATTAGAGCGAGCCAATTCATGCCCTGGGAAAATCTTACATTTACGAACACCGATTCCTCCTCCAAGTCGTCTTGCGACCTCGCGATGCGACTGATCGTCATTTGCAACGCACTCCAACTTACCTTTTCAGCTAGTTCCGACGTGTCGGCTCGGGGGCTCTCGCATTTTAGCAAACATCAGGGTCACACAGAGGTGACCTTCGGCGACGTGGAAGCAGCAGCATTAGTTGCTATGGTGCTGTAGTGGCACCCTGCTCTCGTTATATACGTGCTCGGAAGCACCTCTTTTCTTTTCGGCTTCTTTACAGTACTTTTTGTCTTAAGGCGTGGGCATCTTTGGGTGGAATTTCGGGCCAGCAAGCATAGGGTTGTGGCGTCTCTGGGTGTCAAAACTGAATGCATCTGTCCCTTGGGTTTTTTTTCTTCATCTTAGTATAAGTACCACAGGTGTTCGGTGTTGAGAGGAACAGTTTGGAGAGCAGTCGCTCTACTTACTCTTGCGCCTAACAAAGCCTTGGGCAGGAAGCTTGAATGGGCCTGTTTTCAGTTAGCAAAATAAGAACGTACTTCATTAACACTGTCCAACCATATTGGAAGAGATAATTCTGACGTGGAAGGTCCAACGAATGAATCGCATGGCCAAATGAGTCAAGAGGACAAGCAGCCGCGCGCTAAGCAACATGACCACAAGGAAAGTGTTCTTTGAGTTTCTTCTGTAGTACAAAAAGCACACTTTCCATCTCCGACTTCTTATCCCACGAGCCTGGTGTTTCGAGAAGTTTTCCTCCTACCTGCTACGTTTACCTCTTAATAGAATTAAGTATCGTCACAAGCCATTGACAAATCGGGCAGTGGCTTGTTAAGGAAAAGCTAGAAACCCTAGAAAAATCGATAAATACTACCACGCTGCTTCATTGCTTACAGGTGCGCGCCCGCCAGCGGGCATCCCGGCCCGTCTCTGTGCTTCTCGCGTTACATCCCGATAGGCCAAAGGTTGTACATGTACGTATAGAATCCTGCACTAAAGAATGAACGGAAAGAATTGGAACCATTGCCATGGAAAACGTGGCGATTGGCGGCCTCATTTGGGCGTTCAATGTGTCCTTGGAAGAGGGAAGAATGAAAAGAGAGTGTGTGGTCCAATTACCCCACGATCAGAAAGAAGGAAAAAAGATGGACATGGTTGACGCCTAAAGTCGCAAAATCTTCAACAGAGTTTTGTAGCATAGCCCGTGCATAGCCCTACCAGGCCGTCATAATGGCATTCTAGATTCAATGCTCCTTGTTTTCTATTAGTCATTCAGGCGCAAGGCGGTGCCGGCGGTTCATCTGAACGCCCCGAGAGCGAGAAGCGAGAAAAGTCAAAGCGATATCTGATATTTCGATGCGTCTGCTGCACCAATGAAGGAGACTCGAACCTTATAGCATCGCACCATGGTCACTTTTTACTGTGGGTAAACCATTACAGGCTCGATATTTATTGCTGAACATTCAAATGTATGAACGTCATTCCTGTCAGCGTTATTTGTCCTGTAACTGGAAGCGTTGTCTGTCTCGGAGGCCTTGCATTGAATTTGTTTCCTCAAACCAGATCTGTCGAGTCCTTCCGCTTCCAAGTCTACCCGACGTTATCATATCGATAGTTCCATGTCGATGTCGATGCATTGACAAGGTGTGGACTTTGAGCCATCTTATGACGCATCGTATGAGCTGGTGCACTAACAGCAGGCATATACCTGCCTTTCAGTATCGCATCGAGAATTTCGGGTCTTTAGATGGGTAGTGACGGAACCGACTCGAACATGAAGTGCACGTATAGTCCTTGAGCTTGAAGAGGTGGAATTCCAGAGGTCCCGGTCCGATAGCAAATATGGTCGTCAACTCCTAGCAACGGGAGCGCTCGAGCAAGCCAACCACAGTTCCCGCTATGACAAGCGCGATCACGATGCATATGTAGTGCTAGAAGATATGTACAATACGCACACTAGCACGCGCATATATCTTATGCCAGACTACGCAATATCTACACAATTGGTGTAGACCAGGCAATGACAAAAGGCACCAGCGGAGAATCAGGTAGCGGCAATCTTACCTGATCACTAGCCTCGTTGCGGAAAATACACTCTTTGATCAGAACTTTGTAAGACTGGCAAGCTGGTTGGTTCTAGTTGAGATTTGACGTTGGCCGTCTTCTTCCATTTGTCGCAAAGTTCTGGTCGTATCGTGGTGTGGGCACGAGCGGAATCCCAAAGATCGAGAGCGGCCAAGAAAGGCTAGAAAGCTAATTCGGACCCACCGGTCCAGGGAGGGAGGGTCCCTGTGGACGAGAACCCTGGCCGCGCTTTCCAATTGCACCAACCGCAGGGCAGCAACTGCGCCAATCGAGCAGGCCGGGGGGTGCTCAGGTACCTGCCCGCGCGGCCTCTGCGGTGCTTGCAACGCTGCAATTCCCCTCTCGATCGAGGTAGCCGTGACGGTCCTGGCCGCCGTCCATTGTCATGCCGATTGTGATGCGGTTGTTAACGGCTAGATAGAGGTAGCCACCATTTTACGCTCAGGACGCAGGCAGAAACTGACAGATGCTACTAGCAAGCACTAGCAAAGCAAGCAAGCGCGAGCGGCTGTTTTTCCAACATTTTCCATGTCGTCGGCTAGGCTGGTGACTCGACCTTCATCACACTCTCACACCCGCCGTCTTCGAGCCCATCTCCGGCCACCACCCTGTCGACTTCCACTCTTGTGAGAGCACACCTGGGCCCGACCCTTGATCACCCTTGCTGCTTCCGCTTCAAGCTTGGCTTGGGCTGTTCCTTTCTCCCTTTTTTTTTTCAATGCTATTGCTGCCCGTCTCGAAGCTCAGCAGAACTAGCAGAACTACCTAGCACGCAAGGCACGCAGGCCATATATCCCACCTGATCCTGATCCTTCCCCGCCACCGCGCACTTCCAGCTTCCATTCTCAGCTACTTCGCTCGCTTCACTCAGTTCCAACTCTCGACAACCAACCTCAGTACTGCGACAGTCACTCATCCCCGACAACAATCGCAACATTCGACGCAACTCCCGGCGGATTGTCCACTACGAGACATTCCAGAAGCGCTCGCCGGACTGGGAATTGCAGGTTGGACATTGGGTCTAGGCAGTCGGCATTGCGGCTGAACAAAGGAACAAGAGGATTGCCATCAACACTACACATAGACGCCGACTAGCCCTAACCAGGCTCAGACAAAGACGGAAAGCTAAGACTGAGGCAAACTCGGCCAGGCAGCGCCTCTCGAATTTGGGTCAGCTATCGAAGTTGGAGGGATAGAAGCATTGGAGCGCGACCAGTTTACACGAGACGATCCCCGAAATTAGCTGGACAACCGCTGCTCCCAAATTACAACATCTCCCTTACGTTCGCACGGTCGCAAACACTAGCAGAGAACCACCCCGTTCGCGATATTCACTCCTGTCATCGCAGCGTTACTCTTCCCCGGCGCTCATCCGACCGATACATACGGCGCATTTGGATCGTTACACAGATCCCAGCCAGCAGCACCCTCCACGACACACGCACACGCACACGCAGAACCGCCCAGGACTAACCCCAGAGGGATCCTAGGCAATACCTCTCGCCGTCCGTCATTTGAGTCGGCGTAACCCCAACCACGATTGCCTGCACACGCCGACACTAGGACGCCCGCTCCAAAAGATTGTTTGCTGACGTCCCTCACCCCGTCAGCCGTTTCTGTTTCTCTACCTGTATAGCACAATAGTTCCGGTTTGGGTTTTTGTGTACACAGCTTACAAGTCGTCTGAGTATCTCTGTCGGACAAGATGAAGGTACGTCATGCCCCGCTGTTCTGTGTTCTGCCATCCCATCTCTCTTCCCGTCTCCGTCCCTCCTCCTCTTCAGTCCGATCATTTTTGCTTGTTCCCCAAAGAAGAACGCTCGTGATTATCCAGTCATTGGCAGAGGCTTCACTGTTATTGGGGACATGAGAGAGAAGATCGGGCTGCGGCTCAGCTATTCATACACCACCACATAGGCGTTCTTGCCTTGGCCACTTCGTCACGATGGAGTACAGCCTGCGTGAACCCGAGGAGTCCTTTTTCTTGGTGTCTGCTCCATCTACACCCACAGCACCTCTCGAATTTGCTTGGCCTGGTCGGAATACTCTTCTCAATACTGCGGTCTCATCGTTCTGGCAACTAACAATGTCACGCGGTTTTAAGGCTCTACGAAGGTCCATCAAGGGTGGAGAGAAGGACCCCAAACCCCATATTACTATTCAACCGAAATCTGCCGTCGCCATTGTCCCTCCAAAGAAGGTATGTCTCGGAACAGGGTCTCAACCACAAGGCACTTGCGCTAAACTTGTTATTACAGGTTATAAAAGCTCTTTACGATTACGAAGCACAAACTCCACAGGAGCTCGGCTTTTCACGCGGCGATTTCTTTCATGTTATCGGCCGTGAAAATGACCAAGAGTGGTACGAGGCATGCAACCCTGCGCTACCAGATGCTCGTGGTCTCGTGCCCGTCGGATATTTCCAGGCCCTTGGGCGTACGGAACGTGATAGCGGCCAGTCCCAGACCGGTTCTTTGGGTTTCAAGACCGTAGATAGCGATTCGGGATATGGTGAAGGCTCGGCAGCCTCGCCCCCTGGGGCCAACGCAGGACACCGGATTTCGAAGACCCCTGGCAAGAACGGTGCCATGGTTTATGGTGTCGTTTTGTACGATTTCCAAGCTGAACGGGCAGATGAATTGGAAGCCAAGCAGGGCGAGGCCATCATTGTGATCGCCCAGTCGAACCCCGAATGGTTCGTGGCAAAGCCTATTGGGAGACTTGGCGGCCCGGGTCTGATCCCCGTATCCTTCGTTGAGATTCGGGACATGGCGAGTAATGTTCCTGTCCCGAATCCCCATGAAGCAGTACGAAAAGCTGGGATTCCGAAGGTGGAAGAGTGGAAGAAGATGGCCGCAGATTACAAGAACTCGAGCATAACTCTCGGCAAGTTTGATGTCGGTGGTGGCGGTGGTCAACAACCACTCGACCAGGCCATGAACCGCTTGACGTTGCAAGGAAGCGCCCGGTTAAGCCAGCAGACCACTCACACCCAGGTACGTTACGATTCCGTCTACAGGCTCTGTGTGCGTGTTTTTACTAACCAGTCTCTGCAGCAACAAATACAGGGTCAAGGACAAGCCTATGCGGCGAGGCCAACATCGATGCTATCCGCACCCATTGCAGCCCGGGTTCCGAGGTACTGCTTTGCCGAGGATAAGTACTGGTTCGTCATCGAAACCGAACTAGAGGATGGTCGGTGCTTTGAGCTTTCGCGGTACTACGAGGATTTCTACGACTTCCAGATTGCGCTCCTGACAGAGTTCCCCCTTGAAGCTGGAACTACAGGCGGCACAACGCGAACGCTACCCTACATGCCCGGTCCTGTTAATTACGTGACTGATGCGATTACGGAAGGCCGCCGCCACAACCTTGACTCTTACGTCAAGAGTCTGCTCGAGCAACCACCACACATCTCCCGCTGTAACCTGGTCAAGCAGTTCTTTACTCCTAGAGAGGGTGATTACGAGATCGACCCTAGCGTTGCTCGGGAGGAATACCGATTTTCGGGAGGCTCTGGTCCGTCTCCTGGCTCACCAGCTGACGGCCTGTCACTACAGAGCACAGCCGGCGGTAACAGATACTCAGCCGGTCTGGGTGCTCCTCAGAGACAGTTGAGCATTGGCAACGGCCAACCACCCATGAACCGCCAGATATCAGGACTCACGCAGGCTTCGCAGACTTCGTTGTCGCCTGCTATCATGCAAGGTGGCGCGCAAATGAAGGTGAAGCTGCACTTCAATGGCGACATCATTGCAATCCGCGTACCCAATGATATTCCTTTCCAAGCTCTTCACGACAAGATTCTTGACCGTCTCAAGATTCCCCAGGGCGAACACGTTCAGCTAAGTTACAAGGACGACGCCAGTGGCGAGAAGCCTCCTCTGATGAACGACGAGGATCTCGATATTGCACTGGGGCGGAACGAGAAGTTGCTCGTTTACGTGGAATAATCGACTGACAAATTGTGGCAACTCAACCCATACACCTTTGTTGGCCAAATACCGATGCACAGCGTTAGTCAGATACCATGGTCACATGAGCTGTGTTTCACGAACATTCGAGTCGAAGACAGCACCAGGTGGACTAAGACATTCGACATCCAAACATAACACCTTGACGGCTAGTTGTACGAACAAGGCGAGCAGCCGGGAGGGACAAACACATTGGGACTCAGAGACACATCATCCTTGCCGTTGAGAACTGCCACAAATGGTTCTTCAATCACACATTGTGACATTCATGCACCATATTATATCACACACACACACACACACACACGCCGTCGCGGTCAGGTCAATATAATACGCTTCGAATCGATCGCCTCGTGCCTCTCCACTCACTAAACATTTTGTACGCATATGGCCATGGGGCATTTTGGATGCGGTGGGGTCTCGAGTACGGTGTTTTTTTTTTTTGTTTTTTTTGGAACAGCTGGGTGGGCGGAGCCGGGGATCCATGACGATAGTGAAGAGGAGGAGCGAAGTTCGAGGCCAGGGGAGTGATGACGCAGTGGTAGGAAGAGCTCTAGGTGTGGCCAAACTGGGAGGCGGAGTTTTGGCTTGGTGGGAATCAGAGTGGATGGATTATTTGATATCAAACAATCACGGTGGGTGTTGAAAGTTGAAGAGGGTTGGAGGAGGGGGGAGGGAGGGTCGTGGTGAGGGTGATAACAAGGGACAAGAAGAAGGGGCCCTGGTGAATGGATGATGATTGAAATGAAAGACACTGAAAGAGGCTTTTTGTGTTTCAAAGATGTTGATAATGAGATGGCGGTGGTGACACGCGAGTAATTGTTACCGTAGTGTTGTTTGTTGAGATTTGAAAGATATCCATGTGCGAACATGTGTTTTGGTGTCCAGAACTGAGTGTGAAGATGACCAAAAACGCGTGGTAGTAGGAGTTCCACTCATAGCCAGCTAAGAGAATAAATCTACGTTTTGAAGATATCGCGGCTTTCGGTAGTTGCATGTGTCACTCGCTATTCAATGTCATTGCGAGGTTGAATGAAAAGCTCCATTTGTCAACTAAGGGAAATGCCAAGCCTACCAAAACATCATCCACATTGCATATTCGCATGACAAGTACAAACGAGCCCATCACCTTCAACTTGCGAGGACGCTCACAAACCAAACAATCATGATTCGGTCTACATATATGAAACTCCTGATAACAAAGTTAACCCCATTAAAGATCACCATGTTGACGCTTGTAAGTTTGTCAGCCCAAAGGCCAGACCTATTAGCTCTTTTCAAAGCCCGATAAGTACTGATACAACGCCCATCCGACTGATCCACCAATTCCAGAACACACCGTTTCTTTTATGGCAGGCAGGTGTACGAACCATATACCGCTGATAGTAATGACGCCCAAAACACCCGTGTACTCCGCCAGAGTCGTAGATAAAACATGCCGATATGCCGGTACTCGGCAAAGACATTCCTTGTCAGGATAAAAACATGGGCAGAGAAGTGAGCAGGACCGACCCTTTTCTCAAATCTCAGCAAGAGGCGGTAATGATGATAAAAGAAACAGTGAAAGAAACCCGAACAGAGAAAAAGTCTAAACCCTCGAGGGAAAAGGTGATGGAACTACACCCAAGACGAAAAAGCGAGAGGCAAAAAACCTCCCCCGTCACCATCCCTCTCAAATCAAACAACAACATGAGTACTCATATGCTCAACCGCCTCCTTGATCGTCCTCAACATCCTCTGGTTCACGCAGAAAGGACATCTAACTGGCCGATCCGTCAACGACACCGGTCCTCCACTAGGAATCGGCGTCAGCGTCAACGGATCTTCTGCCCCCGCACCACCACCAGCACCACCATTAGCACCAGGCGCGAACCTCGCCCCTGTAGTAGTAGTCCCATTTGCACCACCACCACCACGAGCAGGTGTAGACATGGCATTATAAGCTTGTCCAGCTATGGTACCGAGGGGCGGTAGGCCACGCTCAGCGCGCTCGCGCTCTTCCCTCGCGGCAGCGGCTTCGGCTTCCGCGTCGGCTTCTTCTTGCTGTAAGGCGCGCAGGGCGTTTTGCAGGACGACCTCCGGGTCGTCGTCGGGTGAGTAGACGCCGCCCATGGGTACGTCTCCTCCTGACGGCAGAGCCGGGGGGGAAGGCCGCCAGTAGTGTTGAGAGCAGAATGGGGTTGTCCTGCGTGTCCGTGCTGCCCGTGCTGCTGGAGTCCAGCCAGATGTTGCTGGTGCTGGTTCTGATGGAGGTTGGGGACATGATGACCAGCAGCAGCGCCGGGAGAAGGACCCTCCAGCTTCCTGATGATTTCGTCTCTGACCTTTGCACAGGTGGCAAGAGTGGGCTCGACGCCGACCACGCGCAGGATGTTCTCGCGGATGACGGTCGGCGACACGTCCGCTGTGATGCTCATGAACCGGCCCACGGCGTCGACGAGGTACGGGATGTCATCGGCCGGGTTGGGTGCCGTGCCGTGGCGCCGCTGGCGACGGATCAGTAAGCCGTAGCGCTTCTTGAAGCGGTGGATCCATCCGGGACTGAACTCGGGAGCGGTTTCGTCCTTGTACCGCGGCAGCTGCGTGAAGATGTTCTTGGCCTTTTCGGCCAGCTCTTCGTTGGACGGCTGTCGGCCCGAGGCCACCATTTGTTGGTGCCACAGCAGGACGAGTTTCTCTACGTCGGGCCAGTTGCCGAAGCGTAAACGGGAGCCGGACAGTTGAGGGTCGCCGTCCAGGCGGGCGTATTTGGGTGATAGGGAATGTGAGACGGTGGATTGACTGATGGTCTGGTTGTATTGTGTCTGGAACCACTCGATGCAGGCCTTATGGCTCGGCCGCACGGTTTGCGAGTTGGCCCATCGTCGGAGGGCGCGACGCTGGTCGAGGGTCAGGGAGTTGCGTTCGCGTTCTTTGGGAGGGGAAAGGCTGCCGTTTTGGCTGCCGTTGTGGGTGTTATTGTTGTTGTTGTTATGGGTGGTGTTGGCGTTGGTGGGAGCCTCGCTCTCGACGGCCGACATGGCGGTGGTCAGGTCCGCAATTGGGCAATCAGGCCGCGGGTTTATGAATAAAGCGGGCACGACGACGACGACCTGAGTGGCTGTCGTTGGGTTATCGGTATTCCGGAATTCGGTCACTGACCACCCCTACAAGAGAGTATTCGGGGTTTAGTGTAATCCACAGTAATCGGGTTTGTCCGAAAGTGGGCGAGGTTTCGAAAGGGTGTGTTGGGGTTGTGATCGCTGTAAAGAGGGTTTGTGTGCTGTTTTCGTTCCTAAACGTTTTGTCGGAGGAGATGAGACTTGAGAGAGTCGGGGAGTTGGCAATTCAGGAGGAGATTTGGGTCCCGGTCTTGCGTGCTGATAGGCTGATGGCGTGATGCATAACCCTAACCCGACCCGTTTACCCCCCGTTGATTCACGTGTCGGGTGCCAATGCGCGTTTGGAGCATGCTCTTCACTTTGGTGTCATGCATTGTAACATCAATGAATATCGCCGAGGTTTATACACTTACCACGACGACAGCTCTTTTCTCGCCCTCAAAATTCATCATCTCACCTACTGGTTCGACGTCCTCTTTTATTAATTTCTTCGTGTGCCATCCCCCGCTCCTGACCACAAGCCATAAGGGAGGTTTCCCAACTCCAGCTGTTTTGTCCAGGCCGATAATAACTGGCAACAAACAGAATGCGGATGCTCAAACTTCCAAGTAACGATATGCTCCCATCGAGGTCTGTCTGAATGGCCTCACTCAACATCACAATGCCGTCTTTTGGTTATTTGTTCTTTTCCTCCAGCGTCTACCTCTCTCACAGCCTTCCTCCGTATCTCCATGCTTGGGTTGTGTTTTTCTTCAATTTTCCTCATTTTCTTTCGACATGTGGAACGCGAGTGTTTGAGCAAGTTGACTTGTCCGCACGCGCTGGGAAATCACACATATAGAGAATCCTCTCTCAATGAGTGTGATTTTTCTTTTCCGTTTTATCCTTCCCAAGCACTTGATCACTTGCTCTCTGTTTTCAAGGCAATTATTAGACATGATAGACATTCGCTCATCTGGAAAAGACAAAGCTGCTGGTTTCAGGACGAGGCATTTACCAGGACCTTTCGTCATTCATCACCAGTCCGAAAGCCCAAGCATGGGTGCCTTGCTTTGAGGCATCTACTTGCAAGCGCTTTTAGGTTAAAATAAGTCATTGTCACCACGGCGTTTGTTATCGGGGAGGGACGGGGAAAAGGCGCCTGCTTGTATGGTCTACTAGTTGTGGGCAACTTAAGTCATTCAGATTGACCGAACACAAAGTTCTCACATCCGCATATGTCGATTACCTATCAAGGTTCTGTCAACCAGTCATGAGTACATGACAGCTGTGATGCCACTTTTATTCCTTGACCATGCCCTAGTGGGCGTCCAACAGGTCGAACCAGCACCAAGGTACATGACAAGCCAAGTTGGTTCCTCGAACACTTCAGCAGAGAAGAGATAAACAGCAAGCCGATATACGTCGCTATTTTTGTCCAGCCATGTGCCCATATCTTTGGATAGCCCATGCACCCTCAACAGCTACAATCATGACGGTCTTGTGATACTGGAGGTATTCTGCGGGGCGTTCTTAGAGGTTGTACTTTTTCCATTCGCGAGTCTCAGAGTACAACTACACCCACAAGTTCATTAGCAGTGTCCTCTAGCGTGATATTGGTCTGCCGGCTTACCTTATCAAAGTAACTACCCTCGTGTCCCTTTCCAGCACAAAGTAGCATGGCGGCATTCAGGTCGGAGACTGCCTCGCGTGTCTCGTCGTGCTTGATGGCCAGGTGACCCACGAACGCATTTATCTCCTCGTACGGTCTGTTATTCGCCTTCCTCGGGGGTGAGGTACTTCTTCTTTGCTTTCTCCGCGTTCTTTGTCATGACATCAGCCTCGCGTGTGCTTTCTTTCAAGAGAGCCGCGAGATCCGCATTCTGCTTCATCGGAGCCTTGACCTGCTCCACCAAAGCTGAGTCTTGGACAGGCACGAAAATTGTCTCCTCCAAGGTCTCGAAGGCTGTCTCGTGCCCCAGGACAGGCGCGGAAGCTGACTATTTGCATGTCACGGAATGATCAGCGAAATTTTCTGGATTGCTTGGAACACGGTTGGCAACGCTCTTACCTGGATATTCGCCTGTGAAGAGGCAGAAAAGTCCGCATCCGCCGAGAGCTTGCACCCATGAGCAGAGAACAACGGAATCACTCACCCACCGCAGCCGGTGTGAGACGAACCGGCAGGCAACATGCCGGCGACAGGGACCGTATAGCATTCACTCAGTGATGGCTCACTCGGCACTGACAGACATTCTTCATGGAAAGCTCAACGTCATTGTTTACATTCTGCCTTCTATCTTGTGGTCTTCCCGTCAACTGTCATTGGCAGCCTTTTCTATGTCAGCGTGGAAATGGGTATGGGCCAAGGCGTGAAGACTGCCCGACCACGATACATTGCCGCTGCCCTAGAACTTCCCAGAGTCGACTCGCCAAAGGTTCGTTGCCAGCACCTCTTATTATCACTTTCCGCTCGTCTGATCTCGTCGGCCCATCACCTGCCATTCATCACTAAATTTATCCCCTTGCTTCTCTCCGTTTCTGGCCGATGGCGAAGGCCAGGCTGCCTGCCACCTGACGGCATTGATATCCTAGCTAGCCCACCACTCAGAGGACCCGGCACGGGAGAACCTTCCCTGTGATACTCCTTATCTTTCTCTCGACAAGTCAAAATCAGACGAGGCCTTCCATTACAGCTGAAGTTACGAGCTGGAGTGGGTCCGCCAGCTGTCCGACCCTCACCACAGCCCATCCAGACTCGTCGTCCCGTCCCTTCACAACACCACAACGGCAGGTGACGCTCGCACGGTTGGGGGGGGGGGGGGGGGGGGTGCGTGAATATGAATGTGACGCATGACGGGTGATGAGACTTACCACAGTGGGTTCGCTTGCTGACAGATGCACCAGATCCCCCAAGGCACTACAAGCCCCGCCATGCGCAACAAGACTACGCCCCAAGACATGGCCGCCGCTGCTGCAGCAAATTTTAAGATGCAGGAGCATGCGGCAGAAGTCGGCCCGGAGAAAGAGAAGCTCGGGGTCAAAGTCGAGGACACCGAGGATGATCTGAAGTGCCAGCTTAGGATGGAAGGGAGGCGCATCGATCGCTTGGAGAAACTAGTTGATATATTTATATTGCTGGAGGATATAACCATGCCGGCCACGGAGGAAAATCGAGCTCTCTTCACCAAAAAGATCGACGAGGTTGAGAGCCAGTACAAGGCCACATGTGCCAAACAAGATGCGAAGGAACTCTAGATTCGTCGCGCATTCCATGACCCCTACTCAAGCTAATGATGTACTGGGCTTTTGTCGTGAAGGAGATGGGTTCTATCTAAGGCGCAAGGAGTTCTGCTATTTCACGATACCCAAGGGAATGATTTCAGCATGGAGAAGTTAGTTTCGGCGTTGTCATTCGGTCATGATACACTGGCCCAAAGTTCACAGGCATAAGTTGCCTTGTTTGACTGCAAAGGAGAATACATTCCAAGTTGTTGTGCATTTGATGCTCCTTTCTACCAAGTCCTGTGTTGCTCAGTGATCGCATGTCCTTTGCCACGAGAACCAAATGTCATTGTCCTTGTGAGCTATCAACATGAGCGAGGCAACTGATCACACCGTCGGCTCTTTTGCTTCCCGACTGCTGCCATGTCACTTTTCGTGTTCTCTCGCAGTGTACTTGCAGGCCTTTGGCGGAACCTGCGTCTTGGAAATGAAGTGACAAGTTGTCTTTTTCTGGAAACAAATAATTGTCTCGCATCCAAACAAACTTGCACGCATCGTGGCAAAGTGTCACATTGTCACAGTCAAAACGACGATGGAGAGTGACTACATGACAAACATATAGCGCCCTCCATGGCGATGATCGAGAGGGAGCTCGAGGACAATGACAGAGCTTGGAAGGCAAAGGGAGGTGCGATCAATGAGGGACATCACTTCATTCCTCCTCGAAAAGCACAAGAAAAGAAAAACAATTAAAAAAAAAGAGCAAAAAATAAATGAAAAGAAACGATAACAATAAGCAACAAACAGCAACAACATTGCCCGTGCCGGCGGCAAATTAATGGACTCTTGCTCGCGAGCGGACAACACGGTGCAAGGTCAAGATACCACGCCTGATAATGCCAAGATTGCTGTGCACATTATCAGAGGAGGTTGCAGCCCTTAAAATTTTAATAAACGAGAAGAAGAGGAAGATAAGATCTCTTCGTGTTGTTCTTCTTCGGGCAAAGTAGTAAACAGTCGAGAATGTTAAGAGGTGCAAAGACCGCAACCGGTTGAGCCTGTTTGGAGTGTCTCGAGTGTTCAGGTGTGGTGATCGATCGATGGGATGCCAAGGGCTTGTGTCGTTCAGGGGCTTTGTTTACATCGTCACGTCAGGGTTAGGGTCGCATAAAACAAAACCGACGACGACAGCGAGTGGGGACACTTGGGGGGAATGGAGACAAGGGTGTGGTGGAGTTGATGATGAGATCATGAGTTGGATGGGGTAGTGATACGCGCCTCTTTTGAAAGTGCCCCCAAAAAAAAGGCAGATGAGATGGGCAGAGGAAAATACATGAGCTGACGTTGTAAGACTCCGTGAGTTTACCGGAGCTATCCGACTGCGTGTCTTCTCATGAGATGGCTTAATGACGGGAATTGAAGGGCATCGAACTGGATGGGCAAATAACCAGTGGTACAGAATGTCCGGAAAACGCAATGTTCGAGTGACACACGGTTGACACCAGCCCTTCCCAGTGAGCCACGGAACAGAGTCTATCGAGGTATAACGGAAATGACCCAAGTCATGATTCTCCCAATTGCAGAAAACCTGGCAACCACGACTTTTTGGTGTTGGCGTTCAGGGCAGCGAGGGGTCTCGAAGCATCTGTCTCATATAAGACTCCCTGGATTGGATGGCATAGCGGGCGAAAGGAAGATGATAGTCCAATGGCTGTTATGTCTCGGGCCGCAGGACCTTATCTTCGTGGTACAAGTCCAACCGCTTGGTTGAAAGGTCCTTAGAAAAGATGCCACCACCAGATTACGGTATGTCCAGAACCGCAAACTGCTGAACGTATTTAATGGACACTGGCGCATTGGCAGGGGTTTCCCGGCAAGATCGAGGACGGTCTGCACGGTGCTTCAGATGAACTGCTGAACTCGTCCCAAATACCACCGCCCATTTCGCGCCCCTCCGACTTTCAAGCCTTTCGTAGAAACAATGGAATTCCATGTGCGGGCTGATGATATCCGTGACGGGTATAACGATGTGTAACGATGTCGGATCTATGACCGTGATTCTGCCCAGGCGAAAACTTTCCATTAACCAGTCGCTATATATGTACACAGGACAAGTCCAGTCCGCAAACGCCTCGTGTGTCCGTTTCGATCATATCACAACTGTCGTTTTGGAACACCTTAGTGCTTGGCGGGGGCAGCGGCAGCGGCAGCATCCTGCTTCTCGGTGGCCTCGGAGGTCTCGAGGAACTTCCTACGGGGGTGTTAGCGATCGAGGGTACCATGAAGACGATGCGTGATGACGATAGCGAAGAAGACGTGGGCGCTGCTGGTGCGGGCGGAGGAGGGACGAAGGATGAAGGATAATCGGAGGCTCCGTACTTGATGAAGTCGGCCTCATCAGAGCTGGAGGCGTTGATGGGGGGAGTAGCAGGGGTCGACTTGCTGCCGCCGGAAGCAAGATAGACACCGCCGAAGAGGGAGCCAAGAACACCCATGGCAAGCTGTTAGGAAGCTGTTGTTAGTGGAGGTTCTTGTTTATTGTTGATGATGCTATTCCATTGGGAGGGGCACTGACGTATTGGGAGGCGACCTTCTGGCCAAAAACGTTGTAGTATTGTCCACCCATTGTGACGGAGGTTGTAGGAAGTCCTGGCGGGGTGTTTTCGGAGCTTGGTGGTGATGGGACCGGCGTGGAGGATTCAACGGTTTGGAAAACGACGCAAAGGTGAGAAGCTCCGTCGCGCGACCTGCCGAAAATTTGGCTGCCTGAGGTTGCTGTTCGCTAGCCAAGCCCGACCTCCCGCTGCCAAGCCATTGCCCCGTAACCGTCGCCCTCGAGCCGCCTGTCGGGTGCCCTGCACGTCCAGACTCCAGAACGTCAACGTCGCGGAAGGAGCACGGACTATCCCACATGCCATTCCCGCTGCCCCGCTATTTACGCTAACGTTATCGCGTTATCGTTGTATTATCCACCACTATCGAGTTCGCTACGTCACTGCTTCGGATTGCGCCCGGCTTATGGTCCGGAGTGGAGGAAGCTCATCTGAAGCTCATCTCAGCCTGCTGCCATCATTCATTGCATTTGGCTTCTTTTCTTCACCACACCATTTGATCTCCTAATTCTTTTCTTTTCCTTATTGCAACTATCTCTGACGCAAGACCAGGGACCACGACGACCTTTTCTACACGAAATTACATCACCACGCCAGCATCGCGCATTCCGTCGCATACGAGCGAATTTCCTAAATCCCGATAGAAATTACGTAAATCACGATGTGGCCGTTTGGAAACAGCAGCAACTCGGACAAGCCGGCACCGCCCCAGCCATCTCCTCGAGAAACCGATCCTCTACAGGACAAGGTAGAGAAGAAGGTTGTCGACGCCAAGAACGCCGTCCATGACAAGTTCGATCCCAAAAAGCTGCCCCCGCGGGAAAAGCTTCCGGATGGTCTCCAGAAGATAATCGACAAGACTGACAAGGACGATAACTTTTACGACGATCTTGTCGAGGGCTAGTACGTCTTTTTTTCTTCTTCACCGGAAACCAACACTCAAGAGAAAAAAAAGACGGCAAGGCAAATAAGGATCCAACAGTAGTCTAATACGAGAGCTAACATTGGCCATGTATTACTCTACGACAGCGCTCCACCGTCGACCGACTCCAACGTCCGTTACGCCGCCTACGCCTCCCGCTTCCGCACCATCCTCCTGTCCGCCCACCGCTACGTGGCCTACACCTCCGACATTGGCGAGTCCTTCCGCCCCGTTGCGCACCCGTGGCTCGTCCGCGGTGCCTACGGTGTTTCGTGGGCTTACATCCTCGGCGACGTCAGCTACGAAGGCTACAAGGCCTACTTGCACAACGCGCGGGTGCTGGACCCCAACATTGAGCTCACATCGCGCCAGCAACGCATTTTGGGTCTGATCGACGAGAACGGCAACAAGAAGCTGGAGGACGACAAGCCGACGCCCGGCAAGATCACGCCCCTCGAAGACTACCGCACCGTGATGCTGCAGCGCGGTATCTTCCAGAGCGTGGCCAGCATGGGTCTGCCTGCGTTTACAATCCACAGCGTGGTGCAGTACAGCGGTCGCGCGCTCAAGGATGTGAAGAACAAGACGATCCGGACTTGGGGTCCCATTGGTCTCGGTCTGGCGGTCGTGCCCTTCCTGCCTACCTTGTTCGATAAGCCGGTTGAGAATGCGGTCGAGTGGGTCTTCCACAAGGGCTTCGAAACGTTTGGCGGCAAGGAGGCGGTTGGCCATGCGCCACTTATCGGGAGAGAAAGGACGCTCAGCGAGAAACCTGCTCCTTCCAAGGAGAAGAGAGAATAAGCGAGACAGAAGAAGTGATGAAGGGATGTATAGGGTGACAGAAAATGATACCCTCAGATGAGACACATCTGTTGTATATAAGGGGGAGGCACATCAGTCACCGCTCTTCAGGGACTGTTTCCCTTTGCTTTTGCAGTGTATCATAGTATAGGTACACTCTACGTATCCCCATTCTTGTACAAACTATCTGGGAATGGTCAAGTTTCATGAAGTATGTATTGTATGTGAATTCATCTGTAGAAATGCCTCGACAGCTTCCCATTTCCAGCACTTGGTAGTAGGAAGTTTCGCATGGACAGAATATCGAAGCTGCTAGACCACTCGTCGCTATGATGTTAAAAATGCAAAGAAAAAGAGACGAAGAAATCCCCCTTTTATATCCGTTCCCCATCAACTATCCTCCCTCACATCTCAATCAGATCCGGCGGCGGCCCCACCCCCCTCAACAGCACAATCGTATTCCCATTCGCCAACACCTTCTCAATCTTTTCATTAAACTCCAACATTCTCCCGCCCTCCACATGGAAAACCCTTAGTCGATCCTCCTCCTTGTTGCTCTGATTATTGATATTCTGCACCTGCAGACTCCTCGCCGCCGCATCCAGCACCCTCCCCACCACCCACTCCTTATTATAGAAGAACTCCCCCTTGGGGATCTTCGCCTTAGCCGTCTCGTTCTCCGCCTCCACAAACAAATAAATCCTCTTCTCCGGTGAGATCTTCTCATCCCCCTTGGCCGTTTTTTTGAGGGTATTGAGCGCGATCATCCGCTGCGCAGCCGTGCTCGGCTTCGGTTTCGGTAGTGATTTCGCCGCCTCCTCGCGCTTCGTCTTTCCCCAAGCCTTGAACCGCTGCAAAGCACTTTTAGCGCTCGCTTGCACGGACGCGGCCGTGGCGGCAGCCGACGTGGCGCGCGCCCCGATGGGTACCTTGGACTTGCAATCGTGGTCTTCGGCCAGGCGGTGCTTGAGGCAGTAATCCCTGTTGCAGCTCGTGCAGTGCACGCCCGGGACTAGCGAGGTGCCGATGATGGTCTTGCAGGCGTCGTCGGCGCAGGGTTTTTGGCTGACCAAATCACGCATGCGTTTTCCCTCGCCGGCGGAGGGGCGGGCGAGCTGGGCGAGACGTCGACGCTCGGCCCAGGCGCCCGCGCAGGAACAGTTGTGTGAAGACTCGGAGCGGTGGTCAAGGCAAAAGGTCTTGTGGCAGGATTGACAGAGGAAGGGCAGGAAGTCGAGCTGGTTGCAGTATTCGAGCTGGCAGTGCTTGCCGATAAGGCTGGCGTCGGTGCCTGCGGTCGAGGAAGAGACGGGGGAGGCTACGTCGGCGGTGGACATTTTGACGTAGCTGGTGTCGGAGGGGTCGTTGTTTGACATGGTGAAGGGTTGGTGTGGGCGAAGCTGAGCTTCGCGTTGTTGTTATATATGAGCGTTCGTTCTGGAGATTGGTAATGAGATGCCCCATGGATTGTATTCGAAGAATGGGAATCAACGATCAGGTGTCGATGGTCACCCCTGCCAAGTCGTAAGGAAGATGCTGCCTTCGCTTGTAATACAATAGCTAAAGATAGCTTAGGCGTGGCGAAGGGGTCGTTGTCGTGTGAACATTCGCAAGTTCGTCGAAGAGCTTGGGCTGTCACAAGACGTGTGTTGGTGGAGGCTCGATGACAAACCAGATGGAAAGAGGCAGTTTATAAAGAGGAAAGATGGCTTCGTGGCCGATGTTGTTGTTGCCTTCGGGGTCCTGGGGTCCATTGAGCATGCATCGCCTGCCATTTCAGCGCCGCAGCGGTCCTCGCGGCCCTGTCAGCCGCTGCCGTCAGCCGCGGCACGGTGGAGCTGGAAAGGTCTCGAATGCACGAAATTGTGGAGAGATCTGGTAATCAACAGGGGCAAAACACAACACAGATTGCCTGCCGGTTGCTCCCGTCACTGATGGCGCTCCGAGTCCACTGTAATTCGTGGTGTAGAGCAACATCACCTGGTGATGTCAGTCGTTGATGTTCCCTGAAACAAAACAAACTTTTGACTTACTTACTTGTACTGCCGTCTTATCATTCTTTCACTGTATCTTCCTTCTTGGGGAACTTTGGACCACTCAATATCACAGCGAGAAATTGTTTCACAACTGCCGACTACCTGGTACACTGAGAATGCATACCCAGTAAACGACAGGAGGCGATTCACAGCTACATACCAAATCCAGGATCAGGGTAATTGAGCTTTCATTGTTTGCCGTCTTCAACGCCGAACGCGTCTTTGTGATGACGGCATAAGTCATTGGAGTCACCTAAGCTCATTCTCACGTCTCATACAACTCAAACGAACCATTCAATTACCGACATGACCAGTCGTCGAGTCTCAAAACTCCTCGCCCACCATGCCACCCTATGTCCCCCGCAAGCGAGTCCGCGATGAATCTCCCACTCCAGCCTCTCCAGCCAACGAACAGCAGAAGAGCAACGCAAAACGAAGAAAAGGCAAAGAAGACGGCAACATGAAAACCTCCAAGTTGACAGCCCCGCCTCGCAAGCCCACCCTCTTCGACGCACTCGACGCCACCGCCAGTCCCGCAGGTTCCTCATCCAAGATCACCAGTCTCGCAGCATTAGCCGCACTTGACGAGAGCTCCTCCGATGACGACTCCAATTCTCTCTCATCCCTTTCTGACGGTGACTTTGAAGATGTTCCCGTCCCCAAGAAGAAGAAACAAGAGCTCAGCACGCAGGCAAACGGAGAGGACAACGATAACAAGAAACTGCAACAACCAGCTCCAACGAAAAATGTCCGAAAAGTACCCGCAAAGCGAGGAAAGGTCAGACCTACACCTGAAGACGGAAACCTCAAAACCACCAAGTTAACAGCTCCACCACGAAAACTAACTCTCTTCGATGCCCTCGACGCCACCGCCAGTCCCGCAGCTTCCTCATCCAAAACCACTAGCCTCGCAGCATTAGCCGCACTCGACGAGAGCTCCTCCTCCAATTCCAGTTCCCTCTCCTCCTTATCCGACGGCGACTTTGAAAATGTCCCTGTCCCGGTCCTCAAGAAACATAAGGCCAACAAAGCCCAGTCCATCCTGGAAGAAAAGGACGACTCAGACGAAGATCTCATCTTCGAAGACGTCGAACCCTACCAGCTCCCACAATCACTCTCAGCAAACATCCCTGAAGTGCCTACGGGTGATCTCGAGCTGACGCTCATTCGCGACACGCGCATCTCGCTCGCCAACGCGCTGGGGAAGAAGGGGCCGTCGAAACTGGAGCGGAGGATACGCGTCTCGACGCACTGTGTGCATGTCCAGTTGCTTCTGTGGCACAATGCTGTTCGCAACGCGTGGTTGTGCGATCCGGAGGTACAGGGGATTTTGCTGTCGCATTTACCGCCGAGGTTGTGGGATGAGGTGGATAGGTGGAGGAGGGGTAGTGGGCTGGAGGTGGTGGAGGTATCTAATGATGGTGATGGTGATGATGAGAACGAGGCTTTGACTAAGAAGAAGAAGGGATCTGTGCAGAAAAAGACGACAAAGGCACAGGTGAAAGGGAGAGGGGTGGAGAAGGGGAAGGTTGTTAAAGGGAAAGATGCTGCTGGACCGGTGGACAGGTCGCGGGATTGGGGCCAGGCGGCGAAACATCTGGAAAAGGGCGCGGTGGATATGAGCCATGGCGATCCCCTGTTTCGGTTGATGAAGGTTCTCAGTGCGTGGTGGAAGCAGCGGTTCCGGATTACTGCACCGGGACTACGGAAATGGGGGTACATGATGCTGGAAAGGTTGGATCGGTTGACCAAGGCCTTCAACCAGGAGGAACATCAGCCGGAACGATTTGGAGAGCGGATTCCTAGTTTGGAAGACTTTCGCGGATGCGCCTCGGAATGCACCGGAAGCCGTGATGTTGGTGCTCAACTTTTTACGGCGTTGTTGAGGGGGTTAGGACTCGAAGCTAGGCTAGTAGCTAGTCTACAGCCATTGGGGTTTGGCTGGACCAAAGTTGAAGAGGCAGATCCGGAGAAGGAGGGAGATCTCAACCCTACACCGAAAAAGAAGGTGGTGGCTAAGGAGACCGTCACAACGCAAGCTTCGGAGACATCAACGAGACGTGGTGCTAGCCGAAAGGCTACGAAGATCCAGAGGTCTAACTCGGAGCTCATAGCAGCAGACAGTGACGATGATCTAGTCATTAGCGATCCCGAACCCGAACCGATACCTCGAAAAAGCAACAAGCTCTACGACAAGGACCTGGAGTTTCCCCATTACTGGACCGAGGTTCTTTCCCCGGTGACCAAGAAGTATCTACCAGTTGAACCTCTGGTGAAATCCGTCATTGGGACCAGTCGGGAGTTAATAGAATCTATGGAACCACGGGGTATGAAGGCGGATAAGGCCAAACAAGTCATGGCCTATGTCGTAGGCTACTCGACAGACGGAACGGCAAAGGACGTCTCAGTGCGCTACCTCAAACGACAAACCTTGCCAGGGCGAACCAAAGGCATGCGGATCCCCATCGAGAAGGTTCCTGTCTACAACAAGTACGGCAAGGTAGCGAGGTACAAGATGCACGACTGGTTCCAGGAAGTGTTGAAAGGCTACGCCAGAGGCGGCAGGAGCAAGCCCGCCCTAACGGACGTCGACTTGGAAGAAGACGCGACAGACCTGAAGCCCGCCAAATCTGAGAAGAAGGAAGTCAAAGAAGGCGAAGAAACTCTGCAGTACTACAAGCAGTCTAAAGAGTTCGTACTCGAACGCCACCTGAAGCGCGAGGAAGCACTACTACCCAATGCGCGACCGGTGAAGATGTTCAGGAACAAGGGCGGGAGGAAGAAGGAAACGGCCACCACCCAAGACGAACCTGTATACTCACGCAAGGAAGTAGTCCAAGTCAAAAGCGCCGAAACCTGGCACAAGCAAGGACGAGCTCCCCTCCCCGGCGAGAAACCATTAAAGCACGTACCCTACCGCGCAGCAACTAACAATCGACGTCGCGAGATTGCCGAAGCCGAGAGGCGTACGGGCCAGAAGGTGTTGCAGGGCTTGTACAGCTTCGACCAGACAGACTGGATCATCCCGCCGCCCATCGAAAACGGCGTTATCCCCAAGAACGAGTACGGCAACATCGATCTCTTCGCCGAGCACATGTGCCCTGAGGGAGCAGTGCACATCCCCTACCGCGGCGCGATGCGGGTGTGCAAGCGGCTCGGGATTGACTATGCCGAGGCGGTGGTGGACTTTGAGTTTGGACACAGGATGGCGGTGCCGGTGATTCAGGGCGTGGTTGTTGCAGAGGAGCATCATGACCAAGTGATGGAGGAGCTGGCCAAGGATGAGGTGGAGAAGAAGAGAAAGGAGGATGAGAAAAGACGGAAGGCGGCGTTGGGGATGTGGAGAAAGTTTTTGATGGGAATGAGGATCGTGGAGAGGATTAAGCAGGATTACGGGCATATGAGTGATGAGGTGGAGGTATTTGGGAAGCATGGTCGAGGTGCCGGAGGATTTTCTGAAGTCAGGGGCGTGGCTGAAGCCGAAGCCGAAGCAGCTCGGGAAGATGAGTATATGGGTGGTGGTGGATTTTTGCCGGAGGGCTTCGAGGTTGAAGATGATGAGAGGGATGAAGCCCAGCTCAGGTCTTCTTTCTTCCCAGTGGTGGACGAAGATGACGAGGATGAAGATGCACTGGAGGTTGATCACGGAGAGGGGGGCGACAACCAGGAAGAACCGGCAAAGAAGGAAGAGGCCGCGGTGATGAGTACAAGACCTAAGCGCAAGGCGGCTGCCAAGGCCAAGGCGAGTGTTGCGGGCTCGCGAAGGAGAACGAGGCGTAATGTCCCTTCAAGTGATGATGATGACGAGGATGAAGACAAGGAGGCAGATTTGGAAATGTCAGATTTGGAGGATGATGAAGAGGCTTTCTGAGCAGAATGGCGCTATCGTGCCAGATACCTGCCGATGGTCGTGTTAAGACTGGAGGAAGCTGCCCATTGCGTAGATACCCATTTGCTACAGTAATGTTGAGCTGGGTTGGGTGGCCTGGCTGACTATTTCACCATTACAAGTCACGATGGCGGGGTCGTAAGACTGGGTACCTCTAGCGCCCCGCTGAGTTTGCCGAGTTTAACCGTCTTGGGATTTTACGTCTGGATCATTGTGCCGCGCTTGTCCTCTGTTGGCATTTCTGTATTGCATTGAAAGATGGTCGCGTTCCCCTTTCTATCGACCTTCCACCGGACAACAACTGCCTTGACGATTTGATCCTCCAGAGGTACAATCGTGCGTTCTTTTCTCCAGGCACAGAAGACACTTCGCCTCATGTTCAGACCAGGTCGGCCAACTTCAAAGAGGGTTTGGTGAAATTCGGGGGATGTGGCACAACTTGCATTGGGCGCAGCTGTTTTCCTGGCGTTCACGAACTGCACAAATCAAGCCTGGCACCTGGATGACCCAGGGGCAAGTACTTCTATCGACACACCCCTTTACCGCAACACACACCCTACTACCAGCACCCGAAGCACCTCCAAGGAAGATGTTTGATTCTTCAGACAACCGGTAGGCACGATGGGACATTGGTGTTAATTCTCGTGTGACTTGAATGCAGCATTCAATGTTTAGGAAAGAACAATTTGAGTTCATAATACCAACGTTCCCCCATTCGCTTGCCGTGTCGAGTGGCTCCTTCCACAGTCCACACAGCCAGTTTTGGAGACACCTGCATTTTTCATTCACGGCGCCATCCAACCGACAGATGACTTTTCGTCTTACCCACCGTTGTATGGATTTCGGTCAACTCAGGTTGCCTTCTCTGGGCCTGCGCTGTCGGGCACTTCAGCTTTTATCTTGTCGCTTCCCGAACCGGGAAAGTAAACTCGACCCGTTTGCCTCGACTGCCGCATGAACGGGTGACGGTGGCCCGGCAACGTGTCGGTTGCTTACACTGTCCGATCCTGCCATCCAAGGCCCACGCTCCAGCACATTTGGCAGGCGGAAACTGGGGAAGGCCTCAACCCCGATGGGGTTTGCTGGCCACCACCACCTGCAACCACGGCGCATCACCTCCTCCTCCACGACTGGCTGGATTCATCATCCCATCATAGATTTGCGACACAGCTCGCGTCCACCTAACTTCTGCCGCCGCATTGTTGGTTTGGGCCTCCTTCAATTCCCAACTTCTCAACAGCGGACACCACTTACCCGACGCTTCCAGGCTTCTTAAGCATAGCACAGTCGCCAAGTTTGAAGCGACATGTCTGCTCTCTGATGTGCCCGCTATAGCCATAACCGATAGAACATTCGACCCAAACCAACATTCGATTTACTCATTTTATCTTCAAACAGACAGTCGGGTGCACCTTGTTTTCCTGCTTGTCGGATCACCTCATGGGGCTGTGGTAGGACTTCTCAGCCTGCAAGTCAACACATGTCAAGAACAACCTTGAGGGCATCACCATCCAACTTGACCGACCCGACCAGAGCGGGACGGATTGTATGAGGCCAACCTGCAAACCTTTGACTCGCTCGCCCTACCGCCTACCTAACCACGGCCTTCACCAACATCTCGAAGCGAACCGAGGCCACACCCGTCCACTTCACTCGCAAGCCACAGGCTGGTACATATTTCCCCGAACCGACCAAAAGTACCTACACCTCAGTCCTCGCAAGCTGCCAGGCGCATGCTTCGCCTCGCTATCTCTGCAGCTTCGTCGACTTTTTTCTCATACGTTCTTTCGTCGTCAGCACGTATCGAACTATTTTTGCAAAGTGTGCCAGGACCTTGAGCAATGAGCGCCGATAACCCGTAAGTTACTTTGTGTGTTCACGAACCATCGTGATATTCCTCTTTCCTTCTCACGTTTGTTCTCGTTCGGCCCTGATGCCCTGGTCATGTACCGGTGTGGTCACCCTGCCTCGAGCCTTGGTCAATGTCAAACCATCAGAACAACTGGACGTCGCCCCCGGCCTATCATGTGCACCTGACCAAGTCCTGAGCCGCATCACCCGGTTGTTTCATCTTGGTTGCTGGGTGGATGGACTTCTCAACCAGCTACATACACATCACCACCCGGACATTTGATGGTTCTTTCTCAGGCTTCGCGTTCCATTCCATGCAGAATGGGATTGCATTAAAGCACATTGTTGTCCTATTCGCACAGCATTGGCATCACATCCGCTTGGACTCTGCCTGTGGGTTAGAGTTCTGCCATTCCACGCCTGGGCTTATCACTTAAGGTGGTCAACATCCCTGGCATCTGCTGACTGACCATCAACACCCCAAACATCCTTTGTTTTTCTCCTCATCTTTATCACTGTCGTAGGTGTGAACCTACCTCTCCTTAATCTCCTCCATACTCACTATTTTCAATTCCCCTATAGTCCCTTACTCGAATCAGACCGGAAGTTTCCAGGTGATGGCTGACCGGACAGGCTCGCCACAACTGTGTACATTTCATCGTCTCAAGCCATGGTGGGACTGTCCTTATCAGTTTACTAATTTCCTGGGCAGGGTTCTCGTTGACGATGGTTGGCCACCTCCTGCTGTACCGCCCGTGCCGGAAGAACAGCCACAACGCGACCCGGACACGTTTCTGGCCACTGTCATAGGCCTTCTACCGGATCTATGTCCAGAGTACGCCCACCAGCATGGTCATGAATACGGATGGGATCCAGAACTGTTCCTCAACCGAGTTTTAGAGGAAGATGGCAACGGCACCAAATATCCAAGGCGCGTCAAGAAAAGGAAACGAGACGGCGAGGATGTGGGCGACCACGCGAAAGAGTCGAAGCTGCAGAGACTTCGCAAAACATATGAGGGACACGTATCGGACCACAGAGGCGACCACCATTATATCCGCGTCGGGTGAGTTTCCCATTCTGGAGAAAAATCTGGAGTTTAACCACTCACACCCGAAGCTTGAAGCCATAACTAATCGTGGACCAGCCGGTCACTTCTCGTAGAAGCTTTTCCCAAAGCATATGTAGCCGACATCATGGACGCTTTGGGGGCGCACAACTTTTCGATCTACCACGCGTACTCAGCCTTACATGAGGATTTTTCGAAACTGCACAGTTTCACCTTACGCAGAAAACCGGCTTCCAAACACAAGAAAACCATCGAAGAGATAGGAATCTACAATAGAGATCCCACTCCCCAAGGCACAGAGGCAGAGCAACAATTTCTCGCAGCACAGGAGGTATGTTCAGCAAAATTAGCCAAGGACACCGTGGAAGAAGCCCGGGAGAGAGAGGAGAAGGAAAACTTCGAAAAGGCGAAAGCGGAAGGCGCCATCACCGAATGCGAGTGTTGCTTTGACGAACTTCCCTACAATCGCATGGCGCACTGCGATGGTGACTCGCCTCACTGGTTCTGCTATGACTGCGCTCGACGGCAAGCAGAAAATCAGATTGGACAGCAGCAGCATCATTTAGGTTGCATGTCTATGGATGGCTGCGAGGCAACCTTCTCTAGACATCAAAAAGACCTGTTTCTGGATGACCGCCTGAAGCGCACCCTGGAGCTGATCGAGCAAAACGACAGCATCCGACGGGCTGGTATTGAGGGTCTCGAGACTTGTCCATTCTGCAACTATGCTGCCGAGTATCCCCCCAGTGGAGGTCAACTGGGAGTTTGAGTGTCAGCAACCAGAGTGTGGGGTCAAAAGCTGCCGGCGTTGCCGTCAAGAAACCCACATCGGCAAGTCCTGCGAGGAGGCGATGGCTGAATCAGCCCGTAACAAGGGTGAAGATGCCAAGCGGAAACTCGAGGAAGCCAGGTCATTGGCTATGATTCGGGAGTGCTACAAATGTAAGTCCATATAGGGTCTTCCTCTGCTCTCGTGGTTAAGGCTAACCAACGTAGGCAAAAACCGGTTTATCAAAGAAAGCGGTTGCAACAAGATGACTTGTCCCAGATGTAGAGCCATGCAATGCTACGTTTGCAGGCAGCCTTGCGATTACACCCACTTTGACGATGTCAACAGAGGCGGCAAAAAGGGCAACTGTCCTCTTTTCGAAAGAGAATCATTGGATGAGATCCACGACAGGGAGGCTCGGGAAGCAGAGGAAAGGGAACGAATGAAGCTGCTCGAGGCGGATCCCAGCATCAATGCTCAGGAGCTTGAAATCAAGTTTGACGAGAAGCTTTTTCCAAAACGCCAGCAACCTGCTCAAGCTAACGGTGTGCATGTTCCTGGAGCCTACCCCGTTCCACTTCCGGCTCGAGTGCAGCATGTGCTTGCGGATGCGATAGCGCGACGCAGGCCAAATCAGGCCCATCCAGCCTTGCCAGGAGCTGCTCATGTTCAGCCCCCGGGACAGGAAGCAGATTTCCTACACCAGTGTCAGTATTCTGCCCCCTCGAGACTTTGTTGTCCACCCCATATGCGAATGTTCGACTGACTTTGCTCCTGTCATAGATGTCATGAGACTGCCGCCGGGACCAATGCGAGATCGATTTATGGAGAGGCTCAGGATGGGGGGCGGATACCCGCCACCAGTTCAGCAGCCGGTTCAGCAACAGGAAGGTCAAGTGGCTAACGGCAATCTTAACCAAGCAATGAACCGAGGACTTGCAGGCTATGATGCCCCTGGCGTCCCTCCAGATCCCCTGCCCAAACCAAACCCTAATAATAATCCCAATCTCAATCGCAGGCCTGTTCCCAATCCTGCCCCCAACCCTCACCCCCCTGCTGTTCACAATCGTAATCACCGTCCCAATTCTGTCTTCAATCCAGTCCCGGCACCACCACCGTATCCAGGATTTGGACCCCACGCTATCCATCACAACCACAATCACAACCGCTACATGCTTAATGCGCAATTCCCGGCCAATGTTCACGAATGGAATGCAGGCGTTCCGGATCTCTTCGGCCTCGAACCCGGCCTTAGACCCCTTCCCCCGAACGACGGATTTGGTCTTCCCCAAATTGCGGCAGCCCCGGCGCCAAGAAGGGCCGCCCTTCCTCCTCCTGTGGCAGTCAACAATGAGAGAATCCCGGGTTTCGACGTGCGAATCGCTGGCCCAGCCCAGGTAGTGGCAGTACCTCCTAGACAGCAGATTCCTGTTGTCGATCTTACTGCTGATGATTAGCCGCCAGAGGCGCCAGACCGTCAAGGCCAGGTAGCTCCAAGACCTCCTGGACAGCAGGAACCTGATGAGTACGAAACAGAGATAATACGTCTATCCCGTGCCATCCGTGCCCTCGGTGTCCGTACTGGTCTTCTTTCTCCCAACGAGGAGCGGGGTCTTATTGACCAAGCTCGGGAAGGACTGCTACGTGTAGTGGGTGCCATCCCTGATGTCTTCCCTGTTCAGGAACCTGATGTTGCTCGAAGGAGAAGGGGGGAAAGTACTATGCGCGCGGAAGCTGGGTCGGATGCGGATATGGATGACGTCCCTGGTACCCTTGATCCCAACCATGAGCCTCGGAGTGCTGCTGAACTGGCTCAGGCGCGTCCCAGATCTGCTCGGGCGCGTCGCCGATCCGCTCCCTGATATCTTTCCCCTCAACGATGACAACGGTTCCCATGACCCAGTTTCGGACCAGGGCGGCCCGGACGGAGCCTGATCCCGACCATGCAGAGGATGGGTGATCGGGCGATGTGGCACTCGCTTCAGCCTTCTTGAGGGTTGCATCATGTCGGCGATGCTAAGTTTATCTCAAGGAAACGAAAGCTGGCCTTGGCAAGCGTGATCTGGTGGATGGGATTGAGGTGATGATGAAAGAGAGCGAGAAGGATATCGGCTTTTTTAACATCCAACGATATCACCGGCATCACTCACACGACATGGGCGTCTATTTGGGGGTTTTTCTTTTTTGTTTTTTTTGTTTTTCTATATAAACGGACCGGAGAAGGGAGGCACCGTTGTTGCATTTTTGTCTCATTCCGTTATTACTGTTTGGGATTCTTTTGGAGCGAACTATAAGAAAAGCGGGTTTGTTGCATTTTCAGGCTGGGTGGAGCATAGCCATTGAGCCATTTTCCGGGTTTTCCCTCTTTCTCTTCTTGCTCTTCATCTTTGCAGCCTCTCGTCCCTGCAAAAAGACATCGAGAGTGGCCGCGAGCGTGGTTAGCAACAGCAGTAGCAGTAGTAGCATTCTAGACCGCATGATACCCCCCTCCCCCCACCGAATAGAGAAGAAAGATTGGTATTTTGCACATGACATAGGTAGAAAGGTATATATCATGCTAATCGGTTACATACTTTGAGGACGAAAGGAAAGGAGAGTGAAACAAGTGAGTGACGATGACATGAGAAATGGCGGTGAACGGAGTTAGCTGAGGCGTTGAGATATTCAGTACCACAGAAAGAAATTGGCTGTTACTGTGAAGGTACTGGGAATTCGATACACATCATGATGAGAGCTTCCCTCCCGTCATAACGCGCCGGCGTGTTCATGAATGCCAGCAACAGAAGGGTGGACTTCCCGATGACGTTTAACAAAGTTCTTCACCAGTCCAATATTTGGCTATTGGCTCGGGCCAGAACACTTCAAATGTTTTTGTTCTTTCTTTAACATCTCCTTTTTGTTACTTCCGGGGTATCACAAATCACCAAACCACCTTTTCAACGCACCACTTCCCAACGCACCACTTCCCAACGCACCACTTCCCAACGCACCACTTCCCAACGCACCACTTCCCAACGCACCACCACCACCACTTTACCTCCTTCCTTCACCATTTCCCTTCCACCGCCCATCCATCAAGGTCGAGCCAAAGACCTCTTCCTCAGATCTCCTACCAAGACCTAAACAAAACCTGAATCATCTCCCTGTCAAGTCCAAATTATGACCAAGGCCAACCCCTCGCTGCCCATCACTCAACGTCCCCTCGCAAACTTCTCATGCCACTTCCCCCTCGCCTTAACAGCCGGCGCGCTCGCGTCTTCCGCTTCGGGGACTAACTCGATTGTTTCGTGGAGGGTGGTTAGGGTTCGGAGACCTGCTACCATTGCTCCCCCTCCCACCCCTGTTACTATCCCCCCTTCTTGCACCTGATTTTGCTCGTGCTCGATGTCCATCTCGTCGGCTTCTGGTAGTTTATCGTAGTAGGTGGTATTTTTGTTATTCGCCTGGGTTGGTTTTGGTGTTTGGACACATGGTTGTGGTGGTCGAGCAGGAGAAGAAGAAGAAGAAGGGTGATTTTGGGCAGGTTTTGAGAGGGGAGATAAAAGGATGAGCCCGTTGGAAGTATTCTTTTGTCGGAGGGAGTATGTTTTTGGGGAGCCGTTGATGGTGGTTTTTAGGAGGGCGGCGGTGGGGGAGGGGTGAAAGGATAGACTGTTTTGGGGGGTTTGTTAGTTAAGTGTCGTGGTTCAAAAAGGTTGATTTGCGGTGATGTTAAGGTCGGGGTGGTGGGATGGTTGGTAGAAAGCGTCTGAGGCTACAGGCTGGGAAGGCTCGACGGGAGGTCTGTGAAGGGGGGTTGGAAGGGATGCCAGGCTAAGGCAGCGAGGTAGGGTGATTGGGAAGGGGGGGGGGGGGGGGGGGGGGGACAATTGCGAGACTGGGTATAAGGGCGCCGTGGACGCAAGAGAGGTGTTCAGATGCAAGCAACAGAGACGTAAGAACCTACGTAGGAGGATTTTCCGATTCCAAAAGCTCAACCAGCTCTGGAGGAAGTTCGAGGAGTTTGTAGCCTACGCCGTCGGGCGCGTGGGAAAGCGGGATCCCCGCGTTCGCTTGGGTGGACATTTGTTGCGGTCTTGGCTCTCGTGGTATTTTAAATACGTATAATTGATGATGTTTTTGTTCGGCAACTTTGGTGGAAAGCGGCGTGCAAAAACGTCGTGTGTTTGGCGTTTGGAGCTTTTGGATGTCACAGGGATGGTTCGCCTATGACGATGCTGACCGCTGGGGGACACGCGAAAGTGTCTCGCGAATCCACGTGATGGAGTCATGCAACCCTAACCCTCAAGGAAAGGGAAGCGGGCTTTCATAAGCTCAATCTATCATTTCGAGCATGTCAGAAGCCCCCGCGCATTGCATATTGCTTTGCCCATCTCTTATTCCACAGTCGAAATCTTAACCAGATACGGGGATATATCTTTCAACTAGGCCGAGGACCATGCTTCCTTCTGATATAATATGCAGGTAAGAAGTCAGGCAATCTGCAGGGAAAGGTCCGCTTGATTTTTAGCGCGTGTGCAGTACTTTACAGCGGTCCATCGAGCACACCCTGCGTGAAACGATGTACGGTTTTCTTTTCGCATCCGGTCCTAACACCAGGAAATTTAGTCCATGACGACACTGTTATCAACCCTGACGGTCATCCTTCAATCGTTATCGAACCACTTGTTCGCTTCAGGTGTTGTGAGAGTGTATGTTTTGCAGAGTGTCTGGGCTCACTTCGAAGAGTCAGGAAGTGCACGACGCCGTTCTCACCGATGATAACCGAGGGCAGACCTGCGCGTTTTAGACGAGGGGAAACAAATATTCATGTTCTCAGGAACGTTTAAGCTTGCGAGACGGACCTAATACACTCAAATAGGAAAGAAGTGAGCGAAAGATATACGCTGAAGCCAGTCTATGGTTGAAAGGAGATGTCCAAACTTCAACATTGAAAAACGCCGCCAATCTTTCTCTACCGGATCTTGACCCAATCCCGCGGTTGCGAGTTGTCCAGATCGATGTACAGGCCAAGCATCTTTCCGACGCCGACCCTCTCGTATATCTCGGTCTCTTCCGTTGCCAATCCCGCGCTGTATTCTCGCAATCTCACGATCAGGACATAGTGAGTCTTCGTCTCCGCCGAGACGCCTCTCTGCATCTTAACGCCGACTACGATGCACTTGAGCCGCACCACATCCGGCTTGATGTCCTTCGGAATATCCCAGGTAATGTCGAAGTCTTGGGTGGTTGTCGTTGTCATACGGAAGAGTCTCGTTTTGGCGCTCAACTCGGTTCTGTTGCCTTTGCCGAACCAGTTCCCCCTGATCTCGGATATGTTCCAGGCTACCTCCCCAAACGGGGGGTCCAGGTAGTCGACGCCTCCCTTGTATGCCATCCATGACCAGGTTGGCACCCGGGGTAGCACTTGGCTTTCGATCTTTTTCAAAGTAGGGAACTCGTCGCCTCGCTGCCAGAGCAGACTTCGCGGCAGTAAGCTGCGTTCGTCGTCAAACACTCCGAACCCTCCCGAGGATTTCAGGTCGTGGATGAGCCGCTTCTCGAGACCGGCAATGGCGATGGGGCGGTCACTGTCGCGCGAAAGGGTTAGGCGGGAGTATTGCTTGTAGAGCCCCTCGTAGAAACGGATCTTTTCACCGCGATCGCTGGTGCCGTCCGAAAGCTTGGAAGGGAAGTTCGGGTCCCCGAGGAAGGAGATCAAGTTGCTAGTCATTGCCCGGGTCAGCCTGATGTAGCTCGGGGAGCTTTCCTTGGGGGAATTGGGGGTGGGGGGATACTCACTTGTTCATCAGGGTCAGAGTCTCGCATCTGATTCCATCACCACATTCCCAGTACGTCTGCCACTCGGTGAAGTAGATGGTTCGCCTCGCTAGAGCCCGCTCCTGCAACACCCAACCACGCTCACTAAGCGGGGAGTTGACGACGTGCTCTTTGAAGTCGTCTGAGAAGAGGGACACATAGACTCCTCCTCTTGCATCACCTTCTTTCACCAGGTTAACGGCTTTCCTTGCTTTTCGCGGATTGAGGAAGCCATCTTGCTGGCTGCGCGCACTGCTCGCCGCGAGGACGCAGTAGGCAGAGCTAAAGACTAACTCCATCTTCTCCGCCTCCTTGTCAAAGTCGCCGTGGTCACCCTGAATGATACAAATGGAGTCGATCCAGAGATATTGAATGCCCAACTGACGTGTTGTTTGAATGGCATGTTGAAAGGTCCTCGGAAGCGTTTGAATGGGAATGCCTCTCTTGTGCTCTTCGAGATTACAAGCCGTGGTGAGGAAGTGTTGCTCCGTTCCCCAGCAATGTGAAAGTGCGATGTATCTGAAGGAGTCTCCCGGTTTGGTCTCGCAGAGACGAACAGTGGGTTCGTGTTCGGTACCGATATCAATGACACGAGTTGGCACAGAACTGTTCGCCTGTGGTTTACAATGATGTCGGGTGTCACAGTATTCGAGCCATTGACGCATAAGCCCCATGTGTTGACTGCAGGACGCGGTGAGGTTGGGGAACCCGATCTTGATACGCTTCGATTCTTGTTTGGATTCAAATACTTGGTCTCCTATCCATAGTTTGTTAAATTGAGACATTAATCCCGTGAAGAACAAGGGCGTCATCGTTCTGGTAGTAGCACAGTAGTAGGAGCCTTCTTCTGGTGGCCGAAACGGCTTTGGTTAGGAATAGAAGAGCTTCTCTTACTGCGCTACTGCCGGAACGAACACGACCCAAGAGCTGAGCTTACCTGGGGCCCGACAGATAGACATTACGGGATCAGCATGTTCATTAAGATGCAACATTGAGTTGATCGCCACAAATGTTATCTTCTGGGTATTCTTGAGATTCTGCTCGATGCAAACTTGCCATCGCAAGGCGCAAAAGTCGCAGACATTGTGGGTCTCCTTGAGATCTGCCCAGGTGTCTTCAACGAGGAAGTCCGGAACGAAGAAATCCAGTTTACGGCACCTGGTACACAGCCTGGCTCTGTTGGATGGCTCAGGAAACAGTCCTTCACTGTCCATGTTCGAGATAGCCTTCAGTGCAAAGGAGTTGTCGATGATGTAGTCGGTCCGATCAAGCTGATGAAAACTGTTAACAACCTTCTCCGGTTACTGACATTGTAGCTTGTATAAAAGAGGGTTATAATGTTGAACTCAGAGCGGCATAAGTGATGATGTGACTCAATGTGAATTGCTTCGCGTAGCACATGACGGCGAGGTTTTCATGGACAACTCCCCAACGGAACAAGAGAAGAAGAATTTACCTCTGCCTATTTCGGGGGTAAGTTAGTACAAATAACAATCAAGTAGCGGTGCCGTTGGGATACTTACCGCCTTTATGGAGCCGGTTAGATTAACAACGAATCTACTTCAAGTCAGTGCTCTTGACGGCTCTGGTTTGGTGAACTTACATTCTGATCGTAATTGAATTAGCCTGTCGTCAGAAACATGCAATGTTTATTCTGATGGGCTGAGGGGAGATAGGTACTTACACGCTATGAAGAACATCAGCACCATTACTGCGATTTCATTACTGTGTCCGAGAATTCACGGATGGGGGGAGGCAAAACGTACGTACTGTACCACCAACATTAGCCAGTGCATTGGGAAATACGCTGTCCTAAGCCATGATAGGAACGCTTACTTCCTGTGTGGTTTTGATTGCCGCCGTTAGCTTGAAGTTAACGTGAACACTGTTGAAGGTTGGGGATGGGTCTCACGGACATTCTGCAATAGTCTAGAGTCAGCACAGCCCATCATGTGGTAGTTTGTAAATCGCGAAGCATATGTGGTCATCAACATACCTCTCTAGCTTGAGCAGACTGTGCGGCCAATCCTCTGCCTCCCGCATTCCTTGCTGCATCAGGCGAGAGGAACCCTGAGGGGCTGCTGATACCCGCCGCTTCTCTGATCTTGTTCATGTCAAGCATTACATCAGGCGTTCCGCTATACCAGTACCCCCTATTGTTCCTACCTTTCTCCAGGATCTCCAGTAGCGTGGCATTAAGCTCTTCAGATTTTGCTCGCGTGTTGTGAGAGCTCTGGCTGTACGGTTGCTCCGATCTTAGCATTCTTAGCTCCTCAACCCCATCAATGACAATCGAGATCCCGGGAACGGGTAGGTCCTTTTCGGGAGGGTCAATGACTTGTTCGTTCCAAGAAGTTTGAGCGAACGGTGTTCCACCTTCCACATGACTAGTAGATTGGATACTGGTCATGCTTGTGGTTGGACTGTTGGAGCCAGTACCAGCGCCGGTCCTCTCTTGACTGTTGCTCTGCCCAAGTTCGACCACCAAGAGCCTGTCTCTGACGAGGTGGAAGATGTCACGTAAAGCCGTGTCACCTTTGAATTCCGGATCATTCTCCAACATGAAATTCATTGTCTGCTCGACAATGGGGTGCAATTGGGCTTTTTGTGTTTGGTCATGGTCATGGAGTACTTCGAACCAAGGAGATTCGGTACCATTTTCAATGTTGATCACAACCCCGGGCCTTGTTACCCGAACAATGTTGGCGTTGAATACCCTTAGTGCTTCATTGCCGTACCGGAGCCAAATGACAAACTCCAGGATCACACATCCCATGGACCAGATGTCGTACCGTCTTGACCGCCCTTTCTGCTTCAGCGTTTCAACCTCGGGTGGCTGGTACCGCCATGTTGTTGCTCGTGTGCTCGTTCTGTCCCGGACATTGGTCCCCACGGCATGAAGTTTGGCCAACCCGAGATCAGCGATCATCAAAGTGCCAATGTCAGGCTCATGTGCTGATGGTTGTCGACCTTGCGTAGACTGAGAGAGAATATTTTCCGGCTTCAGATCACCATGTCGGACTGAGCTCTCAGCACCAGCACCGGGTTCTTTGTTGTAATTGTGCAACTTGTCGAGTGCCTCGGAAAGCCCTTGAATTTGTCGAACAACAGCCTCGACGAGAGTCACCGAGATTCGCGGCGATGGATGATTCGTCCAGAACGACAGCAGGTTTCCTTGGTCCGCCCACAGGAAGACAAGGTAGCGCTCCTCGCCCCTTTCAATAGCGGCGATGAATTCCACAATGTGAGGGTGGCCAAGGTGTTTAATCTTGTGATGAGTTTCCACTTCCCTGGTCCAGTCGTCATACTGTTTCAGTCTTGCTCTGTCGCCTTTGGGATATTGGTCTTTCAGATATTTAACAGCCATCTCGCGACCCTACTCAGGTTAGCTTCTATCCAACCTCGAAGACAAGTCGCAGCATTTTGAAACAGGTAACTGGCAACAGTGCGTCTGTGTGCTCACCTTGAGCTTTGCGAGACGGATGTTTGATTCGCTCGGTAGAACCCTGTACACATCCCCAAAGGCGCCTGAATCGGATCTCTCGGCCTTGACGAAGGGGAGAATGGCGTTGGCATCTAATTTGAGAATCATCTCATCTGCTGAGCGTGGCGGTAGTTCAGCAGCGCGAAAGGCCCATTGTTTCTCACAGAATATTTTCTCTGCGCGCTTAGTCCACAGCCATTCCTGGTTGACGAGGAAAGGGACCCTGCTCCTGTTTTCTTCGGTGATCGGTAAGAACTCGTCACCAATTGCATATTTTCGGAAGTATTGCATAGCTGTTAGAAGCCTGTCACCCTGGTAATCGGCCTGGAGCAAAGTTGCGAAAATCTTCGGTGCACGATGGACAGCGAAAGCAACCAAGTCGTCGACGTCATCCGGTGAAATGTTGTTTTTGGTGAGTTCGCGCCGAACAGACTTCTCTGTGAGAAACCTGTCCAAGAGACCCTCAGGTAGAAACTGTCCGCTGGTGAGTTTACTGTCCTTCATGTTGTCAAAGATGAGATCGCCTAATCCCCCAGTCTGCGCCATGTCCTCGTCTTCTGCCTCAGTCACGGGTGAGTCTCCGGGTGTATGTACTGTTCCGGTACCGAGACTTGGGTGGTTTGAAGTCACCGTTGTGAGCTCTGTGTCATCGCGAGACAGAGTTCGTTGCGTATCTGGCGATTCTAGCATTGACCTGATGATAAGATCCGGCTTCTCTTGAACTCTGTGCTCGACAACGGCATTTTCCTTGGCTTTGGTTCCTGCCGTTTTCTTATCTTCATTCTTTGGCTGAGATTGACTGGATGCGTGGAATGTTCCTGAGCTTTCACGTTTGTTCGTTTTATTCTTGGGGAACATGTTGCCGAACACGCTGGTGACGCTGTGCCAGGGTTTCCGAGGGCTGAGACCACCATATTGCTGTTCATTGTCGCGGTGGGAGTTGAATGATGGTCGGCTAGTTGCAGAGGTGGATTGTGCAGGGCTATTCTGGGACTCCTCTGCCTCCCGAAGAGAGGAACTTCTGGTCTTCGAGAAAAAGGAGCGCGTCATGATGGATCCCGTTGGTATGGTGAGTGGCGATACAAAGTGCTGAGCTGTGGAATGGATCAAAACATCGCGCCAGCTATATACAGTGGGAGATATCTTCTGTCAACCTGAGAGCCTTCTCCTGCAAGACAACCCGGTGCAATGATTCTATGGACGATTCCAGTGGAGCGAATGCATTTAGTGAGGCAACGAGGCATCCGACAGGGGTTGTCAGGAGCAGGTCGACCTGGCCCAGAAGCTGAGAGCGAACATCAGGTATCAATAGGTGGCTGCAGCCTCCTCGTCCCAGCCGGATGGCGATGCGGGACGACGATGTTACGCTCGAAATGCATGGTGCCAATCATTGAACCATCTGCTCGACGCGTGTGGTTGCCTTGATCTTGGCAAATGCGGTCAGTCGCCCCTCATCACAGCGTAGCCACGGCGCTTAGAGAGCCTTGCTTGATCAGGCATGGAAAAAAGGGCTCACCCACCAAATACTAAAGCTGAGCAAAGAGGGCTTGTGTAGAATCAGGATGCACGGCGTGGATAAACGAACTCAAAGAGTGGTGCGCCCACCAACGCCATTATGGTAAAAGGCTGTCGGCTTATGCCTTGATCTTCACATCGGTCTCCTGATGGCCATAAAGTCACATACTCAATGTGCAATAACGCGGACTACTTGCGAAGGTAAGGGTGAAATGATCTGAATTTGATCCCACTTTCCTAAGGTAACTCCAACTTCAATCCCCTAGCGGGAAGGAAGGATGCAAAGCCAAATGCTGAAAATGCGACGGGAAATGATGAGAACGATGAAGAAGGAGCAGCTTGGCCTATTCGGCCAGCTGCACTGCATGCAGAGGTGCTGCATGTCACAGCCCCCGACACTGTGAAATCTCTTCCATGGAAAGCTTTCGTGGTGTGCCAACACTATAGACACTTCCAATCATCTACAATATTTCTTCGTAAGCATCATATCCAATACATGTTATTTTCGCAGCTGTCGTTCTTTTGTTACTTACTGAAACGTCGTATTTACCCACACCGAACTGCATCCTCAACAGTGCGACAAGTTTCACAGGATTCGTTAATCTCGCGGGGAGCTCTTGATAAACAAGGCTCTGACCATCCATCTCGCTTGTGGTTTCCAACCCGTCGTCTCGGTCGCTATCTGGAGTGATTGGGGTGGTTTCTTGATGGATCATCGCTGAGGGATGTGTGGTGCGACTGCCCACACGTATTGTATATCGGCACGTGCTGGGTGTGAAAACTGGTGCTGAAGTTTCTTCGAAACTATCGAGTCGACGTTCAATTCAACAAGAGAATAGAGAGGATCTGCTGTCAAGCTAGATTCTGTGTTGATGGATGCCGTTATAGCGTTGAAGTTCGTCTACAAACTGGTGGGTTGATCCATCGCATCATGTCCTCTATATATGGATGAATGCAGAGACTAGGCTGACTCTTCTTGCAGCGAGCCCACGGATTCCAGTGGGCAGTTACGTGGAGGGATAATCTATGCCAACTCCGCCCAGCGCGTAACCTTCAAATGAAGCTTTGGTTATTTCGGAATAGCGTCCAGGCCCCCCACATAATTAGAAGGGGGCGTAGTCACCGACGGGTTGCCTCACCTGGCCGGATATGCACAAATGTATCCCCCTGGCCGAGAAGGTCTCCGGAACTTGGCTAATCTATTGGCCTTCCGTCATTCCTATTCGAAAATGCCTACAATTCCGCCCAGTGTACGCCATGGCGCGTAACCCCAAGACTTGAATCAACCACATCCTATTTCGGCCTCTTCACCAGGTCGGGAGGCTGGACAATGCAATCCACCAGAAACCCCGGGCAAGCTATGCCTCATGTATCCATTCATGGGGCCTATCCAAAGCCAGAGCATTCTGCTCGCATCAAAGTGCTGAAATGGCTCAATGGCTGGTCCGGAGGTAACCAACAAACCCCATGGATAGACCCAGCTGAACAGGCCGTGATAAGCTGGCTACTGTGGAACTTCTCGCCGTTCTATTTTGACTCGTACTAACCACCACATTGACGCCTTTACGGGCCCCAACGCGGATGTCGATGATGAAGTCTTCACAACCCCACGATAAACCTCCTGCTAGCCGTAGCACCAACTTGGCGCATGGAAAGGTCAGAAATTGGCCGAATGCTTATAACCAGTTGCCGAGCGACAGCATGCCCGTCACACCTTCTCAACCACTTGGGATCCCACAGCCCACAATCCAAATTACGGGAGCCGATGGGGTATCTCTACGTCAACAATCCCTGGAGAATCAACACGAAGGACGAGAATACGAGCAAAGTCAGGGCTCATATAGTACTATTGACTCTGACGACGGCAGCTCCGTGTTCACGCCATCCGAAGACTTCAACCCTGCCGAGGAAGCCGATTCCCACCGGCTGGGCAACGATGGCTGGCCAACTAGTACGACAGATGCTCCGGAACGGAAACAAACTATAGAAGAATCTGTCGAGGAGTTGGTACGTGTTGTTGTCGGCGTCGATTGTTAATCGACTTCCAGTAGAGGGCTAACCCTATTGGGCTATGTTAGGCATTGGTTTCACCAAACCGAACAAATGTTGGGGGTGACATCAATCGCGTGGCTGTTGCACCTTTCCGGGACCAAAATGGTGGCCTACCTACGTTCAGAAAAAGGGAGATACACGATGCGACCGGTGGACGTCGCGAACTGGACTTTGAACGAAGGGTAGATTTCGAGTGCGGTCTAGGTCAAAGCCCTCACCCACGCATCACGCCGTCACATGGACTAGCCAGCCCAAAAGAACTTCTTGAAGATCGACTACTTGCGGCAATGGTAAACAACGACACGACTTGGGGCTTCTTCCCAGTCAACTCACTCCCAACAATAATCACCGAGTCGGCCGTTAGGGAGGAGCTTCGAAAGCTTTTCCATCCCGACATGAAGGATTTGAACGACATTTCGAAATATGCACGGAAAATTTGCGGAACACCGTCCTCAACAGCTACCTGCTTCCGAAAAATATTTGCCATACTGGTGATGATTGGGAAGACGCCTGCAATCTTCAAGTTCTTGGGCGAAAAGGTCAACGATTCTGATCTCCCACTGACGGCGTGTTACGTATCCTCAAACAATGTCCAGATCTCCGATTTTCGACGGGTACGTAAAGGACACGGTAAAGTCAGAGTGGAATGCTTCAGTGAAGGATGGAGCAAGATTGCAATGAAGAGTTTTGAGGAGTGGCAATGGAGGACTCTAGCCCCTATCTTTGAACAGTCGGACGAAGACAAAAGCGTGTCGCACTATTATTCGCCGACCGGCAGGATCACCTTACCATTCATTTACGGCAGCGGTATATCCGGCAGGAGAGCAGAAGAGGTCGAAGGTGGAGGCGGCCGTGTTACCAAAGTCAGGATTCATCCGGACCATCATTCCTTCCATTATAAAGATGTGGGTACATTGGCCCACCAGCGATTTTTCAAATGCACCTGAAGCACATGCTAACCATGAGTCAAAATCCAGTGCCCTTGGAGCAACTCCACGAATGAAGCGAGCAAGGTTTCGGACATTACACCTCCTTCGAAGGGCCAAGATTGTGAATGCCGTTTTGCCGTCAAGCAGTTGCATTCTACAGACGAGGCCTTCCAACAATTCAAGAAGGAGGTCGATGTGCTCAGGCGGTTCACTAATGAGAAGAATAACCACCTCATATCTCTGTTAGCCACGTACGAGCACAACGATGACTATTACCTGATCTTCCCGTGGGCACAAGCCACCTTGAAAACTTACTGGGAAGAGAAACACCCGAACCCCAGTCTGGACAAACAAACCGTAATTTGGGTTGCCGAACAGTGCAAGGGAATCGCATACGGAGTGTTGAAAATACACCAGTATACATCGGTCGAGGTGAACAAGAACGAACTTGACCCAGCAGCTGGGCAAAATGTTCAATTTGGTCATCATGGCGATATCAAGCCTGAGAATATCCTGTGGTTTCAAGACAGCCGTGAAACCACTCCCGGAGCGCAAGGATTCCAGAGAGGGACCCTAAAGCTAACAGACTTTGGCCTCGCCTCTATCAACCCCAACCGCACTGTTTCGAGACAACTGTTGGGGTTTCCTTGTTCGATATCCTATTGTGCTCCCGAGGCTGAACTCCTGCACTGCGGGCCTCCTGGACGACAGTACGATATGTGGACGCTGGGTTGCCTCTACCTTGAGTTTATCACGTGGATGATGGGAGGATGGAAATTAGTCAAAGACTTTGAACGCCAACGAAGCACCATGGATCCGCGGTGGGTGTGGAAGGATATCAAGACTGACACTTTCTATGAGGTCAAAGCTGGAGGTCACGTCTCCGGGCAAGTAAGCATGAAAGCAGAAGTGAAACCACAAGTGACAAAGGTAACTAACTACTCCTCTCCGCTCCCTATCAACACCTCCTCCACCGGAACACAGGATGCCATTGAGTACTGACAGACATATGTTAGTTTATTGAAAGGCTTCATTGTGACCGAAGATGCACCCAATTTGTTCATGACTTCATTGACATGATTCAGACTGGCTTGCTCATCGTCAGAGAGAATTGCCATGAAGAGTTGAGGTACACCAGTGAGATGGTTCACCAGAAGCTGGCCAAGATGCTGAGGGAATGCAAGGAAGACGAGTCGTATGGCTGCACTCCATGTCCGTTCAAAAGCGCTTCAGCCCATCAGAAGTGACAAGGAGTTGACGCGGAGAGAGTTATGTGGCCTGTCTTTGACGATTCATTGAAGGGAAAATGCAAAAACACCTTCTTCTGTGATACCCCATATTTTCCCAGACATAGTTCATGGGCTTAATTCCAAGCGAATTTCATCGTTGATGCTTGGCCAGTAATCACTGAGTTGTTCCTACATAAAGAACCAAACCACTTAGTCTTATCTAGAAGCAATAGCACATAGAGGCAAAGCGTATGGCGCACTTTCTACAGTTTTCTGGGAAGAGAAACACGCTGTGTGGCAACTAAGCCTTGCTTGGGTAAACGGGCAAGACTCTTCACCGCTTTGTGAATGACAGGTCCTCCCCTCTCAAGGACAAAAGTTTGCGACTAGTCCATTACAAAAATAGGAGCCAAATATTTAACGTCATGGGCCAGTCTTCCCAAAAGGACCGAATTGAGCCTTTACAACCAACTTTCGTCATGCCACATAGCACCAGGTCTCAACCAAGCGGTGACGACCTCTGTAGACCCTTATGTCATGGAGCTACAGGCTGAAGCACGAAGACTCAGAGGTCTAATCGCCACCTTCGATGAACACTCTCTAACCAACGGACATCTTACCAATGGCTACCACTCCTCCAAAAGCAACGCAGCGGAAGAAATGGGAATGCGCTCCCCAGCTGAGAGAGCCGCAAACGGAAGCTCGGGTCAACCCTCCAACCACTCCAGGACAACAGGAGCAGGAGCAGCCATTTCCAGTCCCTAGACATTCGTCACCGGCACAACCATCAATGGCACTCAAATTAACGACATCGCTATCAACGGCACCATCATAACGAGAACCACTATCTCGGGGACCCGCATCACCGGAATCACCATCAACGGAACCAATGCCATCAGCACAACCATCAACGGAGGATCCAATTCTACTACCAACACCAGCGCCAGCGGCACCAGCGTCAACACCCCCAGAACCACCAATATTCACAATCCATCAGTCGTTGAGACAGCTACAACAGTCGTCAACGAAGACCATCAGGCGGATACTACTCTCGTTGACCTGGGCAGAGAAGTACGAGAAGCCGCAGCCTCAATTGCCAACCATGAACGGGAGCTCTGGGGCACTAAAACGGTTTACCTCCGGGCGCTGTTCCCCGACATCAATCCGACTAGACTCAACCACTTTCTGAGAAGGGAGTTTGGAATTCCGTGGGGGACCGATCCGCCTGTTTGGCGGATTGAGGTGATTTAATGTTCCTTACCTAGGTATGGAGAAGTGTGGAGTTGTGAGTTGCAGGTTGCTAGAAAAAAAAAAGAGACCGGGAGCTGGACTGACATGGAGATTGGATTTTCGCGGTGTAACAGCTGCTAGATGATGGGAGCTGCAAGATCTGTGCGCCGAGGCGGTTGACGGATGAGGAGGTTAAGTCTTGTGAAGGGTTCTTGAGGTGGAGGTACTAGAGAGTGGTGGTGCCGAGTCGCAGGGGATTCGGAACGACTTGGGAAGGAACGAGGCGGAGAGGTCATTCTTGCAAAATTCTGGATTGAAGAGGTCATGCACACCCAGGCAAGAATAATGGGACAGAACGAAGGGAAGGCGTCAGCGGTTGCAAACTCGGGAAGTGGGTGAACGGAAACTCTGAGGCTCCAAAACACGAATGTTTCTTCAGACACCCAACTTTTGTAATAGACAATTTTCCAACGCCAACCACTGTACAAGCAATGAGAACCAAATCCGCGCTTAAAAACCACCAGATATCAGTCAGCCTCAAGAATGCAACGGACACGTGTGGAGATCAATCCATTGTCGGTGCTCTTTCGCACAGCTGGTTGGAATTCGTGCTCAGGAATCGGTCCTAACTAATTTTCCACCACCAACTCTGAACAATCAACCCAGAAACTCAGCTGTCCGATGGGCGTTAAGCGCGGATAACTCTATTGTCTTTGTCTGGGGAAGATGGCCTCCTCATGGCGTCGTGAGAGACAGGCTCGCGTGTTTGACACAAGAAGTGACCGATGCCCTCATCCTGTTAGATATATCAGTTTCGTCCAGTTTCTGCCGCAGCTTCATTCCAAGAGCTGACCTCACGTTCCTACATAATGGGTTGGTATGTAGCAAAGCCACGTGCTCTTTGGGAACCACGACAGTCCAGGTTTTAATGCAACCTCCAGCTGACTCAACTGCACAGGATCTGCACATTCTGATCCCCAATGAGGCTAGGGCACGGCAGGATGATGAGCTTGAAAAGGATGGAATCGGCGATGACTGCTATCACTGTCGTGGAAACAACCGAAACGAGGCGTATGCAACATTTCTCAAGCGCTGGATAAAATCGCAATCGCAAATTGCGCGCAACGCTCATGACACGACCTAATCAGTTATGGCTCTTGGCAATGTAGCTCATGAACTGCTTTCAGCGTGAGCGCGGACAATAATATTTATAGGGAGGTCTTTCTCGGGAGGTCTTTCTCGGGAGGTCTTTCTCGGGAGGCCTTTCTCGGGAGGTTTTTCTCGGGAGAAGGGAGGATTCTTCTACATCATAGGGGAGGTCTGTAATACAACTGTCGCTGGTTCTGCCCACTGGGGGTAGCCACAGCACCTTTTTAATTTTGTCAGAGTCAATTTACACAAGGTTGATGAGTAAGGAAGATGAGGTGTTCACATTTTGACGCAACTTAATTCGGCCAAACGCTGACGTTGAATCAAGTACCCATCGACGAGATCGGCGAGCTTGTGTAAGCCTCCAGCAAGCATGCCCAGACCATGAGAGTGGGTGTTATAGTGATTAATGAAAAGACGCAACAGGAACATCTTAAAACATAGTATTGGAGAGTCTACTTGGAGAAAGGGGTCAGCGGAGAGGTGGGAGGCGTTGATCGGTTCGAACATAATCACCAACCCAACGGGGATGGTGGTGGTTGAAAAATGTAGATAACTACCGATGTCGGCAACCCTGACCTGCTCAACCAAGTTCACGAAATGAAAGCATGTCAAATGCGCTTCCCATGCATGCAGGAAAGAATTCGATGTGGGTGATGCGGCAAGCGCGACGTGGGCGGCTCCTTCAAACAATCCAACTGGCCAGTTGCCCAATCGTGCCTTCCATTTATGCCCATTCTTTGTGGACTTTGTGAACGAAAAGACGCTCAAAATTTTTGAATTTGGTCAGGAGGCCCATTCTGGCTCCATGATTCTTAGTCTCAACTGATTGCAAGTAGTAAAAGGCGTCTAACACTACGAGTGACCAATGCGAGTTCCAGTTCTTCATGTGAGAACTTTATGTTGGACAGTTGGCGCCTGCGCTCCTTCGCCCTTTCACATCACTGTTCGTGCTTTGACGAGCTGCGCCTTTTCAGACACCTTTAATATTATTATGGAGCTTGAAACCTTGAAAACATATTGGTTCTTCGTTCCCTAGTAATGGAACATAAAGGAGGACTGTTGGTTAGCTCGAACTTCCTGCCACGGTCTCCAAGCCGCCCATTTCGACCTAGCATAACCGCCCGTGTGGGCATAGTATGTTGGCCCTCCCTTTCATATCATACACTTTGCCGCCGTATGGGATCACCTCCGTCTGAAGAAATCCACATAACGAGCGTTCGAGATCCTTCTGCAACATGTTTTATTTTGATACATCTGTGGTCAACTCGGTCTAGTAGATATATTTTTTCCCCATCCGAACCACCAATCCATTACTGCTTATCTCTTCTCGAAACGACTTGTACTCGAACTTTAACTCCAGCCCTCGCAGTCCTCAAAGTAAGCTACTTCCCTACCCTTGAGAAACAGCTTCCCTAACTTCACATAAACGTTCGATCAGACCTACTTGTTCTCTTACAAGCAATCACATCACGACTTTGTCCATCATGTCTGAGCCCATTGTGGTGTTGGATAGAACCACTTCAGCAACTGGTTCTCTTGTGGAAACCTACATCCCCGTCGAAGATTATGAGAATCTTGACGTCTTGGACTCGTTTCTGTCAGACATGTATGACAACCAGGACTTTAAGGTTACTGTAAGTAGCAGGAGAAGAACTTCCTTATACTCGTTCACCACCCGTAAAAAGCTTACATCACTCCAAGTACCCGTACTCATTGGCTGACAGCAGAGGGCTAATCCCTCTCAAACGAGGTACGATAGACCGATGGCGAAAAGTACGCAGTCTACGCCAAAGACCCTAACGACCTGGCCGAAGTGGAGCAGCATATTAAGGAAGGGAAGCATTTGAGGGTGAGTCGTCCGCATTGTGATGACGCAGGAGAGCAGATTATTCATACTCCGGAGTAATATCCTCGCTGTACCCACTCAGCTTTCATACATATGGAACACGAGAGGTTGCGTGGGCTAAGGAGCCAAATTGGAAAAAAAATAATTTCGGCAAAGTAATAAGCGAAGGGGTGTCAGGAGAGGGCAGGATGACATACCGGCTGGTGGGTATCTTGCGCTAGAAGGAGCATAACTGCAGGTTCAGTTGAAGTTCGGGATTGGGAAACACGGAAAATCCAACAATTGGTATGACCGTTGTATGAATGCGTGTGTTATAAGGGAGAGGCCGCGATCACCATGCTGCCCACTGAACGGAAGAGGCAGGAGCCCGCAACAACCGAAGTCAGTGGATGGTGAGCTCAGCGCTAACAGTACCACTAACTTGGGCGGGGCTACAGGGAACTTGCTCGTTTTGATGCGCCTGCAAGTCCCCTAGAACTCATGCGTGCCGGGGCATCAAGCGCTTCAGTCTATTCCTTGCTTCAACCCGCGTAAAGATCGCATATAATTACCAAATAAATGATAGGTTGGTCTGAATGCTTTTTGTGTCTCCCCATGAAATAGTCTGAAGGACTTTATGACGCCGCGGGTTGGCAAGATTTTCGAGTGTCCCCAAAGTTTACAGTTTGCTGTTGGGCGTCTAGCGCCTTCCCTAACAGCTGCCCACTGTACCTGCCGCTGTCACCTGGGTGAGCAGGAGCCAACGAAGCAGCCGTGCCCAAACGACCCAAGTTCCGGTCGGCGGCCGGCAAAGACCCGGAATGACATCGACGAAATCTTGTCCACTTCATGTTTGTTCTGCATTTGTCGTAGATATTACTTGGGCACTTGATCGCACGGTGACCCAAAGTATTGCAAAAATGTCAAGATTCACAGCTTTGGTCAGGCGCAACGCTGCTCGCCCCAACATAACCGCCCGTCAAGCGTCAAATCCCGGATGACCAGATGACAAGCTCATGAGCTGTGCGTGTAGAGCTTCTTTGTCGCTGTGGACACCATACTTGATCGACTTGCCGCCGAGGCGTTCTCGTGGATATATATGCAATGATGCAAGGTCCTCACTGCAAGACCTGGATCAAGAGAAGCCAACTTAATCTTCTTTCCTGACCACGCAATCCGACTCCAGAGTCGCGAAGACAACATCAGAAGCAGAACAGTTGCCCTACACCCATCACAACACCTTACCACATGTTTTGCAAGTTACCTGAGGGACTCATACACGCCATGCCTCATACTTTCCTCTCTTCGACGAAAGAGATGGACGAAGAGAAGCCCGAACGTTGCTAGAGGAGAAGTGCCGCAAAGGGGACTATGAGATCAAAGTGAGTGGCTCTCTGTGCTGATTCAAAGTTCCATGGAGAACAATAACCTAACGCTACCACAATAGATGCCCCCACTGGAAAACGGCCAAAAAGAGATATTTTTCGAGGTTTCGGTCCCTGTATGGATCTCGCAAGATGTCCTTGAACCATGTCAAAAGAATCCGCCCATGGGGAGATAGGGTGCCATGCCTAGAGATACTCGCCAGTAACGGAAAGGCAAGATTTGTGATGGGAGAAGATTCTGGATACTGGATGCTGGGATAAGACAAAGTGTGCAGCTCGAAGAAAATGGGGAAGAGAGGGAACAAGGGTTTCACAAATGTCTATCTTCCAAGCCTACTGGACGTCCCAAAAAGTGGCCTATTGACAAGACACCTGTCACTCATTATATGCGGATGTTTACATGGGGGCTCATGGAGCAAAAGTGAAGGTCTAGGGAGAGATCTCGGAACATTCACAGTCGATCCCCGCTAACAATGAGCCTTGTCTTTTTGCTGGGAGCTCGGCAAAACCCCAATGTTCTCGTCGATGAGGATGGGTAGTTGGGTGCTGCTGGTTGGTTCCAATATCACCAACCATATCCAACAAAGGAGAAGTCCAGTTTGTCTGCGCGTAACGCCCTGCACCCATGGCCCAACATAACCGCCATTGTGAGCAATGCGCTGTTGGTTGTCCCTTCTGTCCAACAACTCCTTTGTCACGAGATCCTACCCACTGAATCATGCAACAAGCAACTACTTACCCAGCATCCGTGAGTTCTCCTCCCAGTTTGCGCGTTTAATATTTGATGTATGTTGATCCTCCACGGCATTTGAGCTCCCAAATTGCAATTCACAACTCCCAACACTGTTCGACAGTAATCCAGTCCCAGTCTGAACACTTCCCATAATACAGCAGCATCAGGTCCACCAATCCGTCAGATTGGGAGAGTATATTAGCAATACCCGGTAGGTTATCAGTATGGACAGCAAGAAAACGGCGGCTGGGACGCAGGTAGGGCTGGAAACCAACGTAAGTGAAGTCGATCTGTCTACAATACCTCCAACAATTTACACGCAAAACAAGCGAGGATAAAGGAATCACCATTTGAAGAAATATCAGCGCTATGACTTACCATCTGACTTCTCTATCAAGCATTTTGCTCCTTTGCGGCTAGTTATCTAGCCATTTATGAACCGAGTCTGAGTCGTTCAATTCCAGGTCCAACGACAACTTCCCGTTAATCGAGGGCCTTCCACCTTCCCGAAGAGCACCCAACAGCACAACCAGCCGCTCGCTTGAAACATGAATGCTGGCTCCTAACTCGGCTCGAGGGAATCTTTGTTTCTACAATTCTTGACATGTCCTCAGTGACAAACCCGGCAGTTCCTCCATAAACATATATAAAGGTCTGCAACTTGTGCACGAAGTGTAAAAACTGAACTAAAAGTCATGGGGTCGGTTTTGAGGACCTGACGAGTACTTTGACTGGATATGTTCTTTGTCTGTTTGTCACCACCGCTCGTGGCAAGTTCCCGGCGTCAACGACGATTCGAACATACCAACCAGTCGCGCATACCTCGACCAAGTTCTGAGGACTCGCAAATAAAATGGCACACTGTCCATGTATTGATCGGAGCACTTGCGTCCACACAGGAGAAAAAAACAAGAAAACTCAACAGGACCGGAAGAAGACAACCGCCATCTGACTTCTACCCCCCTTAAGGGCACACAAAGTTCTAGGATTCCTCAAGTACCCATATATTAGCAAAATGGTATCAACAAACATTGGGAAGAAGAGGAGTCCCATAAGAGCGCAGCAACAGCAGCAGCAACAGCAACAGCGGCAGCAAAGACAGCAACAACAGCAACAACAACGAGAATAGCGGCAGCAACAAGACCATGATTCCGCCGAATTAGCAGCCAACGAAGAGGCCGAAATTCGCGAGGCGCATGAGAAAGAACAGAAAGACAGAGCTGAATTCCCCTACGAGTTGAAACCGTCAGATCCGCAGGGCTTGAAGTATAACCTTAAGGATGTGGGCGATCTGTTACGGAAAAGATCTGGACGTGACTATGGCAGATCTTTCCACTTACGTGTAAGTGAACCCCCCCTGCTTATATATTTTCGTCCCTCTCCCTCTTTCCCAGCACTGGAAAGACAAGGAAGGACCAGTCCAGCGCTAACTTGACGAAGAAAATTGCCTCCAAAGGACACCATCCTCTTCACCCCTGAAGAACTCACCGAGAAGGATTTTGAAGGTTGTTATAATGCTTATGGGAAGAGGAAATACTCAGGAGGAGGATAAAAAACCGTAGAATTCGCCCATCTGAGCCCCCCAAACAAAACTTGTAAATGTGGTCTCACCGGTGTATCGCCTTCCGTAGGAAGCTGTGGTATCTGCCGGCCGCGCGGATCCAAAAGCACCATCTAGCGCGGCCCGACCGTATGCCGTTGTTCGGGCAAGGCAGAGGTCTTTGGGGAAAGAGAGGTAGCGAGATAACGACGAGGAGGACGACGACGACACCGGGGATATGACGAGACAAAGGTGGAAGGATGGCGGGGATGGTGGGGTGGGGCCCAGAAAAATGTGCTACGACGGTGCTCGGAAGCGGAAACAGAGAAGTGCTGTTGTTTTGGTTGTTGCTGCCCAGGGAAGGTGCTCTGAGGGCCGGATGTAAACCGACGGGAGGTGCACCCGGTATGGGACGGAGATGGTTCTTGCCCAAAACAAAGTTCAAGTCAGCTCCACTACCTCACCGGTTTCCAATGGAATCGCCACCCACCCGGTTTGTGCTTTAATTAGTCAGTGTGGATAGTGGCTCAGTGATAAGGTACTTGTCTCACGACTCTCCTTTTTGTAACCTGGTAATCGTCAGTTCCATGCCAGCTGGTGACAGATAGTGTTTGGCCGCGCAGAAAATCCCGGTCGTCAGAGATGTGAATGCCTTCAACCGGCGAAAGGGGGTTTCAACGGGCAAGGAAAGGGGAAAGACATGTCATATGACAAAACACCACACGCAATGAATCTGAGAAAACCTTGGTAATTCAACGCAGTGCCTTCTTGAATTCCAACGAACACGCAAGAGATCCCCATGCTCATCTGCTTTTGATGCTGTACTCTGTACTTCAACTCAATGCTCCAATTCATTCCTAGGAGTCTCAGACCAGTCATTATTATGCAACACCAATACTATACCAACATATATGAAGACAAAGACATATAGAACACCATGCAACAGGCTACAAGCCACCAACACCATGCTTTCCTTTTTCAAATCCCGGACCCAAATGACAGAAACAATACGCCAAACACAAGCCGCACTTTTTGAGAATCACGACCCGTCAACCCCATTAAGACCTTCCACCCTCTCCGTCGGCGTACTATAACTCCCACTGCCACTGCTCGCCCCAGCCGTAACCAGCGCCCTCAAACTCGCCATCTCCCTCTTCAACCTCGCATTTTCCTTCTTGACTCTCGCTGCTTCCTCACTCTGATCCCTCAGTTTCGCCAACAGTTCCTCCTTATCTTCCCTCCCCTTGCCCTTCAGAGCTTTAAGCATCTTGCCAAGTTCGCTATTGAACTTCTCATACAAAAGTTCATTCTCGGCCGTAGCCTCCTTATAAAGTTGATCAATGGCTTTGACTTTAGCTTCGGCCGCTTTGAGCGTGACTTCCATCTCCCGATTTATTTCTGCCTGGCGTTCCTGCAGGTCCAGCATGGCTTGCGGGACGCGCTCCTCGAGGGCGCGAACGGCGCTGGAGAGGCGGCGGATTTCGTTGGAGGCGGAACGCGGGATGGTGGCGTTGATGCGGGTCATGTCTTTTGAGATGCGGCTGAGTTCGGATTGGAGAGTGGCATCAACTTCTTCGACGGCTTTGAGTTCGGTTTGCAAGCGCTCACGGAGCTTTTGTGGGGAGCGGAGGCCGAGGCGGCCGCTGGATGTGGTCGGGGTCTTTAACCCCCCGTTATTGTAGGGCAGGGCGGGACGGCTCGGGGATCGAGTGAGACTGCCGCCATTGTTGGCAGCGCCGTTGCTGGTGCTATTGCTGTTTGATGATGGCCGTTCCGCGGTGGGGAGCCGGGAAGGTTTCAGGGTTGGGATTTGGGAGACCGAAAGGGCCTTGGGACGTTTCCGGATGGGAAGAGACGAGCTGAAGAGCTCTCTCTCAGGTGGAGTGCATGGGGTTTGTGCTAGGGGACTAACGCTTGGGCTCTCCTTTGGACGGGACGCGTACAACGGTGGGGTCAGTTCAGTACCAGGGCTGATATTAGAGCCCGAGCCGGGACTAATCGGTATCTTGGTGGGTGAGTTCGGGCTGACGGGGATCTTGGTCGGTGCTGGGAGACGGGGCAGCGTGTTAAACTTTTGGGGGGCCTGTTTTTTGTTAATCTGAGCGGGCACAGGGAGGTCGGCGGTGTCGGGTTCGATGACCAGCGGGTCCTCTTTATCGTCGACCGGGGGTGGGCTCGTAATCGAATCTACCAGGGTGGTGGACGACAATATCGACTTCAGATCCGACAGCGAGCTGCGACGCTTCTTCTTTAACCGCTTGGATCCGGGGGACGCTTCCACTTCAGTTTCCGGCTCGCCAATCGTTTCTAATCGTTTTGAACTAGACGGACGGTGCGTGATGTCATCGAAAGCTCCGGCGATTGGAGGCCTGTCTCGCGACCCTGGGCGTCGCGACCTGTTGGGTGTTGGTGGATTGAAGAAAACGCTGATATCGATTGATTTTGACCTACTCGCTTTGGAAAGGCTGGAACTTTCACCTGGGCTCCTTGTGTGCTTGCTGAGGGACCGCCATACCGAAGGACGATCGCGATCGGATTCTTTGTTGCTGTTTTGCCGGAGGAGGTTGTCGAACCCAAACTTTCTCCGGAGCGACGAGCTGTTGGACGTCATGGATCCCGTGATGGACTTTTGGCTCCGGTTACTCGCGGTAACGTCTTCGTGTGAGCTCTTGAGCTGTAGGGTTGCGCCAAAGCTGTGATCCTCGAAGATTCGGTCGCAGTCTTCAACAAGGCGGTCTAGAAGGTTGATGTAGTTGGAACCGGTGCCGTCGTCGACAAGTAATTCCGCGAACGCTAGTGTCAAGGCACCCCGATCTCCGTCATTCGAACATCCATCTAGTAAATCTGCCAGTAGTTTGATCAGTGCGGTGAAGGCCCGTCGGTTTTGTGGGGCCAGGTCTCGGAAAATGAATCGGACAAAGTCGCCAAAGTCGCCCACCACTCTCTTGGAAGCGCGGACTTGGAGAGCATCGAGCGCGTGCATGGTTATGATCGGTCCTATCTGATCGCGCCATGCGATGCGCACAAACTTCTCGAAGGCGGCAAAAACTATGTCAGTGCCCACCTCAGCCGAGGCTTCCAAATCAAAAGGAAACTCGATCAGTCTGTTGTAGAGATCGTTGACCAACAGTTCATCTGCCATGGATCTAGTAAGCAGTGTTCGGCCATGATAGTAGCCTTTACGAGCTTGTAGATTGGCAATGAAACCAGTGAAGGTCTGTTCAAGACGGAACAGTGGGTTTTCGGGGCGCATGTCCTCAGTAGTACCCAGCTTGATACTATGTTGTTCCTTGATCGAGGCCGCAAGCAACATCAAGTCGTTCCGACTGTTCGTCCTGGCCATCTGTGAGGGGAGCAGAGCGGGAGCACTCCCATTAGGATTCCGCTGGTGCCCCCTTAGCGAGCCATTGGGCGTACTTTCTGTGAGCGTAACACTGGGCGTGCTGCCACCGAGGAAATTCGACAACAACTTGACGGGGGATGCGCTTTGTGAGCGCTTGTGGCCTTTTTCCATGTCTTTTGAACCCATGTGGAGGCCGCGTAGGATCTTGGTGTAGTAGTTGACAAGGGCGGGAGCGAGTCTTAGGTTAGCGACACAGGTTTGGGTACTTAGCAACTGGATGATTCTGCGTGAGAGGGTTGGTAGGAAGTCGTCCAAGGCAACTTCGTCGCTGAACTTTTTGCCGTTCAAGCCAAGAGTATTCATTGATATCCTCCTCAGATCCGCAGTCCTAATCTCGACCACGACCTCTACGCCGTAATGACCGACTGGGGCGCTCTTGGTACCTAGGTCCATATCCAGGACAACCCGGATAGGCGCTGGTTCTCGTCGGCCTTCAATGAGTTGATCTGCGGCCTCCTGAAACACCGCTGCGTGTAGCCGGAAATTGTTTTCTTCCATCCTCACAGAACGCAAAGTCCATGTGGGATCTTCTCTCTCCGGCTCGGAAAATCGTCCCTCGATACGAGCCTTGACGATTTCTTCGCTCCACTTGGATGCCCTACCCTCGTACATTTCTTGCAGGAGGAAACACCTCGAGGTAATCGCCTTTCCACCGAAATACTCGCCAGAATGTGACCCCTTCATGTCAGCCGTGGACGCCATCCAGATTAGCCTACCATCGGCAGACTCTGTGAAACGAACATCGGCAAGGTTATGCCACCCCGTAAGCGCAAACTCCCACATGCCAGGTCCTCCAGCAACGTTAGTCATGGATGCCAGCAGACCAGCGGGCGATGGCTTGTCAATCTCGCGTAGTAGGTCACGACCAGTAAGCCCTGAGTCGGTCTTCTTCTTGATGATGACAACAATATCAGAGAATACGAGGAAAATTCCGGCATTCTCTTCAAGGTCCGATTCCCGAAGGTCATCGAACGGGGGAGGTAGCTCGACAAAATCGGCAGCCACGGCTAACCTTCCTTGCGGCTCCAGGTCTGGGGGCCAGCATTCCACCATTGCGCGTAACCTGTTAATGATGTGGGGCTTGTCTCCCGCACCCTCGTCCAGAGAGCAGATGTTGGTTATTATATCTCTTGCACGGAGCATTAGCTGCAAGGCAGGATGCGTGATGGGCAGGCAGTTCACAATTTGGTCGATCATGAGACTGTATCGTGGCAGTCGCTGGACCGGCTCTATGAGGAGAGACCGGACTGCTTGTTCTCCTTTCTGGGCTACTCGCTGGCGAAAGCTTGATTGTTGCTCTAGAAATAGGTTGAGTAATCGGGGAAATTCCCGACTGGCCCGGATGTAGTCTTGATAACACTCGGTGAACTTGGGGAACCACTCCATGAAGAGGCGGGCCATGGCCAAAGCACCGCTGGGGTCCTTGACCTTGACGGAGCCCTCTCCTCTGTGTATTGGGAAAGGTGTCTCCATGTCTCTGATCGCATCCTCTTCCGTGTCGTCCATAATCCGCCGAAGCTCGTGCATAAACGCCGTGTTTAGCTCTAATATCTCTCCCGCCATGGGGGGAAGAGCTTGTCCAGGTCATCCTCTGACGGGCTGATGCTACCGGTAGCTCGTGCCTTTGCAGCTTGGCGGAACTCGTCGGCCACATGGTTCACCAATTCGTTCACCTTGAGCACGTAGCGCTCCTCAGTATCGACCAACTCGCCCAACTTCATGCGCAGCTCCACTTTCTGGTTCCTTGAGAACGACTTGGTTCTGTTTCGTAATGAGGCGGGTCGCGAAGGTGCGCGGCGAAGCTTCGAAGTGGGCAGAAACACAGGCTCTCCAAACAGCTTTACCAAAGGAGTATAGCCGCCGTACTGCCTTAGAGTCGGGTCCAAAATATCGTCTTCATCTTCGGGTACCTCCTCGAGTTCTTCGTCATCAAGGGGAATGATGGAGCCTGGGGGCAACACCAAGTCGATATCCACGTTGCTTATGTGTTGTGTTTGTAGCGCAACTTGGAGGCTCTGGATCACATCGGCAGTGTTCTCGGCGGGAACGGCCGATTTGGCGAGGTCGGCGGCATGCTGAGGGCTGAATAAGGTAGCTGCCGTATCGGGAGCCCTGGGGCCTCGTGTGGGATACTGGTGTTTTAGGTAGGACTTGACGGCTTCTGGTAGCTCGCTGAAGTACTTGTATAGGCCAAAGGCCAGTCCTCTGCAAACCTCGTCACCTTGGAACTCGCGCGGCAGGTAGTCGACAACATCGTAGAAGGGAGAGTTGGAGAGATGGTGATGCGGTGAAAGGACATAAACCCAGCGGGGGTGTAGACATGGACCTGGATGCGCGAACTGTTGAGAGTGTAGTTTGCTGTCGTCGAAGGGCCGTGGAAAACCAGGACGGGTAGGTGGCCGATCAAAGGGTCGGTGGTATAGTAGAGTGTGACATGCTCTGGCGAGATCGCCAGCTCCTCCGTGACACGAACCATGTTGGCCTCAATTGGTCGCCGTGGTCATGACGCTGTCGCGGTCGAGATGGGGGGTTCGGTGGAGAGATGGTCGCGCAAGAAGGGGGAGGTGGGCGACAAGGTTTGCGACGGGCGACTGATGACTTGCGACTGGCGGAGGGTTTGTTGGGGGATAGGCGGCGTCGACTCGGTGAGAGGCTCTCGTCGGGTCCAGCCCCAAGGAGGCAGGGGTGGGGGCAAAGTAAACAGACGGATCGAGTCGTCGGGATCAGGGAGCTCTGGGCTTATCGACGGCGGCAGTATGCAGGGAGGACAACTTGGTGTTGGCTATAGCGAAGCCCTGGGAAGAGCAAAGTGTCTCGAAAAGGCTCTCGGTCGCGATGTCTCCAGTCTGTGTGTAGTCGGGTCGGTGCAGGTTGGATCGGTACGTATCCTAAGTGAAGAGGTCGGTATGCTTGGGAATGTCTTCCGTGGTTGATCTCGCTGACTGGCTCTGGCCCTGGTTGGGTAGGTAGGTCAGGGTAGGTAGTGGTGGTTGGTGAGTGGTAGTGTTTGGGATTTGGCGGTGCAGACCTGCAGACAGATACCGTGACTTAGTAGCGGACAAGGTCGAGCGAGTAAGTACCTTGAGAACAGAACGAGAGTAGCACTGCAGCTGTGGCGCCAGATATTTCCGCCTTTTGGGGGACGGGATCGTAAATAAACAGAGCAGCAGTGCAGGACAACACAAGGCCATGGAGCTGGGATAAGATGAAGGGCAGGAAAGCCAATGGGTGAGGGGGTAAGTACCTGGACGTTGAGTCTAGAGAGATTGCGCTGACCGCGTGGTACCAAAAGCCGCGACAGGGGGACCTCTTCTCTGCTTTTTTCTTTTTTTGGCCTAATATTACGGTATATGTGTATGCGGCTCGTCGTTTAGCTAGCTGGCGTCTTTTGAAAATGTCTCGTCGATTAGAAGGTACTGTATGTCGTAGTAATCGTAATGTGTACAACTAAAGCTGAGTAGAACTTGTTCTTTGGTGCATAACTTGCCAAAAGTCTAAAGAAGGGAGAAAAGAGAAACGACAGAATGTTCGCAGAGAAGTGGACTGTGGTTGGTCGGTCGGCTGTAGTGACTGAAAGCGAGCGCAAGCTGCAAAAAGAGCAGGCAGTGACGACGGTGGTGGAAGTGTGTTCTGTTCCGATTCCTTAGCAGGCGGGAAGCCAATATGCAATCGCAACTGGTACCACTACTACCACTGAACGCAGGTCGACGATGCAAGGCAACGCAACGCAACCGTAAACCTGGTTCGTTGGGATTCGGGGATCGTAGGTGATGAGAAGTTGAGGGTTTAGTCGGACGGAAGACCAAAAGGAAGGAAATCAATGCGAAACAAGACACTCGACAACAACGACCTGGCCCAAGGAACGGGGTGACGGGGGACGGGGAGCACGGGCTCGGGGGAATGTCAATGCGACAGGGGGATGCTGCCCTGGAGCTGGGGAGCTGGAGCTTGTGGGCTGGAGCTGGAGTCCTGGACCGATGGCCGGTGGCCGGGGGTTGTACCGGGGTGTACCGTATGTGCGCCGGGGTGCTTGCCCTGTTGCCTTCGACCGCTAGGTACTGCTTCTACTTTGTCGGGGGAGATATCGGGGCAACCACCTGGCGGGCGGTGAGTCTCTTCTTCTCTATCACCGTCAACTTCAGAAAACATTTGACTCTGTCGTATCAAGTTGTAAACAAAACCCCGGAATTCGGAATTCTGGAAATTAACAGCAACAAAGTGCCCTGCGATATTCTCGCAGAGTATCCGCCCAATGGCCCTGTCCCCGTCGACCTTTTTTTTTGCCGAGCACTCGCCTTTCTGCTCGTCAACCCACGCGTCATTGTACACGAACTAGCCCGACTTCACAATGCCTGCAAAGATGCACCAACTTGAGCATCACCCAAAAAGGTATATTACAAGCGCGTTTGAGTGGATTCCCCTGATCTCTTGATCTTTTGAATCCTTCTGATCCGTCTTTCTCGGCTCTTTTAAACATCGTGGCATTGCTCTCATGGCGTGCATTGGGCTCTCCCAAAGGGTCATTTTACCCCACCGAACAGAGAGAAAAGGAAGCTGAAAGTGTGAACATTGTTCAAACAGTTTGATTGCGCTCCCCGCTGAAGACGTCTTGGCATTTTGTGCTTCGGCGGAGAGAAGGTCGGGTAGGGTGGTCCGAGCGTCTTTTATTGACATTGAATTGCTCAGTTCCCGGTCCCTGTCGTTTGTGCCTGACTCCACCATTCAAAACAACTCCAGCAGTCCTGGGAAGAAGCTCCAGCGAATCCAGGCACGCACCACAACTCCGCATGAACGCCAGGGCAGTGAACTGTGTCCTTGTTTTGACGACCATCACAACCTTCAATCCTTTCCGGCTTCCGACCCTAAGAATCTCACCTTCTGGCTCGGACTTGTCAACCCCCTGATTCTCTTCCGGAAATGCGTGAGAGTATCGTCATAAAGACAATAGTTTGAAGACTGAAGACAAGATCTATACCTGACTAACCCGCAGTCTAGTACTGTTTAGTTCCACGACTCAGCCTCCTTCGACTTTTTCCTTGCCCTCAATTGTTCTTGGATATTCTTGGGTCGCGTCCCGAACCCGAACCCGGATATTTATTTCCATTCGTGATCGGTGATCGACATCACACCCGCCATCCGAATATTCGGGAACGTCCGCCTTGGTCAGCCTTGCATTTCTGCTATCCCATATCCTTGGACCATCCACAAGACCGCCACCACATCTCCATTGTTGTCCTGCGATGTTTGTTTCTTGGAGTCAATATTCTTCTTTCGACCTTGGACATTTCTTCCTCATCAGACCATGATGTGTCAAAGAGAAGCCGACAAGAGTGACAAAACGCTAACCTTCTGGAATCATTCGAATCGGCACCCAGACTGCACCACATTTCTTCTCGGCATCAATCGAAGTCCAAAATCAGTGATTCCATCCGCCTTCAACTCTCCTTACTAGGGGACCCGCAACCCGGGTAAGGAGGCGACTCGGGTAACTATACATGGTTGATATTTTTAACCACCATCAAATATCGGATGAACACCTTACGCGAAACATTTTTCTCCACGATCCCCTCCGCGTGCTCGATTTAGTACATTTAAACGGTGACCCCTGAGCGAGCGAGCGACGATTTGTTCTCGAGCGCCCGCCTCCCACAGCAGCGACCATTCACGGTGCCGGCCGACACACATCCAATCTAGTGAAGATCACCACTGCCGCCCCCTTTTCGAACCCTAACCCTTTGCTCTAAACGCGGAACCGAAGAACGACATCGCGACTTCCTCCTCCACTTCCCCAACCGCAATCGTCATTTTAAGTTCCACCAAACACTCAACTTCTACACGTGTATATATCGCACCTTCCCAGGATCTCACAGGACCGAGGACGGATTGAGAGAGGAATCAAATGGAGCATTGAGTTGAAGTACAAAGCACAGAGGCATGTGGATGATCAAAAGAAGTTGCAGTGATGAACAAGCATTTTTGTGTCTTCATTGGTCCTGACAGGAATTGCCTTGTTGAATTACTACTACTAGGTAGTTTGGTCACGCTCGTCCCTGTTCACACCGCGAAAATCGCTACCTCCCTCTATACCAACATGTCTGCCTTTTCGTCCTTAGGTGGTGTACCCATCATGACTTCCTCCATTCAGCTCTCGTTCTCAGAAGGTTCCAGCGAAGGCGGACCAAAAATTTCCGGTGACTCTTGTTCTCTCAGGCAGCCAGCAACTTCTTCATCGGTGAGCTCCCGTGGCGTCCTGATGCGCAGGGTTACGATCGTCCTTGTCTTCATCGTGTTCCACTACCGGTCAGTCCACGTGCACCTAACACTCTTTCCTCCTCGTTGATGCTAGTACCTAGGTAGAGAAGGGAGTTCGTTCACGTCAAGGTCGTACCCATCCGGTCCAAAAAGTTTCAACAGTTTGTTTCGTACCTTGTACGGGTCATACTTGCAGTCGGATAATTTGAGTTTGTGCGGGAAAGCGTTCTGGGTTCGGTGTTGCGGCTTCTTGTCGCCATGCTTCTTAGGCTTTGATTCGGTGGAAGAACCATTTCCAAGTTCCTGAGTGCAAGTAAAGGTAGCGGCGAGAGACCGATCTTTAAGTTCACCAGTCTGTTCATCACCTGGAACTTGATCGTTATTGCCACCGCTCTTCTTCTGATCGGCCTCTTGAAGCTGTCCCTGCTTTTCCGCCTGTTTCTCTTGCTGTTGTTGTTGCTGCTGCTGCTTCTGCTCTTCCTGTAAGGTCTCGTTTCCGATTTCTGACGCCATCCCGGCAGGTACTGATTGACTGGCCGATGATAGGTCAGAAAACAGATCTCAATGGAGAATCTGGTTGTCTTGCTTGTTGGTGAAGGTGCTTTTGTTTCGGGAATTGAGTGCTGAGATGGAGAGTGTCGGTCTCCTATGCACCAACCAACCATTCCCAGCGTATGGTAGGTAGGTTGGTATATATACACAAGATTGCGAATTCATGGTTGCCACCTAGGACATGTCACGGGCTGTGACGACAAAGATGTTACAGCATTCAAGGTAAAGGGGAGCCAACAACTTTTACCGCTCAGATGAGCGCTTACGGTTGGGGTTGTTGGGAGGCTGGAGTTTAAAGTGGCAAAACAATGAAAGCTTGTTGAACTTGGCGCTTTGTGGCTCTGGTAACTAGTTCCTCGGACCGTGTGATTTCCCCCTGGGCGCCGCTACATATGCCCGTGACAAGCTAAGGCAGCAGCTCTTTTTATATCATGCCTTCTTCCAAGATACCTTACTTAGGCATATGGAAGACCAAAATCAGCTGATGAGCAAGGCGATCTTTCCGCGTCCATTATTTGGTGTTGAAAAATCATCCTATTGCATTACTACTACTTCGGCCAGACTCATCGTAACGATAGTCTTCTGCTGTGTCTATTACTGCCACTTTATTGACTGCTGGGTATCGCTATTGCATGCCGAAATGCCTTCTCTCACCTTTGCTGTGTACCTAGTATTCCAAAATGTGGAGATACCTGCTCTCCTCCTTCCTACATCCAAACCCATCCTCCTCCCGATGTCTCAGTCTTTGTTCCACCAACAGTGGTACCAGCAGCCATTTGTCGAATAGGGTGCGCGTCGTTGAGGAGGATCCCCTGCCGTCTGCGTCGGAACGCCATAAGCAGCAGCCACGTTCTCCGGGAGCGGCAGTGAACACCACTTCTTGTCGTCCTCGCTGAGTTCTCCAACAGCCGAGACTTCCCATTGGAAATTCTCCACCTGTGATGTGAAAGAAACCCCAGGGGGCCATCAGTTAGTAAAAGTTGCAGATACTCGGCAACAAGAGTCGCTTTTGTGTCCTGTATAGATCATGTTGGGTAGGCTGCTCAGGACATGGACAAGACGGAACCAACTGAGGTGCTGCACCACAGGGCATCGGACTTACCTCCTCCACAAAGAAATTATACATCCCCCAACGTTGCAACATCAACCCCAAGAGCCGTCCGTGGTTGATCGTCTTCATGCTCAGATACTCAGACGGGAGCTTGGCCTGGATCTGTTCCTTGCGCCGTTGCACCCTCTGCTTCCTCTGCTCGTCCGTGAAGTGTCGTTCGCTATGCAGCTCAGTTTTGAATCTCTTGTAGCGTGCCTCCTCTGCAAGATCAATGAGCTGGGTGTCGTTTGGCCAGGACATTGTGCTCCTTGTCAGGCGACGAAAAACGGGTCTTTCCACAACACGGAGGCGCAGAAGATTGACGGGGTACCCGAATTGGTCGATGTAGATCCCGCCGTATTGGTCGGCGAGGTCAGAAGGTGTGGGGGAAGGTGGTGAGGATAGGTCCAGGTTGAAATCAACATCGTCATCCGCATCGAGTTGGCTCTGGTCCTGGTTCAAGGTCGCGCGATCCTTCTTCTCGTCGTCGCTTGTGGCTTGATGACTTTGATCTAGCGAGACATTGCACATTTGTGCTGCTTGGCGGGTAATTATGTCTAATGCTGCTGCTGCGGCAAGTGCGGAATCAAGCGATAGTGGTGACGATGGTGCGTTGTCCACCGACTCCAATCCTGCTTGGACAGGATCGGGGCTGTCAGGTGCGAGCGGTGACATTGTGGATGGATAAAAGCTGGCGAGTTCTGTGAGAAGTGTCTGGATTGTAATAAATTCAAAGAATGTTGAAAAGCCTGTGGGAGAGTTGTCAGAAGTAATCTTGTTGCTGTCGGGAAGGACTTTATTGAGGGAGAAATGGCGATCGGGATTAAGTGGTAGTAAATGAGCGCGCTCATAGCGGCGGATATGTGGATTGGAGGCGACCACCCACAACGAGAGGTAAGGTATGGATATATGGCGTTCAGTGGAAAGCACGACGGACGACGGAGACCGGATGGCTGGGGTGGGTTAACTATGAAGCCGAGAACCAGAAAATTACATGACTGGATAACTCCCGTCACTTTGCTGAGGCCGTCCAGGATATAGAAGGCGCCTTCAAGATTCCATGACGGAGGTTTGGGTGTCTTCGCTGCTCCGAATTCGTGACCACCCGCTGACTTCAGTGACATCACGACATGGTTCCCAAGGAAGGTACCTACTAGGCTATTGTGCTAATCAACTCGTGAAAAATACACTGCAATGCTCTTTGTTCCAAACAGTGGTTCACACAAATCAAATCAAATCAAATCTAGTCCCGGATTTGATTTATTTGCGTACCTCTGCGGTCAGATTTGCTTTGTTTACCTTGATATTTGATTTGCTTTGTTAGATTTGCTTCGGAAAGTTAAAGTGCAAAGAGGTAAAGAAAACTTCAAAACACCAAAATCCCAAGTTAAAAAGCATCAGAAAATACCCTAATCACTAGTTACCTAGTCAAAATACGAAGTCTTTTCATCAATGCGCTTAGTACTCTAGGAAAAGTCACACCCGGCTCATGACAAGTATATAACCACTAAAACTTTGTATCTAAAATGAACCAAATCTAGCAAATCAAATCTGAGGGTATATGTGATTTGATTTGAGTGACTTTTACCCTAGATCTTTTTGGTTACTCTTGGGGTTTATTTGATTTGCGCTATTAAGATTTGATTTATATGAACCACTGGTTCCAAACATGAGGTGCATGATCTTCCAAATCACCCCAGTCATGTAACCACTCAGCTTCTCGTCTGGACCGATTCTCGACAGGCTTAATTACATCAAGTTCAGTAAGTCGGTCCATTTGCGACGCTGTCTGCCTGGTCCACGCTGGGAGCGGTGGGCACTGGGTGTCATTCACATGAAATGCCGATGCCGACCCGCGTATCTAACTTGATACTGTATTTTGACATTTTCATCGAGAAGATAACAGGGCCAAAATAATCCACGAAATTGACAGGTATGTATCGGGTAGCGCTATCGATGTTGAGGCTCTTAGGTGTTGTTTGGGTTCCGTATATATCTTAATATGGAGTAACGGGACGAGAGCGCCTTACTGGGAAGCCAGACGGATACAAATAGTTGCGAAAAGACGTCCATGTATTGTCTATACTTGAACTTCCATATCACTACTCTAATACTCTACGCTAGCCCAGAACTCGTTCAAAACTCGTTCAGAAACATCTCCAAACCATAAGCTCACCTCGTTGCAAGGAATCGCTGTTTTGCTATCTAACGCTTCCTGAAGGGTAGGCTTTGATCAGCCATCTCATCCAGAGGATCTTGCGGATTACCTCAATGGTCTGGCTTCTAGTGTAATGCTAGACTCACATCGCACCCCCTAGAGCCCTAGAGGAACTAAGAGATAGGTACCGTAGCACCCAGATCGAATATAACACCCTTCCAACCCGTCTTATCCTTTACCATCCTATACCTCGGATCTCCTCCGATCATTTGCAACGTTTCAGACCAGCACACAATCTTCAAGCCCAGCTCATCTTTTACCATCCACAAATGGCTGATGTGACAGGCGAAGCATCCTCTGGCCCTGTGCTCGTCAGAAACCTCTTGCCATCTAGCCAAACCTAGCCCTGAAGCTTCCGTCGATTCAAAGATGTGTTTCGAGCGATAAAGCCTACAAAGCCTCTGAGCCCACGCTAATGCTTCTAAATATTCTTGTTGCTCCGGTTCTTGTGGGTGTGCTTGCGTGTGTGGTTGCTGTGGTTGCTGTTGTTGTTGTGTCCCTGATCTTGGCCCTGGTTGTTCTCCTCCTCCTTGTGCATGTCCTGGTTCTGGTCCTTGTCCCTGTTCCTTTTCTATGACGAGTCCATCGGTCAGGATAACCAGATCGTCCATCGCGTCGTACTCCAAGTTATTGAGATCGGGGTTTGGCGTGATCACGTCATCCACCATGTCATACTCCAAGTAATCGGAGCTGGGATTTGTTGTGCTGCCGGCAGCGGTACTGTTTTGCGTCGGGCGACCAAAATTTGGGGCACTCATTCTGGGCAGTTATCTTTTTGGTAGAGGTGCTCTGGCCTGCCACACCAGGTTAGTGGCTGAAATTGAAAGGCATCACCAAGTTTTCTGGCAGTGGTCTTTAGAGGTAAGTACCTTGTGATCTGGGCGTCGCAGATGAGAACGTGATGATCTCGGGTGGCGTCAAGGCTGGTAAAACGATGGTGTTGTTTGGTAAGGGTATGAATGACCAGATTTTAAGCGATGATAATGTTGTAGTAATCTTGGAGAGCCTTTGGGAGAAGGACAAGAAGGAGTGGTGACAAGGACGGTGCCTTTATGGGTGAAAGAAGGGTAACGTTACCCAGATAGACTCGTTGGGATCAGAAGCGTTCCTCCCTTTGTGGAAAGCAAAAATCGGGGACATTTACGAGGCAGCGGACCTTGATAAGCAACTGCGTAGCAGCATTATTGCCGCCCAATATTCTTGCCTCGCAACATTCCCGACTCAAAATAATCGGCTGGGGCTGGGGCTGGGGCAGGAATTCATCGGAGCGCGTCGAGTACCCCGGCTGGTCGGCCGCTGACCTTCAGAACTCTCAGGTACGGCATGTACGCGGTGCTGTTCTTGAGGCATGGAAGTGCGAAGGAGGCATCACGGTATGCGCAACTTGACTAACTTCAAGGAACAAACTGCACATCATGTAGTTCGTCGAAATGCTCCAGTTCTGTTTGTCCTGCTGTGCATTGGTATTGTGGTGGGAGTAGGTACAAGAGAGAAGAGACGAAAGAGGAAAGATGAGCGAACGGATGATGGGGAAACAGCTTGAGAGCGACTTGGTTGAAAGGAGGAAGAAGTTACTTGCCGGTCAAGGCTTGCAATGCAAAAGGCAGGCAATTTGGGCCCCGGCCTGCCTAGGATGGAAAGTGGAAGAAACACAATTGAATTTTTGATTGGGGAAGCACCTTCCTGCGTTACAAGAGGAAAAAAAGGATCTTGGTGGTGTCTGGCTGATCGTGTGGAAGGTGCAACCCACCTGGCGAATTTTCTGCACATGAAATCAAGAAACGGCACTGCAGCACCTACAACTTGATGGAAACCACTCAGACAGCTCTTGCCTTGCCGCTGATCAAACTAGACTCAGAACTCTCCACACCTTCCCATCTCTCTCCGGGTCATACGCCCCCGGCCCCGAGCCACCCTCCGGACCCGGGCCCGGGGTCGACCTGAACGTATTCAAATCCGCCAACCGGCATGCAAACGCCGGTCCGACCACCGTAAAGCTGCCACTGCCACTTTTCTGGGAAGTAGTCTGTCTCAAAATCATCGGCTGTCCAACACCTCTGATCAAAGCAACCACATCGCCCCGTTCCATCCTCTTGGACCCTTCGCCTACAAACCCATCGTCTTGTGATATATACAACCTCGTGTCACCACCAAGCCGTTCACAGACATTGTGAGCAAATGTCCTCAATTCCGGGTCTTGCAAAACTTTGTCGATGAGTTGTTGACGCTGCTCAGGGCTGTACATGTACGCCGATTGGGGACCGTTAAGAATATAGTTCCAGCGTCGGAAGTGGGAGGCGACTCTGCCGCATCCTTCTTGGTGGCCATTGTGAGTGTTAGGTTTGGTCATGGGTGCCTGTTGGTTAAAGGGGTAGAGAGTCATGTGAATGGCAGTGGGATTGAACTGGTGAGGCGGAGTCGATGGCGCGAAGAGCGTGATGGCGTATAGCCAGGCGTCGATGGTGGTGAGGGAGCTGCGAAGATGTTGAATGGAAATGGTTTCCTGGGTAGAGCGGAAGCGGAACTCGCTGCTGCCGATCTGGGAAGAGACGTATGTGATTCGACAGAGGATGACAGCTTGGACTATGAGAGCCCTGTCGTTTTGTCCGTGGTCAATCCAACATAACCGCCAGTCCTGGGATTGAGCACCATGAGCCGACACAGAGGTAGTAGCGGGTGATGAGGGAGAAGTTCCAAGTTGTATCCGCTTATAGATTGATTCGTCGTAGTTGATCCAGTGTCTTTTGGGCAGTTGACTCCAGCTGGGTACCCAGCTCGGTGCTCCCTCCAAAAAATTCTCGCTTTCTTCTGCTGCCCTTCTCGTCTCCTTGATTCCGTCAACATCCACCAACAACGCAATTAGCGCCGACTCCCTCCTCAACAATCCAGCAAACACCTCATGATACACCTCTCCCAGGCTCTTCTGGGAATCCGCTGGCTTCAGCAGAATTTCCAGCCGTTCCAAAATACACATCATGGCAAAACTCTTGTCCCTCACCACCGTCGCATTCCGTTCCCTCAGAGCTCTTACCACTGCTACGAGGGCGTTCCTGGCCTCATATTCCTCCTCTTTTTCGTTCAACTCCTTTTCAGACAGGCGGTTGAAGGACCAAATCACTGGCTTGCCCCACCTAAGGATCAAGACATGGACAAAGGCTAGCCCGCTACAGCAGGAGAGAAAGATGAGGATTATGTATGGGATTGCCAGAAAGGGGAGCCAGGGAGGTAAAAACGGAGGGGTATGAGACGGTGTGGCGTTGATGCCAGAGAGACGGTTGGCTATGGACGCGAAGAAAATGAGGGGGGAGAGGAAGAGAGCGAGAAGTAAGGGACGGAGAAAGAGAGACCAGAAACGGGAGGAGCAGAGAAGTTGGGTGATGGTATAGTTGTGAATTGTGGTTGTTGCTGTTGTATTGTTGGTACTGGTGCCAGTCGTTCGGATTCGGCTGTGAGCATCAAAGTGAATCTGGGGCGCCCGGGATGAAGGCGAAGAATAAGAGGGGATCGCGTGAAAAACTTGACCGTTCCAGGTCGTGGGGCGGTCGACGGTACGCCAGACGTGCAGGAGGGCGAGCCATGTCCTGACAACTTGGGAATTTGCAGGGGAAGGGCCAGGGAAGCGGAAGGTGGGGGAGAGAATGTCCATTTTGAAGAGCGTAGGCACCTCGTTGACCGAGTGGATATCGTTGTTTAGGGGGTTGAAACGAAGAAATCCTCGTAGGAGGAACGCCGGTCTAAAACAGGAGACAGTCTAGCCCTTGCTGAAGTTCTGTTCAGGTGATGGACTCGTCGCCGCAGAGGATGATGGGGTTGCTGGCGAGAATAATCTCTTGGAATGTCCAGGCGCGGTGTAGCCATTCTCTGTCCAAGAGATATTCGAGGTCGTTAGTTTCGAGGAGATCCGAGGCATGAGCGGACGTAAAGCAGGCGTAGCACATGATTAAATATGTTTTGAGTTGCGCAAACGTTTCGCGGAGCCAAAGGCGGACAAAGACTCTGGCTAGGGAGCGAGAGGCAAGAAGGGCATCTTGAAAGGTGGTACGCGGACCATAGCCTTGCTGCTTCCCATGCATGGAGGAGTCAATCCAAGGCATTCCGGGAGGCGTGGCTCTGAGTTTTGCCGCTCGTTTCAAGCCGATAATGGCTCTTTTGACCTTTCTCTCGCCTCTGAAGTCACTCTCGTGTCGAGTTGGAGACGACCTTGGCGTGATGTTTGGGCATGTAGGACCCAACCAAACCCATACCTTGGAAGCCCAAGTATACACCTCGCCCATCAAAGCGATCTGTCCAGGTTTCTCCCGCTCATCTTGTTGGTTGATACAAATGGCGTCCACCCATACCGTGAGCACCTGCTCATTTGCTTCTTTGCTTTCATTTGCTCTTCCACTGTCCCGATTTCTAGAACTGCAGCTGTGCAATTTCCGCAAAGAAACAAGTGCATCCCGACAGTTCCTCGTTATCGGTATCTTGCATGTCCCGCCATTTCCATGCCCACGGCTATCATCACAGCGGATTATGATGGAGTCATCATTGGCAGGGGCTCCCCAGACATAGGAAAGAGCCGTGAAATTAGGGCATGTGGCAAAGTCTATGGTGCGGAGGGTGCCAGCTAGAGGTTGCTGATCTAGAGATATTCTTGATGTGGGGTTGTTGATTGATGACAGAGGTACTGGGTCGAGATCGAGGACACGAATGGCCTTGGTAGGTGAAGGATGTTGTGGAAGAGGGAGATGTGAGTAAAGTTGTTGGGAAGTGTACTGATGTTGGATATAGGGGGGCGAGGTTTCGCGGATGGTGATGGAGCGGGGAGAGATGGTGATACGTTTTTGAAGGGAAAGCGATTGGTTGGAGCTCCATCCCAACGTCTTGATGAGATGACGTGTTTGTTCTTGCCGTTTGATGTTTTGCCAAATATTGGGGATGTAGACGTGGTGGGTTGATATTTCCAACCAAGCCGGCGGTGGGATATGGTGATGGTGAAGTATCGATCTTGATGGGACGTTACCAGGTCCTTTTCCCACTCATCTCGCGGATGGAAAGCATTTACTCAACTCCATTATGAATGCAGCAATTGCGCACCCAAGGCTAAGATGTCATAATGTTGAGCCAGAAAGATCACTACCGTGCTTCCCCGTGGCAGCGTGCCATGTCGTCGGGCGCTTAGGGGATCTCCAGGCTTGGCCGCTTACAGGCGCTTAATCTGTCAGATACTCAACAGCATACCTTACCCACCTGTTTTTGAGAACCATACTCTTCCAAATGAGCCAATGATGATTGTTCATCCTAGCACCGGACGTGTCGAAAAATCCGGTGATGTGTTCTCCACTTCGACTGGTACCATTATCTCTGGGGTTGCCGCTTGACGTCAGCAGATGGCAAACAACCAGGACCAAACCAGCCAATAAAACAAGTGAAGTGGAAATAATTGTGCAGAGGGATATATCACGTATGAAACTGAGTCATTCCAAGAGAATGTAGGCAATTTTATGAAAGTGAGAGTGATGGAGCAATGATGTGTGTGATGCGAAAACAGGAGAATCGCTTGTCGAAGGAAAACCCAAAGCAGTCAAGTTCTGCGGGCAGGCTGTATGGCAACTGTGCCTGCCGCACATGTGCATTTACCCAATCAAATTGCTCTCGCAGATTGCCTGCCGTGTGCTTACTGCTTACAGTCTGTGTAACACGGAAGGATCATTGGGCGTTACCTGCTTACCAACACAATGATGTCCAAATGGGAAGTCTGACGGCGTTGTAGTAGACTTCTAGGAAGGAACCCTCCTGCCGTGAAAGTGAGCTACTACTAGTACGCTCGTCCCTTCAATTTTGATATTTTGTGAAAACTCTGCCTCAGGTCATAGAGGGACCTCCCAGAGGACTCAGACATGGAGACAGCCGCCGACTCCCTCCGCTGGCAGCTCCGACTGACCACGCCCAAGATCACAAGTCTCGTCCAGAACGTCCACCATGAGATCTCATGTCTTGACTCATTCTCCGAGATCCGCCAACGTTTCACTCACACCGTCTTTGTGCGCGTCTCCGAACTGGACCGCTACCTCATTGAAGCCGTCCTCCTCACTCCCAGCCCCATCATTGACTTGTCCAAAGACAACGAACGCGAGATTGATGAGATCAGCCGTCTCTTGTTTCTCAGGTGGTCATGGGCCGATGCGGTTCTCCGTCATGTCCTTGCCCATTTGCTTGGTTTCGTTGACCATGATCATCCAGGAGCTGTCTACGCCGATGCTGGATATTGTGATGATCTTGCTAAAAAACTCAGCGTACGCCATGGTGGGAGCTTCCCTGGTGACACACACGAGGAGAGAGTGGATAAGTTGATAAGGGATGAGCTGAATGAACATTTCTTTCGAAGAATGACGGGAGATCCATGGGGATTCGGTCGAGAGTTAGCCGACATTGCTGTCGCTCCGCACCCGGACGATGTTTCGCTTTGGAGGCTGATGGCTCGCCAAGTGGCCGACAGATACCCTCCTTGTCTTCGCTGGCCAGGCGTACACTTTGCAGCCGCCAAGGCTGGGTTCTACGCGGACGGTCAACGAGACCTGTTCGAGTACCCTTTCTATCAAGAATGGTGGAATGACGCCCTCTCAACCGTCTCCACTGAAACATCTCAAACATGTTCAGAAGAATCGAGTCCAGAGTCACCCAAAAATGGCCGAACTGAGCTGGAAAGGGATCTTCGTGCCGTCTTTGATGCTTCAGACGTTTGGGACGTTTTGTCTTTGTGCCGCATGTGGCTATGCGAGGAGGCCCTTTGGGGCGTTGACCAAGAGCCAGGCACAGAGAGAGACTTTGTGCGCTTGGAAAGTCTGGGAATGTTCAACAAGCACTGGATACGTAAGACACAAAAGGTGGCAGCGCCTGCAACAAATGTGTGGGACTCCCACAATGAGTATCTGCAGCGAAGGCATACCAAAGGCTCTCTGGAGGAATCTACTTCAGTACCGTCATTCGAAAGGAAGTATGCTCATGAAGAACAAATCAATGAATGGGGACAGCTGAATTGGTCCCCCGACGAGTACCATTCAGGGTACGGAGAGGTTAGGGCCTTCTTTGGGCTGCCATGTCTCCCTTCTCGTCCGGTTCCTCCTTGGCCCACTACCGTCCATCAGCATGATGATCTATTAACATTGTATCTTGCTCTGAGCTGGTACGCTCCAATTCCGGAACCTAGAGAGTGGTTTTTCTTTGCTTCATACGGCAATTACAACCTTTGGAACATCACAGACCGGAATATTGTGTCAGGACTCCTCGAAGATGCAGAGCTCGACCCACAAAGCCAATCCTGGGACCTCGTCTGCATGCCAGAGTCAAAAAGAGACCAGAAGTACAGGGTCTCCAACATCACCCATATCTTGCACACCATTTACTTGGCCGACGACAGGCAGGGATATTGTTACCGTAGACAGTGTAAACCCCGTGGACTTTTTTATCCGTGCGACTGCCAAAGAGCCAGCCAAGATGGTCAATTCTCAGAAGGGGTTTTCAGACAAGCGAAGAGGATCAACCTGATCTACGACAGGTTGCAGCCTGAACACTACACACGGAGTCACTGGGGTGGCAACCTCGTATTTAACCGGCGCAAGCTGGAGGACACGGAATTGTGTCAGAATTTGGACAAGGCCTGGACAGACTGGGTATGCAACTTTGCCCTCCCCCTCCTTCTCTTCAAAGCTCTCTAACTCCGTGGCTGATGTCTCTTTCCAACAGAACGACTGCATTCTCATTCAAGGTTTTGGTTACGACGATGAGCTCGACCTCATTGACCCTGATACCATATATGTCCTCGAAACACTTCCAGGCATCAAGTTCCGACAACTCAAAGCAACCGAGCGGCTAGGTCGACACAACGAAGGTCTTGAGACAGTAGACCGCCCCTCGCCGAATGCGCCAACAAGTGTCTAAAAGAGGAAAGGTCAATAGGAGGGCGTTAGAAGATGGATGTCATAAGTCCCGGCAGGCAAGGAAGGAAAGAAGACAAGGTGAGAGCCAAGGTGAGAGCTTACACCACCCACCGCGGCCAGCCAGCCTAACCTTCTGGAACCTACAAAAAACCACAAATTGGCCGAATGAGGGATGACGGGCCCTCCTTCTCCTCCCCGTTGGACCACCGCTACCCACCTCACCTACCTATGCATGTGTCAAACATGTACGACCAATTTGTATGGGAACACAGAACACATTACATGCATGGCTAAACTGTCTGTCGTGCCCCCAAGACCACCGTCTTTAATAGGTTACCGAATTGGGATTTGGGGGGCAGGCAGGCAGGCAAGGTGGTTTGGGACATTTGCATATGGTGTCACACAGGGCAACGTTCTCTGTACACGGGCACTGCACACCTGCCTGCCTCCACCTCAACAACAACAAACGGGACAATTCATTACGGGAATAATAGTCAACGCTGTATGACACACACACACACACACACACACACATGCGCGCGCAACACACACACACACACACACACTCCCCTCTCTGTCTTGTCTCCTTGGTGCGACGGTTACACGGGTACCAACAGATGCACCTTCGGTACTGGATTGTGGAACATTACAACAATAGTTTGGGGGCTCTTGGGTTCAAGGTCAGGGGGGGTTCATGGGGTCATGGAGAAGGAAAAGGAGGACACACTGTGGTGGATTATGACATGATTATTTATGACCACATGGTGGTAGGTCGGGAAGAGGTGAAGCACCAATACCCCGTTGAAGTATGCTGGAAACCATGACTTGGGATTGGGGTTCTGACAAGGAAGGCTGTTGCCATTGGGATTAAAGAAGGAGAAGAGTAGAAAGAGAATAAGGAGGAGAAGCCGCTCCTGGATGGACCGTTGAAGACCGGTGATTTAACCAAAGCGTGCAAGGGCAGGGCACTCAAGTCTACATCCGTTTGTCAGACTTGACATTAGAGAAGAAGTTCATAAGCAGGGTTCATGGGACATCATTTTTGTATCGAGATCCCTGGTTTTGCTCGGGGCAATTCGTTCGGGGCAATTCGTCCATGGGAGGCTCAAGGATTGAGAAAAGTATAAATATGGGAAGGATTGGACAGACACAACATCGATAACTTCCTCAGTCCAGTGACCAGTAGAAGCTGCAGTACTAGCTGCCATTTCGCTGGTCTTTACTCGTCGGAACATTCGTTTGGATACTTTGGCAAGCTTTCTTTTTGTTTGTAAGCCGAGTCTGTCTGTTTGTTGGCATTTATCTCCCCTCTACCAATTAGCTATCGTTTCTTCTATTACACCAAGAGCGTCATCAATCACCAACCTTAACACAACTCAGGAAACAAATTCGCCATGTCCAGCGATAGCGAAGACTCGTAAGCCCTGATTTAATCCTCCAAGAACCTCCAAATAACCACCATGATGCTAACACCACACCAAACAGCTCAAGCTCCATGTCCAGCGAAGACCGCTCCCTGGTCGTATACAACGAGTTCCTCAAAATCCAACACTCCCCCCTCCTCCAAGAGTACTCCATCTCCCGCAAGGTCGCCCGCATCCTGCCTCTCCTCCCACCCCTCTCCGCATGGGGCGTCATAGAAATCGTCTGCTACAAGCTCGGTTCCTTCTGGGACGTTTCGCCGACGGACCCTTCCTCGCCCACCACCACCTCCACCCTCCGGCGTGACCACGACAAGCGCGCCATGCTCCGACACGAAATCGCTTTCGATCTCGTACACTTCTTGACCTCTCCCCAGCTTAACCTCAACCCCTACGGCAACGGCAACGGCAACCACTACGGTTCCCCCCAAAACAACCACAACAACAATGGTACTCCCGCCCCTCCCGAATTCCCAGGCTGGGGCTTCCCTATCCCCTCCATGCCGGGCGTTTCGCAGGTACATCTCGTCTTCCACGACACGCCCAACTACTCGGACGACGAGAAGCGGTACCTAGTCAGCCGGTCGGATTTCTTTCATGACGAGAGCGTGTTTGTTGCCGTATTCGACAGCGACACGCCCAACGAGGAGAGAGATATCAATGGTATTGATCGTCATCAGATGCTTTGGATCGCACCGAACCAGATGATTCCCATCATGCAGATCAGGATCGATGGGACGAAGCAGCCGGCTGCGATATTGTGGAGGGATCAGGTTACGGATGGGTGGCATGATGGGGGGTGTCGCTTTGGTGAGGGGGGCGATGGGGGAAGGGGAGGGGGTGGTGGCGGCGGTGGTGGAAGGAGGGGATCTAGGGATCATGGGCATGGGCAGGGAGGAGGTGGAGGTGGAGGTGATGGGTTGTGAGTCTTTTTTTTTCAGCTTTTGTTCCTCCTTTATGATGATTTGGTCGTTGATGAAGCTAATATTGAATCACTAACAAAAGCAGAAACCACCAACACCAGCAGCCCCCCATCCCGGTGCCACCTCACGAGCGGCCTATGAGCACCGCCTTCCCCGGCTACAAAAAGTTCTGCTTGGATCGACATCCCGAAGACTCAAAGTATGCTCTGAACTCATCAGCTCTTTACATCCGAGCGGATATCGTGGACCAGAATTGGCCCATTGGGTATTACAGCCACCATCATCACCATCATTAGTAACCCCGTAGTGTAGATGTTGGTTGAGTGGTTCCAAAAGGGTGGCTATCAGGTTGATGGTGATAGGGCAAAACCTTTGCTGTGTAACGGTACAGAATGGCCACGGAGGATTGGTTTAGTGTGCGCGTATGTAATGATGTATGATTCTTTACGATGTAATAAACTTTTGTGTGTTTTGGTGCGAAATTGATTGTATGAGTGAAGAGTGTCTTGGATGAGGAAGGAGCGAAGAGACAAGACGGGACCATTAGGTTTCTCCAAGGTACGATAAGATAAGGCCGATAAGATAAGGGACCTGGTGCTGATCGTCACCTGGGGCTCCCCCACTGTTGTAGGGCTGAAGGGGGAGTGGCGTCATACCATAAATTACAGTACATTTAACCAGGGCAGACCCTTAGCCGAACAATCCTCCATCTCCCTCTTCACTCAGTACGTGTACGATTTTTGTTTCAGCGATATTCACCAACGATTGGAACGACTAATCACAGCCCTACATCTTGCCTCCATCAACTTGCCTAACCACGTACAAGGCTCGGCTCGAGTTTCACTACAGACCGAATTGACGTTGCGTTTTGCTTGCCTAAAGGTGGTGTGGGGTAAACTCGGGGTACTATGAACTGAGCTCCCTCCCGCCGCAAGACGGATGACGTGAACTTATAACGACCTACAACGACGGACCTTTCCATTTACACCCAACTTCCTTTTTGCAAACGACATCGACACATCAGTCGCAAACTCAGAACTCGAAACCCTTAACATCACACCAACATTCCGTACCGAAAAAGCCACCCACATATTCAACAAACCACACTAAGCGACACCACAATGGCGCCCCCATTAACCCCCGCCTCCATCCTCGATGGCATGGCCGCTGCCCTCCCACGCACGCCAAAGACGACACGACCTCGGACCTCAGCTCGTCCCTCGATGCCGTCGCGCTCTTCACGCACGCCTGCTTTGTGTCCGTCGGCTTCCGCCTGCTCGGTTTCTCCGAAGACAAGCCTGAAGAATCCGGATGCCAATCCCTAGCCCCGCGCCTACCCAGCACTTGGAACCCCAGCCTATCCTCACACTGCTTCGTCTACGCCCACGAACAATCATCCATGCGCTTTGTCATCCGCGTCGACAGGATGGGCTCCAAGATTGAGATCCGTGGCCTGGGCGTGGGCGACGAGCGGATTGCTCGATTCGATATTACCACCAGAGACTACGTTTCAGCAGCAGCTTTGCCCATCCGCATCACCATCACCAACGATGGACAAGGAGAGGAGGACCGCTCCGACCTGCCAGAGAAGTTGCAGAATGTGTTCATCTCCGAGGAACGCATCGCCGACCTATCCTCCTTACTCAAGATCAACATCATCCAGCGTCTCATCCCCGGTTTGCAAAAGGAAGGATACCAGGAAGATCCCGACGACCGCGCAGTGCGCCAGGATGCAGACGACGCCGGCCATCGCGCCGGTGGCTCTCGCAACCCGCCTGGACCTCCCAGGATGCCGAACCCGATGCCCGATCCAGCTCAACCATACCCCTATCCGAACGACCTCGACCCGCCTGCCCGTCGCCCGATCCCAGCCGGCGATTTTCCCCCGCCCGACTTTGAGGATGAATACGAGATTAACCGCCACCCTCGCGCCGGCGGCGGCTTACCGGGCCTGGTTGGCGGACCTAACCCAAACCCAGGATTGGGAGGAGGAAGAAGTGACTACGGAAGAAGTGACCTATACCCAGCTGGTTTGGGACCCGATGATCCGATTAGGGGATCTTTTGCGCCGCCGCTTGGTGGACTGCCGAGACCTGGAGGGCGCGGACCTGGTGGCTTTGGTGGTGGTGGACTTGGAGGGACTGGTGGGATGCATCCGACTTTTGATGATCCGCTTTTCCAGGGACCCCGTGGAGGTGATGAAGGAGATGGAGGGTATGATGATCAAGCGCCGCCTGGGGCTAGGTGGGACCCTGTTGGCCCTGGAGGTGCGCCGAGGTTTGGGGGAAATAGGCCTGGCGGTAATGGACGGGGAGGGAGAGGATTTGGAGGCGGTGGATTTGGTGGAGGGGGTGGCTTTGGAGGGTTTGGAGGGGATATTATCTGATGGGGGAAAGTGAAGTGACGGGAGGAAGGACACCGTGGCCCAGCTCCCTTGTTTGTGTCTTGTCTTGATGATGTGGCTTGGTCTGGTTCGAAGGGTAGGAGGCAGTCCACCCAACGATGGACAGTCACGGAAGGAAACCATAACGAGGAAATGGGAGCCGATCAGGCTGGATAGGAGGTTGCAGCACCACGAAACGGAACTATCGTGTGACGACGTTAAGTAGTATGCATTGGCAATGCAAACTGCTCAACCGGTGAGCACAAAAGGAAGTGAGAACACCCTTTCTGTAGTGGTAGGATGGAGTTCCCTACCCATAGGAGTGGAGGCAAACGAGGAAATATACGAATAACTCCGATCTGCAACCCCGTTCATGCATGGTTAGATGTCTAATACAACCATAACTAGTACCGTGATTTCACCCCCTTCTCATGTTCGACGTTATCCAAGGAGCCAATATACATACTAGTGTACGTCTAGGTATGTAGAGCGGCTGCTAGACCTAGTAGGCTAGAATAGTAGTGTAGGCTATTGCGGCCGGTGTGGCGCCTCCTCGGTCGCGGTCCGTCCGTCTGACGCCAAGGGGGCAACAATCCCTCTCTACCCTCTTGGAAGACACGAAACGCACAGATAGAGGTACATAGGTGAGTAAGTACGGTAGGTACCTTGATGTCTACGGTAACCTACAATCTGCATCGGTAGCGAGCGTGGAACCGAATTCTTATTCTCAAAGCTGGACTGGCTGGCTGACTGGCAACCATCACACACAAAGATAGGTAGGTAGGTAGGTAGGTTTTACCTTGATTGCATGATGTATGTATTGTACCTTAGTAGGTAGAACCCGAGGTAAAAACCCCGTAACTGAACAAGAGGAAAAGTCTGTCGGTCTCTTCTTTGACTTGTAGGGTAGTAGTACTAGTAGTAGGGTGTTGGGTGTGTAGGTGTGACTGATATGGTGTAGATGTATCTAATGTGGTGTGTAGTAGGTGTGGAGCGGAGCGGGAGGGCGGAAGACTAGAGTAACTTACATAGGTCTACACTAATAACATAACATGTCAAGTCCCGTTGTGACTGAACGGCAAAGTTGTCAAGTTTGCAACGGTCAACGGTCGACGGTCAACGGCGGGGCTGAAAGGTGTGGACGTGTGTCCCGATCTGTACTACTCAGATGTTGATATGTAGTAGTCAAAGTTCGGATCCGTCCATCTTGCATCAAGCCACCAACATAAAGGGTGTCTGCCTATAGTTCAGAATTTCCCTCTTCTAGGTGACGAGCTGACGCCTACGTTTAGAAGGTAGTAACAGGAACAGGGCAGGAGTGGAGCCAGGGTCCTGTGGCCAGTTCTGGGCGTACCTGGGGCGTGGCAGGGTTCGGAATCCTTATAGGGCTGTGTCCGGAGAATAAATACAAGATTGTGGAGTCTGAAGTTCCTGGGCGTTGGGATTATTATGCTACGATACCAGAGAAAAGCAGAATCTGGTTGATTTTGATACCGTAGTGTGGAATACTGAAAGGCTACACCAACACAGCTTGGTATTGAATCTTGGCTATCTCTTGGGTTGCTTTCGATGAGGCATAGGATGGGCTATTAGGTTAAACGATCTGCGGCGAAAGTCTCGGTCGGGGAAATATCACCATCGTTCGTGGGCGGTTCCAAACAAAAATTTCAGCCTGTCAGGAATTATCAGAATCAGGGGTCCAGGCACTTGGCACTTCAGCTCGCTCCGACGTCTAAGGGCCACGCCGTTACGCCACGGTATGCGATAGGGCTAGAGGACGGCAACTGCCGCAATGTCAGCTATTGTAAGAACCTAATTGTTCGAGTGAAAGTGGAAGCAAGTGTTGCTGAACGGCCGCATCAATTGCGGTGTTTCCCGTGTGCGGTGGTAGCTAGACCCATAGTATGACTGACGTCAATATCTTCCCGTGGTTTTCGTGAAATATCAAGTAGAGTAATAGGCTCTACCTGGCAGAGCTGTCATGGCAGAGCTGTCATCTTAGATGCCGCCTTCTTGCGAATAAAGACGATGTGGCGTTGACTACCCTCATGATGCAGACCCTTATAACGCTAAGGATGTAATGAGGTCAGGAGCATCTTGGCAGGAGGGGAATGCATTGATGGGATTGTAGGCAAGCAGCTCGTTGCTTCATCAGTCGGCCAAGCGTCGGGTAAGCAGCTGGGTACCACTCCATACTCTGAATGCCCAGGGTGATTCTGTTCCTTCGAATCTGATCAGCCCATGCGTTCTCCGCGTTGAGGCTTCAAGTCACATCAGTGTAACCATTGTCCAACTCCACATCCAGACCACATCGTGTGTCCACACTTTGACCTCGTTCCGTTCGCCGTAATGGAGCCATATCCAAAGCTAAGGAGGTCAACCATGATGATTAGGACTCGGGGGCCGAGAAAGCAGCTTGAGTCAAAGCGGATTCAGCTTCAGTCACAAACAGAAGCGAGGATGCAACGCTCAACGTCTTATCCTTTGTCCCAGAGCAGTCACACACTGGTCGGAGAAGTATAAGAAGCATCAACATGCTCCCCGTGAAGAATGTTTTTTTTTTTCCCTCGCCCTCATCCTCATCCTCGTCATTCCACCTTGAAGACCACTTCAGTCTTTATCCGACCGTCATCCTTCACCGGAAAACCTAGTCACCAAGACCACTGCCCAAGCCATCAACATGCGCGCCTCCACCATCCTCTTTGGCCTCACTGCCACCACCCTCGCCTCCGCGGCCGTCATCCCCAAGGACACTGCCATCACCTCTGAGGTCGAGATCAAGACCGCTGTCTCCCCCGATGGCTACGTGTACAAGGTCGAGACTGAGGCCTATGTTGAAGACACCATAACCGCCGCCGACGGAACCACCCACACGGTCCTCGTCCACCCCACCTTCAAGCGCTTCGTTGACGAGCACGGAACATCCCTCAACCCTAACAAGGAGAAGCGTCTCAGCTGGTACGGCGGCAACGCTGACCAATGTGGTAACTCAAACTTCATCAATAAGACTACCGGTGGTTCGCCTACCACCGGCGATTGCGGTGAGGTCCGTGATTATTACCGCACTGCCAATGGCTACTACTCTGCCAGTCGGTTTACAGACCTGGCTGGCAGTGATTGGTGCAGGCTCGTTATTACGCGCACGTGCGTATTCGGCATCAAGAGCGCCAATTTCAACGGTGCTAGTGTCGGTAGCACCGATATCTCCGACCTGACTAGGGATGCCATCAACAAGTTCCAGTCGGGCGGCAGGGTTGGTGCTGAGGGAGAGATGAACTGCAACAACTCCAAGGTCCTGTGGGCTATCTTCCACTCCTAGATGCCCTTCAGAGCGAGGGCCGAAGATCAGATGCCAGTCATGTTTTCGACTAGTTTTCTTTGTTTCTCAAGGGGGAAGGTTTGGAGAGCGAAGTGGCAGGGGAGCGAGGGCGGTTTGGCGACATGTACGGAGGACCATGAAATGTGTTTCGAAAGGAATGGGTAGAAAATGGGAAGCGAGCAGGCAGTGAGCTCGCTAGAGCTTGAAGTAGTCCGTCAATATGAATGCTTTGCAACCCAAGCCAGCTTTACCAGTGTCGCGTGTTGCCGTGTTGAAGAGTGGCGGTTCCAAACCCTCGGCGATCTGTATTGACTGATGAGCAAAGGTGACTGCTGTGCTGACAGTCATACTGCGTACTCCTCCAACATCTCCTTCGCCTTCCCTTCTTCGACCCAACACTCGAAGAACAAGGCGCCTGCCTCGACAGAGCGGATTGGTGTCGTCTTGGCACCTCCCACATCTGCGCCTGGCTCCGGTTTTGAGCGAGAGGCGGGCTGAAGATTGGGTTCGGAGGGAATCCAAGCTTGGGGGTGCTAATTCAGAATAATATGTCAGCTTAAGCCGCTTGGCCGGCGAAGGAAGAGGGTAGACTTACCCCAATGGGCGCAAGGGCATCGTCTCGCAATTCCACAGCCACGTTAAACGTACATCCCTCGGGCAAGGCATCCATCTTCTCGGCCGCATAGGCTGTCCGTCGTAGTGCACCACGTAACTGCTCGTCGAGATCGGGCCAGCTCACCGTCTGAGCGGTGGGAAAATAGTACTCGTCGTCTCGACTGTCTTCGTTTCTGTACTCCTTGGCTAGGGCTCTTTCAAAGTCTCGCATTGGCTTGGCACCTCCGGGCCACGCTGGGAATCTACTGATGTCAAACATCCAGCGTTCAAGAACCGATCCTGGGGGAATGGTCTGGGCTGATGCTGATTGTGTGGGATCAGACGACTGTGTTACTTCAAAGGGGGAGTGAATCACGACGGCGATGCGTGATACACGACCCTCGGCGATTTGAGCGGCCACGGCTTTGACAGCATCGCGAATCCAGGAGCAGACCTTCGGATGGCGGTTCTGATGCACTGGGAGGTTGTAGGCGCGGGCAGAGAGAAAGGTAGGTTGGGGATAGATGCCACGGTAGTAGAGGATGTTGTGAATGGCGACAACGAGAAAATTGTTGAAGGACTGCAGGAGGGCGATACTCGCATCATAGGGCAGTGGCTGAGAGGGGGCTTCTTCGTAGAATTCCTGATGGTGATGTTGGCGATGGTGTTCAGGTCGAGAACGAAGGGGAGAAGGCGACGATGGAGCAGGAGAAGACATGATCAATGATGATGAAACTCGTTATATGGGGACGATGAGATGTGGTTTGTATCTGACTGGCACCGACGATGTATCTCGTCACTTGACTTTGTTGACTTGACAATGGAGGTGATGATCAAAGAAGAGGGTGGTTTGAGTGGCCAAAGGAAGAAGAAAAATATCTTGATTTTTTTTGTGTGAGATGCAGAGTCAATGTGGCAGATGGGCTCAGAGTAGAAATGGTGGGACAAAGATGATTGTCCTTTCCTATCTATCCCTCTTCACTTGCACTTGCGCAAACTTGAGACGTCTCTTCCCTTGAGACTGCGTGATGAGACGCGCGAAATTCGTGGAGGACAATGACCGCGTTTGACAAGGACTGGAACCTTTAACGCCAAAGCAGGTGATGAGCCCCACTATGCCCCGCACTTTGCCATGGTTGTACATAATATGTTCTTTAGCATACCCAAACTAGCGCCAGAAGAGCCCGTATTTCTGTAGCGTTTTCACAAGAAGCTCGACACCTTGAAACTCCTTCCACTCTCCCCTTCCATGATCTTCAGATAGCTTCCGCTCCTGTCGCGCCACGAACTATCACGACCTCCCCCATTTGAGGTACATTATCACGGACGTGCTTTATCGCGTCCTGTTTTTTTTCGCTCTGCCGACTGAAATAAAGCGGCCGTCCCAGGAGCTTGCCTTTTTACCTTTTCTTGGACGACAACACCCCTCCGCCCTTCTCGACACGTGCAATCCCTCAGGCACCTCGACATTTGCGCGCAACTACCCGATCCGGATTCCGATTTCGATACCATATTACCCTTTACAGCGCATACTCCTACCATATACCCCCGAACGGCCATTCAGGATTATACCTCGACTGAATATTGGGAAGCTCGATTCGATCGTACTACCCTGATCTCGCTATCGATATTCACATCTTTACGCGGCCACTGTTATCCCACCATCTATACCACATATCTCGTCCTGTAACAACCCCACAATGGATCAGATGGAGCAACAACTGGCGCAGCTGCTTGCCAACACGCAGCTTCCCGACGAGGGCCCTCGCAAACAGGCCGAGCTCGACCTCTCCCACGCCAAAGCGAACCCCGATTTCCCGATTGCCATTGCCCGCGTCGGTATCAACGCCTCGTTCCCCGTCAGCATTCGCCAGTCTGCCTTGACCTATCTGCGCCAGTTTATTGAGGACAATTGGAGCCCAGATGACGGCGAGGCTCCTCGTTTCCCCATTTCGGACCACTACAAGCACGAACTCAGAGACGTGCTGCTTGCCCTCTGCCTGGGAAGCGAGGGCGACAGAAAGGTCAAGGTTGCCACCAGTTTGGTTGTCAGCAAGATTGCGCAGGCCGACTTCCCCGACAGATGGCCTACCCTGCTCCCCAGTGTGTTGGGTGTCATGCCCACCGGAAGCGACGACCAGCTGCACGGTGCCTTGCGCATTCTTCAAGATCTTGTCGAGGAGAGTTTGACTGACGAGCAATTCTTCGGCACCGCTCGCGAAATCATCAAGGCATGCTACGATGTTGCCCTCAACAACGAACGCAAGCAGAACCATCGTGCCCTGGCCGTCGTCGTGTTCCGCAGCTGTTTCGATCTGATGGATATGGCCAAGGACGATCACAAGAAGGAAGTCACCAGTTTTGCCCAGGAAATCTTGGCCGGCTGGCTCCCCTTCATGGAGCTGGTCATCAATTCACCACTTCCTGACCACGAAGAGGCCGGTTCCCAGCCCCAAAGCTGGTACGGTCCCATCACACTCAAGGTCCAGGTTGTCAAGACCCTGATCAAGATCAAGACCGTTTTCCCCTCTTTGCTCCTTCCTCACAGTCCCACCTTCTTCAGTGCCGTCTGGCAAGAGTTGTCGAGACTTCAGGACTCTTATCAAGACCTGTTCATCAACAACGAAGTCCAGAGCCGCCTGGAGGACAGCGATGGCCTGCCCTATACTCTTGACTTCCTGGTGCTGGACGAGCTCGACTTCCTTAACCAGTGCCTGCGTGCTAGCCCTGTACAAAAGCACCTTGAGGCCGACATCAAGGCCCAACCTGACATGTCCAAGATCGAATGGGTCATGAAGCTCAACCAGCTGCTGGTTTCGTACTCGCAGGTTACCCAAGAGGAGGAGGGCTTGTGGGACATTGATGTTTCTTTGTTCCTCGCCGAAGAGACGAGTGTCAGCGCCAACTATACTGCCAGGACAGCATGCGGTGATGTGGTTATCAAGCTCGGCGAATGGCTCGGACCCAAGGTCTTCCAAGGCCTTTATGAGGTTGCCAAGACTCTCTTTGGTAGCAACGCCAATAACTGGCGCGAACAGGAGGCTTCGCTATACCTGTTCAACTGCGCCTTGAACGACTTCTTGGACTGCGAGAAGACCGTCCCTGTCGAGGTTACTAGCCCCTATGGAGAAATCATCCAGTACGCCATCACCAGGCAAGATATGCCTGTCTTGTGTGCCCGAGGATTCCTCGCAGGAGCTGCGCTAAGCCAGGCCGCTGGCAGCCCAGCCTATGGTCTTCTTGAGCAAACCATCAAGACTGTTGGAGCCTCCGACTCGGAGCTTATTCAAGTCGCCTGCATCAAGGCCATGGACGGCTTCCTCAGATCCACCCTCGAGCCTCAGTACCAAGGCCACATACTCCAAGCCATCCAGGGTTACCTGAGTGGACTGGATCTTGGCTCGCTGGAGGACTCGGATGACCTCCTAGTAACTATCGTCGAGACACTCAAGGCGGCCATTGCCGTGGACATGCGCACAGTTCTCCAACCTGATAGCACTGCTCTTGACATGCTGCTCACACTTGGCAGGCACGGTGCTGCCAACTATCACGTAGAAATCAGCGTCTGCGAAGCGTTCGAGGAGATCGCCGAAGCCATGAAGGATGCGACTGCTTACCCAGCCTTCTGCGCCAAAGTTCTGCCATCTGTCACTGGTGCCTTTGACGCGGCCAACGTCACCGGAGACGACCCGCTTATGATCGTATGTGTTGTATCCCTCCCCCTTGTTTCGGTTGTGCCTACTGTACTGACACTTCATAGCTCGCCGTTGAACTCTTGTCAATCCTTGTCGAGTATGGCGTGGAGCCTCTTCCTGCCGGCTTCGTCGAACACAGTCTGCCCAAGCTTGCCAGGCTCCTGATGTCATCAACAGAGGGAGAGGTTCTGCGTCCCGGCACGCAGGCTGTCAAGCACATGCTTATGCATGATCACCAACAAGTGTTTGCGTGGAACGATGAGAACGGCCGTTCCGGTCTCGAGGTCTGCCTGATGATTATCGACCGCCTTTTGGACCCCACAATGGAGGATAATGCTGCTTCAGATGTCGGTGGTCTCGCAGCCGAGCTGGTCGAGAAGGCTGGTCCCCAGCGTCTTGGACCTTACCTTGCTCAGCTCCTCAGGGCGGTTGCCGCACGTCTGCACACCGCTCAAGAAGTGGCCATCATCCAGTCGCTCATCCTCGTCTTTGCGCGCCTGTCTCTTACCGTGGAGGGTGCCCGGGATGTCATCAACTTCCTTAGCGAGACTCCTATTGACGGCCAGAACGGACTCCAGATCGTCCTCAGCAAGTGGCTCGAGAACTCGGCCATCTTCTCCGGATACGATGAGATTCGCCAGAAGTATGTCCGTCCCGATTCCTGTCTTCGGTAGCAGTTACTGACTTGACTTTTTTTTGGCAGCATCATCGCCCTCTCCAAGCTGTACGAGCTTAACGATACCCGCGTAAACGAAACCCTGGTCAAAGGTGATCTTATCATCAACAACGATACCAGAATTAGGACTAGATCTCGTGCCAAGCAGAGTAAGTCGCCCCGCCACCACTCTAGCATTTCCCCCTTCCACTCAGTTAACCTTTCCCTCCCCACAGACCCCGACCAATTCACCCAAATCCCTGCTCCTCTCAAGATCGTCAAGGTCCTCGTCGACGAACTCGGCGCCACAGCCGGTAACCACTCCAACGCCCGGTCCGCGGCCGTGGCCCAGAACGTCGCAGAAGAAGAGGATGATGACGACGACGAGGATGACGAAGGCTGGGAGGACGAGCCCGACGTGCTCGATCTCGGCCTCGGATCCACCAAGGCCGAGCTCATGGGCTGGGCCGAGGGGAACAACGCCTTCTCGCGCGATCGCGATGACGAGACCCGCCAGTACCTGGTCGAGTTCTTTGTGCGCGTCGCGACGGAGAATATCGGCAACTTTAATGATCGGTGGTATCAACATTTGAATGTGGAGGAGAAGGAGAATCTGAGGGAGCTGGGGGGTCAGTAGAGATGAGTAGAGAGTGAGGAGCGGTTTGATTGGTTGGTTGTTCAAAGGATCCCGGTCTGTCAGTATATGATGTATGTACAAAGGTTATATGGGTGAAATGGAGGGGATGAAAAGAAAGACGGTGGACGTACTGTAGTTGTCATGTGTTCTTTTTTGTCTTGATGCAAAATAAGCGATATCGCAGTACAGTAGGTAACTACCAAACTTGTAAAAAAGTTTCGGCTGTTTAGTTTGCACCTGGTTCTTTCAATTTTTAACCGGAGGTTCATTCATTCATTCAATCATTATTAATCCGCCCTTTGCTGTGTGCTTAAGCTGTTAGCGTCTCAAACATGTACGTACGGACCTGAGTAAATGCAGATGTACCAGTAGATGCTGATGCATGTTTACAAAGGAGCAGGAGCCAGGTTTCGTATCTGTCAATCGACTTTTACATAGGTACCAGGTAAATATCGTCGAACATTGTCACAGCGGCGTAGGAAAGTTGCATACGATGCAGTGTGCGATGACTGTCGAACTACTGCTTAACTAGGTGGCTTGGACTTGCGAAGAATAAGAAGTTGAAGAGGGGACGGGAAAAAAATCCCAAAAAGGGAAGGGAAGGCTCAATACCAGAGCTGCCCGGGTTTTATACCCGCCTGCAGACCGCCAGCGACAGCCAGACCCGGGCAGTGAATGGGACCCATGTGATTGTGATGGGAATCTTGATGGCAGGCATGTGACAACCCAGATGGTGTGCCAGCCGTCACAATCATCATCACCACCCCATCGCTGAGCTATATGGAGAGAGAGAATCGGATGAATAAGTATAGTAGGACGTGTATACCTCTACACAAACAAAGACCAACCAGATTGGGAGGAACATTTATTTAGGCAGTCAGAAGTTGGTGTTGATCTGCGTATACCTACTTGTTTGCCTTTTATTCTGTTTACCAACCGCTCTCGCTTCTCATAGTAGGCCAAAACATGGACAAGTGAGAGGAAAAAAATTTATTATTGGTAGGCAGCGTTTGGGCGTGGCATGAGAAACAGGTACTTACTAACAGGGTTAATTTAAGCAGCATGCTATGTATGTTGAGTAATTCTTCACCGACGCTTGTTCGATACACTTTATGTCCCTCCCCTCGTTTGTTCTTCCCTCACTTTCCAGTCTCACCTAGTCAAACAACCTTTCATCTACCTTCCCGATCGATCCCCTCACCTAGGCAGACACACCACCCTCACTCAGGCAGGCTGATAAATAGCTGGACACAACCCTTCAATAGCCCTCGCATCCGCCACGCCAGCCGGCACCCCTCCCAAGCCCGAGCCCCCATTGGCATTAGCGTTAGCATTAGGATTAGCAACCCCATAACTCCTAACCAACCCGCTCTCCACATCCCTGTACTCCGGCCACCCCCTCATCTCCAGCCCGCTGACGCCATTAGCAGCAACAGCCACCCAATCGTCCTGAATCGCATGGCTCGTGGCCACCTCCAGCTTCTCATCTGGCGGCGGCGAGCTGGTGGAAGTTTCGGGGAAGACGTCGTAGGTGCCGAAGAGAAGGGGCAGTTCGGCGCCGTGGTAGGCGCCTAGGAAGGGGGAGGGCGAAACGTCGGAGAAGTTGCCGAAGTAGATGTAGCGGAAGAGGGGGACGGAGGCTAGGAGGCGGTTACTGTTGTTGACACATACCAAAATGTTAGTACTGAGCTGAAATAGAATGGGATGGGATGGAGCTGGGTTGCAGTAAAGTGGCGGAGGGGGAAAAGGGGGGAAGGAGAGGTGAAGGTGGGAATGGGAACACGTACGTGGCTGCTTTGAAGGCTGGGCAGAAGAAGAAGTCAATTGTCGCTTCGAAGGCTTCAGTTTGGTTGACGGTGTTGTTCGGGTTGAGACTGACGAAGGCGAGGCCGTCTTGGGCGTTACTGCCCAGGATTGTGGGCTGTTGTTGGGTCGTGTTAGTCTCCTATCTGTCGAGGTTTTTCGAACGAAGTAGAGCAAAGCAGAGCAGAGGAGAACAAAGCAAAGCCAAAAACTTACAACTTTGGCAACCTCTCCCGCCAACGACCGAGCCGTATAATCGGGGAACACCGTGGCATTATCGATCACCGGCGTGAAGAAGAGAACCTTGGTGAAATCCGTGCCCGCCGCGGCATTCTCAGTCTGCAGAGCAGTGATGATGGCATCGGCCGTGACGTTGCTAGACTTCATACACGCCAGCTCCTCCGCCGCGGTGAGATTCCCACAGCCCACCTCGACCGCAATACGGGTAAAACCCAACTGAGCAGCGTCAAGGCTATGAGCCAACGGCGTCAGCTCGTTGCCGGAGTCCATGATGAATGTGTTGACGATCGGCTTGGTAGGGTAGGCGTATTGCCAGTAGCCCACGGAAACTGCACCGGCACTTTGGCCCCAGAGGGTGATGCGGGTAGGGTCACCGCCAAAGGCGGCAATGTTGTCTCGAACCCATTCTACCGCAAGGCGTTGGTCGAGGAGACCGACGTTTTGCTCCGTTAGGGGGATGCCACGGGCATTGGGGAAGCCGAAGATGTTGAGGCGGTAATTGAAGGTGACGACGATGTGGTCTTTTTTGCGCTGGACCCAGTCTGTGGGAATCTGGGTGGGGACATCTTGACCGCCGGTGCTGAAGGCACCGCCATAGACGAAGACGATGACAGGGAGGCTGTCTTTCTTGGTGGCTGGCGGGGCCCAGAGGCTGAGGGTTAGGCAGTCCTCACTGATGTTGGGACTGGTGACATTGAGGCCCTGGACGTTGTACTCGGTCACATCCTGGGTGTAGATGGAGGGCGGGTCTGTCGAGAGATATTGGATGCAGCTTGGGGGAAGCTTCTTGACTTTGAGTTCGCCAAACGGCGCAGCAGGCTGTGGCGGGGCAAAGCGAAGGTTTCCCACTGGGGGTTGGGCAAAGGGGATCCCGAGGAACTGGCGTACGCATGGATCTTCGGTCTCCTTGACAATTCCATGAAGTATGCCTCCCGAGACTTTCACTGATAGGGAAGAGGGGTCCACACAATGAGCTGACGCAGCTATCGCAGGTGCCAACCCTCCTCGAAAAACACTGTTGAGGAGGGAGAACGCCCAAAGGTAGGATAAGCAGGCCAGTTTCATGATTCCAGGATCACAATCTGACGTGGCATAAAAGTATTGTGGTATCGATGACGTGGTGAAACGAATGAATGTGGTGTTGGCAAGACCAGCACCAAGTTCCTGAAGAACTGGCATGGTGGTGAAGTCTGACATTTTAACATCAGCTTCCGTGTCCCCTAAGCCCCATGTCGGAGCCGAGTCATGTCAGAGCGTACATCGTGAGATCCAAGGCCAAACGGTGCCATACAGCCAGCGTGAAGCAGTTTCGAACTGCAAGCTGAGGGGTAAAGGCCACATTTGGGGGAGGGGTGCTCACTTGTTCAGACCAATATCGTGATCCTGTGCTGTTGATGCCAGCACTGCCCCTGTTCCTTGAACGTCGGGTGAGCCCTCAGCTTGGTCAGCCTTCCGGTAGCAGATACTTTTTGATGCCTCTGCGCAGGCGGGTGACAGGAATACGCGTTCTGGACAAGGCGTAGCAACTTGTCGGTTTCCTTGTCGAATCGGTCGGTTTGAGTGCGGGGAGAGTGACTGTTACAAGGAAGTCCCTAATTAATAACAGAGCCAAAATGGTGGGTGACTGGCATCTTGATGGTTCTTGAATGTCTCTTGCTGGGCTATCGGCCACAATTCTACATCAAGTCGACATCATCAATGGAAATCAAAACAAGCGTAAAGATGAACGTGAACAGGCATCGTTGGAGAAAATCCCCACGGCCGAGCGGGTTGGTCACGTAGGGTCTTGGACATGTTTTGATCGGGACCGGACTGAATGCCTCGCTTGTTGTCGGTTCCCAGGAACCGGAAACAGTGAAGGTGCCCACTGGTGGCCTCGACATCTCTTCTTGTTGTTTCAACACATCACAACTAGCAACTTGGGACAGACTAGCTGATGCGGAGAACGATCGATGATGGAGATTTTTTGTCAGTGTTTTGTCTCGACTTTTTGTTGTTGTGGAGAAATCTCCTCCAAGTGCGCGACTCCAACTCTCTCGGGTGGAAAACAGCAACATGCAGTGATGATGCATGACCAGCCGAGGTTCTGCGTCGCGACCGCCTTGCATGCTCGAATAGCCTCGTACCGACGCGTATTACGAAGAACTCCCGATTTGGTGCTATCGAAAATTGGAGACGTACCCCTCATCACACTGGGGTATGGTTGACAAAAGTATTTTCACACAAGGGAATCCCGTCGACCCAATTCAGATTGTTGCTCGCTCCTCCTTGAAGTTGTAACGTCATAGGTTCGTATTGAAAGCACATGAAACTCTCATCGTAGTCCAAAGCTCACTCCTTCTTCCATTGTTCAAATTCGGTTTCAAGATGCCTCTTCAGCTCGGCAAACTTGTTGCCAAATTCTTGTCCACAGCGCCAACAGACAAGTCCTTTGGACAGGTTTGCGTTCTGGAAGGAAGTGCTGCGTCGTTTGTCATCCCCGGCGAGCGGGTAATCGTCAAGAGGGATGAAAAAGGGCGTGTTGAAGCTGTTGTAATGCTTCCGATGCTTGACCTTATCCGAGTGCATGTCACGCGAAATGATGTGCACGTGAAGATGGTCCATGGAAGGGTGGGCATGCATGCCGATACGGATGTCGGACAGGTAATCCCGGCCTTGTGGAAGCTGGTCGAAGGGGACGCCTCTTTCCATGGCTTCATTGCGTGCTTTGCTCGACGCAGAAAAGGTCGACAGCTTGCGTTCGAGCTCGGCAGCAGCTAGGTTGGCGGCGCTGACAGCTTCATGTCGCATCATGGCAAGGAAGCCCTGATCTTGGAATGCCTGATGTGGGTGCAGGTCGTAATGAGCGGGAGACCGGGGGAGGAGTAGAAGATGTACGGTGGCCTTGGGGAAGCCATCGCGAATCAGGACCGTGTTGTCCGTCACACGGATGACTTGCTGTGGGAAGCGGTCGGGATGGTCAATGTACTCAAGCAATGCACTGCTCCATTGTGACTTTGCTGTTTTGGCTCCCGGTTTCTTGGTTTCCTTGTGCGAGGAGGAACGAGCGCTGACTGATGACGGACCCGTGGAAGCGTCTGGCTTGGCTGCTTTGGGCTTGGGCGCCATCAGCTCTGCAAAGGCATTGCGCTTTTTGCTTTCATGCAAGCCATGGCTAACTGGTGCTACCTTGGGCTGGGCGAAGTCTTCTGGGTCTTCGGCAGCTTCAGCCATGGTGTGCGTGCAGACGGCAGGTTTTCTTTCCTGGCATGTTCTTTTTCTTGGAATCGGTTGTGGACTGGATGACGCGTGTTTGCCAGCTGGTACGCGCTGGGTGGCAATAGCCTGGAGTATATGCAAGCGGCTCGCTTTTCCCAGTGTGATCATGAAATGAAAGTCGCTTGGAAAGGTAAATGGGTCGGGCCGTCGGGGAGGCCACCGGCAAGGTTGGTGATGCTACTTGCAAACGGCTGAAGTTGAGGGCAGTTCGATGAGTGACGTTGGAATTGGCGTGACTGGGTACGTCTCTTTCTGGCGACGATCGAGCGGAATCCACTCCGGTACTCATGATTGGTCAGTGCACCAGTTTTGATGGAGTCGCCCCCAATGACCAGGTGGGGAACCCAATGGCATCTGGGCTCTGGCGGCTGGATCTGGTGCAAGTGTTAGTGCACCCTCGCCAGATGCTCCTTGAGGAAAGCCCAGGGCTAACGACATGTGAACAGAACTTTGACAAGGGGACAAGAAATACATTTTAATCTCGATAACGAACTACGTGATTGATGGGCAATGTGAAATCTTGAAATGGCGTTGCTTCTGGTGGTTCAGCAGTAACGTTCATTTGCCGATTGTCCCGAGTCCCACCAACCTGGAAACCATATTGTTCTTCCATCGTCATCTGCCCTATCATTATTTGGGCTTGCAAGAAACATTACCATGCCGTTGGGCTTTCCAGCATGGCGTCTCATCCCATCGCGAGCATGAATACCATCCATGATGGACAGATTCAAGGGTTCATCAACATCATCACACGTTGCATTCTGGGCAGCACCTGTTAGTCTATGGGCCTACTCACAGTTTGGACGAGCTCAGTATTGAGTCCCAGAAGGAAGAGACCATCTAGTATAAGTACCTATCTGTTCCCAGTCTTTAGGTTTTCTCGTCCCCGTCTCAAATAGGAAATGACATTTGCATTCAGCGACGTTAGCACTCAACGCCTTGAACGGAACATAACCACAACGTTTGCGAGACCTCTCTAGCAATATGGGAAACTATGGAGTCTACCCAAAGCAGTTTTGTCCTTGTATCTCCGCAGAACAGGATTCTTATGGAGTCACAGGGCAGCAGTCACGATATTTCGTCTACCGAGAGCAGTTTTGTCTTGGTGTCTCCGCAAGACTGTCCTGCTATTGATTCTTCGGGAAATAGTCAGGTTGACAATTCTACCGAGAGCAGTCTCGTCATCATCGAAGATTACCTTAATGTTAACCCACTGCCCCCCTCAACACCCGGGGAATACTGTGGCATCCATGAGTGGGAGATACTCAAGTCATCCAGCAAGGGTGCAACAACAAGCCAGTTAGTCGCTGCGCTTGACATCGTCACGGACTTACTCGACAAGGAAGACATCCCTTATGCCGTCATGGGAGGTTTCTCTCTCCAACTTCGCGGAATGCAGGGTGTTCGTCGAAACGTCGACTTGGCGGTTCCGTTATCCATCCTCGACGCTGACCAGAGTGCATGGCTTACCATCTTCAAGGATGAGCTGAGGTAGGTAGGCACCACAAGCCTTCATACAATCATGCCCAGTGGCAATTTTGGTCCTTGGGAATGCCTAAATATTCGGCAGCGCCTTTCCCGCCCCACCTGGGAATTGTCACTCACTCACAATCACCCGCAGGATCCTTCGCCCGTCAGTTTTCCTCTCAGGAGTCAAAAATATCACAAAAAAGACCCTCTTTGTGCAGATGGGTACTGGTGGTAATCCTAATAACAACGTCGACAACGACAACAACAACAACGACGACAATAGCATCAACGCAGGTACTCGTTGGGTGCGCGTCAATTTTTGGTTTGTCAGCAGCCATGTCCATGAGCAGCACCCATCCAACTACAATGACAGTGACAGTGACAATGACACGACCCAGAACCAGAACCAGAACCTTAACCTCCACCAAGCCCACCTTCCAGTACTCTCCGACTTTGAACACGAAAGGAATCTCGTTGCATTTTCCTCACCCCTCTCCCCCAACAGCAAGCAGTATTACTGTCTAAAGCTCATTTACATCCTTCACAACAAGCTTTGCATGATCAAACAACAGTCATCGTCATCATCATCTTCCCCTTCTTCTATTTCCTCTTCGACAAAACGAGACATAGCCGACGTGTCATACATCCTCTCCATGTCCTCCTCTTCACAACAACAACACCTAGCAGACACTGCAGACATGGAAGAAGTAAGTCACCAAGTTAGGTATATCATCGACATCCCCATGGACCTTCGCACAAATTTCGTACAATGTTATAATGTCATTTCTCCGAACGACCTCATGACGGATTTCTTCGCACGGGCGTTGTGGGTGGGAGGAGAAGCAGAGGGGGATTACCTTTGGGATAGATGGACAAAAACGGCCGTACCTCTACAAAAGAAGAGCAATGGCGAGGGTGAGGAGGGGAGCAAGACATTGGAGCCGGGGCCGGGGCCGTGGCCGGTGGTACCTGAGAACGACAACAAGGGAGGAGGAGGATCATGGTTTTGGACAAGGTTCTTTCGTCATCGATGAACATGACAACGCCGTTCGACGTAGAAATTCGCCAAGAGCACCTCGCTCAGAATTCCACGCTGACCGTTAAGATTTGTTTCGAGGAAGGGTAGGAGAAAAGGAGATGATGAAGATTACGATAAGTTCAGGGAAGAAAATCATGGTGTAGGTAGAGGTAGGTAGGTACCTAGGTAGATATACCTCGCGTATAAAAGTTGAGGCCCTGCATAACCTTGACTTGATGTATTCTCGCTGCGAAAAGATGGTTGATATTTGTTTCCTGATACCTAGCGTACATGTAGAGAATGGTAGAGGTAGACAAGTATTTCCAGCCGCCCACAAGATCAGACTGACCAGGGGCATAAATCCAAGCCAAAATATGAAAACAAAATGTGAGCGACATCTTCGTGTTCTACATTACTCGTCAGGTCTCGAAACGACCATCTTCACCGTGAGGTCAGGGTTAGCTACGTCTTCCTTGGTGGTAGTGATCGATCAAATCAGATCCCATTCCTTGTCCAAAGGTGTATACTGGATTGAGGCACCACCAGCTCCCATCATCAAACATTGCCAAGTACGGTCGACAAGATGACAACGGTCCTCGAGCTGTTGCGGGATAGCCATTCCAGGAGGAACCGCCTCGTTTCTTACATGATACGGGACTGGGGAAGGATGTTCCCTATCATGAAAAAAATGACAAAGGTCCTCGAGCTCCAGGGGGATGGGCATTCCAGGAGGGATCCGCACATCTCCCGCATATTTCGGGGATCTCTCATCCCACAGGGCCGCGCAGGGGGCAGATACCAGTTGGTGAACAGTAGGTACCATCTGCGTGTTCCAAATTCCCTCGTCTTCAGGCTCTTCAGACTCGGCCCGGGTACTCGCCTGCATGGTTTCATTCTTCTTCTTCTCGGCACAATATCTCTGTGCTTTTTTGGTTGTTGTCCCGCTGTATCGATAGACATACTGTGGTCGGCTTCGATCGAGCTGGTAGAATTTTCTCAATTCTAGAGCATAGCTGTGTTCGAGCTTCTTTGGCCCTACGTTGTAGGCATGGAGACTAAGAGGACGGTGAACAGGTGTCAGTTCCATACTAGCGGTAAAACCTGGTCCCGGTAGACACCGATGTTGTAGAGGCTATTGCAACACCACCATAGAAAGGGCTGGTACAGGCAGTGAGATGAAGTGGGGGGGGGGGGATAAGCACTGAAGATAAACTTACTCAGCCACGGTATCAGACGAGATCAATTGGCACCAATCTAGCTGCTGAAGAGCGTCAGGGGTGGAGGCAAAGACGTAGGCGACAACCATCCAACGACCGGTCAACCATTTGCCGTCCTTTGCTCGCTGTGAGAACACGATTCGACGAGTACACTTCAAGTTGGGGTATCGCGCTTGATGAGAATTATATTTGCATCCGAGAATGGACTCGCCAGCTGCACCATCCGGTATCTGGTAGTCCTTCCAGTGAGCTAGGCTGCGTACGTCTTCGTCATGGTCTGTAGTGGTGGTTGTGGTGCCGGTACCGGTATTGGCAGTCATCGTCGAAGACTCTTCAAGTTGCCCGAGCTGCTGCGGAAGGTCGACAAAGTAGTGACGTAGCTCAACAAACCATTCGGTTGGGTTGGGGATGCACTCTGGCTTCTGAAGGATCTCCTTGGGAAAATGGAACGAGACCATAAGGTTCCTGAAATCTCGGACTGCTGGTTTTGGTGGCGTCGGTTTCGTGAGCAGCTGGATGTCTTCAAGTTCCGTTGCCATCGTCGTCGCACTCTGCTGCTCTCTGAAGCATGGGAACAAAGACCAGATCCAGCTCGCTGAGGCTTTGTGGTTGTTACTTCTTCCGGCCTTCTCTTCCAGGTACTTCTTCTCGAGTTCCCACTCGAGACGTTTGTTTCAGTCGTCCTTCGATGGGAAGTATCCCCATCCGAGAGGTCCGAAAGGCTTTGGCAGGGTCTCCCACCTGTATGGCTTGGAGAAGATGCCATGTTTCATTTGCTGGAAATCCCGCTTTCGGTCCTGGCAACTGCCGCACTGGTTTGAATCAGGGCAGGGTTGGGGGCACGGGTTATCAGGGCAGTCGAATGGTTCATGTTTGTGACACACCATGATGGGCCAGAGTAAGATGATCAAAGTTGTGGCGATGTCATGATTGTAGATCTTGCGAGAAGATGTTGATGGGAAAAGCAACAGGTTGTGGGTGAGAAGAGTTTCGGGAGACGGAGGAAGTTTTGAATAGCTAGGACAAGGAAGGTATTTATACGTTTTGAACAGATAATCAAATCTGGTTATCTTCGACAACGAAAGAGGGGAAGGCACGTTGACACCTTTCAATGCAGAACCTTACCGGCCAAAGTTTGCATGAAAGATGTGCATACCGCAAAGGCGCAGGCCTTATATTTTTAAAAACCAGAAAAAACCAGGCATCCTACGTAACCCTACCGCGCGCATTTGGGTGTCTTATGTCCGTAGAAAATGGTGAAGGACATATGTTGACAACTCGAAGCATTGTACTCGTCAGGGCTTGAATTGCCTGCCTTCCCAATAGCGAATGCATCAATCCCTTTGGTGCCGTGTCCGTTTGACCTAGTATACGACGGAGAGACAGAGCGGGAAGGTATTGACATACATGCAAAATCACCGTCTTAGATAAAATCCACAAGGAGCATACATATTGTATTGTGCTTACAAACTATGCCCGATTTTCCTTGATTCTAAAGATCAAGGCCCGGTTGCTTGCGGTAGGCTTGGACGCATGAGAACGCAGGCCTCAGGTAGCGGCAAATGCACTTCCAGTGAGCAATACAAATCTGCCACATTTGAGGGGAAAAAAATCAGCAGAAAAAAAAAAGAAAGAAGGACACCAACAGAAGGCCGCTAGCGGACCAGAAATATTAGAAGAAAACAACCGGAAGTAACCATGGGAGGATTAATTACCAAGTGTCCTGCCTGCATACTTTTCTCTGCCTCAGCACGTCTACCGTACATCTCGAAAATAAGGGGAGAGAAGACTGGTAGGACTTAGAATTGAGAGAACACGAAAATGACTACCCAGGTACCTACTGCATGTTATTCCTTAAGTCAACATTCCTTCTTCATCCACACACTGATGCCAGCTCACCCAATGTTAGATGTATTGCAAGATGCATCACAATGGATGGGAATGATGATTTGTTAGAAGAGACAGATCAGCTACCTGCTGGAGGGGATCGGTGGCTATGGGAGCGGCGATCAATGAGGCAAATATTTTGTAAAGGGGGAGATTCTGGAACGTGAATGAAGCCATTCCAGATTGAATTTACTATCTGCGTGACGATGACTACCTAGTGACAACGACTATCTAGTGACAATGACTATCTGAGTGACGATGAGCAGAGTAGTGATGGTGGTAATAGTGGTGGTTGGATTGTTGATTTGAAGAGGAAGAAGGAAAGAAGACGAAGGGGAGGAGGGAGCCCTCGATATAAGTGAATCCGTCCATGGTCTTGGCTTGCCTTAATGGTGCCTTGATGCTGCATGAGTGCAGCGCTGCGTAACATGCGCGTTGAGATGGCAAATTAGAGAAAACCGCGGACCCGAACAGGCCTGTAGTAGAAAACCCGATCGCCTTGGTGGATTGCAACCATCCCAGTGACCTAGGATGAGCGCGAGAAGGAACCAACCGGGCAGATGTAAGACGGTGACATGGGCCAAATGGTTGAGTGCCGATTTTGCCAAAGAAGGTGGCCACATGAACCGGGGTTCGGTCCATCGACACAACTAAACGAGACGCTGAGACAGCAGTGATGCGGTAATCAATACACCTTGATAACCAACATGTGTGCCTGTTCTGCTGTTACGGAAATGTTGGTTTTGCCGGGACGCAATACCACATGTTAAGGAGAATGGTGACCACGTAAATCAAGGTCAGCGTGTCGGTGCGGCTGAACAAGGCGACAAAGTGTCACAGGATGGCGAGAAGGTGCACCGACTGATGGATCGGCTGGGGTATGGTAGAGGTAATCTTGATCCTGGTTGTGTATCCCATGCACATGGGCCGCATTGTATTGTGGTTGTTTATGTGGGTGATTCGAACTCGACCTCTTGTAGCACCAGGCAGGCGAAGGCCTGTAGCCAGATTTGGATGACTGGTGGTAAAATGACAATGGATCCCACAAGACATCTCAGTCTGGTGCTGCCAACTAGGTAGTGGATGCAAAAGGGAATATTTACCAGAGTGGCATTTGCCATTGATACATCTCCCAACTCTCCCATTCAGCTCCGGCGCGCGGGATGGTGTCATTGACATTCAGGAAATCACAGGATTTTACCGATCGCGGGGCGGCCATTAACATGAAATGCAATGCAGACCTGTCGATTTGAATGGGGTTTTCGACGGGGGCCAGGGTGGTAATGGATGTGAAATTGGCAGACTGGCTGTCGTTGTGTTTTCTTTCTTGCCGTTCTGCCTGTTCTGGGCTTGGTAGTAATCGTGGAGATCTAGACGTTAGATACCGAGAAACAAAGTCGTTTGGGGTCCGGTGTGTTGAGTATCCTCCATCCTGAAAGTGACCAAGAGATATGGCGTTACTTCTGCATGCGGTTGGTTTCGGTTGGCTGTAACCTCGTCGTGAGCATCACTATCGCATGGGTGTACTGAATGGGCCTGAGGTAATTTGCCTCGATCGGCCCTATGAATTGACACTCGCGGATGAGGCGGCCCAAGGCGGGCTGTGCTGTTTGATCCTGGAGCCCTGGGCAAGGTTGGATGGTGTCAAATCTGAAGAGTGTGATGCCATGAACGGTCCAGCTTCATGCTCATTAGCCTGTCCTCCTCTTCTATGAAACATGGTAGACGGAAAGCCAGCGGCATGTTTGTCGTTTGGCAGCTGACAGTTGACGTCGCAACGATTTGTGTGAATGGATGGTGTCAGCTCGTGCTGGTCACATGTGTGAGATACTGGAGGAACAGGGAAATGAGTGTGTAGGTGCTGAGCCAAGTGTATTCGCGTCTTGGTGCTGGCTGTGTCATGGCGACAACTGCTGTATCATCAGTTGGTGAGGTTGTTGATGTCCATTCGGTCAATTCCTTCTCTTTGTGTGACAAGAAAGAAGAAGGCAAAGATGGGTGGACCGGGCGCAGTGGCGATTGGAATAGTCCGAAGAGAGTGTTGAGAGAATCGAAGAGTTGTGTCGTTGGCGACAACTGTTATATGAACTGGTGAGGTTGATGTCCGTTTCAGCGAATGTTTCCTTTGTGTGACGAGAGTCAAGAAGGCAAAGATGACTGGACCGAGCGCGATGATGATTGGAACGGTCCGAAGAAAATGCTGAGACAAATGGAGCCGAAGAGCTTTGCCTGTGTGGTTGTTAGATTCCTTGCAAGGGAATGGTCAAAAGGGTAAGTAGAGCATACCTGAGCAATGAGAATGCCGCCATTGCATCCAAATGCCCAAAACTTCCCTTTTCCTGTATGAACTGGCAGAAAAGATTCCATCCATCACCCTGCACATCTCCACACAATCCTTCCAACATCCTGCCAAAGATCGTCTCAGACGTGCCTACCAGAATATCCACGCAACCAATGTCTTCCACAACCAAATTCAGACGTTCGGCCCAAAGTATTCACCCAAGCAGCCGCATCCTGGCCATCTCATCCAATATCCTCCCAAAGAAGTCTTCCTGCAAAATGAGCGAACCAGGGCAAAAGAAAAACAGCCACCCATCCAGCGTCTTGGACAACCAAATCCCATAATCCATTCCAAAACATGCTCCCCAACAACAGCACCTTGCCATCCCAACCAATATCCTTTCCCAAATCCCCATCAATGAGTCCGCCCAGAGCCTCCTCGTTGGAACAAGACGATTGACCTCCACCAAATCCAAGACCCAACATCCTCTAAGTACAGGCTGCTCAGACTAGACCCAAAGTCTCCTAGATACAGGTTCCCGAAGCCACAAAAGTGTAAGTGAACGCAAAGTTTTTATTTTTTTTTATTTTTCCCCGGACAGAACCCACCCTGAAGGGCAACAACCCCGAAGGGCAACACTGCATTCAAACAATCTGGTTAATGATACAACAAAACAATATGCCATCCGCTTACCTCCTTTTCCCACCGGCTGCGGCTAGTGGTTGACTAGGTCATGCGAACCACCCGGGGGGGGGATGGTCCCCACAGTAGCCCTAGCCTCCGGCTTGACCACCAAGTACCAGGACGGATCCCTCTTGGCGTCCTTGCCATTGGTGGCATCATCGGAACCCCATGCGGCTTCCAAATCCCGGGGGGCATCCACCCTTCCCGGCCTCTGACTGTGTCATCTGTTAGCTTTCATCAAAGTGCTGGATATATCAAAGTGGAATGAGAGCCGTTGAGGATCGACTTACAAAGGCCAGAGGGGGACACTCTGCGGCCGCAAGGCGAGCCAGCCAACCACTAGCATTGCGGCCATGCAAACTGGTTTGGCAAGCATGCCGGCGCAACCAGCGAAAAGGGGGCCAAAAATATAATCTTTGATGAAGGTCGTCATCTTGGCTATATAACTAAACTATCGCTTGGGTGAAGAGGAAAAGAAAAGAAAAGAAGACCTTCAAGTGAGCGGGGGACGGTTGGATCTAAATACCTTGGGCGCCTTGAGATCTCAGGGAAGCATCCTCTCTCCTCACCCTCCTCAATGTCCAGACAGATTGCTGGTTGCAGAAGGTGATGGCATGGTACTTTCGCATCATCCCCGTCGCTCAGCATGAGCGATTTAGGCCCGAAGGTAAGTAATCTCCGGACGCAGTCAACCCAAACCTCTTTTGAAGTTCAGTTGACAGTAACGACTGGTGGATGCGGAAGGGAGACTGGGTCTATTTGCAACATGGAGAGCAAAAAACGTCAACTTCGGTAGTAACAGTTTGTAGAAGATGGAAAGCATCAAGAGGTTTTGATCAGATCCAGCTGCATGTGATTGTCAGCGCCTGTAGAGAGGTGGTAGTGACTGTGGCGGGTCGGGAAGAAGACAGGACATGGCTCCGGCTGGTTTCAATGTTGGCAACTGCTTCGAGGGGCATTACCGTTCCGGGATCATGAAAAGAGGGAAAGAAGTGGGAATGCATCGGCAAGAAGGGGATGACATGGACACTCAGACATGGTGCCTAGAGGTAGCAGGTGATCCCCTGAGCTTCCTGCCCCTGCCCGTGCTTCGAAGCTGGTGGTATTGAGTAGGTTGAGGTTCTCAACGCCAACAGGAAGCGGAAGGTCAAGGAGGAAAGAAGTATCACGGCCAACTTCAACCTGTCCGTCGATCAGTCTCGGTGCCACAAGCAGGTGCGCTTGATGGGATGGGTAAGGTAGGCAGTCACCTAGGTGGTTTGGTGACTGGAAAAGCGTGACTTTCACTGTAGGGTGCTCTCGCCATTTCCAAGCTCGACTGTTATCAGTCGTGCCAACGGTTGATGACCAAACTCAAGGGGTGACGTGACCAGGCATACCTCGTGTGCCAAGTTGAAAGAGGAGCCGAGTGCCGTGCTGTAGCTTGTAGACTTGGACGGAAACTGAAGGTGAATGGAGAGGTAAGACCGAGTGTCCTGGACCGTCGACTGTGGGCAAGTGTCTCTGGACGATGCCCATTCCTCAAGTGGAGGTGGGAACAATGGACATGGGTTGAATGAGATGTGCCCTTACCACAGTTGGTGTATTTTTGTGAGGGTTGGCGGTAGCCCGGTAACAACTGGGAGACTTGTTGGTTGGATTCCATTCCGCTCCCTTGCACCCGACCCCCGTCGTCTTCAGGGGCAGGGGCCAGGCCGCCCTTTCCTCAAACACCCAAGAGTCCAGAGGTCTTTCGGGAATTCCTTTGTCGTGTAGGTATCTACAGCACCTACCGTTGATAAACCAACGCAACTGGTCGGAAGTCACTCGCACAGCCCAGCCGGGAGGAAGTCGACATTAGCAACCTGAGTAAGTTTCCCGGCCCAACCATGGAAGGCTTGATGTTCCAGATGGACTCACCTTAACTTCGGCATTCGCCAAATGTACTTTGTCATCCATATTGTTACCTGCCGCCAACCCTCCTTCCTCCATTCTTTGCCCACCATCATGCCTCCAGAAATTGCTTACGACGCCCTGGTAGGCATTTACAGGTCGTTGAAGTTTGGCCAGTGATAACCAAGTGTACAGGGAATTCCCCTCGGATCACCACTTTGCAGGACCTTTTTCTATAGCAGAATACGTCTCTGCAACCGTTACCGAAACCCTGTTTCTGCTAAAGCCACCTATTTCAAAATGTTTCCGTTGGCCTTGCACGAAATGCACGAGAAACATCAACTCATCGTGGAAGGCGGCCTTGGCTCTAACTGAGCGTCCAATGTCCAGCCTAGGTACCTCTAGATGTACACTTACCCAAGTGTACACTCTTTCGATGGTCGACACTGGGATCCTTCTACCCAGCGCCTCGCTCCAGCCCTTTTCCCCCCTCGCCTTCCAATCTCGAAGCCGTTCTCATCAGTTGCAGGTTCGGATGAGACGACGTTATCAATGTGAGCAGGAAAGGGCGAGGAGGACTTGGTTATTTTCCCGTCGAAAATCACATGTCGAAAGCATCACGGCTGGGTTAGAACTGACGCCCAAGGTTGCAGAGGAAGCCAGCCCGGAGAATGGGATGAGCGACAACCACACCAGCATCTTTCAGTGACTCGCTTCTACGCACACGGCAGTGGCAGTCCAAGCGGATGATGCCATCTTCGACTACCGCCAACAATTTAGCTGGTACCCGAAGGAAGTGATTGAGTAGGAAATGTTTCAGGTAGGTGCTGGCGACGTCGCGAAAAGCCACAATTTCGCCATATCATCGTCGAGAGAACATCGCTTCCCACTCTCCGTCTGCTCAGCCGTCGCCTGAGACTTCCACTTCCCGCCCCCCGCTCGTCACATTCGGCCAATGTCTTCACCTACGCTGTGCTTTCTCCTGCTAATCGGAGCTCGTTAACCCTTCCCGAATCCACGGTGCCTTCCCCGCGAGGAAGCACCAGACAAGCACTCCATGGGGCCGCCCCGATTTGCTGTTCGGGGGAGGGAAGGTCGGAGTCAGAGAGCGCTAATGGGCAAAGCAACGGCGATATTGACTTTACCAGGCATGCGGCGAGCGAGATGCCCAACGACTACAGTTGCGACTCGAATCATACTTGGACCAACATCAGGGAGTAACGTAGAGCTGTTCAGCTGTTGGGGGAGCCACGCGGACCGAGTGTCACGCCTCCCAGGGGAAACTAACATGCACGACAGAAGGCTGGATCTCTTTGCAGGAGGTCGATAGTTGTTAACTCTGCCAACCCAGACCAGGACATTGAAGCACCCCTTCAACTACAAACTCATGCCGACGGAAGCAGACCTAACAGTGTAAGTAGGATGGGCTGATCTTCATCGCCTTCCCATGTCACCATTGAGCCCGCAACCTACTTGGTACGAAGGGACGGATACAGTCAGTAGATAGATGACTACAGTACATAAATAACAATACATCAATCTTCGAACATCACCAACCAGTCCTCTCTTGCTAAGGTACTTGTTGCGGGGACAAGATGCCCCGGTTTAGTGACTTTCTCGTTTTGTCATTAATGCTCACCTCTTCAGCAGTCCCAGCGCTTCCACATGCTCAAGAAAACTGTCCCTGCAGTATTATGAACTGTTAGTACCTAGTTTCTCGTGTTGTCTAGCTTGGCCTACGCAAGGGAATTGGATCGAAGTCCACCTCCAAGCGCACGGTGTTTGTAGGTAGATACCAGCTACCTAATAGGAGACGCTTGTCGAAGCGGCCCAATCGTTCATCCATGTCGGGTGCTGTTAACATATCGGCCAGAGCTGTTCGATACAATTATTGAGCAGCTCGAGGTCCGTAGACTGACTGTACACGCACCAAAGTTTTTTTTTCCTTTTGGCGGAGATTTGGTGACACCTCCAGGTGCAAGAAGGAGCAGAGAGAAAAAAAAGAAAAAGAAAAAAAAGAGAAAGACTCCCAACTGTCCTTCTTTTTCCACAAACGAGACCAGACGAAAGAGAATTCGGCCAAAATATTTAGAGAGAAATTAAAATTTGTCAAACAATGTTAAAGTGTGTTAATATCTGATATACAACCGTTAGCCAAGAGCCCGATATCAAGGACAAATCGACAAGACACCGAAGAGTCTAGTCTGTCAAGCTGTGAACAGCTTTTGGGAGGACCTAGGAATGGCCTTGAGGGCAAGTGAGAAGAAGGAAAGTAATGAGACGAATGGGAAACCGTCTTGGTGCTTTTCAGGCGATGTCGTGGTCTTTCTTGGTGATCAGGCCGGGCTCCATGCAGTCCACGTTGATTTGTCCTGGAGGAGAGAGAGGTAGTGCAGACAGATTTTCCCGTATGTTTGTTAACCTGGGCTCTTTCGGGAAAACGGAGTGTACGAAGTCATGACTGAAGCCATACAACATGTATACATACATGAACGTGCGTTTTTGGTTTTTTATTTTATTTTTTGGTTTTTTTTATTTTATTTTTTGGTTTTTACTTTTTAAAAAAAAAAAAGAAAAAAAAACCTGGTCATGATGATGATGCATCACATATGCCAGCCTCGGGAAGCGAAGGTGGCGGAATGGGAGGAGGACTTCAGTTATATCATCACCCAGTCCGAAATATATCTTACCTTATTTATCTCTTGGACCTGAAGATAGATGAATGCGCGTGCTCTAAATATGCACTCCGGACGTGCACTGGTATTAAAACAACTTGCATCAAGAGAAGAAGTCCGTACAATATATAGCGGGAGATGACAAGGTACCTGGAGAACCGATCAATTTCCTATTTAATTCGCCCATTCCCGCTCACATAAATATTCCTTTTCCTTACCCTTTTCGCTCCACTCTTCATCCGTATACATTGATTGAATTGTACGTTATACAGGGCACCCACCCATCGAATAAATCTCTATCTAGGTGTAACAATTGGGCAAAGTACCTTACTTCAACCACCCTTCCCCCCAAAACCTCTCTACACTACCTACAAATACCCAATCTCAAAAAAACGTCGATGTAGTAGACCTAATCTTTCTCCATCGAGACAAAATCCCAGGATAACCAAGAGATTACATCAGCCAGCAGCTCCGAAAATGTCTTCAACCAACAACGCCCACGACCCGAGAGGTGACAACAGCGAAAAGAGCGACAACAACAACGACAAGAGCGATAAGGCCATCATGCCTGCCACCGCTGCAACTCCAACTCCCACTGCCACTGCCACTCCAACTCCAACTGCCACTCTTACTCCTACCACCACCACCAACAATCACATCATCGAGGACACGAGCTCGAGCTGGGCCTGCATTTGGGCATGGATTGCCATCATACTCACGCTACTCTACTTGACCGGCCTGTTGGAGATCCTCCTCCTCCCCCCCCCCCTCCATCCTCCTGCTGCCCATCCTTGCCATCCTCGTGAGGACCCCGGGCCTGATGAGACAGGACCATGGCGGAAGGGAGAATGTTCTTGTTCCTGCTCCTGCTCCTCCTCCCAGCCCTACCTCCAGCCCCAGCCCCACCTCCAACCCGAGCCCGAACCCGATCCCGAGCCGCACCACCTCAGGTACACCTCCTTCGACGCCCCCCACCGAGCCCTCGAGTCCCGGTGCGAAGGAGGACGAGGAGGACGTCTCGGCAGAGGAAATCGCCGCGGACTGGGAAGCCAGAAGGCGCAGGAGCGGGGCAATAATCCCCTCTTCAGCCTCTTCCGATCAGGAGGAGGAGGAGGTCCCAGCGGAGGAAATCACCGCGGACTGAGAGGCCAGGAGGCGCAGGAGCGGGGCACCAAGCCCCTCCTCTTCCCGGTTCCCTTCGCCGGCACCAGCACCGGCATCGGCGCCGGGAAACGGCCATGTGGTTATGTGAGTATGTGAGTGAGCCTCGCACTCACTCGCCACATGAGATCTGAATTGTCGGTTGTGGCATAGTCCGCGGGGTGTAGGTTGATCTCGCTCGCAAGTCCCCACCAACCAACAGTTGCGTCTTTCTGTCCTTGCCTTCCTTGTTGTCTTTGTGTTCGCTGTTACCAGTCCCCGAGCCTGGTAAAATATCGAGGCCAACTTGGTATTGGGGATTGTTGTACCGTGGCATGGAAGAATATTCGGATTGCATTGTTTTTGTAAAGGTGGGAAGATGGAAGAGTACAACCGACCGTTATCCATATGGAAGGAACTGATAAATTTGTCGGATAACCAGGAAGGAGTCAAGGACAGTTAAGTAGGAGGGGCCAAAGGAATAACGCAACTGGTATATCGTTGATTATCAATAAAATGTGTGTCTCTTGACCAATTATCGTGTCCTCGGTGTCAAACAGGTGAGTGTCATGTCCCCATTAGCTTCGCATCTTCAGCATCGTCGTCATCAGACTCCTCTTCTTCCTCTTCACTCTCCTCCTCTTCGTCATCTTCGTCTTCGTCTTCCTCTTCTTCTTCATCCTCCTCCTCCTCATCTTCCTCGGTTGATTCCTCCTCTTCTTCCTCTTCACTCTCTTCCGCAACTTGCCGTTGCACAGGTGCTGCCGCCGGCACCGCCTTCTTACTCACTTCCTCCTCCTCCGCAAGCCAATCATCAAGTGTCTTGGTCCCTACTGCCTCTCCCATACCATTGGCTTTCGAGGGCTTAGACCTAGACGATCCGCCATCCAAAATTTCCAAGGCTGGCACGACTCGCTTCTCCCCGTATGTCGCGGGAGGCACGCCTGTTTCTCTCAGTCTCGGATCAGGCTGCTTTCCTTCCTCAACCCAATCGGGCAAGTCCTCGTAGCCCCTGACGCCATGGACGCCAGCAGCATCGGCGAGAACCAAGGCTGAAGAGCCAAGGGTATATCCACGCCTGATTTCCGAGGGGCTTTGTGCTTGCGGTGCGGGCTTAGGGGCGAGTAGCATGAGCGTAGCAAGCTGGGGTACGCCGAGCAGGGCTTTGTAGAGACGCGTGCGGTCACGGAGATCGTACGAGGTATCGTAGCGAGCCAAGAGGAGCACGTAACTCCATAGTTTGGCGATCGGATGGTCATCGTCTTCGAGGAGCTTGGGTGGAGGCCCGGGTTCTCCGTCACTGGTTTGTGATGCTTCGATCTGTCGGTTGAGGTAGTGTAGGTAGACCTTGGCGCCGAGCAGGATAATCTGTCGTTTGGCAATCTCTGACTCGGAGGGGAACTCCTTGAGCAGAATTCGGAGCACGTCAGGGGCAATGTTGTCTTCTCCGTTGAGGCCGGAGAACTCGCCTACTAGCCAGATGATGGTAGCGCGTGCGTGTGGGTCAGTAGCTGAATCCAAGTTCTTTGCCAGCCTTACGACCGTTGCGACGTGTGCGGTCGGATCCTGTTGGATTAGATGCCTTATCACTGTCAAACTCTCTGCGGCCAGCGTGCCATCCAAGCTAGTGATTTGACTGAGGAGCAACCGCAGACACCTGGGTGCAGCTGTTGAGTCTGTTACCGCACAGCGGCCAATGGCCCTGACCGCCTCCCTGACCAGCGCTTTATCAGTTCCTCGGCTGAAGTGCTCGAGCTCGTTGAGAATAAGGCTCTTGATATGGAGAGGCGTATGTGGGAAGATGAGAGTCAAAAGCTCCAGCTTGAGTTCCCACACGGGTTGTGTATCGGTCGCACGCACAAGGAAGTGCGAGGCGTAGCGCACAAAATCGGCAGGCCGGGTAAGGCAGATGGATACGATGTTGAACAGCACAACCTGTTGAATATCCTGAGCGCCTCGTAGCAAAGCTATCAGGGGCCCAATGGCTGTCTTGACATACTCGGGCGTGCCTACCGCATCGTAGCAGCGTGCTACTGACACCACCACACCCGAGTTTCGTGACTGGAGGAGGGGCTTGATGCTGTTAAGGAGGAGCTCATGGTCAGGGTCAAGAACAACGACCTCCTGGCCCTCGGAGTCATCATCCGTGTTCGCGGTGGCGTTGTCCCCGTAGAAGTCTTGGAGATCGGCTGCCTTGTTCTGGGCTTTTACGATTCGGGTTCGTCGAGGGAAGCATTTTCGCGCGTAAACCGTCATGAGTCGCAGTGTCGAGAGCTGGCTCCATTCATCCATGTCCACCACCATCTTGACCAACTGCCTGTAATGCTTGTGTACCAAGTCTAGTCTGTCTGGGCAGATCTCCAGAAACGCTGTAACGGCGGCGCCCGTCACATAATATTGTTTGTCGCCGAGGAGTGTCGAGAGATAGTCCAGCAACGAGGGCATCTGGGAGGGGTCCAGTCGGTAGCACTTGGGGATTGCCAAGGCAGCGGCTCGGCGCACGTAGGGGTTGATGTCTCCAGCGCCCTTCTTGATCGCCAACGACACAATCTGGCTGATAACAGGCACTCGAATGTTGGACATTGTTCTTAGAGCTAAGGCGCGCACTTGGGGGTTGGAATCGGAGAGGGATTTTTGTATAGTGTTGATGGAGAGCAGGGCCAGGTCGGGGTCCTCTTCAGCATGGTGGATCAGGTAGATGTACACCAGCTTCTTGATTTCGATATTCGGAGAGGCGACGTTCTTGACGACTGAGGAGAAGAGTGGGTGTGTCTTTTGCGAGCGGTACATCATCTAGAGGGTATGCGACCAAGCTGTTAGCGATGGCTCCCATGACCACCACCATATAGCAGAGGCACGGGGTAGAACGTACCGAGATGACCCGGCGCAGACCGTCCAACACTTCTCGTTCATTGCGACTGTCGAGGAGCTTCTTGACCTGGACGCGATCCAGAGGCTTGGAGGAGCCGCGTGCGCTGCGGGCGGCCGAGGCGGCATCGAGGGTGAGCTCGCGGGCTGGAATTGGAGGCATCCGCCTTGGTCAGTAGGAGGAGGACACGGTGATAGCCTCAAGAGGAGAGGACAAGCTTACCGCTCTCTAGAAGCGACGAGATCCTTGCTATTGATTCCATGTTGGGGCAGTGGCTGTCGTTTAGCGCACTGGGCTCTTTGTTCGGGCAGCGCGTTTGGGTTTGGTGATGATCAGTTGGAGTGTTACAATCCCGGTGTCGCGTGGAGCGCCCAGCAGGTGTGAGCTGTGACGTGATGCACGGACGGCCTTGGGGGGGGGGGGCTGTTGGTGGATTGGGAATAGTGGGGAATCCGGGGCAGGAGTCCCTTGCTGACCTTCAACCAAGCTGCGAGAACACTTCCCACGACATCTTGATGCTGTTTGTTCATCACATAGCACCCACCATACGGATACGTTATCGCCCTGAATGATGAATGATGAATGATGTATTACTCGATGATCAACACAACGAGGCATATAACATTATGATGTACGTTACTTTCAATCACTTGATGCTGCTCCTTCCTCGTCATATTTGTCGAAACCATAATAGTGCCTTGGATCGTTGAAGCGCACAAAGCTTCCGGGACCCTTCAACTTGTTTAAAGCCTCCATATCAGCATCCGATAGGTTGGGCCGTGCCACGGCCTCGAAGTTCTCCCGAATACGTTCAGCATTGAAGGACTTGGGTACTGCGCTGGTCCCGCGCTGTATAGCCCACTTCAACAGTATGGTTGCTAGTGTAGTACCGTGTTTTTCGGCCAACGTTTTCACCTGGAATCTGTCAGTGATGAGACCTAGGAAGGTGAGGGTGAAAGGCTACAGCATTGAAGAGAGGGCAAGTTGAGAAGGACAAGACGATATGAGGAACCAAAACGCACCATAGGATCATCCAAGGGCCCCGGTACATGCTTGTTGGGCGCCACCAGATCCACAGGTCGACCTCCGAGAGGCGAGTGTGCGGTGACGTGAATCCCTTGTTTCTGACAGAATGCTAACAATTCATTCTGAGGCAGGTATGGATGCAGTTCGACCTGGTTCACAGCCGGTTTGATGTCTGCTGTCTCGAGCAGCTTGCGAGTTTTGAGAATGTTGAAGTTGGAGATTCCTATACGAGGCCGTCAGTTGCGTGTCTTGCCATTTCACTTGGGGGTTTATTTTGCGCCCTTGCGAGGGAGCTGTCGTACCAATCAACCTCACCAACCCATTATGAACGAGGTTCTCCATTGCTTTCCAGGTCAGTCCGGTTTGAGAGGTGAGTTCCCTGTCGATCAAAGCCTGGTACACGTCAGCCTCGGTGTTTCCACGTTCATCGTAGCTTCACTTATCCAGCAGGTCGGTCACATCTAGTGGTCTCACCTTCCCACTTGCGTCTCGTGCAGTTTTCCAGCTCCGAGGTTCATCCCCTTCTCGATGGTATGCGACCGGAACTGTTCCAACAAGATGGAAAAGTTAAGCTCTGACTGGGGCAATACCTAATGTCGTGACTTGTCTAGTAGAATGGCTCACAATGCATCAGGTACAGGTCAACTAGGGATGCGGTTAGCTTCCTGCAATCTACGGACCAAGACAGTTGAACCTACGGTACTCCATGCCCAGATTTTCCAGCGACAGTTGCAATGCTCTCTCCACAGCTTCCGGCTGATGATGCGCATTGGAACTGTAATCTCGAGCGTTAACAATGTGTTTTTTTATCTTGGGTAAACGATGTACTCACAGCTTGGAAACCATGAAGAGATCCTCCCGGCGTCCGCTCCATTCTCTCACAGCCTCCCCTACTCCTCGTTCGGAAACCCCGAGCCACCATCATCTTTGTACATGGCCTTGGTGGACATCCTATCAAGACCTGGTCTTATCAAAGAAACGCAGCATACGTGAGCATCCCCAGTTCCATCTCTAGAGGTAGTCATCACAAACTTACCCATTGATTTCCATGAATTAACTTTTTAAATGCCTCAGTTTTGGCCCCGAGAGTGGCTGCCCTTGGAGCATGGCTTCGAAAACGTTCGCATCTGCACCTTTGGGTATGGTGCTGATTACGCGACGTCCAAAGAGTCAACGGCAACGATATTGGACTTTGCGAAAAGGCTAAATCTCGAAATTCTGACAGCATCGTATGCCGATGGCCCTATCATCTTCGTTGCCCATTCCATGGGTGGGTTGGTGGTAAAAAAAGGTACGATGAGTCCACCTTTCATTCCCTCCATGCTTTACCTGTCTCCCCAACGCGCATTCGACTAGCTCGTGTCAAGCAAATCTCTAACCTCACTACCATATCTTTGTCCTAGGCCTACATGATGGCCTTATTGGATACAAAGTACAAAAGGGTGTCCGACTGCATTGCCTCTGGGGCGGTGATTTTCCTGGGGACACCGCATCGCGGCTCCGAATCAGCAACTTCCGTTCACAGGATATTGTCGGCAACCATAGGCTCCAAAGCTTTTGTCCAGGAGCTCATGCGCAACTCCAGTACCCTGACCGCCATCAACGAAGATTTCCGCCATTATGCGGCCGATCTGTCAATCTGGTCCTTCCACGAGACCCAGCCCACAACATTCGCTCCTGGAAAATCTGCTGTAAGTCTATGCTATCTTTGGATCCGTCCATTCCCATATCCTCACACGGCTTCAGATTGTTGTAGAGCGGAGCTCGGCCATTCTAGAGTATGAAAACGAAATATCTTCTCACATCGATGCCGACCATCACACTATCTGCAAATTTGAGTCGCGTGAAGATCCTGGATACACCACGCTCAAGAACCTACTGGCTCATGTGATTCAGAGTACCACAGAACGCTCAGGTAAGATAAGATGCCACAAAAAACGGTGTGCAGATACTTACAACACATCAACACAGGCGAGCTCAACCCATTACCAGAGGCAGTGCAAAAGAGGGAGACATATTCGGCTTCAGTGGCTCCAGGTCAGTTGACAAGCAAACAGCTATCACAGATCTTAGGGTATGAGGATTCATCAGAGGAAGATCTGCTTTTCCAGAGAGACTCACGGGCTGTGTACGACTCTTGCTCCTGGATCTGCGAGAAAGAGGCGTACCAACAATGGCGGGAACCGGACAACTTGCCCAAAGTGCAATACCTATGGCTCAAGGGACAACCTGGAACAGGTAAATCAGTTCTCATGAGTTCCGTGGTCGACCAGCTCCAAGATGACAACCAGCTTTGCGTCTACTACTTCTTCCGAGAGAACAGCGCGGCAAAACGGACAACACGGTCCTTTCTCCTTTCGACCCTTGCGCAAATGGTGGCCTGTTTACCAGAGTTTTACAATCACCTGGCTGAGATGGACAAAGACCATGCGAAGATTCAATCGATGTCGACGCGACTTCTCTGGCAGAAGCTGTTCTTAGGGACACTTTTTATGATCAAACAACCTCAACCTTGGTTCTGGGTTATAGACGGGCTTGACGAGGCAGAGCGGCCCAGCGAGATCATTTCCCTTATCGGAAGAATACAGAACAACACGAAGTCACAAATTAAGATCATCATTGCCTCTCGAGCCGGTATGGAGCTTGAACGTGATTTCCAGAAACTCAAGTACGTGCTTAGTCCCTAGTGCTGATCTGCCATTGATTATCACTGCTAACTTGCGTTCTTTTTGCAGTTTAGGGGCGGCCCTTCAACAGGAAGTCTTGCAACCAGCCGATACGAAAGCCGACATGATCGCCTATGCCAGCCAACAACTAGAGCTTCTTCCTTTTGACGAGGATGAGCGGGAGGAAATCATCTCCCTTGTTGTCGAAAAGTCCCAGGGGATCTTCTTGTGGCTCAAGCTGGCGTTAGAGGAGATTTTGGCAACCGCTCACACCAAGGACGGCATCTATGAAGCACTTGAGGCAATGCCGATGGAAATGACCGATCTTTACGAACAGATCGTTGACGGAATGTCGAAAAGTCTTAGGCCGGCCAGCAAGCCACTCGCCAAAGCAATCCTTCAATACACGGTCTGTTCGATCCGGCCCCTCAAGTCCACGGAACTCCAGACTGTCCTCGAACCCCAGTTTGGTCGCCTTATCAACCTCAACTACACCATTAATCAGACATGCCCTCATCTCGTCAAGATGGAAGAGACCACATCCATCGTCAATCCCATCCACAGCACGCTGCGGGAGTTCTTGCTACAAGGAACCCATTCCGAGTTCGCTGTTGATGAAGCGGACGGCCACCAGAGCCTGTTCAAGATATGTCTATGCATATGGAAACATCGCAACTTTCGAAGTCCAATCAGCTCCTACATTACATATACTCCAAGGTCAATGGACAATGTGCATCCGCTTCTCCGATACTCTGCGCAGTCTTGGTTCAAACACATCGTACAGGCGCATGTTGATGATGACCTTATTGTGGCTCTTCGAGAGTTTCTCCGGACATCCATTCTCTCTTGGATAGAGGCTGTCGGCCTCATGAATCGTTTGTGGTATCTAAATGCAGCGGCCAAGGCCCTGGAGCACCTGGTCCAACAGTACCCACTACCACTTCGGGACAGACAACTCTTTTCAGGTTGGGCCATCGATCTTGTTCGCATCGTTCCAAAGTTTGCCAGAACATCGTGAGCCATCCCTTCTCCATTCACAAACTTATCCCGCCTTTCTGTCCGTCTCATACATGCATTGGCTCCCAATTTGGGCCACTTGGGGACGTGTCAGTTGTGGGAACCTCTATGAAGAAGTGGGATGACTGTCTGGCACATATTAATGTCGGCAAAGAGGGCGAAGTCTGCAAGAGCTTGGTATGTGGCGACGTCTACTTCGCAGTGGGTTTGTCAGACAAGAAAGGGATTGTTGTTGTATACACGATAGAGACATGCCAGGAGTCTCGCCGTATACAACACGGAGAGCGGGTAGGAGCCATCAAGATCGACACCGCGGGAGATCGGCTAGTCACGGGTGGTTCCAAATTCATCCTGGTCTGGGATATCAAGACCGGAGAGGTCGTGGTGAGACTGCTCAACAGGTCAGAGGCCCGATGCCAAGCTCTCGCCTTCCATCCACACAACAAAAAGCTCGTCTCGGTTTCGGCAGACAACATCAGCGTATGGGACCTCAAGCGACGTGACAGGAGGAAGATGCGTATATCGAAGCCCGGTGGCGAGAGTCAGAGACGGCACCGTGGAGCGCCATGGGGAGTTTCTATCGACAGCGAGTGCCAAAGAGTTGCCCTTGCGTACAAAGGATGGCCTTTAGAAGTATGGGACATTGATACCGGCAAGCTACTCACCACGTTTCCCACAAGGAACCCTTTGAATGCGTGCTTCAATCCCTCTGGCCACGAGGTATATAGTGTCAACGAAGATGGAACAATTACACGCTTCTGGCTGAACGAAGGGCAACCCCATGGCAGTGACACCAATACCCGGACTCAAACCCTTACGTGCAACGCAAACGGAACGTTGATTGCTGGTGCTGATGGCGACGGTTGCATTCGAATCTTTTCGAGCGACAGTTTTGAACTCCTCTATAGCATGGACAAGTACGACGAACCGGTCACTGCCATGGCTTTCAATCCTGCCGGGGATCGCTTGTACGACATCCGTGCATCGGACTGCAACATCTGGGTTCCGGAGGTACTCTTGATTAACGTCCGTGACAACGAGTCCAGCAGCGAAGAGTCGGAAACCATTCGCCTACCGATCACCACCTCACTTGAATCTGCGAGGGCCATACACGAGATTACAGTGATTACGACTGACAAGGCGGGAGACTTCGTATGTTGTGGAAAGAGCAATGGGAGGATCTCAATATACGATACGAAGACTGGCAAGGAGCTCCAGGAGATCTACAAACATGAACGGGTGCACGTCAGCGCTGTTGTTTGGTCTTCAGACGCCCAGGGGCAGCTTATTGCCTCCGGCGATACTTCAGGGAGGATTATGATAGTTTCGCTCCGCCAACTTACACCAAAAAGCTGGGCTTGCCAGGTTAGAGTCGACTTCCGACTGGACCGCTGGGTGGATGGTGGAGTTCGACAACTGATTTTCAACGATGATGGAACTCGTTTACTGGTGTCTGCGCAGAACACCAGCAGCTTGTGGAAAATTCCCGATGGATCAATGCTAGGAGAGAGACGGATCCTAGGGAAGAAGGGTGATCCGGCCTGGGTTACTCATCCACACAACCGCCACCAACTCGTCATGATAGGCCCGGATGTAGCAGGATTATACGGTTGGGAAGACTTTGAAGAGCTCACCACGCCCCAGCAAGGGATCCAGTTGATTCAAGACCAGGTGCATCTAGGAAACCCTTGGCAGCTACAGGACGACTACCTGAGGGCACGCGTACATGTGACTCAAGACAAGCGACACTTCGTCACTACTGTATCGGCCCCGTCTAGACGGTCGTCATCTGCAAAAGTCAGCTTCTGGCCAGTCAGCGGCTTCGGGGAAGGGCACACTCATGTGCAAGAGCTTTACAACCTCAATGATGTCCACATACACAGCCTCGCTGGTGTTTATCAAAACCGCGCCGTCTTTCTGGATGGAGATTTGTGGGTGTGCACGATGGCGGCGCAGTCCGATAACGAGAGGACGGAGGAAGGACTCGGATTGCACTTCTATGTGTCTACAGATTGGCTGAATACCAGCGAAGAAGAGCCATCCATTGTCACTCCTGTGGGCGACTTTGTGTACGCGAAGAGAGGCAAGCTGGTGGTGGTGCAACGGGGTATGAAGTGCAAACAGGATCTCAAGAGCAACTCACCATCACTTTTCTAACTTTTCTAGCAATAGGCACATACCATAGAATGAACATCGGTTTAGTTTGAGGGGAAGTTTGAGGGGAGTGGAAGAGCTGAATTCAGCGTATTTTTTTTGGCAGTTTGCGACGAGCTACATATGTACATTACATAGTTTGCATGAGCGCGAAGAACTCAAGACCGGGAATCCCGTCAGATACGAGTACAAGACTAGCATCATACCATATACAGTCCATCAAGGTTGTTAGTGAACGCTGACAGTAAGCCCCTATCGGGCAGAATCCACATTCTAACAGATTCACTACCCCTGGAATCCAATACAAATTAGTGCACCGCAACCCCTGTCCTAAAATGACGACTGTTAGCACATGAGATTGGATGAAAGTCATCCACCGAGGCCCGATCGCAACGCGTCCTCTTTGCGACAGCTTCCGTTCATTCTCCCAACAGTCACGAAAGTGCATCCCGCCCGCATCACCGGGCACAACACCCAAAGCCTCGTCAAGATGGCCGATCCATCAAGAATGCCAGCACCAAAACCGACGACGCCCCTCTATCAACAAGCAATCCAGCTAGCGTTCGACGTCGCCAACGGTCGCCATGCTCTCTCGAAGCTCATCCCGCCAGCTCTCTTCCTGGCCGATGCGCTCCTCTGCGGGCTGGTCATTTGGAAAGTGCCTTGTACGTATTAGTAACCGGTGCCGCGCGCGGGCTGGACTATAAGCTGCCCCTGTTCATATGCTGACGATCGCAAATTACCTTCACGCCTACAGACACCGAAATCGACTGGACGGCCTACATGGAGCAAGTCTCCCAGATCCTCTCGGGCGAGCGCGATTACACCAAGATCCGCGGCGGCACCGGCCCTCTCGTCTACCCCGCTGCGCACGTCTACATCTACACCGGATTATACCACTTGACGGATGAGGGGACGAATATCTTGCTGGCGCAACAGTTGTTTGCAGGGCTCTATATGGTTACGCTAGCGGTTGTGATGGGGAGTTACTGGCAGGCCAAGGCAAGTAAACATCTACAAATGGGTTTGCGACAAGGCTGGATGGACGACAACAATAGCTAACAGAGTGAAATGAAACAAAACAGGCACCACCATACCTCTTCCCGCTCCTGATCCTCTCGAAACGGCTACACAGCATCTTCGTCTTGCGCTGCTTCAACGACTGCTTCGCCGTTCTGTTCCTCTGGCTCGCCATCTTCTTCCTCCAGCGGCGCAACTGGCAAGTCGGCGCATTACTCTACACACTCGGCCTAGGCGTCAAAATGACCCTACTGCTCTCCTTACCAGCCGTCGGCATCGTCCTCTTCCTCGGCAGCGGCAGCTTTGTCACCACCCTACTACTCGTGGCAACAATGATTCTAGCCCAGGTCCTCATCGGCGTTCCCTTCCTGGCGCACTACCCGACGGAATACCTCTCGCGCGCCTTCGAGTTCTCCCGGCAGTTCTTCTTCAAGTGGACCGTCAACTGGCGCTTCGTCGGCGAGGAAGCCTTTCTCAGCAAGGGGTTCGCGCTCACGCTGCTCGCTCTGCACGTTGCAGTTTTGGGAATATTCGTCACCACCCGCTGGATCAAACCTGCGCGCAAGTCTCTTGTTCAGCTAATCTCTCCTCTCCTCTTTGCGGGTAGGCCGCCGCTAACTGGCCCCGAACACCGCGCTGCGGCACGGGATGTGACTCCGAAGTATATCCTGACCACGATCCTGTCTGCCAATGCTGTCGGCCTCCTCTTTGCTCGGTCCCTCCACTACCAGTTCTATGCCTATGTCGCTTGGTCGACTCCGTTCCTCCTCTGGCGCGCGGGGTTGCACCCTGTTTTGGTGTACCTGCTGTGGGCGGTGCAGGAGTGGGCGTGGAATGTGTTTCCTAGTACGCCGGTGAGCTCGGCGGTGGTAGTGGGTGTGTTGGGTGTCACGGTCGCGGGAGTCTGGTTCGGCGCACGGGAGGAGTGGGAGCCTGGGACGAAGTCGTCGTCTGTAAAGAAGGAGGAGGCGGCGATGCGGTGATGTATTTTTGCTTGCTTCTCTGATCTTTCTGGTTGGAGTATAATGTGATTCTTTGGGTATCTCTGTGGTATCTCTCTGTTCTCCGTTTGTCTGCTTCACTCGTACTCTTCGTCTTCCGAGTCGCTAGGCGGGAGCTTTCCAACAGTCGATTCCTCTTCGTCTTCGCTTTCGTCGTAAGTTTGTCTGACAAACTGCTTGGGCCTGTGTTTTTGTCCGTGCGTTAGCCTTTTGCGTTCCCTGCAATTATACTTCCAGGCAACTTTTCAACATACCAATAAGCCTCCTTCCTCCAAGCCTTCTCGTCCCTTACAATGTTGATGATCTCCCCAACAACCTTGCTACCAGTCTTGCTGCGCTCCTCCATGGAACCCAGGTCGACCAAGACATAACCGCCGCGCTTGATCCAGATGGTGTTGCGGAAGCGCGACTCGAGTTCGACGAGGATGGTCTTCTTGTTGGGCAGCTCGCAGACGTAGTTGCTGTTGCCCTCGGCCTTGATGACGCGCGCAATGGATTGCGAATCGGTAAGTTGGTCGGGAGGGGTCAGAGACTCCTGGTCGGCGGCGTGAGCGTGGCGTCTTGGCTTGCCCATGGTTGCGGTTGGCTCTGTGTAGTTGAGATGTTTGGGAAGTCGTGGAAGATTTCGGGAAGGAGGAGTTTTAGATGTGGGAAAGGGAAGCAAAAATTCCAAAAGCAAAAGAATGGCCGATGAAATCATGGACTTTGGGAACTTTTGGAATTTGGAGAAAAGAGTGGGGTAAGCTCGGTACATGCATATTCTCGTCCATTGTAAATTACCATTCCGGTCCGATACCTTATCCCATCTTGATGTCCTCTACAGAGGCAACATGTCATCAAGGTATCTTTCAAGGCTTGAGAAAGCTATGAATGGCACGTATCCACCAAACTGTCTTCTTTGCCGAAATATCTTTGATTGTTTTAGGCTTCCTCGAAGCAAAATGTCAATGGTTACAAAACATTACCGTCACGGCCATATTCTAAATGTCGATCGCCTGTTCACAAACCGGGGATCGGCGCCCTAACACGCAGCAGTGGGTAGAACCCGCCAAAACGGTCCACTAACATCGGGACACGGCCGCCAGGTTTCAGGGCTTTCGGGGTCGGAGGCACCGTGCCGATGGGGTCCAACCCTGTGAAATTCTGTCCACTGCCGCTTGCTGTGCCGTTGGGCCGCGGGCCCAGTACCGGGGGAGGTTCTGTTGGGATCGCCCCGCGCGCCGAGTCACTCCTTTGTTATCCGGGCGGACCTCCTCCGGTCCTTCACTTCACTTGACTTTGACTTCACTTCACTTCAGTTCACTTCACTTCACTTCACTTCACTTCCTCGCAAGCTTACCTCCTTTTATACCTCTCCCATTTTCAGTTCTCTCACCCAAATCAGCAACCACCCAATTTCAAACCCAAACACCGTCAACAATGGGCTCCAGCGACCAGTCATCCCCCTCCTTGCCAGCCATGGCCACCAACCCCAAATTCATCTTCTTCACCGACTTCGACGGCACCATCACGCAGCAAGACAGCAACGACTTCATGACCGACAACCTGGGGTTCGGCCCGGCGCTGCGCAAGAAGGGGAACGAGGACGTGCTGTTCGGCCACCGCGACTTCCGCGACAGCTTCCAGGAGATGCTGGACAGCATCAGCACGCCCTTTGACAAGTGCATCGAGACTTTGTTGCAGAACATCACCTTGGACGCCGGCTTTAAGGAGTTCTTCCACTGGGCCAAGGAGAACAATATGCCGATCGTTATCTTGAGCGGTGGCATGGAGCCCGTGATCAGGGCGCTGTTGGCTCACTTTTTGGGTAAAGAGGAGGCGGATAGTCTGCAGATTGTTAGCAACCAGGTTGTTGTTAGGGAGGGCAAGAAGAGTCTGAATGAGGAGGGAGGGTGGATGATTACTTTCCATGATGACAGGTTTGTTGCTGCTCCTCGTTTTGAAAGTAGTAGTAGTAGTAGTGGTTTTGGACGGCGGATGCTGATTTAGTGTAAACAAACAAGTGGATTTGGCCACGACAAGTCCCTCGAGATCCGCCCCTACGCCAACTTGCCCGCTGGCCAAAGGCCAACCCTCTTCTATGCCGGCGATGGCGTCTCGGATCTCTCAGCTGCCAAGGAAACTGATCTTCTCTTTGCGAAGGCCGGAAAGGGTATGTTATGCGGCTGTAATCACAATTACCAATAACACCTTACTAACATGTTCCACGCAGATCTCATCACCTACTGCGAAAATGAGGGCGTGCCTTTCACCACGTTCCACGACTTTACCGAGATCCTCGCGGTGGTCAAGGACATTGCTGCGGGCAAGCTGACTGTTAAGGAGGCTGCTGTTGGCAGGAAGTGAGTGAGGTCGTGAGCTAGGCTTATAATGAGCGTTTGCCATATCTGTTTTGTTCCCTCTCTCTCTAGGCTTGGAGTTTCTGGACACTGCATAGACTGGGTACAGGAGTGATAGGACTGGTTAGTAGCAGGCTACTAGTAGTCATTCTGGGATTTCCTCCTCTTAGAAGGAAAGAAGAAAGAAGCGAGCGGTCTTTCCTCGTCATGATATAGACAATAGACGTATAAACCATCAGTATGTATCCTCGCGAGAAATACTTGTGTGGGTGATGTATTTCTAGGCAGTCCACAAGGCTCTCCCCCCCTCGGCGTAGGGAACCTTGACCGGCCGGGGCTGAGAAACCCTTGCAGGAGGCAGCATATGTTGTGTACCACGGACGTCGTTGCCTGTCATTTCCCGGGGATGAGAGGCAGTTGATGGGACCCCCCAGCTTTTCGGGTCTCCGAATCCATGGATTGGAGTATATTGGACGGGGCTGTGAAGGCCCTAGCAAGATATCGTACGCATGGTGTAGAGGCAGGCAACCTTCGTATATCGGTTCGGGTGGTATACAAATGATTGGCCGCATTTCGAGTCTTCTTTCACATACGCGGATACAAGTATACGAACCAAGGCCCGTTACACTGCGTATGGAGTTGGTGACACATGATAGAAAACATTCCATAGTCCAGGCTAGGCGGGAAAGATCACTCTAATGATGACCCGACTCCCGAGAGCTGACCGTTATTCCCTAGTTTTACCGGTCAACATGTCAACCGTATCTATTCACACTCGACGGCATCATGTTGTGCCATCTCCCCAGTCATATGCTTCCATCAGCTAGATCTGCAACCTCGGAAGTACTCGATGAGGTCGTAGCAACGCAGACCGACCTAATAGTTCCCCAATACTACTACCGCACCTCACGTCCAGTGGCCAATTGAGACTTGACAAGGCTATCGCTTACACAGGCGAAGCATTTCTTGTCTGCATGTATACGAGACCTGAATAAGCGACTGCTGCCCCGACATTGTCAGATCAACGTTCCAGAACAAGCGGGGCAGCAATGTAGACAGGCCAAGGGAGCTCAGAAGAGCCGAGTAAACAACAAAGCAAGCCCAGAATCAAACATACAAGGTTCTCCTCCTGTTACCGAAAGGCGGGGAAAACTGAAAGGCGAACGGCACGATCTATATCATGCCGCTGACGGTGGGTATATCGTTTTTATATGCCCCATGGGGAAGCACAGCGCAGGGGCGTGAGTTGGCCGTTTGACAAACATACCATTCTTACCGTTGTGAGAAGGTTCTATAAAGCGAGCGTGCCCGGGCATCCGACTTGGTTTTCTCATGTTGGGTGCAACTTCTTTCCTCGTATACCCTCTTTCAGTTACCCATCAGCAACATGAGACTCTTCCTCAGCCTTACGGCCCTCATCACGACCGCTACCGCTTGCACGATCCCAGGCACACCCCTCTCCAACAACATCGCCAGTGATTTCCGAGTCCAAGTCCAAAATGCCTCCTACCCCGCAGTCCATAACAAGTATATGAACCTGATGGTCTCTGGAGGTGGTGACCGGCACCTGTTTGTCGGAGGTTCGCCACAAGCGGGCGACACCACTACCAACCTGCGTCTCATCAATGGGTCGATCAATTGGGTCTCCATTAACGCTGTCATTGGCGGCGAGGTAAGTTTGTTGCAGTTCCCGTGGTGGAGACACCTGTCCGAGTGTATGAAGTTGACTTGTTCTCCCAACGCAGGAATCCACCATCGACGACACTGTCAAGATGTTCATGACGGAACGCGGTGACCCGAGAGCCCTCTTCCAGCCGACGTATGCTTGCAACCCGGACACCGACACGTTGCAGACCGAGCTGCGGTTCGTGGGGAAGCAGAATGCGACGCCCGGAGGCTGGATTTGCGTGCGGCCTTCGTTCGATGGTAGTCATGAGTTTCGGTATTATCCTCCGGGGAACACCAGTAAGTTTCGTGGCCTGTCCAACTCCATCTTCGGGGTGTCTGTGTATTGGATGGTGGGTTAACCCAGGAACAACAGAGAATGATCCGAACCGATTCTGCATCAAAGTAACTTTGGTCGCCGTTCCCACGTAAAACAGATATTTATCAATGGCATCCAGAAGGATGACAGGGATGAGTTGTGTGTGAAGCTCAGTTGAGGATCCGCGAAGCTGGATGGAACAGGACGAAAGAGGAGATGGTTGCCCTAGCGATGAGCCTGAATGTTTTGTTTACCCCTGAGGGGATCCACATCCAGCGACTGGAGGTTCAGCCACACTGGTCATGGTGTTGATGTTTGATCTTGTCCCGTTCGAGTTTCGGCCTGGAGGTTAGTAGAAAATGCCATGAATCCTATCAGGGCACATTATCAATCCAACCTCCCATGACGTCCGCGAGGTATAGAATGAGCAATGGTAAGGATGTCTGGATGCACGTGTGTGACTGAAGCGCAGGTATCCGAGACCCCAAAATCTCAGCCCTGAAACGGCCGACAGGATGGTGTTCTGGATGACTGCGCCACAGACTGCAAGATAAAGCAGCTAAGGCGCGAGCGGATAGTGCTTATCGCGTGCAATGACGTGCGTTGATGAAGAGCTGACAGGACCAAGACAATGTTGCAGCCTTGTCGATTGATGGAGGGACTGAGACAATATGACAGCGATGAGTGAAGAGATCTTCGACCGAGTTGTTGGCGACAGCGATTTGTAAGAATGGAATGAAGAGGACATCAAGTTAAGATTTGGATTTCCTAGTTTGTTTGAGAACGAGAGGGGAAAGAGTGCGAAATCGGAGTTGGACATTTCCATTGCAATTGGTAGATGGCGGGGTCAATAGGGTCCCCCCACATCAAAGATGTCGCGACCTCCTCAGTCAGCTAAGCGAAGCTGGAGTCCCCGGCAAAGGTTCCCGTTCGCGTCATCGGCGGGACCTGGCAAATGGAGACTTTCTTACATCATCAAGGGACATCGAGAAGGCCCCACCACAATTCATAAGCTCCCGTAAGCTTTTGCGCCAAGTGGGCAAGAGCAGCCAAGAGCTTCCCATGTGCCGCCTTCCCTTTGCGTGATTGTACCGTACCGTTTCTTTGGCAGCCATCGGTAGTGGTGGTCTCGTAAAAAAAGCTCAGCCTTCTGTTTTGCGATTTTACCGTAAAAAACCCCTCTTCCCCCTCCCTTCCCAAATCTACTACACCATGTTCTCCTCCAGATTCATCAGACCTGCCGTCGCCAGAGCTACTCCTCGCCCCATCATCACCAATACCCCTTCAATCGCTTCCCGCTTCTTCACCACTTCGTCGCCCAGAATGACTGTCCACATCTTTGAGACGTGAGTTTTATATTGCCCCCCCTCTCTCTCTCCCTTTCGAGGCTGTGATGGAAGCTATCGCGGCGCAATGCTTGCTGCCGTTGCTTGTGCTGCTGCTGCTTGCGCCGGCGCATCCCCGTCTACTAATGTGCCCAATGACTGACAATAACTCGTATTACACAACAGCACCGGCGAGTTCAAGGAGGCCATTGCCAAGAACCCCATCGTCATCGTCGACGCTTTCGCTGTCTGGTGCGGTCCTTGCAAGGCTATCGCTCCCCAGGTCGCCAAGTATGTTCCCCTTGAATTCCCTCGACCCCAGTAGTCCCAGCCCTGGCTTTGTGCTCTTTCAGCATCCACAACATACTTCCCACCCATCTCTTCCCTGATACACAACGCGCGAACGCAACGAATTTCCCATCTCCGTACATATAAAACAGTTAGCTAACTGCTTACCCTTTCCTCCTACTAAAGGTGGTCCGAGGACGAGAAGTTCAAGGACAAGATCTACTTCGCCAAGTTCGACGTCGACCATCTTCCCGACCTCGCCCAGGAGCTTGGCATCCGCGCCATGCCCACCTTCATTATCTTCAAGGACGGCGAGAAGGTTGGCGATGTCGTCGGTGCCAACCCCGCTGCTATCCTCGCGGCCCTCAACAAGCAGGTTGACTAAGCGCGGGAAAGAGATATATATATAACGGGATGGAATATGACATGATACCTAGAGATAGATAGGGCATGAAAAGGTCTTGAAAGCAACTGGATATGGTTCTGTGTGAGCGTACTCAATGCGCGCATGTGTGGAGGGCTGGGATGACCGGCTGTTTGCCCAGGTAGGCTGTGGTTAAGAGTTGTCAAGGCTATGCTATGCGATTGTAACTTACCCCAGGATTACAACTCGACGAGGTTCCCGATACGAGAATGAGGAAGGCCGACAACTGGATCCAAATCGCAACGTACGTATCAAGCCTACTTCCCCAAAGTCGTCAACTGAACCAGACTCGGCGTCCTCCTCAACTGCCTCACATCCCCTTCAAATCCAAATCCATACACCGTCCGTCCTCCCATAAATCCGTCTCCCACATCCAACCGACCATCACCACCGTAACCTCCACCTCCTCCCGAAGCATCAACAACCCCATATCCCATCCTCCACCCCTTAACTTCCTCTGGCACCGTACCATCACCCCCAACTGACACCCCAGTACCATCAGTCCCATCCGTCCACCTCACCCTTCCCAGGCCACTTCCCCTCGTCGCCGCCACAATGCTCGAAAACTTCGTATCCCTCACCACGCCTCCATTCTCTCTGAGCGCCAACGCGCCCACCACCACCCCCGCCACTGCGAGCGCAATCGAAATGGAGTACACGATCCACAACAACCTCGCATTAAACTTATACACCAACGCCATCCGAAACTTTGTACACGGATACAGTAACCCCTTTTCTTCCTCAGTCATCATCGGCCTCTTACTATTATAGTCCGGACCATTAAAGGTAACACCACTCTGCTCGCCCGGTCTTGCCGCCCACACCACGCTCGCAAACTGCGGGTTTCCCAGCACCGACAGGATGATGTCCTCGTAAAACTTTTGGATCCGGCGCTGGATGTCCGGAAACGGGAAATAATTGTTGCCGTAGTCGAGCAGCCGAGAGGTCTGGATGGCTTTGGTGTTGGCGATGGGGTTGACGAGGTTTTCGCGGTCGTCGCCGATGCCGACCGTGCCGTTGATTTGGTCGCGGAGCATGAACCCCAACGAGTGGTAGGCGGCTGTGCGCCGGTATGAGGCAACGGAGGTGGGGAGGATGTAGTTGGAGATGGGAACGGCGGTGACGTTATCGGCTGTGCCGTCGTTGGCGTCGATGTGTGGGAGGTAAGTCGTGTTAATCACGGGGCGGAGGTACGTCACGTTCGTCATGGTGGTGGACTGGGCGGCGTCGGTGTAGTTGATGCGAACGGTGTAGTTGGATTCGTAGTTCTCGCAGGCGAAGATGTGAGGGATGAAGGCGGTGGACCAGGCTGGGTCGGAGGGGCTGGAGGGAACCGGCTTGGTGTCATCGGCGAGGGTGACGTAGCCGAGCCAGATGACAGGTTCTGTGCGGAAGGCTCCCAAGTGTTTGGGAAAAGGCGATTTCATTGTTGGTCGGCCGCCGATGCCGACTTCTTTCATTTGCGTGGTGGAGTATTCGCCGCCGCTGGTGAAGGCGTAGTATGTGAACTTCCCTTTGGGGAGGAGGACGTCCATGTTGAAAGGCGGCGCGATGGTGCCGGACTCTTGCGTTAGGTTGGTCACTTTGGAATCGACTCCGCTGCCGAGGTCGGTACACTTGTAGGCTGGGGCAATGAATTGGATCTCGAAAGAGCAGTTCCAGCCGCTCCCGCAGGTCTCGATTGGTGCATTCTTTCTCATGACGGCTTCTTCGAGAAAGGAGCCGATAGTGGCTGTGTTCTGAAAACTAGGGTTGGGTGCGGTGTAGTAGTCGAACCATCCGGGATCGTCTTTCTCTGGTTCCTTGGTAGTGTTCCATAGAGACAGAGGGATCTCAAACAGGCGGTCGATCTTGGGAGGTTTCCTCCATTCGTAAGTCTCTTCGAAAGTGAAGTTGAGCGTGCGAACTCCTGGGCACATCTCGGGGGTCTGGACCCTCCTCGGAACGACGAGAAGCGTGTTGGAAGTAAGGACTACCACGAGCGGTGCCAGCCTTGCGCATGTATCTGTAAGCATCCCTTCGGGACTGTTCCGCTAACGGAGTGATGTAAGGGGAGAAAACCTACCAGACGTATGCCGCCAGCAGCGCCGCCACCTTTGCACTTTGGACCATCTCCCAACTCATCACAGCCTGTGAGTCTTCCGTAGCCGAGAACAAGGCATCCAGAGCGCCGACAGTCATGAACCGTTTCCGAACCGTTGTCCACACCCGCTGTCGGAAGGCCACGATGACCGCAGCACTTAACCCGGCTTTCGCTCCGAATGCCAACATCGTTCCATACCGCATCATCTTGATTTGGTTCGTAGCCGGCCGTCCGTCGAGAGACCAGTAGTAGAAGTGATGGGAAGCCGCACACGCCACGCCAAAGAGGAGACAGAGGTACATATTCCACGATTTCCTCCATCGCCTTGGCCAGCAGGCGCAACAGCTGGAGCGCCTTTTGTCGGGCCAGTCGACCTGTTGAACTCATAATGACAGGAGGAGAGCCTAGGATTTGTGAACTCAAGGGGACAGTTGAAAAGTTGACTGCTTGAGAGGTCCCTTTGGTCTGCTGTTGCCAGAGGTTCTCATGTAAGAGTTTGGTCTGTGAATCGTCATGTCGCTGGTAGATCGAACCAGGAGGAACCAGTGAGGCATCTGGGTAAGGAGAAACAGGTTTACCGTAGTCGTAGATACTATTTGGTGCAGTGACTCCATCACCGTATCCGGAGTGATATTGGCTGATGTTACCATAAGCTGCCTGCCCGCTCTCTGGTCGGTGCTCGTGGTGAGAAGAGTAATGATTTCCGGCTTCGTTGGGCTTGGGACTGCCTCGTGTGGAAATGTGAGGATTCGAAGCCCACTCCCTGAAGGAATGGACCTCATCCTGCCCCGGTGTATTCGGCATTCTCAGTGAAACAATTGAGTCGGAGATGAGTGTCACTGGGATATTGTCATCCACCTTCGGTCTGCATGATGTTAATGTTGAGCAAATGTTGGGCAAGAACAGACCAGACACTCGCAGAGCTGATGATGATCACTCGTATAAAACGAGCCTTCTATAATTGGAAGAATGAAGACATCCGAAGATGTTCAAGGTCTGGTTTCCCCAGATCAACAAAGTATGAGCAGAAATGGGTGAGACGAAGAGAGCTCCAGTGCTTTAGTCCCGTCAGCCTTCGGCAGTGAGATTTTTGCTGGCGGGACGCACACAATAACGGTTCCCAGCTGAACGGCGGGGGGTTACGCGGCTTGTCCGCTGCAGCCTAGGTATCCTTAATAGCCATATCTGGGTGAGATATTAGGGCGAAGCCATTGGCGCAGTTTAGAGATTGGTTGCGCCGTCCCGTTCCGGCTGGGTCGAGATTGTTGGAATCCGGACCTGTCGAATGGCATATCGATCATCACTGTCGCCGTGGCTGGGTGGCACAGGGAGAATGGTGGTGTAGAGCCAATCTTGCTGAGTTAGGAGATGACTGGTCTGGAATGAATATGTACGGCGATCCCGCTCATGAACCAATCGTACTGACGATGGACGCCCCAAGTCCGAGGTCTTGGTTGTCAAAGGGAAGGTTGCAGTTTGGCATGTTCGCGTGTGTATCTCGAACGTGGACTTCGTCGGAGCTAGTAACCAAAGAGATGGATGTCAGGGGAAAGAGTCCAAATTCCAGCGTGTTCAGCCCTACGCACGCCAACGAACATGCACCAAGGAGGCGTGACAGTCACACTGTCGAGGCACCGATATCGCCATGCTGGCTGGAAATCCGAAACGGGGACGTCATGATGACTTGGAATATCATGTTGTGCCACTCCCGTGTACGTACGTCCCTCTAGGATCTGAAAGTCAAGCAGTCAGAATGGAGTCAAAATCAAAAAGACAAAAAGAGATGACACATCGCCAAGCAGGCCAAGAAGGGGAAGGGGTGAGGTTAAAGTTCGGGCGGGGTTCACGCTCGGAACGCGGGGACATTGGCGCTGAGACGGACCGTGGCGGGAGCGTTCCGCAACCGGCAACCCGAGCGGTTAGAGTTGCCCGTAGCGGAGTCCGCTAGGGCGCGCCCTTTGATGGCCCACGGGGGCTAGACCCCTTCACGGCAAGGACCATCAGTGGATGCTACAGCGTGCGGGGACAACCTGGAGCTCCCTTCGGTCAAATAGGCCGAGACCATTTTCCCTCGTATTTGTTCCCCGAAAAGTCCCAAAATTTCTGTTCAGGTCATGGACTGGACGACCTGCGTTGAACTTTTGGTCCCTGGATCGTCGCTGCGAGGAATCGTCGACCAACATGCCCCTGCCGTGGGACCGTTCGACTCACGCCGAGGACGGGAGGGTGACCGGCCGATGTGGATTCCACTATGTAAAAGATAAGAGACGGGATCGGGATCCCTTTGCTGATTTGGGGTCTGATCATGTTCATATGATTCACAAAAACTCAAGAGATACCGACACAACCCGCAAGAGAAAAAAGTAGCTCATATAAAGGCTGAATAGGCCTGTTGCGGGTTTTCCTTTTTATTGGCAACCTCTGTGACATTTCATACTCTCCGTTGATCTCAGACCTGCCTGTCAACATTCACCCACCATGTCCACGATTGTTGTTATTGGGTATGTCTCACTCACCACCCCCGGTATCGGCCATCAATATCAAATCACGAAAAAGACTTCAAGTTACCCGAGACATCACAAACCAGACACACACAATCGTCTGACAACCACTCTTTGTCTGTCCTGATTGCAACCACTAACCCAATGACCTCCTTCTTCACAATAGCGCCGGCGTAAGCGGCCTCACCTGCGCCCTCCAACTAGCCAAGCAGGGAGGAAACACCATCACCGTCGTAGCCAAGCACATGCCCGGCGACTATGACCCGGAATATACCTCCCCCTTCGCGGGCGCCAACGTCCTGCCCATGGCTCTCGAGTACAACCGCTGGGAAGGCGAGACCTGGCCCGTCCTCAAGACCCTCGCCGAGACCGTTCCCGAAGCCGGCATCCATTTCCAGAAATCCGTGCTCTACCGGCGGGCGAAAGACGAAGCGGCCGCCTTCGCGGGTCCCCTCTCCGACGGCCTTTTTCTGCGCAACCCGTGGTTCAAAGACCTAATGCCCGACTACGTCGACTTGCCGGCCTCCGAGTTGCCGGAGGGCATGTCCTCCGCCTCGTCGTTTACTTCGGTCTGCATCAACACGGCTATCTACCTGCCTTGGCTCGTCGGCCAGTGCAGGGCGCGGGGCGTCGTGTTCAAGCGGGCTGTGCTTAAGCACATTTCTGATGCGGAGAAGTTGAGCCACAACGGTCGCAAGCCGGATATTATTATTAATGCTACGGGCTTGTTGAGCTGTCGGTTGGGTGGCGTGATGGACAAGAAAGTCATCCCCGCCAGAGGGCAGGTGGTGGTTGTCCGTAACGAGACCGGAGGAAATATGGTGTGCACGAGCGGGACGGACGATGGGAATGATGATGAGCTGTGCTATATCATGCAAAGAGCGGCGGGCGGAGGGACCATTCTGGGCGGGACTTATATGAAGTGCAACTGGGACGGCGTGCCGGATCCGAATGTTGCGAACAGGATCATGAAGCGCGCCGTGGAGGCGTGTCCGTCGTTGACGGGCGGGAAGGGCATCGAGGCGCTGGATGTGATTAGACATGCCGTGGGACTGAGGCCGTACAGAGAGGGAGGTGTGAGGATCGAGAAGGAGAAGATTGATGGGACGTGGGTGGTGCATAACTATGGACATGGCGGGTGGGGATATCAGGGCAGCTGGGGGTGTGCGTTTAGGGTCCAGGAGTTGGTGGATGAGATTAAGAGCGAGTTAAAGGTTGGATCTAAGCTGTAGAGAAAGACTGTGTTAATTGGAAAATAATGATGCCTTGAAGCTGGGATAGCGACATGATGGGAATTATTTCTTGCTCCTTGTTGGTGACTGTGGCTTTGCGTCTCCGTTGTGAACTTATCATACTTCACAATTCGGAATGTTCATGTTTGGCAAGATCACGTAATCAACTTTTATAGTGGGATCTGTCAGAACAGAAGCGTGAACAGGTGTTACGAGTCCCTATTAGGAGTTGTCAGACTGAGCAGAAGGTTGTGCCTTGTGGAGGTAGTTGTCTGGTTTCGTGAATTCCGTAGATAAACAACTGACTTGTCAGACACACTAAACACATCGCTTCCATTGAGTATTCGTGGAATGGGGTACGAAAAACCACCCGGGAAGACACATCACACTCAATGATGGCCAAAGATTCTAGCGTAGAGAATTCATCAGCATGGCTAATACAACGAGGAGGGTAGATAAGAAACATGGGACACAGGTCACAGTGTGCATCGATGAACAGTCAAAGTTGAAGCAGACAGTCTGATATTTCATGCCAGTATCTACTCTTTTCCATCCAACCACCTATAGACAACCGAGAAGTCTCTGCCCTTGCATCGCTCTTCTGACTCGGCAGTCTCGTACACCTCTGAAGCCTTGTCCGCCAGCACAAGCTTAGCGTCGGCCTCCTTTGCTGCTAGAATGGCCAGCCTCAAGTCCTTGCGCATGAGTCCTATTCCGAAACCACCGGAGTAGTCTCTGTTGGCTGGGGCAGTCTCTACGACGCCGGGCACAGGATTGTTGACTTCACTGGGCCAGCACTTTCCAGTGCTGACATTGATCACGCTGGCGAGCACCTTCGGATCAAGGCCCCATCGGGCACCCAGGTTCATGGCCTCCGCGGTAGCAATATTCTCAATCGCCAGCAGGTAGTTGTTGGCAAGCTTCGCCGCCAAACCCGCTCCCTGAGGACCGCAGTGCAACACCCGCTTGCCCATGCGCTGCAGGACGATCTCAGACCTGGCAACAAGGGACTTGGGCGCACCAAGCATGAACGTCAACGTGCCTGCGGTAGCTCCAACGACACCACCTGACATGGGGGCATCGACGAAGTGACCCTTTCCGTTAGGGAGGGCCTTCTCTACAGCGGCGGCAACCTCACGAGAGGAGGTAGGGTCGATGGTCGAGCAGTCAATGAACAAACGAGGACCAGGTCGGGAAGGTAGGTCCGACTTAAGGATCGACTCGTATGTTGCCTTGACGTGCTGAGGTTCGGGTAGGCATGTTACAACCGTGTCCTATGTCAGAGATTCGAGTCAGTTTTGAGTCGCCTATGACATTGGATGATGACAATAACAGGAATTGTGTGATAGCTTTTCAGAGGATTGGCTTATGTTGTATAACGATAATCACTTCAAAGCCACAGCAAAACGCTGGGCCCAACTTAGAAAAACTCATTGAATTTGGAACAAACTCATCATAAAAGCTTTTGGGGAAAGGGTGTAAAAGTAAAGGGCGAGTGCCACGTACCGCTTCTCTCGACGCATCGGCTGCACTGTCCACCACCTGAACGGAAGCTCCTCCGGCTTGCTGTGCCGACATCTCCTGGGCGAGCTTTTCAGCCGCACCTCGGTTGATGTCATAAATGCGAACAGTATCGCTTGGTGGAAGCTTGGATTGTAGGTTTCTAGCCATTTGGTAGCCCTATAGCCTGAGTTAGCAACCTATCCCTAGTAATAGCAAGGTGCGGGAGACGTACCATCTGGCCTAGGCCAATGAAGGCATAGTTATCCAACCGACGCGCAGTGGACGAGAAAGTCCGGCGCTGAGCAAGCAGCTGCTTGCACAATCGAGTGTTTGGCCTCATTGTGGTCGGTAAAGGGTGCGTATTGTATTTCGACAACGCGATTTGATGATGAACGGTGTGTGAAGAAGCACAACGGTTGAAGGATCGACTAAGCAGTCGTAGTCTTGTTCGGCGGCATAGGTAGACATGTCGACCGATACCAACCAGGCGCACAGATGGTGGTGCAGGCGGACGACAGGAAGGTGGTTGTCGTTACCCGGAGGTCAAGCCGGCCATTGCCGGCTTTGGCCAAGGCCTGGAGCAGCAGGTCATGGGATCGTCAGGCGAAGCCCAATGGAAGCTAACTCGGAAAAGTGAAAGAAGAGGGGTCGAGGGGTAACGGCCGACGCTGCATGAGCGCCGAGGTCGTGTTCCCTTCTGGCAAGTTCCCAATCAAGGGCTGCCAGAACGAAGCCCGCAAAACATCATGGTGATGACGATTGTGGTGTTGAAGCTTGGTGGGAAAGGGAAAAGAAAAAAATCGGGGAAAGGAGAAAAAAAGGAAAAGATATGCAGAAGCGATTAATGGGAAATGACTCGTGCGCATGCAAAATTGGAGCCCGATTGGGGTCTGTTCGCCTACAATGATGAGAGCTTCTTTAAATGCATATCAGCTTTGCACCCCACCTGAGGTTGGCGATAAGCCGATAACGCCTGACAACATTGTAGGTGCCACCATTCCGGTCCAACCTAGTTCGAAGTTTTTATGACGTTGGCTTGTCAATGAAGGGTGCCGTACGACGAGAAACTGACAATATGCTCTTGGGGTTGCACCCGGAGACTCTTACCTCATAGGCGTGCGATGACAAAGAGTAGCTCTACCTGACTTCGAAGACAGCCATCGGGAATCCCTTGCCGGAAAAGATCTGCTTTGTTCCCTATGTGACGAAGTCTAATGGACTCTACTATCTACAAAAGGAGCTTCCCAACCTAGCATGAACTTGGAAGTCTTTTTCCCTTGCTCTTAAACTTTCATTTTTTCACCATCTCAGCGAGAGTATCATGAAGCATTGCCGCCCGCCATTGTGTTCAAAGATTGTATATACCTATGTTGTTCCTACATGGAGAACCAGATTCCATCCAACGACCGGTCCACCTCCATTCAAAGCCATGGCCCTTGATGCCATGGACCCTCAATCATTGATTGACAGGCGTCAGACGCCAAAGTGGGGGGGGGGTATGTGCAACATAAAAAGCAAACCGAAAATGAAACCAACCTTGAATTCAAGAAAATCCTATTTCCGTCCGAGTTCCTGGTGCCCAACCATGCTGCACACCGAAGCTACCCACGAAAGTTCGAGTTGACCCGTGGTTACCCAGATACAAGAGCAAAACGACCATTATCCCTAGTACACAGAAGACTCCTTGAACGAACTCGGCCTGCGTCCCTTATCTCCTCCAATATCGCGTCATGTGCCAACTCGGCTTAAACAGAACAAAGAAATTTGGCGTTTATGTCCCAGACGGGTTTATAGTACGTTGGCAACATACGGCGTGATTATGGGAAGAAGGGCACTGCGCAGAGTTAGCAGACGGTCAATATGTCACTTGGAAAGGAGCAGCACATACCCAAGAGCTCCTACGGCAAACGTGGCGGTGAGGCCGAGGTAGGCGCGCTTCCGGATTCTATCCTTGCGCAGCTCTGCCTCGGTCTTCACCTTCTTTACTTGCCGCGGTTGTTCAGCCTCGGCCTTCTCATCCTTATCAATGCTGATCTCCTCCGCCTTGCGCTTGCCCTTGCTATCGGCCTTCTCTTCTTTGGTAGCCTCAGCATCAGCCTCAGCCTCAACCTCGCCTTCAGTCTTTTCCTCCTCAACATCGGCCTTGGAACCCTCAATAAGGGCAGCCGCGGCCTCAGCATCGGCCTTAACGGCAGCCTCAACCATAGCCTTGGCCTCCTCAATCATCTTCCTTGCCTCCTCCTTCGATGGGGGCTCACCGGCCATTAGAGGCACCTCAAGCTCAACCTTGGTATGCTTGACCTCCTCGCCATCCTTATCCAGCTTGACGTCCTCGTCAATGCGCACCTTAATCTTGGGCTCCTCCTCAATTGGCTCCAGCACAACGGCAGGCTCCCTCTCGACAGACTCCACCTTGAGCTCTGCTTCAGTAGTTTGGATCTTGGTAACTGGAACTGTGTTGATCGGCGTAGAGCTAGGAATCTCGCCATTGATGAGCGTGGGGGCCTGGGAATCGGCGAAGCTGGTGGTGGGAGTCTCCGAGGCAGGGACAGCCGTGGCGGTGGCAGTGGTGATAACCGTGGTGGCAGAAGCTTCAGTGGTAACCTTGCGCTTGGTGTTGCGAGGGGTGGTGCCGCGTTTGCTGCTGGTTGTAGAGTTGGCGGGGCTGGAGGCACGACGACTGCTAGGACGGCTGCGGGTGCTGCGAGTCGTGGGCGGTGTGGGAGCAACAAGAGGAGGAGGCTGGGCGCCGAAGAACTTGGGAGGAGGAGTGATCTGCTTAGGCGCACTGCTGTCGGTGGTTGTGACGGCGATATCTGAGGGATCGAGAAGGGCTCGGATCCAGGGGGTGATTTGGTACTCCTCGGCGAGGATCAAAGCCTGCTCAGGGGGAATCCAGACATTGCCGGCGGTCTCCTCGTGGCTCGTGGTAGGAAGGGACTTGATGTATTTGCGCTCCGCTTCCTCCTCTTCCGTCGACGCATATGGGAAAGTGGCCTTGAACATGCCAGTAGCCGAGATGTAACCATCCTGGCTGCGGCGCATAAGGAAGTAGCTGGGAGGAGAGGACTTGAAGATGCCCGAGACGATACCCTTGGGCAAAGGGGCTCTGAGGTGAGCGTAGTCGAACGCCAGGAGAGACGACGGATCAACCTCAGCGCCCGGAACAGCGGTGACCATGCGAGGGGTCAGTTGAGTCTGCCCCAAGCGGCGACGGCTTGCAAGATCTGTGTCTGTAGTATTGCGCAAAGTCAGTTTGTGCTTCTCGTTTCACGCACTTGTCAACGGTGGCTTACGGGTCGGCACATCCTCGAGCATCAGAGGGTTGCGACGGGCAGGTAGATGCCTAACTACTTGCGCCATGGTGTCGCGGAGAGACTGGCCGGGCAGCTATAGAGATATCGGATTGATATGGGGGGACGGCGATGGCCACAATGGGTGGTTTCCTGCTGGTGTCGTGAATGGGCGAAAGCTTTTGCGCGCAGGTCGCAGAGTGTCCTTTTTGGTTGGGGTGGTCGGTGGGACAACGCAGCCCGAAAAGAGCCAAACGCAAGTAAAATTGCTAGGCAAAGAGATTTTGAGCCAAAGATGATTCTGGCAAAAGTTCTGCTTCAATGGATGCTCCCGTGCGCTGGAGTGGTGGAGAGCACGGCAGAGGATGGGATTGAAGGGTGTGAGGGATGATGACGATCAAGACCGCTCGGGGAGGGAAAAGTGCGGTCGGTCGCGCGCAATCTGGCAGATTGGACTCTGGGGAATCACTGAAGCTAACGGGGAGTGGCAGGATGGGACAAATGATGGGTTGATGGGGGAAACGAGACCGGGGTCAGACCTTCGGTGCAGCAGTGCAGAGGATAGCGCGACGTCGTCTGCTACGGAGGGTTTAGCGTGTCGCGGGATCATGGGACACGGGCCACCTTGGGATTTGATTGTGGGCACGTTTGAGGGCTAGCTTGGGCGGAGAAGGCGGCCACGGCGACTCGAGTGACGGTAATGACGAGACTGACGACCTCTTGGAGTGTTTGTTTGGCGTTGATGGCCCGAGCGTCCAGCAGCATCACTGCACGCAGCATCACTCGCTTCCTCTCTGCGAGCTGAGTGCCCAACAAGCCGATTGGATTCCCAACATCCCCACCAATAAATACCACCAGAAAAAGAGGCGGCCGTCCACATCTCGACGCATCCAGCATCGGTAGCAGCGGTGCAGCAGACAGAAAGCGGAGAGACAAGGTCCACGGATGCGATATGTGAGCAATGTTCCACACGCAGTGACACCTCTTTCACGTCTCTGCTGCAGAGTTGAGTGCTTGCGTTGGTGCCTTTCTCGTGGTTTGGGGGAGCCAAGGACAATGTCACTGCCCGACAAATGGATATCAACCAAGTCAACAACAACACAAGGCCTCTGAGACAGCATTGTGGGAGACACCACAGCCACGTCTGATAAAGGCCGATCTTTGTTGCTGGACTGACGGTCGCCTGTGCTCAGCGGGAGGCAAAGAGGATGGCATCACGACAAGTCAAGGACTGGCCATACCTATCTGGTGATACACTCTGAACTTGTCACCCGTCATCCCGTCCAGGAACCCGTCGACCCGTCAATCTGGGGTAGCCAAGACCTTTGCACCACCAAAACCTCCATCCTCACCAGCGATCACCACGCAGATGTGTCCCCCAAGTGATTCACGCCGGGATGCTACTGTATAAACGGCCTGCCTCATGTTGGATCAAGCTCCATTCTGTGCTAACATATGTGAGACAAGCCGCAGATAACGGATCTCACCCGCCCGAAGGAAATGAACAGACCAGAAGGCTGAAGGGCGGTGATTCCGCACACTACCTATAAATCAAAATAACCGGAGGGCTGGCCGTTCCGTGATCTGACATGCCGGGACTCAACGGTGAAGAAAGTCCCCCGTATCTCGAGCGGACGGGTCCCTGGCGGGGAAGAAGGAGCGGTGAACGACTCAACCCCAATGATCGGAATCGGCCCTCTCATGTCTTGGCACCGTGGCTCACCACCATCGCTAACCGTATCTCTAAGCTCTGAACCCCCTTTTTTTTCCCTCCCCCGGGGCGGTGACAACAGAGACACTTGTTGTCCGGCTGGTGACCACATCGCCAGTTTCATGAAACCATTCGACTTGTCGGAAGCTCATCAGATCATCGCCGTAGCTTGAACACTAATCCACCCGGTAGGTCCTATTGTGCCGTAGTCTCGAAGAGAGAAGTAGGTGAGCGTGAGTGAGATCCCGCAATCGAAGTCAACAAAGGCCCGTGTGTGGTTCACAACATCAAGGGGCAATGCAGTCAGGAGGCACAGGCTCCCAAGGAAACATCAACAACAGCCCCATGAATGAGGGGATTCCAGACTTGATACATATGCTCTGCACGCGGAAACCAGGAAGGACAAATCTCTCGAGGTCTCTCGAGGTCGACAGCGTTCCAGACGGCTCATGGTTATCCAATGATGGGTCTGTCTTGGTGTTGCCCACGCATCGAGACCCCGAATCGCAGATGCAGCTCTCCCCCTGGCCCCACCAGCTTTAACAGCTGTGGCCAAAGAGAATGGAAGGCAAAGAGGTGCTGCCAGACGAGTGCCAGTGAGCCCCTCCATTCAGATTGCTGCCACTCAGTTCCATCTGTCACTCTTCAGTGAGTTGACTCTTTTTGGGCTCAGCCCCTCTCAAAGGAGTGGTTCCTGGCGACTCGGAGTGGACGACGGTGGACTTTGGTGGACAATCTGGAACTGTGTGGGTGTCGATTGGGTGTGCACAGTGTTCCCGTTGCCCAAATAAATAAGCTCCGGCCTTTGTTCGTCACCCCTCCAAAACCTTCAATCAGATCGGCGCCGTAAATGCTATCATAGCTTCGACTTCTTCTCTTCTCTTCTTCCGTCCAGTCTTTCTTGACACTTTATCGCAACTTTATATTGTTCATACCCCGATTGACACTCCCAAATACCAACACCATTTACCTTAATCGACAACCACATACCCCCAATAATTCACAATGGCCGGCGGACATGACGAAGATCTGATGCCCGAGGACAACTCGGGCTACAAGCTCTCTCAGCCCAAGCAGTCCTTGGCTGAGTACCAGAAGATGGGTATGTTCCAACCTTTGTCTTGACTTTTTTTCTTTTGGTTTTCAGCATCGGATGCATCTTTTTTCACCCGCATCTTCTTTGCGGCATCGTGCGGATCGTGGGATTTGGGAAAAGGGGAAATGCGGGTGCGGTGACGACATGATGGTTACCCCTTTCACCGCCAACGATTACGGCGCAAGGACTACGACAACGCCTTGCAATATCATGACTTCTCATGTCAAAACTTCGATCACGGCCATTATGACCGCAAAAGAAGGCTCACCATTTCTTCTAACGGCGGCCATCACTGGCTTTCTTGACCGCCAAATCAAGAGTCGCGAGGTCGTCGCAGATGTTCACAACTCCCACCAGGACATGCCCCTGATTTGAAGATGAGAGGGCGAGATGCTATCACCAAATGGCCATCTGCGAGACCGGAAGACCACGGCACCGTCACATCCTCCATCCCACGGACTGCGATCCTTAGACTATACCCAACCGCAACCCCGTGGCTACACATATATACACCAAGAGAAAAGCATACAAACATGAAAAAGAACCACAATGACTAACCCCCACTCTCCTAGACGAAAACGACGAGTCCCTCAAGCGCTACAAGGAGTCCCTCGGCCTCGGCGGCGGCACCGACCTGTCCGACCCCAACGACCCGCGCGTGTGCATCATTCACTCGCTCTCCATGGAGTCTCCCGGGCGCGATCCCGTCGTGATCGACCTTTCCACTCCCGGGTCGCTGGAGGACCTCAAGAAGAAGCCCTTCACCATCAAGGAGGGAGCCAAGTTCACCATGAAGGCGCAGTTCAAGGTACAGCACGAGATTCTTTCGGGTCTTCACTACGTCCAGACCGTGAAGCGCGGCAAGATCAGGATCCCCGGTGGCAAGACGAGCGAGATGATTGGCAGCTATGCGCCCAATACGGATAAGAATCCTATTTATACCAAGACTTGTGAGTTTTCCTTTGCTGCTTCTTTCTGACCGGACTTGTCGTCGTGAAGACCCGGAAAAGCTGACTTGAGGTTTGTTCCAAAACACAGTCGCCGAGGAGGAGGCCCCCTCTGGTATGCTCGCCCGCGGTAACTACAATGCCGTCTCTCGCTTCGTCGACGACGATGGCAAGACCCATCTCGAGTTCGAGTGGAGCTTCGACATTGCCAAGGATTGGTAAATTATTGCATCTTCCGTCGTCGTCGTCGTCGTCATCATCGTCATCATGATCGCCATCTCTCGTCCTCCTCGCTTTCTAGCTAGCCGGTCCTGCTAGTCAATCCCCCCATCGAAAACACACGCACACAAACGCACATATGCCTTCACTATGGGCATACCGTGATGGTCGTTTCCGGTAGGGGGAAGGGGCAAAGGAACGCGTATGGCGGTTCAAGAGCGAGCTCGAAAAGAGGATCATGACGGGATAATCATCGCTTAAGGAAGAAAGAAGACACAACGCGCGTCGACTACTTACTAACTACACTATTGAAGTCGTCTCTGTCTGCGTGATGAAGAGGCAAGGAGAGGAGACAACTGCACTACCGAAACTTGCAAGGGAAAGGGAAGGTAGAAACGGTTACACATGGGGGAATTGGCTGGGCGCGATCGGATGGAACAGAATAGGAGCCACTGGATGGTTGTCGGTGTGGTTTAGGGTACACACCACCACACACCCCCTTTCTGGGCAGGAGGGAAGAGGGAGAAAACTTCCTATATCTATCTACATACATATACATTTTTATCTTAGTAGTATAACGACACATATCTCTCACGTCTGGTACGAAGATCTGGATGATCGGAAGCTTGATAGTGCGTTATCAGAGAAACGCTTCTCGTGATGGACTTGTCTGAATGTTTGGTTGGTTTGTATACTTTCCAAAAGCTGAACGTCCAAGTTCCATTCGTGCCCGCTTGCTTGTAATCTATGACATTGTGATCGCTAGTGTGGGTATATGCAGTGTAGGTATTCGTACACTTCAATGCAAACAAGGTTCAAACCAAGACCACTATATCCTCCTGATTCCCTAATCACCCTTCTCTTGTTCGACTACAAAAAGTAATCAGGCAAAGCCCCTCCCTCCGCCGACTTGTCCTGATTCATCTGCTGGTCCTTAACGGCGTCGTTCTCAGGGGCAGCCGCAAACACGTTGAAGTAGCGCTCTCCGGTATCGCTGACCTCCAGCACGCTAGCCATGTTTCCGCACCGGTAGCAGTAGTTGGGCGCACTCCATACCGTGCTCAGACGGTCGTCGAACAGCACCTGATACCCTTCCTGGCAGAGCTGGTGGGCGCGCAGGATGTGGTTCATGTTGTTCACCGCCAGGAACTTCTTGACCACCTGCGCGCCGAAGGTGTAGCCGGCGCCGCGAGGTGATAAACTGAACTCGTCGCGGTCGGGATCGGGATCGGACCATACTAGGTCGGCCATGGGGCCTTCGTGGGGGATCTCGCGGAAGCGGTCGATTACTTTGATTTGGTCGATGGAGTGGATGGAGGGGGAGAGACCTGTTATGTAGAAGGGTAGTTAGCAACCCAACCATGCTTGTATTTCCGGCGCTTCAGAGAGGGAGGGAGGGAGGTTCTCACCTCCGTGTACACAGAATATTTGGTCGTTGATGACGACACTTAATGTGAGAAAGTCGAACATGTCGGTAAAGTAGTGCCAGACATTGGCATTGCCGTACTTGCGCGAACATTCGGTATAGAAGCCGTAAGACTGCGTTACGCCGCGGGACTCGTGGTTCCCTCGAATCAAATGGATGCGGTTGGGGTACCGTAGTTTCAAACAGACAAGAAGCGAAATCGTTTCAACGCTGAACATGCCTCGGTCAACATAGTCGCCTATTGTGTTCCCCCCAAGGTTAGCCGTGTGTTTTGTCGTTCCAGCAGCAAGCAAGCAAGCACATGGGGGCGCGCTGCCCGCGGCCGCTTCCACCACCACCACCCCCATGAAGAAGATCACCACCAACCTAGAAACAGATAATTTGTGTCTGGAGGATAACCGCCGATTTTGAATATCTCTATAAGATCGTAGAACTGGCCGTGGATGTCGCCAACAACGGTAACGGGGGCCTTGACATGCACAACATTACTCTCACGCATCAGCAGCTCTTTTGTTTTGGCGCATATCGCTTCGATAACCGATTCTGCGAGTAGTTCCTTGTTTTTGAGGCGCGAGATGCACTCGTCGAGGTCGACCGAAGCTATACCGTGTGTCACATGTCAGTGTCTGTCATAATCGTTTCGTTGTCGATGTATGTTTGGGGGGTATATCGGCGTCTTTCTTTTGGCGGGGCGCGGGAAGGGTATGAGGGGATTGGCCCTGTCCTTTGTTCTCGACATTGGCGGCGCAAAGGGTGTGCGATGAACCCAACTTACGAGGAAGGCCAGGCATGGCGGGCAGAGAGACGATGCTCGCCTAGTAAGATTAAAGCGACGGCGCCAGAAACACAACTCGGACGAGTTTGTAGTTTGGTAGTGACGTGTCGACAGGCTCAGCAATCACGGGTTGCGGTAAAGGCTGGTGCTTCTCCCAGCTCGAGCGATGTCTTTAGTGGTGGTTGGATGGATGCGAACCAACATGTTCGGAGAAATGGGTTTGTCACATCGAACGGGGCGAAAGAGCTTCAGCAGACGACGAAGTGCAGTCCTCCAAAGTCACTTGGTGGTGGACAACTTTGCGAAAAGTGTTGAAAGGTGGAAAGAAACGTTGCTAGTATACAGATTGTGGGAGAGCAGTCGCAAGTGGCCTAGCAGAAATGATGCATTCGTGGTTGGGCGGGACCGCCATTGGGGATACTTACTTGGTGGAAATGGAGGCGATGTCGGTTTGTTGAGTGGTCATGCTTGGTGCTGAAGCCTTCTTCCTCGCGAACTGAAGGAGGCCCGACGCGCTGCACTTTCTGCCTGCAGTGAAGGTGCCTGCCCCTGGGCAGCTGCTGCTGAGAGGGTGACGTGCCCTCCATCCAGCTGCCCCTGCATTGTTGACAGGGCAGGGGCAGTGAGGACACTGACAGCTGAGAAACCATCCGTCATGGTGAAGGCCCGTGCGTGTGGCAGCCCGTCCCAGCGGCCCACCCAGTCCTTGAAATCCCTCCATCACTCACGGCCTCACACGTGCCGGAAGGCTGGACTGGCGAGGACTGGGTGCTTGTGCCCACTTGGTAATCGGTTCATACAAAAGCCAGCGGTCTCCCTCCTCTCTTTCCACTTGACCCTCGCAAATTCCTTTCCCTGTTCCTCTCTCGCATCTCTGTTGCTCTGCTGCATCACGGCCACTTCATGACAGACATCTCGGCGAGCACATCCTCGTCCCCCTCGACAGTGTCAGCGGACACATTGGTTTGATTCGGCGCTCTCCAGCCACCAGTCCAGGTTTTTCCAGTCCATCATGTTATCTTTGATGGCTTCTTTTGCTTTGTCTGTTCATTCTGTCGATTGATTGCTGGCCAGATTCTCAGGACCAAGACCCCGAAGTTCAGTGTTGCTCTCTGGAGCCGTGTCTAGGCTTCTACTGCCTAAGTCACGGCGTTGTTTCTGTCCTTCCTGGTGTCGCTTCGGTTGGGCTGAGTCCACGGTCATTTCTTTTCTCTGCTTCATCTGCCTGTCCTCCACCGGCGTTCAAACTTGAAGCCTACCGATCCCAGGAGCGGACTGCCTCGGATTGCAGTCCCAGGAGTCATGAGGTATTTCATCGACGAAGTATATGGCCTCTTGGAGGAAGGCCATTCGGGGTCTTGCCGTCCACCCAGACAGCTGACGACGGGATGGTTTATGGGAATCTTGGCAGGACATATTGCGCGATACCATCGCGACCTGTCTTTGCCATGTCCTCTGGGGCGTTGTCAAGGACTCAGTTGAAGGCTTTTGATGCAGTTATCTTATGAGGTTTATCACAGTCAACGTTGACAACCCCTATCTCGGACCAGCTTCTCAGGAACCGCGGAGATGAGGGACGGGAGGGTCAAAGGTAACACATCTCATTTCCTCATTCTAGCCGTCAGATTTGGTCTCTTGTCATTCATGTCTGTTATATGGCCTTCATTAAGGACAATGCGTTGCCTTACTCGATAGATGGCCAGCCCTGTGTTTCATTTCTTTTCGCAGGCATAGTCCTGTTCTCTATACTTTTAGTTCTTTAGAACATTTGATATCAATCTTTCAAACCAAATCATGAAAGCAGAAGGAGCCAACAACATCAAGCATATCAAAGCGATGAGACGCAAACGCAGCTTGCCGAGTCCGAGCCGACGGTCCAGACCCCAAATTCCCGATTCAGTAAGGGGCTGCTGCTCACGTGATTGGTGCGTGTCAGCCCCCGCTCTCCTGCGGCCAGAGGGGTGGCGGCTGAACTTCTGACGGCGCTCTTCCACCTCCAAAAATACGACTTGGGATCAGAAGTCAGTAGGGCAAGTCAGCTGGATCGCACCCTCACAAGAGTCGAGCCACAACAGATTCCACAACACCACAACCACACCTCACTGCAGCGACTCGCCGGCTACAGGCCACCCATCGCAGCCTTGCCTCTAGACTTTTCTTTGCATTCTGATCTTCAATCCAGCATTTGTTGATGCCGCGGCATTGTTAGCTTGGGCATCTTAGGCGGCTTTCCTCGACACACTACAAAGAGTGACTGCCACAGCAGAGCCAGCATCCCCAGATCAATCAGTGTCCCGCCGCCAGTCAATCGGATTGTGTGGCACAGACGCGCGACTGAAAGCATAACGTCCGCCTCGATATACATCCCATCGCTCTCGAGGCCCGTTGATATACATGTTCAAAAAGGTCGCGACAATCCCAGTGCTCACATCCGCTTCTGCTCGCTGTCCGAAACCCTCTCCTTGCTTTCCCGGTGGTCGCTCGCCAGGCTAATGTCCTCGCAGCGAACCTGATCCATCATAGGCATATTCGCCCATCCATTAGCGAAGCTACCTACAAGCCATCATCGCCGTCCACTTCAAGTCTTCTCTATACTTGCACGGGACTACAAGGCTACTCCTGATACCTGCCTACTTTATTAAGCAGTTCTACGCAGCTTGACTGGCACTTCTCTTCGTCTCAGGCCATCGTCGGGTATTCCTCATTCTATCTTTCTTCATTCCAGTGATTCAACCACTGCAGCATCCCATTATCTATCTCCCTGTTCACCCCCGGTCAACGGATATATAATATGTCTTCCACCGTGGCGGTTAACTCCGCTCCGGGACAGTCCTCCTCCCAACAAGAACCAATATGTTATAACTGTGGTACACGGGGCCATTGGGTCATCGCCTGTCCAGAGCCCACGAGGGATGTGCCTGTGTGAGTAATCTTGGATCCCTTTTTGCCCCTCTGTCTTTGTAACCAAAGGGCATACATTGGCTACACCTTGTGACTAACAGTCCTTCCAGCGGGCTTCTACGATGGCAGTCTCAACACCAGGAACAACAAGGTCACTCGTCGGATCGCAATAGTTCATCCCATGACAAGAAGGGGCCTGTTGTCACCCGGTATCCCTTGCCTCCTAGCCAAGGCCCTACTATAACAAGGTACGGTCCGCCGCAACCACCGGCCTATCCTCCTGGTGCACCACCACCTCCGCCGCCGCCACCGTCGATCCAGGCTTATCCTCCGGCCTCTTTCCCACCGCCGCCACCACCAACGTATTCCGGGAGTTACCCGCCCCCGCCCCCGACTGTATACGGCCAGTTCCCGCCGGCGGCAACGCCGCCCCCGTCGCAGTACGCACCGCAGCCTCCTTATGGACAGCCACAATATCATCCTCCGTATCCGCCATCCAACTACTACCCGAACGGCGTCCCTCCTCCCCCGCCTGGGGCTTATCCTCCGCAACCTTATTCTCAACCAGGACCTCCGCTTCCCGTGCCGCCGCCTGTACCACCTCCCTATCCTACTAGCTACGGTGTGCCGCCGCAGCCGGAATACCATTACTCACCAGGTCAAAACCCACCATATCCTCCTCCTACCGGGTGGGCTCCGCCGCCATTTGCTCCTCCCCACTTACCACCTCCCCCTCAATCCAATTCTGGAGTGAACAAGCATCGTGGCAAGAGACAGAATCAAGGCCCGAAGCATTCGAATGCACCAGGAGACAGACATGACAGGCACAACAGAGACGAAGCAAGCGACCGAGTCGACAGGTTTGAGCGCCATGAGAGGCATGATAGGCCGGGCAGGTTTGACAAGCGTGATCGAGATGACGGTTACGAAAAAGGCGAGCGGTTTGACAGGAACGATCGCTTTGAGCGAAATGATAGGAACCAAAGGCCTGAAAGGCACGAACGACCTGCGAGGTTCGAGAGATCGGAGAGAAACGACAGGAATGACAAGCGTCGAAATGTGAATGATTCAGAGGACCGACCCGCACCTGGACGACAAGAACGCCGAAAGGAGCCACGAACAGCCCAGCCTGAGCGAATACCCAAGGGGCCAGACTCCAAGAAAGCAGTCCCCGAGCCCAAGGAGGATGTAGGAAATGGTGAATGGGATCCCGCATCTGAAAAGGATTTGCTGCGTATCTTTCTCCAGACTGACTCTAAGCCGGCGGATCCGGTCGGAATTCCTCTGCCGGCGACTTATACGGATGATCCCACGATTCCACCGGCATACAACTCCAAATGCCTGAAGTCTCTTTACTTCAACGATCAGAACGAAAAAGAGTTCGCATTCTCAATCCGGGAGACATCAGCCTGGTCTGCTCTCAAGCTAGACCCTGTATTCAAATTCTATCCGGGGATGATCAGGAAGCGTATCGGCGATCATGAATACACGACGCATATCGTTTCTGCGCCTCCTCACCCAGAAGCGAAGTTGAAGCTTCCACCGAAATTCACAATCTCTCAGAACCAAGGAAAAGAGACCCCGGAAATTGATCGATACCGCCCACGACTTAACCAGCACCGGGATTTCTCGCCCAGGCATCCCGCACCTCGCGATCTACCACCGTCGGCAGTTGATAGAGGACACCGAGGTTACCAGCAACCCTCGAAGCGCCCTCTGGATGACTCCTATGACAGACGCGATCGAGACCCTAGGGATGCAAAGCGGCCCAGACAGAGTCTACCTCCGCGGGATACTCCTGACCGCGGTCACGGTCGCGACACCTGCCCACCACCACCACCACCTCGTAGGCCCTCCCCGAGCCCAAGGTATAATCTCAGTGCCGATCCCTGGTCACCACAGGCTGGTGAGACGAAGGCCCCATCAACCGACCACCGCTACAATAGGGACTCCTATTACGATAACAGGTCCTCGTCACCCAGGGAAGACAGAGACAATGAGAGAGGGAGAGAGCGACCGTCTCAGTATGCAGACATGCGCCACGACAGCGGCTACCACAGCAGTCGAAGCCGCTCGCAGGAGCGCAAGCCTCGCACATCCTCCTACCGCGATGACTACAGGGACCGGGACCGGGACAGGGACAACCGACCGCTCTCGGGGCCATACCAACAGAGGAAACGGACTCGGTCTCGCAGCCGCAGCCGTAGTCCGGCTTCGTCTTATCTCTCGCCAGCAAGAAGCACTGCTAAGCGCAGCCGGTCTTTCAGTCGCGGTCCGTAGCCTGACACCGCAGCCACAGTCGCAGTCGCAGCAGAAGCGACCGCAGCGAGTCCCCACTCACGGCGCTGGATAAGGAATTGCTGGGGTTGACTGACGAGCCTAATGAGCCTGTGAGGACAAAAGTGGCTCCCAGGAAGGTGGCGCCGAGGGTTAAGGTTGCTGCGGCTTTTGGGTGAGTTGAGATCCCTTGTTTTCAATCCTGTGTGAAAAAGTGCTAACGTCTTTTCTAGTCGCCGTTGGTAGTATCCATCCACAATTTGCTCTTGTTCTCGACACTCTGAAGCGTGGGACCACGCCATTCAGTCCGACATGTCCCGGCGTTGTGATTGTATCTTCTGCAGTATGTGATGGTGTTAACATTGGGGCTCATTGCTGCCTGGCGTTTTCTTTTTATATGGAGTTTATGTTGCGTCTTACAGAAAGTGGGTGGGCGGGTTTTGTGGGAGTTATACGGAGTGATAACCTTGAGTTCCTCGGAGCGGAGTTCGTGCAATACATGATCAAAAACTGTTTTTTTGCTTCTTTCTTAATATAATATTTCGTCTGCTGAGCGCAGATGTAAACCATTTTTCGGGTATTTCCTGTCTTGCCCTATAATCGTCAGCTGTGGTGTCTGGATACAGTTCCTCATAGACCAGAGTGCTATTTCACCATCGACAAGAGAATATACACAGTAGTAGTTTTCAACTGAAGTTAGAGAAGGAAAGAGCTTCCATGCCACCCGTCTTCTCCCGAACCATCATCTGTCCGGTTTATTTATCGATAAGCAGATGCGACCTTTGCAGGTTGACGCAGGAAGAAAGGAACGAGCTCCCCACGGTTTCATTCCTGGCCTTCAAGTTTTGAGGAAAAAACGTCTCCCTATTCATGTAGAGATACGGACCATGTTCGGAAAGAACATACAAGACGGATTAGGAGAAAAACCTACCCTTGCTGAACCCACATAATTCTCAGCGTACAGACCACAACCCGCATAATAGAACATTACCCTTTAGTCAAATTTGGATGCAATGTAATTAGTGGGAGACTTCAGGTTCTATTATGCAACGAGACGTCTCTATCTGGTCCGTGGCGTTGACCTCCTGCAATTGGATGCTGTCGCGAACCTACCTAAGCAAGTGCTCATCTTCGTTACTTATCGGTAACTAAGCCGGCAAGATATGGATCATCAAGTGGAAGGAACGGAAAAGAAAGGAAGACGAAAGGAAGGAAGGAAACAGCTTCCACGACACATCCTTCTCCAAAACAAGAAGGAACGAACGTCCGACAGACTTAAGTTGAGCTCCCGCTCAGAGCAAGAACCCAACTTAATGATCTAAGTTCACCGGGTGACTTGACTGACTTGCCTGATTTTTACATATCTTACCTATATGACCGTCACAAATACAACATTGCACCGAGGGATGAGTGTCTGTCGAACGAATATGTGTTTCTTGAAGGCTTAGTTTTTTTTTTCTTCTTTGTTCTTTTTTTCCCTCTTTCTTTTTCTTTCTTTTTTTTTAATACACGGAAAGCTAAGTACCTACATAAACCATCCTCGCTTTTCTCCAGTCTGCGACATCGTTCCACACCACCACTACAGTGAAGAGCGACAGACACAGACAGTTAAGTCAACTCAATCGATACAGACGTCGACTTCATTCATTCATTCATTCAACCTTCAATTTCATCAAATCTCTCTCTCATATGTAAATGAAACAAACCTCTAAACTCAGACATGCTTATGTCAACAATGGGCGGAAATTTGTAAGGGAGCTCTGGACACGTCTCATACATTCGGATCAATAGCTGTTATATCCTTCTGGTACTTATTATGGTAGTTACCATGCACTCATCGTAATGACCATGACGGACAGGTTGTTGTTGAAATTCCATTACATTACAACGAACCTTAAGAACGAAGGGAAACCGAGCAGTTTGTTATTTGTGCGGTGTACCATTCAGGTGAATGTGAGTACCATGTATTGAAAGGGTTTGCCGGTCAAAGTCAAGCCACCAACACGTGTCAAACCGTTTTCTTTTCCTTCCTTGTGCCACGGTTGATCATCGTACCATGGAAACACCGGTACTGTAACCGCTCACTCACTTCACTGGCGACGTGATGATTGTGTACTCTTGTTTTTTGGGTTTCCTTGGGTGAACGTAACCTTCGTATTGAACTTTTTGTCCTCCTGTGGTAGCGTGACGAACGTGGGAGCGGGCAAAGTAACGGTGGCTTATTTCTCGCAGACAAACCGGTGCCGGTACCACGTTGTCAAAGGTTCAGTCAATAAGTAATTGAGCATCTAGCACGGCATTTAGTTGACGTGTAACTGAAGTAGAAGTTCATTTGATTCTCCTTTGTCGGTCTATCATCTATCTCGAGGAATCGACAGAGAGCCATTCAGCCATCTGGCTTTTTTATTTTTTTTTGCCATGCGTCATACATGTCCAGCCCTCTTGTATAGTCCTGTTTTCCCATGTATCCTTCCTTGTCTCCCTACCAGCTTGCCTGCCAGCCATGCGCTTCCTTGGGGTATCCTATCTGGTATCAAAGTAAAAAGCAAAAACAAAGCATCCCGTAAAATAAAAGTATCCGCGAAGAAACAAAAGCAAGGCTCGATATTAGAAAGTTGGTATCCCAAAACATCCCCGGGATGGGAAAGCAATGGCATAAGTGACTGAGCGCAGGCGCGCTGAGGACGACGAGTATGTCAGGTTTGAGCCACCACTTTTGTCTGATCTCCGAAGACGCCATGGCGACCCAAGCGTTCGAAGCTGGAGTCAAGGAAGAACTAAGCGAGCGAGATGTAGAATCATGGAGGCTGATCTGTGCGAGAATTTGGGGGGTTGTGTAGAGGTCCGTCAATGACAAAGGTGTTGTGGGACTTTTTGTGGTCTGGTGCGAAAAACAAAGGAAAAGCGCCTCCAAGGAGTGAATGATGGTCGGTGTATGTTAGGAGATGGCGCCTCCCAATATGGTATGGACAAGAACAAAGCAAAATAAAACGAAGGTGGGGTATCCTCGCGGGATCAGCCAGCCATAATCACTACATAACGCTTACTCACTGCTTCTCGACTGTAGCTACTCGCGCTGCCGAATCATCCAGGGGTCTCGGTGGTAGGCTCCTCCGTTTATCGGTGGAATTACGTGGAGAGAGGGACAGTAGCCGAGCACTGCCAGCGCTGATGTGTCGTGCGTGTCCCTTCCCGAGATTGACGCTCGTTGCCCGCCGAATCTCCTCGTCCTTCGCTTCCCCCATTGTTTCGGAGAGCCCGGGGCTTGCCTCGGGTGTATCGCCCAACGAATTGAGATAACCTTCGAAGCTCTTCGTTCGGACGTTGGCAGGATGGTCGTGAATGACGACGGGCTGCCCTTCCCTGACAGATCCCCAATGAGGTTCCTCCTCCCAATCACTTGATGCGCGAGCCTCCCCGCTGGACTGCCGGTTCCATCCAGGACGTTCACCACTAGCCCGTGCAACACGGGATAGATAATCATCATCCACGATAATTGATTCCTCGTTTAGGTTTTCATGCTCGGGCAAATGCTCCTCCTCATTCTCATCATCCGGCTCTGATGTTCGTGGAAGCTGCTTGTATGGTGTCGACGATCTCATGATACTCGAGGACTTTCGCCTCTTCGCCGATAGGCGTCCTGAAAGCCATGATGCCTCAGAATCGATGGAGGCAAGCGACATGGTATGCGGTTCGGGGGTCATATTACGCTCATCAGGGTGGCCGAAGGAAGAGGGCGTATGACGCAGTGCATCCACAAATCTCTGTTCTGATGATGTTGGTGTCTCATCTCTAGCGCCATCCGATATCGCTACTCCTAGAGGATCAACATCCTGGTTTGGGTTAGGGGAAGCCTCGGCGATCGTGGGAGGGATCGAATCGTTCTCGTTCAAGTGTATCCTAGATCCCGGGGGTAAGAGCGGGAGCTCGGGAAGATCTTCACGGAAGCGCGATTTGGTGTGCTTCGGTACCCCCAAGCTAACTCGTCGGGGGGTAAAATTGATTGGTGGCGTTGGCACCTGTAGTTGCGGTGTCTGCATCGAGTTTTGCATTGAGTCTCGGGAGGTGTTGGAAAACGAAGACGGCCCACCAGAGCTTCGTCTGTTTCTGTTTCCCCACCTGAAGATGGATGCCCATGATAATGGTCCTCTGGAGCTGCTGGTCTCTGACCCTCTCCGCATCTGTTCCGAGTGCTCCGTTTTGGCTAAGGAGGCTTGTCGAGACGATCGACCATTTGGGCTGAAGAAGGAACTCCTCGAATGTGGACTGGCCAGTGACCCGAGGGGAGAAGTGGGAGTTTCGACTGGAATGCTTTCCGTGCGATGGAATGATCTCAGTGGATGTGGTCGCACATGTTCCTCTTCCTTTCCCTCGTTGAATTCTTCCCTTGAGCGCTTCCTCACTGGCCGTGAAAGCTCGTCCGATTCACGAATCCTTGACGACGTTACTACCGCAGACTCCGGGTCGATTCCCAAACCCACCGCTTCGCGGCCCAGAACGCCTCTCTCCAGGTTTGGAGGGGACTCCCTGCCTTCTTCCTGCGCTTCAGCATCGTCGGCGCGCTGCTTTTCTACCCGTTTGGCAAGCCTTGTCTGCGCATTCTCCTGTTCTCGTTGCAGTCTCCTTTCGCGCCGTCGTCGATCCCGTTCCATCAACTCGCGAAGATCACTCGCGCTAAGATCATTAGCGAGGTCGTCAACACGTTTATGAGCCTTCAGTGTCGCCTCTGGTATGGGCTCTACAAGCGTCTTCTGGCGTTGGGAGGGTTTCTTGGCGAGCGGTGATGCGCCAACCTCGCCGTTTGTAGAGCCCTGTCGAGGATGCGTGGCATATCGAAGGGTCGGTCGGGGAGCGAGGGCATTAAGTGCCGAAACCTTGTACGATATCTGTTCGGAATCTGATGACAAGGCCGAATCTAGGGATCCAGGTACGGGTAAGGAGACTTCGGAGGATCTTTGACCCCTAAATCCAAGGCCATTCTTAAATCTCTTGCTGTCCTTCTTCATGGGGCGTCCCGCCATCCAGTCCTCGGTTGCTGCTCGAACAGGTACAAATGTGCTCATGGCCTTGATTTCGGCCTCCCGCGCACGATCTTCCCTCCGCCTTTTCTTGCTCGATTTCTTTCGTAGTAGGTCATCGCCGTCGCGTTTGTTGTGCAGGGTAGGCACGCGGAAAAAAACGTTGCGACCTAGGTCAGTGCTCGCGGGTCCCTGGAAAGTCGCTGCTGGTCCCGTCACTCTCCGTTTTCCTTCGACGCTTGGCTTCCGCCCAAGTACTATCGAATCGTGGCGCCCGGGGGAGAAGCTGTATGTGCGTGCTCTTCGCTGAAGCTTATGAGGTTCCGATCGATCCGTCCCTGCCTTTGCCTGTCCCCCTGCCGAAGCTTGGCCTATCGGGGTAGCATCGCGGTGCCCATCGAAATCTGTCGTGGCAGCGCGAGAGCGCCTTTTGCGGCTTTTCCGCCGGAATGGCCAGATTGCCATGATGGTTCGAGACGAACGTTTGGCAAGATGCCGTCGAGGTGCGACCCGAGAAGCTGTTCTGATCGTGTGCAACTAGCTGTAAGATGGCACGTATAGCTGATTTCTGGTATTGTCTTTGTTTTGTAGTAGATGCGATCGGTTCATTATGACCATGATTCCAAGGGTGTGGTAAACCAAAAGAAGGCGATATGAGTAACCAGACGACCTACGAATCCGTTGTAGGGGCCAATATCTTCAAACCATGCTTAACGTATGTCGATGTAAGAGGCGTGGTGATTGATGCAAAAGTGAGTAAATAGAGAGCGAGAGGAAGGGGCGGTTATTGCGTGGTGGCGATTCTTTGTCGCGACGATTTTGTCTGGGGTGACAGTGGGTGGTGGTATATCCAAGTGTCGAGGCAGTCAGGTACTGATCCAGATAGTCAGGTGGTGCAGGGCCTGGCCGGGTTCGTTTGGAGGTTGTGCCAAGGGAATGATGCTCTACCGGTAGAATTGTCAATGGGTGCCTTTGCCTTGTCGGAGGAGTGATGAGTGCACGAGTGATGCAGTCCCGTTGATTCTTTGTTCCGCGGACACTCTTCCACCACGCGACCAAACGATGTAGCATTCGGCTCTTGAAGGGACTCGGAGGCAAAAGCAGGAGGTTTGAGCGCAACGTGGAAAGCAGGTCCCGGGCAACAAATAAGAGGGATTGATGGTGAGCAAGGGAAAGAGAGAGCGAGGGCAGAGGTAGAAATGATCGACACCCAAGATTTCCCTGTTGCTGGGTTGAGAAATGGGCAAAAAAATAAGGTGGGGTGGGATCAGCTTCGAGGTATGACGAAGGGAGCAGCGAGAGGTATTATCGACCCGTCCTGCGCCTTGTAACTTGTTCTGTGAGAGTAGCTGGTCTAGTAGCTTGGGTGATGGAGGGGATCTGGGGATAGCTTGCGTATTTGAGAGGCACAGCTCCAACTTGGAGGTGTTGCACCGCGTTATGTGTATTGGGTTGGACAGGTAAAGAACAAACTGGGGAAATTTGAATTGTATTACCTTTGTAAAGTGGGAGTATGTGACTTGAGTGCGGGCCGGACGGGGAGACGGGGCGGTCCCTTAGAAAAAGAGGGAAAGATGAATGGAGATTGGAAGTGAGGTGCAGGTGAGGTGCAGGTGAGATGATGGCGAAAGATGAAGGGGCAGCAAATGATAGAGAAGAATGGAGAAATCAATCAGCAGCCGAACGAGAGGGAACCTGAAGCATTGAGAAGAAAGGATGGAAGGAACCGCAGGGGCAGCGGGGAGCAATGGGGAGCGGGAGGCAAGTGCCAAACCGATGCTAGACGGGAGGTAAGCTCGGAAAGTAAAATAGGAAAGATACCTTACCAGCTGGGGTATGAAGCAAGGTACGGATCCATTTTCCGGGATTCAACCTGAAAGTTCGCACTTGTTCAAAACTTGTGAGTTTGAAGTCACCCAGCTTGTGGACAGCAGCGTTTCCACTCCGGAGTCTGGAGTCGCGCTTTGGGGCAGCCTCTTTGGCGCTGTCGTGTATCCGACATCTTGATTCCCTCCGGACTGAAGCTATTCACGTCTTACCAGAACATCAAGCTGAAAAAAAGAGCTCCCTGGTATCCCTGCTCTGGATGGGCGGGAAGCTGGAATCCAGATGCCGTTGAAAATCAAAATGCGTGCTTGCCCTGCTGCCCTGCTGCCCTGCTGCCCTGCTGCCCTGTCCTGCCCTGTCCTGCCCTGTCCTGCCCTGTCCTGCCAGTTGCAACCCTTGACAGTGTGCGTGCGTGCGTCTGAAGTCTGAAGTGGAGCTCTACCAACTGCGCTAAACTCTTAGGGCCTGCAGCCAGAGCAAAGGTACTCCGTATTTCGCATGCGTATCATTGGTGTATTGTAATGTATTGGCATGCAGCAGGTGTGAATGTTACACGTGAAGTGGATCGCGGCGTCACTAGCGACTTCTACTTTTCCTCTTGATCCATGGATGCAACTAATCATTAGATTTCAGTCTTCCCCGCCATCATTATGACAATCTCCCTCGTCTTCCACGACTGCTCCTGTTTAATTCGACTTGTCTTTTGCGCATTGCGTCTGGCGCAACCCATCTCCGCACTTTCTCCTCTCATCTCACATGGCCTCTCACGAGATAGCTTACGCCAAAACCTACTGGACGCCGCAAGTGACGGACATATGCATCACGACCGATATGCTACCAATGAAAACTTGGTTGGAAAACGGAAAATCTCCAACGGTCGAGCACGCCCACCGGACATTGCCATGAAAATGGCAGGTGCTCCAAGCACTGGCGGCAACCATTGGACTGCCCCGAAAACGTGGTGGTGTGAAGCCCATCTGAAGCTCATGATAGGGCCTAGGATAGGGCCTGGCTTGCCGTTTGAAACGGGCAAAGGAAATAATACCAGGACGTCAAGACAGACGGGGCCCAGCCCGGAGTCGGATGCTCTGTGTCCCCCAGCCTGCATCGGGCTCTGGACGCCATATTGGCAAACTGAGCATCAGCTGGACATTGCTGACCTTGAAGGTTCGCTTGGCCTTTGCAAATATGACCTCTGTAGAAAGAAAACCCAATCGCCGATTTCTGTGATTCCGTGAGTCTGCTCATACCTGGCTTTTACGTAGATATTTCATTTGACATTGAGATTCACAGCAAAGACCAGCCGGTTACAATGAATCCTTTGCAGTCCGGAAATCTACCCGTCAGTACCTATCTTTTCTGGAGCCAGCGCCTATCTCTTGCTCTTTTTGTGCCATTCGATCGTTTCTGCACTCGAAAGCTTCCATTGCATATAATGTCTGTTGCCGATATTTGCACCCAACATACATCCCGCCAGTCGCCGGCTTTCCCAATGCGCATTGCAGACCAGCCATTTTATAACCACTGACAGGCGCAGAAGTCTCGGTCACTCCTTAGTCTGGGGTCGCGTCGCCGTGGAGAGTGGCCGTCTGCAACCAGTGCCCGAGACGCTCGTATCCGTCCTTGTCACAATAATTGCAGCCCTGCGGTAAGCTATACGGTATTTGTTCAGTTTCTTACCTCATCGAATTCCTCTCGTGGCCAACAGTTTACTTACACCAACATTGTTACTGTATGATGAGGAATGAGACTGGAAAATTACATGGTCCTGTATCGGTAACAATCCCCAAACTGGGACAACACAGAGACGAGACCAGACGACACCACCGAGACCACCCACCTCACACGATGACGGGAAGCTTGGTTCAGGTTGGTGGAGGCAAGAAATGGAGCTCCGTGTGTTCGTTCGCTAAAACGACGACATTGACGTGCGGTCCAGGACCCCAAAAGCTCTCCAATTCCCCCCTCCAGAATCTGGCAGTATCGGGGTGCGCTGGAGCCAATTATGTCATAGCAGTCCCCTCTTGGCTTCTTCTCCCCAAACTTCAGCCCATTGGAGTCCATCTAGGATTGGCGTCATCCTGTCTTTTTCCTTATGGATGCTAAGCGAGCCCCAACAAACCCAGCCTCTCTCACAAAACGACGTACGATGCACGCATCAGTGCTTCCACAAAGGATACCAGCCAGAGCGTGTTGAACACCACGGGATGATAAGGCACGTTGGAAGATGGCTCGTGGTTCGTGCCCACTCGCAAACCAAAGGAATAGAATATTCGGTGGTACCGTCGCCATCACCGTCGCTGTCGCCGTCGTCTTCGCCTCGCTTCGTGTTCACAAGCGCAATGGGTTTGAAAGTTTGCGGCTTTCAGTTCCACTGTTCCACACGCAGCCCCCCATGCAGTAGCGGCGGTCCACTCCTGGGGATGGTAACTAAAAAAGCTGCCGATAGTTTCTGCAGGGCAGAGAGTCCCGTCGTTCAACTACAGCCCGGCCCGGTGTCTGTCAGCTTGACACGTGTGTTGGCTGCACTTGGACATGTCTAGAGTTGCCAGAGTCACGGCAGCATCCATGCATCCGAGCACAAACGTCGTGGACAAATATCTCCTCCAAAAGCTCCCCATCCTCCTCATGGAACGGTGATAAGGGTCAGAAGCAGTGAGAGGCTATCACCAAAAAGCGTGCGTGGAGTTGTTCTTGTTGTAGGTTGCGCAGCAGCGGGCCCCCCCCCCTGCGCTGAATGGCTGTCTTGGGCGGTCTTTATACGAGATGGATACCCAGTCTGAAATGCCTAATTCTGCAGGTGATGCCGTGTCCGGGCATCTCCCGTCGGTAGGACAGTGGGACTTGGAATCCACTCAGCGCGAGCAAGCTGACGAACCAGGCACAAGAGGCACTGCATTCAGTGAGATCCAGGAAAATGGGGCACGATGCGTGACGATGGGGCAGACAGCATCAACGTGAACGGCGCTTGTTGGATTTTAACCGAGAACCGCAACTGCACTTCCCGTCCACACCCGCGCCTTCAACATCGTACACGCTCGACCCAAACAAGCACCCTCCAAGTCCCACAGCATGCCAAATTGAGAGAGCACAAGAGACTCCCCGGGAGCTTGCGGCGACTGCGCACAAGAGTACGGGCGTAGTTGGAGTTGTAACCACCAAGAAAGCCAAAGCCTGGAGAGAAAAAGAGATAACGACGATGTTACGAAAGACCATCATGACTTTAACATGAACCAGATTTCATGATATTCGGCAGGAGAAAGGAAAACCCAATCAGTCACACAAGGATCCCATTTCGGGGGCAAGCAGCTACGCTTCACTGGCTCACAACACGCAAAATCTGTTGCGTGCCTGAATGGATATTGATGCGGGCCGGGTTCGGGGAATGGATGAGGCGCATCAGCCGTGGTCGCAATGGAATGAAAGACAACGGTGAGCCATTCGATTGATCGCTCGACATCAATACGCATGCGAAAGAATCAGAAAAGAACAAGAAAGGAAAAAGAAAACAAAAAGCAAAGTGAAAATGGGGGCTCACTGGACTGGATGAGCCAGCACCTCATACTCAAAGGTACGTACCCACAACCTCATGGCGACTCCCTCGAGTCATCCATCCATCCAGGGAAGAAGGGAAGAAA